GTGCAGTTAATTAGGGCCTATCTGATGTGCACCAGTTGAAACCGACTTACTAGATCAAACAGTAATTATTCCTAAACTTTGGGAAACCTTTCATAAATTGTAATGTTTGTGATATTGATAGAAGTGTTACATGTTGGTGGTAATTTTAGAAAATATGATGTCAAATCACATGAAACATCATATCACTCATATCATACACTATGATCATAATGATAATTTTTTATTTATAATCCAATCATGTGATTTGACATCATATGTTCATTTCCAAAACCTGGTTTTTAAAAGAAAATACACTAAAAGTTTACTAAAATTATCAAAAACAAACATGGTTGGTTAGATATGCTATGTAGTTAATCCTTAATGATTTGGCTGGCCGGTTTAATATTATGTTTGAGCTAGCCGATCGGGTTAATGATTGTCGGTAAAGAGAAGCGTGTGACCACTTTCCAAATATAAGATGATGTTTCTTTGGGAAAAAAGACAAGAGAAATTGTTAGAGGAGTTAGATTCGTATGCTCCATATTGCCCACTGCTTCTGATTCAGATAAATAATAATACTCAGATCTCGTTATTTACAACTTGTCAGTGTGTGATGATCTTGATCACTTCGTATATGGATATTTTCTATAGAATATTATATTAATAAATACTGCTATGACCTATTATCTGTCCATTTTACAAAATCGGGGATCTATATGAAGGAAGGAACAAAATCTCTCTCGGCAATTCATCATTGTCTGTGAACCTTATATGACTATACACGGCGGTCGTCCACTGTCTCTTATTTTTCAGTCCATATTTTTGTAATCTTATATTCAAATATTCATATAATTTTTGTCTGTTAATAGTTTTTCTTGGTCCCGTTTGATATCTAGCTTCTTCTTTTTCTGTTTCAAGATTACATTTATTAAAAATATCCTGTTTATATCTAGCTTTCTTTCGTAAGAGGAAATTATGATTAAAAAAAAAAAAAGAGAAGGGTGGAGATCACGGTATATCATTTTTTTTTTCTTTTTTTTGTGCCGAGATTATCTTTTAGTTAATATTAAATTTATATATATTTGCGCCCATCAAACACACATTTAGTTAGCAAGCAAAATACAAACTTTCAAGATTGGCTTAATACACTTTCTGGAGTATATCGCATGATGTCTTTTTTGAGTATCTGAAAGAACAAAACCCTTAAGAGCTCAGAGAAGCTAGCTTAGCTAGATGCCTATTTCAAGGCAATGGATCTCTGTCTTTTCTCTATGAAACCATTTCTTCTCACATCCGCTCCGTGATCCAACGGCTCTGATTAGCTCGCTTTCCAAGAACACAATACAAAAGAAAACAAGTCAAACATTATAATACTGCAGATGAGAGAGAGAGAACTATGTCAAATTCCTTAGTATTGTTTGTATTGTCATATTAGATCATTTTAAAATCCGAGTGGAAGCCTATTATATTTTTGATATTTTTATAAGATTCAATTCTCTTACAAGATATTTTTCAATAATTATGAGTGATACAAAGTTATCAAAATGTCCTCGTAATGCAAATATAATTATTTGTCGTAAATTTTTGTGTGAAGGAAAAGGCTATTTGCTTAAAATCGTTTGTGAAACTGTTTCACATTTCCTGCAAACTATAATATAAAATTTCGCTAGACGCTTAATAAAACACGACATGCATGTACATAACATCTAATTAAGTAACATATTTCTTAGAACTTAGGTTTTCTTCAGTAATATACAATTATGCACTATATATGAATTTGAATTTAAATAGTGAAAGAGAAAGAAAACACTACCACAAGCAACAGGTTACACTATATATATGGTTAATCTATTTTGGTTTATATATTAGAATTTTGAACTAACATATTTTGTTTTGCCACTAGAGAAAAAAACTAAAATTTGTTTTGTTCTTGCCGAATTTCTTTTACATGTTTCGATAGATGGACTGACCAATTCGGCAAGAAATGAAAAGTTGGCTGAAAAGCTAACACACGACTGAAAAGTAGTACAAAGTCATGTAAACAAGAATAATTTTACATTTACCTATCGTTTTCTTCTGGATACCTTTTGTTTTGTTTGGTCAACACCATTTACCGTTTAACTGCCCAATGGTAATCTCTTCAAAAGAAACAAATGACTTTCTTTGGCATGTGGGTGCTATAGTATCTAATAATTAACACCTCATGAATTTATACGAGTATTACAAGTTGGAGCTAGGGGAAACTCTCAAATTCGAAAATATCATTTTAGAAACAAATTTATGGGATTTAATTAAAAACAAGTTCACAATAAGTGATCAGCCATTTTTTTGTATACTATTTGAGGTTATATATGTAATATTAGAGAGGATAATACTATTGACAAAATCAGTTTTTTACTAGTAGGATCAGCTGGATCATTTTTAAGTCAAATCGATTTTAGGTTAGGTTGATCGAAACAACTTTAGATTGGATAGATTTCCGTTTGGATTGGACTGCTAAATCAAACCATTAATGATCTTGAATTTATTGGTCGTTGCTTCTCTTTGATCATCTAGCCTAAAGAATTGATATATCCAAATATAAATTGATGGGTTAAATTTGAAATTTGAATTAAAAATGGATTGTCTCTTTGTGTGTGGGGGTCCTCAATGATCTGTATAATCTGATGAGAATGAATTGAATAACTTTGGCAATACTAAGGTGGGGATCTTTTCTTCCTTTGCCATTCTAAACCTATCTCTTCTATTCTCTTATGTTCCCCTCTCTCTAGATCTCTCGCCCTCTGCCTCACTTCCCATCTCTCAATCATGGATCCTGTCTTTCTCTCTCCACTGGGAGGGATTATTGCTGAATCACATGCAGTTGAAAGGATCACGAGTTACATTAGTATACTAGGGGTTCATGAGATCTTAAATTTTGTTTTGTCAACTGAGTCAACTTTGATTATTAGTAAATAAACAAAATAGTTATTGAATCTTTAGAAATTTAAGCTAGGATCGATGGCCGTTACAACTATAAATCTATATTTCTAGGCAGTCGCTTGTTTTTTCTTTTCTTTTTTGGAAGATCACTAATTCCTTTTGTCATTTCAATCTGAAAATATTTTTTTTTTACGTTTTTCTCCAGTTATGTTTTTATATATGAATTGATTTTTGTTTTTAAAAATTGAAGTTTATCGTCAATGGACAAATATAAGAACGCTAGTCAGCTACTCAGGTTATATAAAAAAAATGTTGAATAACTTTTTAATTTTCCTTGCCAATATTTGTCTAAGCTGTTTTTTTCCTCTCGATACGATTTATCTAATTAACTTTTTAGTGTTTTTGGATACAGTATGTTGTATTTTAAAAAATAATATTAATTTAAGGGTATGAAAAGAACATAAGAAATCCAAATATTGACTTTTTTTTTTCTTTTTCTATAATAGAACCTTGAGATCTAGGAAACCCTAGATCAGAAAAGACTACAGGTAAAAGAATCTTATTTGTTTCAGTTATTATCATGATTTGTGTGGCTCTTACTCTCCAAACATTTATATAAATTAGGGTCTTTTTTTATTTTATTTCTGTCTCTCTAGTGGGGTAAGAAAATTACAGATAGGGTTTGTTCTGAATGGGGTCGTCCAGTACCATTCCACATACACACATTTTGTCTCATGTGTTTGGTTTCGCATGGGCGCCATGGACTCACGTGAACCTCTAAATTAAGTAATTATTATGCATATACATATATTTCTATTTTAGCTGCATTTTAATAGCGATCATACAACTATATTTTGAAACTAATCATATTACTATTAATCTGTTCAAATATTAGTGTTTATCAGTTTTCTACACTAACATATAAAATGGGCGTTTTTCATCTTGGATTGAACATCTAAATACATTGGATCGACCATGTCAAATCATTATATGTGTAATTGTTTACATATCTTTTTTTTTGTTAAAAGTAAGGCCTGTAACTGTTTACATATCAAACGATTTTATTCTATATGAATACATAGATAACGTTTATTATCATTTTTAATGTTTTAAACCCTTAAAAAAATAATTTTTAATGTTTTATTTAATCATTAATATTTTTTAATAAATTTATTGAAATATAAACCAAACCAAAATTTGTTGTGGGTTTACGATCGGACTGGTCCGAAAGTAGAATCTAAAATAGTTGTTTATCCATGTCTTCTAAAATTCACTGTACAAGTTGATGTATACATAGACATAACTAAAGTAACTCTATACTCATATAAACCATAAATATATAAGTATTATAGAAACCATGTGTGTTTGGCTCGTGTGCCTTTAAAAAGGATCAAACATAGTATTGCTTGGACTCTTTTTGCCGTCTATGATCTCTCTCAATCTCTCATCTTAGCTCTGTCTCTCTCTTTCTCTTTGAATTTCTCTCTCTCTTTGTGTTTTTCATCTCACTTGCTCATCAATGGGTTCAAATTTTCATTACTCTATAGATCTTAACGAAGATCAAAACCATCACGAACAACCCTTTTTCTACCCTCTAGGATCCAATTCGTCTCTTCTTCATCATCATCACCAAGTTCCTTCTAATTCTTCATCTTCTTCCTCGTCCATTTCGTCTCTCTCTTCTTACCTCCCTTTTTTGATCAACTCTCAAGAAGATCAACATGTTGCCTACAACAACACTTATCATACTGATCATCTCCATCTTTCTCAACCCCTTCAGGTATAATTGTATATCAACCTTAATTGTGTGTAAAACATGATATTCTTGAATGATATATTTTTTTTTCTGTGCGCGAAGAATGATCGTTTTTTAGATGTTAAAGTTATATGCCTGATCATGTAAAGTTTTTTGTTTGTTGATAAAGTACGTTGATCATGTAAACTTCATACAACGTATACAAATTTTAAATTTTGTGTTGAGAAAATTTAACATATAAATAAGAAATTCAAATTATCAAATAAAAAGGGGGAACCTTAAGAAACCATATGAATCATTATTTTTGTTTTGAACCTTGATCCTTTATATATATCAGGCCAAGATGTTTAACGGTGGATCATCATCATCATACGATCACATGGTGCCAAAGAAGGAGACAAGGTTGAAACTAACGATAAGGAAAAAAGATCATCACGAAGACCAAACCGATTTTCTTCATCAGAACCCGACAAAACCCGATTCAGACTCCGACAAGTGGATGATGTCCCCAAAGATGCGGTTGATCAAGAAAACAATCACCAACAACAACAGACAGCCCATTGATCACACTGATAATAATCATAAAGATGATCACTACCCTTTAAATCACAAGACAATTTTCGATGAAGATCACGATGAAGATCTCAAAAAAGTTTCGACCAGGACGGCCACGGAAAGTCGCAACAATACAATCACCGAGAACGGTTATGGTAATAACAATGGCGTGATTAGGGTTTGCTCCGATTGTAACACAACCAAGACTCCTCTTTGGCGAAGTGGACCTCGAGGTCCCAAGGTAAATTAATCAATTTTTGTTAGATTTTATATATACACCTTAGTTCAATTTGTAATAACATATGGTTACGTGTCATGAACGCATAGAAATTTGCTTGATTCGATCAAGTCTAATGCATCTTTAGACTTAAATATATGTTTGTCCTTAATGATTCACATATGAGCCCAATATTCTGTGAAATTAGTAATTTTTTTATTTTTTATTTTTATTGCAGTCTCTTTGTAACGCATGTGGCATAAGACAAAGAAAGGCCAGACGCGCTGCTATGGCTGCAGCCGCAGCTGTGGGCGACCAAGAAATGGTGGCTGCGCGGTCTCAACAATTACCGGTGAAAAAGAAGTTGCAAAACAAGAAAAGGCGATCTAACGGAGGAGACAAATTCAATCTCTCTTCTCCCGTGGTGCCCAAGGCAAAAAAGTGTAAGTTCAAGGAAGAAGAGGAAGAGGCGGTGACGGTTGCCGGAGACTCGGAGATCAGCAAATCAACAACGTCTTCTACTTCTTCCATTTCGTCAAACAAACTTTGCTTCGATGACTTGACGATAATGTTGAGCAAAAACTCAGCTTATCAGCAAGTGTTCCCACAAGATGAGAAGGAAGCGGCTATTTTGCTCATGGCTCTGTCGTATGGAATGGTTCATGGTTGATCAGATAACTACAATATCTTCTGATTACCAAAAAGAGGTCTATTTTTATAATTAAATATACCATAGTAATCATAATAATGATTGATTATTAAATCTTGGAGTGATTAATGTAGTTTTGCCAGTTGGTCTAATATGAGAAGTAATAAGATCAAGTGAGTGAGGGTTAAATATAATAATTAATAGCTCTATGTGCATGTATGTTTTGGGAGATTTTGGTTTAGGGTTTATGTTGTGTTTTTTTTTTTTTTCCCAATGGAGCATTGATCACCCGATAATGTGGATGTTCTTGTTCATTTACATCTTTATATTGTGTAACGTGATATGAGAAATAATATGATCAATTAAGTACTGTAATGTTTTTTAGTCTTTAATTTATACTCGATGTCATCACAATTTAAAGCAATCATTAATCGACTAACGACGTTAAAATTTATGTATATTAATATTAATTGGTATCATTCAGAATTTAAATTTAAATTTATTTTCGAAGCTCACTATGCGACATACTCAAGCTCTTTAGTTTTTCATAAACAAGCTTACTTAGAATTCTTAGATTTAAATTAACGTTTCTGAAAATATACTGAACACAGGATATAAGTGGATGAGGCAAAAGATAGTGGATGAGAACATATGAGTTTTTGTATAAGAAGATAATGCGTTTGTGTTACAGTTTAAGGCGACGACATATTAAGTTAAAAGTTTTTATGAGAAAAAGACACATTACGTTCTCAAAATATTTGCAAACCCACATATGGGGTTGACCTAATTCGAAAGAAACGTATGTCTCTTCTTCAATATATTTTGCTTCATAAAAAATTAAAGTCACTGTTTTGGTAGTTTGCCATGCCAATCAGGGACGGATAAATATCAACAATTTTCAGTGTGAATTCCAATTGTTATGATCATTCCTTTGTTTTTTGTTATTTTTTTTCCTATAATCTAAATTATATTTTAAGAACGTAAGCTGTTACTATTATTAAGGCCTTTTAACAAAAAAAAAAAAAGAAGCTGTTACTATTATTATGAAAAAAGAAGAACGTAAACTGTCTCTAATGAGTAATCTAATAACCTACTGGTTTAAAGAACTTAAGATTCTAAACTAGTTAGCCTAGTAGTTTTTGTTAGTTCAGTTTCTGACAAATGATGTCTATATGTGTTTTTAGTTCTTATAATTTTCAAAATATCAATGTCGTCCAAAACTAAGATGAATATTAGTGCAATACATAAATTTGTAAGAATAGACAAGGCAAAAAGCATAAAATTGGCACTTAGAGAATGTTAGTTTAGAGTAATTAATTAAACTCATCAAGAAAAAAAACTAATGGGACCCTCTCAATTCCCTCAACATTCAAAATCAATTTCCAACCACAAACATATATTTCCATCTAATCCTCCATTTTTGATTTTCCCTCACTCTTCCTCTTCTTCCACAACAATCAAATCCATAAAAAAAAAAAAAAAAAAAAAAAGAAACCCAAATTTAACGAACCGAATTTTCAATTCTCAGTGTACCATTTTGATAAATGCCAGGAACTATACAAGTTTCAGGTAACAGCAACTTTCGATTTCGGGCAAAACCTCTTTAAGGCATTTAGCATTAATTGATATTTGTCTTGTTCAAAATTCTCAGTACTGGGTCTCATTGATGTTCAGACATCTTCTTCAGGTTCCTCAAACATTTCCATTAAAGGTCTCAACTTGATTCTGTTCCTTACATCACTTTCTAAATTCCTTTATCAACGAACAAGAAAAATTCAGTTTTTGTTTTTTACTTGTGGTCTTGAATCAGTTGCTATGGGGAAGCTAGAGTATCGAACTTCGGATTCAGGAGACTACATTTTGTAAATTCTCAACTTGATCCTTTTATATTTCAGAATTTTCTAAAATTTTGACACTTTCTTGTTTCTTTGACTCAATGTGGCACAGTCCAGTTACGAGGCTCCGAGAAAATCTGATTGTTACTCTGTTAGATGTCAATGGAAACGGAATATTACACAAAGGTAACATTTTTTTTTAAACCCTAGAGATCATATTGGTGGGTTTTATTAGATAGATTTCTGAATTTTGGATTTTTTTGGAAGTTAGAGATAGAGACTAGAATGATTATAGAGAGTGGCTTCTTGGAAGAGAAAATTTCATTCAATGGCTATGGAAATGTCCAGTTGAAAATGCAGTTTGTTCTCAGTGAAGAAGATCGAAACCGCATACGTTTCCTGGTAATAACATTCATTTCAGATTGATATGCTCTGTTTCATAGACCTCTGCAAAGTACCAATCTTGATGAATCCATTGGCTTTTCTTCTTATTGCTTTGAAAGAGACAATCTGCATTGAGAAAGAAGCACGACGAGCTCGTCAGTGTCACTTCTTTTACCAAATCTAAAAGCATTGCTTCAGGTTAATCAGTGAAAAGAAATCAGAATTTGTACTCTCTTTTTTTTCAGACCTTTCATTGTTAAGTTGTGTTTCTAAATCTTTTTTTTTTTTTTTTTTTTTTTTAACTCTGTTCTTGATGTTATGAGAGATCTGTCTTCTTTAAGTCCAATGCAAACCAGAGACACAGTAGCTGCTGCTAGTCCAATGACAAATCATGGTCTGTCTCAAGAAACCAAGCTTAAAGTATGATTAGTAGTTACTTTGATACCGCTTTTTACTTGTACAGATTTCATCTTTAGCAACTGATTCTTTCACCTGATGTAGATTAGTGCAGAGAGAGAACCGGTTTCGTCAAATCTTATAATGTGGAAGCCTGAAGTCAAGGATATAGTTGAGACAACGAAAAATCAAGCAACTTCTTCAGATGTTTCTTCAAGCAAGAAGCTTTCCGAGGGTAAGAAAGCTGGGACTGTGTCGTTAGTGAAGCAAGAAGATAAAGGTTTGAGCAAACCGGAAAGAAATCCTAAACGGAGTTCTATGAGGCGGAGTATGTCAGAGACAAACTTGAGCAATGTTCGGAAAATGATTAGCACCTTTGAGATTAAAGTGACTCAGGTATGAATCTTTGTGATCAAGATCTTTATAAACTTTCTTGATTAAGATTCTTTAGATGTTTTAACAGGATACCAAACTTCCGAGAGCGAAGATTCAAACTGAATCTTGTAAAGATGTGGAGGAGAAAAGTAACGAGCAGTCAAAACCGGAAGAAAGGAAGATAAGCTTCTCTGAGGATATGGAGAAGTCAGTTTATAGGGATAACAAAGAGAGAAGTGATGATTTAGTAACAGTTTCAAGAGATGAAAGGAAAGTAGTTGTAGAAGAGAAGAGTCTTGAACAGAGCACTAGAAGAAGTGACTCGTTAAGCTTGGTGGTAGAAGTAAAGGATGATGAGAAGAAACAGAAAAATTCTGTGCGTTTGAAGGATTCTCATCTTGAGAATGCACGAGGATCTCGTCTCTGGATATTTCCAGATGAAGCAAAGGATTTGTCTTGCGAGACAAGTTTTGGAACAAGACATTTTGATATAGCGGAGGCAAATTTGTTACAGAAGATGGCAGAAGAAAACATCGGTGAGGTACAAAAAGCTAGTAGCTTTGGTGCTTTTTACAATATTGTATGATATTTCTAAGATTTTGCTTTAACCTGAAACATTTTCAGAGGGGATTAAGCTGCAGAAGTATCACGAAAATGAGTAGCAACAACAAGTGGAATAACATTGAGCGGTCAAAGAAACAGAAGTCTGAGAATTCTGAAGATTCAGAGAGCTCAAGAGGACCTGTTAGGCAGGTGGGTTTATAAACAGTCATGTTTTGCGGCTTGCCTTTAGTAATAGACCAAAAAAGATCAAATCTTTATATCATATTGTCGTGATTTTCAGGTGGTGCGTGCGTTGATCGTGGTTGGTTTTGCAGGCTTAGTGTTTTTGACACGGAAAAGAACTTAAAACAGGTATGTGTTCTGCATTATAATGAAGCATTTTTGAATTTTGTTTGGTTTCTTGTTACTTAAAGTAGGTTCCTTGTGCTAAAAGCTTTCCCTGATATATCTTTCCTTCTTTGATGCTTTCTGCAGAAGAGGGAAACCTACGTTTGAAATGGTAATACTGGATCAATCTTAGAAAAAAAACAGACTGTAAAGTTTTCAATAATATGCTCACATGGGATAGAAAAAAAAAAATAAGGCTTTAAGCTTGATGATTGATCACCTAGTTGAAACAAAAGTTCATGGTTAGGGTTAAAACGGTCCGTTGTATTGGATCAGTACTTTATAAACCAGACTTAGATTAATGTTTTATGCTTGTCACATAATAGTTTTCAATAGTATGCTTATAGATAGGCAAACAAAAAGATTAAAGCTTTAAGCTTTGATGATTGATTAATTTACGCGTAGACGTAGTTGAAAGTTGAAACAGTGTTATCAATCATCAAAGCTTTCTTCTGGATGTTAATCTGGATCTTAGTCGATAAAACTGAAAGATTTGGTTAAATGTGACAAGACGCATATATTAAAGAATTATTTCGAAATTAATGCAATGATAAGGGACAAAAGATAAAATAAATTTAAACAAAAAGGGGTGAGTTATTTAAGACTTTATTTACATACCTGGTGCATACTACTAAACAGAGAGGCCCATTAAAGCCCACATTTTTCTCTGCATATGCAAAAAATATTAGTTTATTTTTACCATTGAATTAATATTGCATCTAATTTCGTTCTGGGATTTTATTTTTATCTTGTAAAGTATCTAAATTTTATCGTGTCAATGATAATTTTTTTATTAAGACTCTGATTGGTTTATAATGAGTTTGCTAAATAAATGATACTATTTGCAAATGAATTCAACAACTAACTCGTCCGTAAGGTAAATAAATACATTCTCCTAGGAGACAAAAACCATAATTATCTTTCTCTATCTTGATCTACTTCTCGTGCTAGTCCCATTCCTTGATTTTTTTAAAAAAATATATATTTTGATGACCTATAAATATTTTAGATCTCCAAATCGATAAAAAGCTAGCTCTATAATTTAATTTTTAGCATTTTTCTTACAATGAAACATACATAAAAAATGGTATAGTTGAGTTAGACAGCTTGCATAGTTGCATAGTTAAAGTTTTATTCCCTACAGAATATAGGATATATATTATATACTACAAAAGAGGATATCGTCTTAGCTAACTAGTACAATAGAAACCAAGAAAAAAAAAATCTAGATGAGGATATTTTAATGGGAATCAATATTATCAACCACATGATTTGGACATTTTAAAAGATATATAGACTTTGGATTTACTTTTGAGTACAAATGAAATAATTTGAAGCCTCATATATATAAATAGACATTGATAAGCAAAGGACCCCCAAAAGGGGTTGGGAAAATGTCTTTGTAACTTAAAAGTGATTATTGACATAATAACAAGGGACCATCATACCGAGTAATTTATATATGAATTTATTTTTTATAAGCTCTTCAATATTAACCAATAGTACCTCAAGGAGTATATATAGTCTAGTTGTTTTAAATTAACCAATAGTACCTCAAGATCCCATCAAATTGTTAATGTTCTCTATATATATATACATATTTTTTTTTTTATAAAGTGATGGTCTCTATTTACAACGACAAATATTTAACACATACAGTACAAAATTTTAAAACAAAATGAAATCTTTAAATTAATGTATTCATTAATATCTAGTCATAATAATATTTTATTTTAATGAAAACATTAATTTAAAGATTTCATTTTCCCAGTATCCAAAATCTCAACCAAGAAAATAAAGCTAGTTCTCTTTTATAATCTAAATCGATGACAAGGAGGACATTTTGTCCTCAAATGAATTTGTTTTCTTTCCTGTAGTTGTGTCACTATTAATACAACTTGCACAGTAGCACTAAATGTAGAAATGTTTAAAATGTGATCTATTTTTATTTTCTCTTAACTGTTTTCCCCCGACAACAAATATTATTTATCAATTCTGAAAAAGACTCTCAGTTTTGTACTATTAAAGTGTGGGTATCAGTGTATAAGATTGCTGAGCTTTAGTGGAATCACACTATCAATTCTTAATTAAAGTTATGCGAAAAAAGTTTATAGTTAACATAAAGGATCCAGTCCTTAAACTGAACGCAAGGTCGCATCTATATCTGTTGATAAGTATCCTTAATTTTCAATATAAGCAAAAACAGTAATAAAAAAAATGCGAATACTGAATATGAACTAAAACCATATAAATTGTCGTATTATAAGATCAACTGTGGATGGAAGGCAAAAATCTCACAATGCTCAAACAAAATTTTCAGCAAATTATCAAAGTATTAACATGGATCCGATAGGATGGATTACTATATATGTAAACATTTTAAACATACTGTGTTTAACCAATATTATTACGTGTTATATATATCCGTTAAAAAAGCAATTTACGTAACGCTGATAGGTCTACTACTCGATCCGGAAGAAGACTGAAGGGAAGCAAGCTTCAGCTCAAGATCGAGTCCACCGGAGTTAACCGCCCCAGATATTTCCAGATTTGAGTATCTAAGATGGGTATTGGCTAATCCTTGTTTCCAAACAACCTCTGTGGTCGACCCAATATGATCATTACAAGGAATTCTACTATTTTCTTCAACGTTGCCGGCCGAAACCTGTAGAATATATAAATGTCAATTGAAGATTCGTTTCTTCTGATTCGTCAAGAAATAATATTTTCATACTATATATGCTTCTTCTTATAAAGCTTAGATAAAAGTTAACCTTGACTTTTTTGGTTTATAAAATTCCGACATTTTAAGTGGTAAATGTTTTTTTTAAAGGAAAAACCCTACTAATAACAACATAAAAATTCTGTTTGAACTTTTGAAGATGTGAATTTTTTTTTGGATATGAGAGTTTCCTTAAAAAGGATTGATTCTTGTTTTTTTTTTCAAGTTTTTATACAAAAAGTTTAATTTTTTTTTATGTATATAACTATATATAAAAGATTGAAAATTACCATATCGAAGAGGCTGGTGCGGCGTCTCTTATGATGGAGAGTGGTGGCTTGTCGGAGGAAGAACTTTTGAGCATGACTTGCCACTTGTGTAGGCGATTTCGTGACGACGAAGTTTCTAGAGATTCCTCTCCAATCTCCTTTCCCAAGCTTTTCTAGTCCAATAAGAAACATCCGGTGCTCTTCCTCCGTCCATGGAACACCTAATCATAACCAAAATAAATCATAATCCGAATCGAAAATACATGAACAAAAGCCGAGGTCAAAGATCGATTTGAAATTGTCACATGCTTTGGATTTTTGTTTTGTTTCATAAAACTATATGTTTTCTAATTAATTACTATTTTATTTCTTAATTCACCTGTATCAGTTTTTTAAAAAACTTTAATTTCAATTAATAGAAATATGGTTAAATTTATATTTGCAAATAAGTTATTAATATGTTTGAAAAATTTAAAATATCTTGCCCCTTACCAAAAAAAATCTAATGATTTGAACATAGGGAGTTTATTTAGAAATTTAAGATATGTCAAATTAATTACTATCAAATCGAAAACAACCAAAACAAGAATGGAAAATATGTGAAAGTTGAAACCTTTTTTGCGGTCTGGTATTTTGTGGCCGAGACCATCGGACAGATAACCGGCGAAGGAAGAGGAAGAGGAGGAACATGCCGGCAAGCAATCCATGCTGAAGCTTTTCTTTATTGCTGCGGCCAAATTTGACGGCGGGGGAGGAGGAGGATGTGGTGTAGAAGAGCTTGTGGTGTCTAAATGAACACCAAAGAGCCTAACTCTTGTTATGTAGGAAGAACATGTTCTTGAGTTATGTCCTACGTTTCCACAGTGTGAGCATCTTCTACCCATTAGTAATTGAGAAAGAGGAGGGAAAGAGAGAGAGAGAAATGATGTTGTTGATGAAGAGAGATTTTGGGCTTTATGTAAAATGGTGGAGAGCATAGAAAGAGAAGATGATTGGATAGACCAAGTTTATAAGTTTATGCATTCCAAGTTGGTATTTTTCTACTTTTAGCCAATCAAAACATGAGTTTACGCTAAAAAACAAAAGTGGGAAAAAGATGTCTTTATCAGTGGGGTTTAATCATTATTATGGACTAAAATGTTGATTCTAATCCAAATGATTTTGTGTTCATGGTAATGAATATCAAATCTTGATTTATCTTTCACGTAGTCTTATATTTATACATTTTTTTATCCGTATTTATGTTTTACAGAATCTGTGATTTAAAGAGACAACGAGGTAGCTATAACAAGATGGAATTTATATGTACTATTTATCAAATCATAAAGGCTATTCTTTTGCGAAAAGAAATATAGCTTTGTGAATTGTGGTTGAGAGAGAGACGACTTGGATCCTCCAATAGTTTGGGGAGGTGGGTAGTTGGATGACCTAATAAAATTTTGGAAAATAAATAAAACAAGAAAGACTTAAAATACTTTTCAATTCTGGAAAATAGAGAGACAAAGAAAAAAAAACCCGACAAAGGGGTCTTCTTTATTTGTAGAAGGTCTTCTTTATTTGTAGAAGACAAGTATAATACTATAATGTTTGGTTTTGTTTGATAAAATATAATTTGGATCTCATGTTTTTTAAAATGAATTAGTTGAACGGAAGAGTCATAAATATATTTTATTTTATTTGAAAGATTTACCTGATTTGCTCAAATATTGTATGTCGATAACATTATAAATCAGTAGTAGACAAAGCACTACAACCCAACATGCATTTAACTATTTATTGTTTGTGGTTAGAACTGGTCGCAATAGGGAGATTCTATTGCTAAGTTTGGAATGTTGAGTATTGGAGGACAATGATGAGGATTCATATTGATCACATAATATAATCTATTAATGTTTTCTGTCTTTCATAGTATAATAATCTTTTGAATCTATCTTTCATAATTTTTTTTTTCTTTTTTTGAGACTTCATTTTTGTTTTCCCGATTTGCTTTTTAAAGGTCCATTTACCATGTCTGGAGGGAACCCAACCAACGTCATTATTATGGCCAAGTCCCTAACTCTCTTTTGGCCTCACTATAATGTACAGGTCCATACGAGGTAAGCTCATATCTATTTGTTCGGCGCATCCATAACATTTTTTTCCATTGGAGCATAAATTAGAAAGAAAAAAGGCAACTCTTACCAAACAACTAATTTTCTTTACCTCCGCCCAAGGCCGGCTCTGGAAGGGATACATATGAAACAATTGTATGGACCCCGATTTTTGTGGACCATACTATTTAAGGAAAATAATTAAGAAAATTTAAGTAAGGAAGTACTATGTTGTAGGTATATAATTGAAGGATAAAAAAATTATCAACATTGTAGATATATACAATGATGTTGATTCTATCAAACTTACATATAATAGGATATGATGTGGGATTCATGTTGATAATGTAACAATCAATGTTGATTATATCTTATCTTGCATATAGAGAACATGACTGGGTTTCGTAATTATCATACAATAAATAATATACTAATGACTTTCTTTCTATGTTTTCTTTCGTTTTCAACTATTATATTACTATTGATTCATATGTGGGATTTCATAATTTAGCATAAAGTATTCCATTAACGTTGTTCTCATCCTACCATCATATATAATACGGTTACTTGAATTCTAGTCCAATGAAATTTGGTTTGAGTGAGGTAGGTCAATTTTGTTTTTTTAAACAATGATATAAGTGAACATAATCTAAAATTATACCTTTTAAGATTAAAACATAACTCAAGAGAGGAAAATTTTAAGTAGTTTGTTTTCTTAATAAATTGAGGGAGACATTGTCTCCTCTAGACCTCTCCTATCCAAAAAAAAAAAAAAAAAAAAAAGTTCAACACCACATTAGAACATTTTGCGAGCTAGTGGTCGTCATCCACAATAAAAACACTCTTTGGATATATAAATAACAACTTTTACATACTTCTAAAATTATTCGAAAGTCATTTCCGACGATTTTCTCAGTCAGAGCTAGCCTGTTTTCTTGTACTGAATGGGTTAAAAAAAGATCAGAAGAGAGTGAGACCAAAACTCAAAATCGTTTTTAGTTTTTGGTCAGGTAAGCACCCTCGATTTTTTTGAAGATTCAAGAATATTAACAAATTTGTACCTTACATCGTAATTCGTAGGCCTTAGCAAAATTGGGAGATACTAAGAAGAGAGAGCTAAAGTCTCGTCCTTGTTGGTCCATAAGTGTTTCTCCTGCTGGGTCAATTCAGTCCATGTAACAAAAAGCTAAAAATCGACTCACAGCCTTTAAATATCAAATAAGTTAATAAATATCCCAGAGAATAAATAAAACTTACAGAAAAGAAAATAAAATGTTGGACAAAACCAAAACTAAAATGAAAACCAAACCATGCAATCTTACATTACTTCTTCAAGTTATGTTTATAAATTTTATCAAGTTTGCCTCAGAGCGTATGCTGCATTAACGCCACCATTTGCTTCTGCAGCTGCATCATCATCTTCTGATTCTGCTGCACCAACGACAACACTTCTCCTTGTCTCTCCATCGACGCTACTTGGCTTTGAGTGATCTCATTCAACGAATATAAGATCTCAGCTTCTTCTTGAACACTTTCTTCCACATCAAGACTCTTAATCACTGATTTTTCCAAAGGCTCTTGACCCTGTCTCATGTTGTATTCATGAACAAGCAAGCAATCAATAAGAACACTGATAGAAAGTGTTTCCGCAACATCCACCATAACTTTTCAAATCTTGGAGGCAAAGAGGAAACAATCTTTTTAACCACTACTTTATCTTCGACCTTCCACCCATAAGACTTCATACGAAACACAAGTTCCATTAGCTTCCCAGTGAACTCAATAACCGTTTCCGAATCCTTCATCCTCATATCCTCATACTCCTTCTCGAGATCAATAAGTTTTCTACTCTGAAATATAGGACCACCTAGGGATCTCACTTGCAAAATCTCCCACGCCTCCTTTGATGATGTAGCAGAAGCTATCCATGGAAGAATCTCATGGCTCAATGCAGTTTGGATAATGTAAAGCGCGGTCGTGTCGTTAGTTTCTGTCCAATGCTTCCACCATACTAAATTGTACTCAGCGGCGGATGATGATGCATCTAAACTTTCTCCGTCTAAGTCATTACTTGTCGGTGACGTCTCATACGGTGGTTCTTGATGAACTCCTTTCTCCACGACATCCCATAGATTCATGGCCTTCAAAAACGTTTTCATTTTCAAAGACCAACACTCATAATCATTCCCATAAAAAAACACTGGAACAAGAGCCGTCGTCATAATTGCACTGACGACGGCTCATTATAAAAAAAATCAGATTTTATTCCATCAGATAAAAGTTAAAACTACCACGGCATATGGGATAAATATCTACAAAAAAAAAAACAGTAACTACATTAGCAAGAATATTGATCCATATCTTAACAGTAAGATCAAGATTTCCGGAAAAATAGCTCTACCTGTTTCTGAATTATCACTTTGAGTAAAAAAAAATAAAATAAGAGGGAAGGCTCAATAGTTCTAGAAACGTTTGAGAAGCTTAGAATTAAAGAACGTAATATTACAAAAACCAAATGAACAAAATCTTAATTGAATAGGCAAGACCGCAAGAGGAACCAAGGAAAAACCCTAAACATGAGAGACTTAAATCGCAAGGCATCTACGTCATATAATTTCAAACACGTTATTGTACTGGTTCTAAAACAGAGCTACTTCTCTGTTTCCTTACAATAAATTGGAACTGCAAAGCACATCAATGGATATAACCATAGCCATATATCAAATCACAGTTTTCTCTGGTTATAAAAAAAAGAAACCAATTCAAACAACAATGATTTCTGAAGATGGGAACAAAGGGAAAAAATTGTCACAAATGTAAAAACTTTCTAATTTAGTTACAAGGAACCAAACTGAGATTTTAGGTTTAGAAAGAAATCTGTAGTGTACCTGATTGTAACAAGATTCTGGCAGACCCAAGAAATAGCTGCGCATATACAAGAAGAGAGTTTCTATATTTATAAACTTATATTCTTTTGCAGATAAACATAAAAAGTATTACATCGTTTCTATTTCTTTTTAAAATGTTAGCTTGTTAAGATTTTATTCTGATTTGAATTAGATTTATTTTGATAATTTATAAAACATTTTCCTTTTCTTTGATAGTTAAATATTAAAAGCAAGACATCGTTTCAACTTTTTTTTTTTAAATGTTAGTTTGTTAAGATTATATTCTGATTTGAATCAGATTTTATTTTGTAAATGGTTTGCTAAATTATTGATCTAAAACAGTAATTAGTAGGGATACACAGATATAATCATATCGTTGAAATATACAATAACAAAAATAACCTTTTTATTGGAAACAAAAAAAAACTTAAAATGTCGATTAAACAACTCTTAAATATCAAACCATATCCAAGTTAATAAAACACTAATAAACCCAACAGTAACAAATGTAGAAAGCCTGTATCAATAACGATCAGGCTTCAAATAAACCAGAAATATGCCAAAAGAACTCACACACAAAAACCAAAAGACCAAAAGAGCAATCAAAACAAAAACACGAGGGTACATAACCGCCAATGCCTCTCGGAGTGTCATGACCTGATCCAAATAGTCATAGGTTTCATCCTCGAGACTTTCTTCCACTTGGACACTCTTAATGACCGATTCTTGAACCGCTTTCATATTGTATTCAAGAACCAACAAGTAATCGATTAGATTACTAATAGAAAGTGTTCCCTCAATTTCGAAAAACACTTCACCAAATCTTGGAGGCAAAGAGGAAAGAATCTTCTTCAACACTTCTTTATCTTCGACCTCCCACCCGCAGAACTTCATACGCGACACAAGTTCCATCAGCTTTCCAGTAAACTCATGAACCGTGTCCGCGTCACTCATCGTCATATTCTCATACTCTTTCTTGAGATCACGAAGCTTTCTAGCTCGAAACATAGGGCCGCCTAGTGATTTCACTAACAAAAGCTCCCATGCTTCCTTTGATGACCTAGCAGAAGCTATCCACTGAAACGTCTCAATGGTTAATCCAATCTGGATCATGTAAAGAGCTGTCGTGTCTTTCATCTCCATCCATTTTTTCCACTCAGCGGATGATGATGCATAACTTTCTCCTTCGAATTCACCAGATGAAATTTCCTCTGGCGGTTCTTGCTGAATTCCTGTCTCCACGACATCCCATAGATCGATAGCCTTCAAAAGCGTTTTCATTCTTATACTCCAAGGCTCATAATGATTCCCATCAAACACAGGAACAGAAACCGTCGTCATTTTAAGCCCTGAATCAAAAATAAGATTTTATGAGTCAAACAGTAATGTGTGCAATTGTGCAAAGAAAAGTATCTATCTACACACAGAAAAACCTTTGCGGTGCAATGGATCTATATCTCAACAATAATTTCAAAGTAAGGCAAGAAGAAACAAGCACAAATCCTAAAACATTAATTAGGTTCTTAAATCATATATCTTTCAACACACGGTACTGTTTTAGTTTCTAAACAGAAACAAGTTCTATGTTTCCTTATAAGAAACTTAAATTGCCAGTCACGTCAATGGAGATCCATAGATATATAAAATATTTTAGGTATATAAACTAGGCTATATAACATATTACAGTATGTAGATTAGCCGCACGAGTTATAAGAAATAGAGACGATATTTTGAACTGATGCTTCCCAGGTTAAGCATATGGAATTGTCAGGATCAGTAAGAACTAGAAGAACAATCAAGAAAAACCTAGCAAACAGATATATTAAAAAATCGACCACGAAAAATATACAGAGAACTACAGATACTTCAAATCTCAAATCATAAGTTCTTAGAAAGAAAGTTGGTAGTGTACCAGATTATTGTATCAAATTTCTGAGCAGACCCAAAAGCCAATGCGCATATACTAGACAATTGTCTCGAGGAGAGATTCTATATTTATAGCCCTAGTTTTTGCGCAACAAACCTAAAGTCCCAAATCTCTCGATTGGGAAACGGATAACGGCGAGGAAAAATAAGGTAGATTTTAAAGGATAATGACAATACTTTTTAGTATATATCTTTAATAAAATAAATGTAGTATATTCTCGTGGAATTGACGAATTGAAGACGAAGTAGTATATACTTGGCACCAAATTCTCAAAGCCAAAAGATACTGTGAAATCTGAAAACCTTTTGTATTTCCTGCGTGATTTTCTCAACAAACTTACGAATAACTTATTAGTACAAGAAAACCAGACAAGAGAACCAAGCAAAAACCCTAAATCATGAGACTTAAATCACAAGGCATCTCGGTCACGTATCTTCAAACACACATTGATGTTTTTGGTTCCAAAGATGAACTGGTTCTCTGTTACACTATAAGAATCTTGACCTGCAAGGCACGTCCTCCACACACATATTTTTTCTACCCATAATATGACTGTAGAAGCAATACTCATTGATACTAAAGATTGTTCTCACCTTAAGAATTAAGATTTACTCTGTTCAAATTTTGCAAAGTTATATATCACAACTCGAATTCTATACATACATTTTAGTTGATTTTGAAGAATCCTCAAAACCAAAAGTGGAAAAAACAAAAAAAAATATGAATAAATCTTCCGTCTTGTTTCCACCTTGTGAGAAGGTAATAATGTTTGTTACAAACGGGGAAATTCACGTAAACACAAATTCGTTCAATAAGATCACCACATCGTCTATATACAAAGAACAAAAAAAATAATTCAAAGTTCAAACTGTAGTTTTAGTACTTTAGAGTGAGAGTTTAAAACATATTTTCTAGAAAACGTTGGAGCGTTGGATTACAAGTTCACAAGAGGTTGAAGCCATAGACACAGATTGCAACTCGATCGTAATCTTATCATTCTTCATGTATGCACCTGTAAGAGAGATCAAAGCACTCTTTTAACGACGAGCGTTTCTCAATATGTAAAGTGCGGCTTCTTTCTCTTCCTTTGTTTCACTTCCTCCATAGCCTATCCATTCAAGAGTTTCAAGATGGAAGCTCAAGCATTCAGGAACATAGCTTGGTTCAGAGACAAAACAAGGGTGTTTATTAATATATCCAAACCACACGCGATTTGTCTGTCAAAACATAGAGGTATTAACTGAATTAGTCCAATTTATAAAGCTTCGAAGCATATCTATTACTAATAAAAGTTGAGCCTATACGCATTAGAGGTTGTCCACCTAGGATTTAAAAGGTTGAATTTGATTGGTCCATGTCACTATTTTTTTTTTTTGCTTTTAAATTAATTTATGTAAATTTTCTATTTTAAGTTGAGCCTATATGCATTAGAGGCTGTCCACCTAGGATTTAAAAGGTTGAATTTGATTGGTCATGTCATTTTTTTTTTTGCTTTTAAATTAATTTATGTAAATTTTCTATTTTAAGTTGAGCCTATATGCATTAGAGGCTGTCCACCTAGGATTTAAAAGGTTGAATTTGATTGGTCCATGTCATTATTTTTTTTTTTTGCTTTTAAATTAATTTATGTAAATTTTCTATTTTACATATTATTTATTAATTAATTTTCAGTAAAGATAATTTCTCTGATTTTACAATTTTCGAGAACTGAATTATAAGTTTCATATTCATAGATTATCTAAATTTACATATATTATTAGTATTAGTTTTTTTTAGTGGAAAATTTACACATGTTGTAAGTAATTATAGAAATAAATTTCCTATTCAGCCAAAAAGATGCTATGGTGTAGCGGTTATCACAATTGTCCTAAACTCAACAGGTATTGAGTTCGATCCTTTGCAGTCCCCTGTTTTTTTTTTAAACCGTTTCAAAAATAATTATATGGACATTGCCATTAGGTTACCACAAAAAAAAAAAAAAAAATCAGACATCGGCATCTCCAAAACGGGATCTGCTACATCTTCTTCCCCTTTTTTCTACAAACCCTAAAACTGCATCTCACAAAACTCTCTCTCTCTCTCCACCGTCAAACAACAAAAATTCATTCTTCATTTCACAGATTTCGTAAATCGAATTGGATTTATTTTGCCCTAAACTCCCTATTTCGCATTGTTGCAAGTTTGAAGCTTCAGTACAACTTCAGTTGAGGGAGTATTAAACCAAAAATGGAGAAATTCGGAATCTATTACTAAGATAAGTCTTGTGATTTGACTGTACAATTCGGCTGCTTTAATTTCTGGCGAATATAAGATTGCTTCTTGGCATTTTTTTCTTATTTCTTCTTCCAAATTTATTTCTTGGTTTCATTATTTCGTTTTAGTCTAGAAGATTCTTGAAAAACAAATTGGATATTGTTTGATAAAGATTAGGATTTGGATAGTTCCTATTTTTGTAATTATCACTTCTCTAATTTCCTTATTGTACAATGACATTGATATACATTGATTCCTTTTTCCATTAGGAATAAGATGATCTTAAATCCTATATATACGTGGTCTTATTGCCACATGAAACCAAGTTCATAATATACATTCACATCTCTCAATCGATTTTTATAAGCCATGGCAAATTCATGCTCTTCTGTTTCTAATCAGTTAAGCCATACTTTGGTTTTCGATGATCTAAAAAAAGGTTTCAAAATAATGATTTGCTTGTCAGAGTCATCCACTTTTGGGAGGCACGAAACGTTAAAAAAGGCGGATTACTCATGGGTGTAGAACTCCTTCTCATGGATCAGAAGGTACTTAATCAAAGGATTTTAAAGAAAAAAATTGAACCTGAAGGCTAAGGACGTTTGATCTCTGTAAAAACAAGAAAACCAAACAAAAAGGGGTAAAGTCAATGAGAAGAGATTTCAAATATTATTAAAAACGACCAGTGAAAGGAGAAAACGCTCTAAAACTCGACAGCTATAAGTCTCAGGAACTTGCCAAAGCAATTGCCACCACCTAGAGTTATACATTTATCACCAATTCGCATCCGGACAATTAGATTACAAACAAAATACACCATTTGGATATCAGCAAAAAAAGATTGAAAATACGGAAAATCATAACCTTCATCGAAGCCATTAGCTGAGAATCAGGAGAAGAAAGAAGCATCGAAACTCAGGGAAGGGGATGATGAGATGCCAAGAACAGTGATTTTGATGACTTTAAAACGAAGTCGTTGACTTTAAAACGAAGTCATTGACTAAAGCCATTGAAGAAAAGTTGTGCTCCATATGAACAGAAAACAAAACCAACGAGATATTTCAAATATCAAATTGATAGCTAAACCGAACCGAAACAAACATAGACTGATTAAACATCAACAAAACTAGCAAACACCGAGAAAACCCAAAATTTAACTCGGTGACGTTATCGAAAATCATTTGACCAAAAAATCAAACCATCAATCGGCGATAAAGGGAAAATTCGAGATTGGTACCTAAGTTAATTGAGAAATTCAGAGCGAGAGTCGAAGGAGATCGAAAAGAAGAAGAAGCGTGAGCTCTCCCCTGGTAATAACAAGATTAGCAACAAAGAAGAGGGATCTAAATGATGAGATGGTTCCGGTGGGAATAAGGAAGAAGAAATATTGTTCGATTGTGGTCGGTAAATGAAAGAAAAAGAAATGAAGCATTTCTAATTTCTATGAGATAGGAAAATCGAACCGTAACAAACCAAAAGAATTTAACCGGGAATTGGAAAAACAATTAAAAGATGATGACCACGGGAAGAAGAAGAAGCCATATGATATGGAAAAAGTGGGAATACATTTAACACGATTATATCATATGAAACAATTAAAAAAAAATATATTTTTTACTCCTGATCTTTCTGATTCCTTTCTTCCCGTCCTTAATGATCTGTAAAATACATTTATATTTTATTTTATTTTCTAGATATAAGACTTTTAAATACAAAAACAGTGATTTAAAAATAAAGAGATGAATTTATTGATGGAATTAAATGCAACATAATTAAAATTACAAAAAAAATTAAGTATAAATCATAAATTCATAGCTGGAAAAGCTAAACAAATAAATAAAATTAAAAAATAAATTAAGAACTAAAATATGTATTAGACTAATATTGGATAAGTTTGCCAGATAACCTTTATTGGATATAAAAAAAATTGTCTTGTAGTTTATTACTAATAAACACCTAGTTAATTACTAATAAGGGAGGCTGGTAAATTATTTAGTAACCTGGTTAAGTTTAAGAACTTGAAGTTTAGGGGTATCTTGAAGCACACGCAAAAGCAGATTTGATCTGAAGTTTTGGTAAATGTGTAGTTCCAAATGAAGAAGCTGGTTATAGTAGAATCTATCCGTGAGATGCTTAACCTGCACGCAAGAAAAAACATTATAATGTATTTGAAATGAAATGAGATTTAAGGGAGAAACATGTTTTTTTTTAGGGTTTTTACATTTTACCATTGAAATGTATAAATTTATCGAAAGACGTTCAACGGAAGTAAGAGATTTCAGAAGCTTTCCACTTTTAGATTGACAAACTGCGACGTTTGCTTCCACCAATTTAGGCATATCTCCGGTGAAATCGAAACTACCTCTGCGGTCATCGATCATTAAGTAAATCAAAGAAGGAACATTGATCTCGAATATCGGGTCATCGTTGTATAAAGATCTATCTTGTTTAATGATGAACAATCTCTGTAAGGAAGGGACTGATATGGTGAACAACTTATCAGCACGGAGACGTCTTTCGAGGAAGAGATCTTCAAGAACAGGACAAGCTGATAAAAGTCTGGAGAGAGATTCATCGCACGAGTACCTCACACGCGTGAGGTGCAAGGACTTCAGAGATCGGAAACAAACCGGAGAATCGGCAGAAACATCCAGGAGAATCTTGTCTTGGAGTTTCATCACGACGAGTGTTTTGAAAACATTAAGGTTAGATGAGAATCTGATAGGAGTTGGATTGGACGAAGATGTGATTGATATCTTGAGGAGAGTGGAACGAATACTTGGAAACAACAGAGAATCTATGGAATCAGAGTGATTATGGAGTTTGAGAGTCAAGGTTTTAAGAATAGGGGCTTCGTGTAATTGCAATGACCTGCCACAAAACTCATCAAATCCAATGGAAAGATTGTTGAGACAATAACTTTCATCATACTCAAGCTTATGCATCATCTTCCATAGAGATTTCCATCGTCTAGACAATAAACTTGTGGACATTGCATCGCTAACCGGAATTAATGAGATGATTTTTATGAGCAAATCATCTGACAAGTGACTAATCCTATCTGAATTTGTAAACATCTTTCGTTCTCTCTTTTTTTTTTTTTTTTTTTTTTTTGCGGCTTTTCTTGCCCATATATTAGATCAATTCAGATGTTGGAAAAAGCATGATCTTGGACTTTGTCATTAAGATAAACCAAATTTATCAAATTCTTAAATCTCGGACTCAGTCATTTAGATCAACCTACTTGGTCAAATATTGTAATCGTGGCTTCTATGAATAAAATAAAGTTGACATGATGAAACCAAATTGGTCATATATCTTAATCTTGGACTCTGTCAATAAGATCAAGTTGACATTTTCATTACAGAAAAAAAAAAAATCTAGTTGTCATTTTGCAGCATATAACATTTTAATTCTTCCTCACTCTTTTTTTTTTAGGATAATTTTTTTTTTCTGATAAATATAATCTAGAAAAGTCTCTCTTTCTCTGTTTGAAGGGTTTTAACTTTTAATCAATGAACAAGACAAAACTCAATATTTACACATCTTTTTTAATATGTATTATAGTATTTGTTACAAACGCAAAAATTCATGTAAATACAAATTCATACAATAATCTATCACCATATCGTCAATACCAAAAAACACATAATTCAAACTGTAGTTTATAGTGAGAGTTTAAAAAAACATATTTTTGTGAAAATAGTCGGAGCGTTGGATTACAAGCTGGCACGAGACAGAAGCCAAAGACATAGATTCCAACTCGTTGATCATAATCATCTCATTCTCCAACATGGGTGTACATACAAGAGAGAACAAAGCAGTTTTTAAACGGCGAGCGTTTCTCAAAATGTAAACGGCTGCTTCTCTCTCTTCCTTTGTTTCATCACTTCCGCCATAGCCTATCCATTCAAGAGTCTCGAGATGGAAGCTCAAGCATTCAGGAACAGAGCTCGGTTCAGAGACAAAACAAGGGTCTTCAGGGACGAAAGAAGGGTCTTCATCAAAATTTCTAATCCAAGCGCAATCTCTCTGTGAAAAGCGAGAACATAAATGCATTAGTTGAATTAAACCAAACACATTAGTAATATGGGAAGCTGGTGATTTATTAGTAACCTGGTCAAGTTTAAGAACTTGCAGTTTAGGGGAGTCTTGGAGCACACGCAAAAGCAGATTTGACCGAAAGTTTTCGGAAATGTGAAGTTCCAAATGAAGAAGCTGGTTACAGTAGAATCTATCCGTAAGATGCTTAACCTGCACGCAAGAAAAAACATTATACAGTGTATTTGAAATAAAATGAAACTTAAGGGAGAAGAAAGATAATTTTTAGGGTTTTTACCATTGAATAGAATAAATATATTGAAAGACGTTCAACTGAAGTAAGAGATTTCAGAAGCTTTCCACTTTTAGTTTCACAAACTGCGACGTCTGCCTCCACCAATTTAGGCATATCTCCGGTGAAATGGAAGCGACCTATGCGGTCACCGATCTTTAAGTAAATCAAAGAAGGAACATTTATCACGAATATCGGGTCATCGTCAATGAAATATCCATCTCTGTGAACGATGGTCAATCTCTGTAAAGAAGGGACTGGGATGGTGAACAACTTCTCAACACGGGAAAGTCTATCAAGGAAGAGATCTTCAAGAACAGGACAAGCTGATAAAATTCTACAGAAAGATTCATCGCACGAGTACCTCACACGTTCAAGGTGCAAGGACTTCAGTGACCGGAAACAAACCGGAGAGTCGGGAGAAACATTCACAAGAATCTTGTCTTGGAGTTTCATCACGACGAGTGTTTTGAAAACATTAAGGTTAGAAGAGAATCTGATAGGAGTAGGATTGTAATAAGATAGGATTGATATCTCGAGGAGAGTGGAACGAATACTTGGAAATATCTGAGAATCTATGAAATCATATTGTTGACGAACTTTGATATTCAAGGTTTTAAGAACAGGAGCTTCGTGTAACTGCAACGACCTGCCACAGAATCCGGCAAATCCAGTGGAACCAATGCCGAGACAATAGTTTTCATCGTACTCAAGATTCTCCATCATCTTCCATAGAGACTTCCATCGTTTAGACAACAAACTTGTGGTTATTGCATTGGTTACCGGAATGAATGAGAGGATTCGTATGAGTAAATCGTCTGGCAAGTGACTGATCCTATCGGAATGTGTAAACTTCTTTAGTTCTCTCTCTTTTTTTGGTTTGCAGCATTTATTGCCCATAATTTAGATGATTCTTGAGGTTGGAATGAGCATGATCTTGCTCTTTTAATCTTGCACTTTTTCAATAAGATAAAACCAAATTGATCAAATCTTTTAATCTTGGACTCTGTCAATAAAATCAAGTTGACAAGTTACAGGCTTACATCATCTAACATTTTAGTTCTTCCTTTTTTTTTTTAATTATAATATTTGTTCTGATAAATATCATCTTGAAAAGTCTATTTTTTCTCTGTTTGAAGGTTTTAAGTTTTAAGTTTTAACCATGAACAAAACAAAACTCAATATTTTCTCTGATAAAATATCATCACATTGTAGTAAACTCTCTCCTTTTTCAATGAAAATTGATATTTTTTAAGAATTTGTAGGATTGGAAGAAACTCCTCTGTTTATTTTTTGTGTCAACGAATAAAACAGATTCCTAGCTACACTGTTTCAGGGATATATAAAGAAGCTAACAATGCTTGTTACTCACGGAGAAAAGTCTTAACAATCATCATATAAAATTCAGCTTCTTACTCTAATAGCAATATAGCATCTTCAGATTCACATCAAAATGTAGTTTTTAGTGAGAACTGAAACAAAATTTTCAACTCTTTTTGCATATATAGGATATTTATGAGGAAAGAGAGATTCTACAATGAATAAAAGTACTTTGTTCTCTTTCAGGGTTATATAACATCTAAGAAGGTAATAATACTTGTTACAAATGAGGATTAGTTTATGTAAATTCAAATTCGTACAATAAGAAACATCACATCGTTAATACATATATATATATATATATATATATATATATATATGTTTCAAGCTATAGTGTATTTTTGTCAACAATCAAACTGTAGTTTAGAGTGAGAGTTCAAAACATACATATTTTTCTATAAAACGTTAGAGCGTTGGATTACAAGCTGACACGTGGTTGAAGCCTTAGACTTAGATTGCAACTCGTTAATCGTGGTCATATCATTCTCCATCATGCCTGTACATGGAAGAGAGATCAAAGCACTCTTTAAACGACGAGCGTTTCTCAAAATGTAAACGGCTGCTTCTTTCTCTTCCCCTGTTTCACTTCCACCATAACCTATCCATTGAAGAGTCTCGAGATGGAAGCTCAAGCATTCAGGAACAGAGCTCGGTTCAGAGACAAGACAAGGGTGTTCATCAATAAATCCAAACCAAACACAATGTGTCTGTTAAAAAACACCAAAGACCATTAGTTGAAATCAGACCAATTTATAATGCTCTCGACACAGATCACTATTAAAAAGGGAAAATGGTGATTTATTAGTAGTAACCTGGTTAAGTTTAAGAACTTGCAGTTTAGGGGAGTCTTGGAGCACACGCAAAAGCAGATTTGCCCTAAAGTTTTGGTAAATGTGTAGTTCCAGATGAAGAAGCCGGTCAAAGTAGAATCTATCGGTAAGATGCGTAACCTGCACGCAAGAAATAACATTATGGTGTATCTAAAATGAAATGAGATTCAAGGGAGATAGACAGATAAAATGTTATAGGGTTTTTACCATTGAAACGTATAAATTTAACCAAAGACGCTCAACGGAAGCAAGAGATTTGAGAAGCTTTCCACTTTTAGACTGACAAACTGAGACTTTTGCCTCCACCAATTTAGGCATATCTCCGGTGAAATGGAAACTACCTTGGCAATCATCGATCATTAAGTAAAGCAAAGAAGGAACATTTATCTCGAAAATCGGGTCATCGTTGAAGAAAGATCCATCTTGTTTAACGATAATCAATCTCTGTAAGGAAGGGACTGATATGGTTAACAATATATTAGTGCGGAAAAGTCTTTCGAGGAAGAGATCTTCAAGAACAGGACAAGCTGATAAAAGTCTACAGAGAGATTCATCGCACGAGTAACTCACACGTGTTAGGTGCAATCTTTTCAAGGAAGGGAAACAAACCGGAGAATCAGCAGAAACATCCAAGAGAATCTTGCCTTGGAGTTTCATCACAACGAGTGTTTTGAAGACATCAAGGTTATAAGAGAAGCTGATAGGAGTGTAACGAACAGAATTTGAAGATGTGATTGATATTTTGAGGAGAGTGGAACGAATACTTGGAAACAACAGAGAATCTATGGAATCAGAGTGATTATGAAGTTTGAGATTCAAGGTTTTAAGAATAGGAGCTTCGTGTAATTGCAATGACCTGCCACAAAATTCATCAAATCCAATGGAAAGATTGTTGAGACAAGAACTTTCATCATACTCCAGCTTCTGCATCATCTTCCATAGAGACTTCCATCGTTTAGACAATAAACTTGTGGATATTGCATCGCTTACCGGAATTAGTGAGATGATTTTTATGAGCAAATCATCTGACAAGTGACTAATCCTATCTGAATTTGTTAACATCTTTAGTTCTCTTTTCTTTTCTTTTTGCAGCTTTCATTGCCTATATATTAGATCAGTTCAGGGATTGGAAAAAGCATGATCTTGGACTCTGTCATTATGATGAACCAAATTGGTCAAATCTTTTAATCTTGGATTCTGTCAATAAAATCAAGTTGACATGATGAAACCAAACTGGTCATATCTTTTAATCTTGGACTCTGTCAATAAGATTAAGTTGACGTTTTACAGCATAGATCATTTTAATTATCATCTAGAAAAGTCTAAAATGCTAATAACAATTTTCACTAACCGGAAGAAGTATGAAAAAACTCAGATTCTTTTTCTTAAAAAGTTTCAAATCCAAAATGAATTTCTTGGCAGAAAAAAAAAGTTTTAAATTTTGATTACAAGCTGACACGAGGCTGAAGCCTTAGCCATAGATCTCAAATCCTTTACCATCATCAAACCATTCTCCGTGTCCTTTGAATGTATAGAGATCGTAGCAGTCTTTAAACGACGAGCGTTTTTAAATATGTAAACCGCGGTTTCATTCTCTTGCAGTGTTCCTCCATAGCCAATCCATTGAAGAGTCTCAAGATGGAAGCTAAAGCATTCAGGAACATAGCTCGGTTCAGAAACTAAACACAGTTGATCTTCCATATCTTTGGGATGTGTCTGAGAAACATAAAGACATTTCATTAAACCAATCCAAAGCTCTTGAAACATATTACTAATACGGCAAAAAAATAAGAACTTACGCGTTTGAGCTTGAGAGCTCGTAAATTAGGGTAATCTTTCAGCAAACGAACAAGCAGATTCGACCTAAAATTGTTGCACACGTCTAATTCAAGATGAAGAAGCCGGTTGAGGATTAAACTATCCGCAGTATGAAGAACCTGGACGCAAAAATATAAAAAAACCTTATTATCTTGAATGCAAATGATATCTTCAAAGAAAAAAAAAAACCTAGAAGAGGCTTTACCATTGAAGGATATGAATCTAACGAAAGACGCTCAACGGAAGTAAGAACTTTCAGAAGCTCCACATTTTTCGACAGATTAACTTTTAAAGATGCCTCTACCAGTTTAGGCATATCCTCAACAAAAAACAAGCTCTGCGATCAAAGATGTATAAGTACGTCAAAGAAGGAGCATTTATCTCGAAACTTGGGTCATCGTTACCGTAATACGCATTTCCTTTAGTAAGGAACAATCTCTGTAGAGATGGGACTGATATGGTGTACAAAAAGCTTCCAACACTGCAAAGTCTTTCGAGGTAGAGATCTTCAAGAATAGGACAAGCCGACAAAAGTGTGGAGAGAGATTCTTCGCAAGAGAACTCCACACTTGTGAGGTGCAAACTTTTCAAGGAAGGGAAACAAACCGGAGAATCATCACAATCTAGAAGAATCCTGCCTTCGAGTTTCATGACAAGGAGTGTTTTGAAGACGTTGAGATTCTCTGGGAAGGTGATAGGACTGTAACGACGACGATACGAATCGAAAATGATTGTGATCTCAAGGAGAGTGGAACGAATGTTTGGGAACAAAAGAGTATCTATTGAATCAGAGTCTTCGACAAGTTGGAGGATTAGGGTTTTGAGAACCGGAGCTTCATGTAACCTCAAGGACACGCCAAAAAAATGGTCAGATCTGAGGGAACCAATGTGACGGCAAGTTTCGTCGTACACAAGCGTTGGCATCATCTTCCACACAGATTTCCATCGTTTAGACAATAAACTCGTGGACATAGCGTTTCTTACCGGGATTAACGAGAGGATTCGGACGAGCAAATCGTCAGGTAAGTGACTGATCCTATCAGAGTGTGGAAGCTCCTCATTTCCCATTTTTCCAGCTTTCATCTCTCGATCCTTAGATCTGAAGGAAGAACAGAATTTTCAGATTAGAAGGAGAGGAGATATGAAACCCTGATTTTTATCGCCAACAAACGTGAAGAGATCGAAGATATGATGAAAAAGGATTTTAACTTTCTCAAGGTCGGTGAAACTGAATCTGTAGATTTTGTACGAGAAAAACAAAGAAACCCTAATTACAACAAGTTTTCTCAATTGTCTAAAGTGTAGTTTTCATCTTTCTACGTACGTCGACATGTGTTATCGTCTGTGTATAGATTTACAAATCTCTTAACATGTGAGGTTTCTCAATATTTTGGGCCTATAAAAGTTATTGGGCCTCAAACGAAATGGCACTGATGACGTGGCATATCGGTGACACACACACCTTTGAGGAAACCAGGTGCGGCCACGAAGCCAACAGTCTCATTCAGCCGCCGCTGTTTCTCTAAGCCAACAGTCTCTCCATATTAGAGATATCAAGATATTAAGTTTTAAGTAAACAACTTTAGTCAAGAAACAAAAATTTATATATAATTCAATTATTTTGTTCATGTTTGCTAGTATATACTCTCGAAATGAACGTACAACTTGATTAAAACCCGGAAAAATTAGTGGGAAATTAGTTGTATACTTGTCACATAAATAATCAGCAACCAAAATCGAGTGTAATAAAAAGAAAATGTATGCAGTGTGTTTTATTTTGCAAATGTTGGGTGTTTAATGTTTTGAAAGTTGAATATTTACTACAATCGAAAACTTTACTCAAAATAATATAATAAGATCGAAACAAATTAATTGCTAATGTAAAAACAAGGAGTAACAACAACAAGAAAAAAACGAAAAAATATATAAGCAAACCGGCTGAATTAATAAGAATCAAGAATCTTGATAGCTCCAGAGATTGCCAATAACGCTTAGCTGAGGAACAGCGTCCGTCGAAGATTGGCCGTCGAGATACGGTATCTGATAGAATCTCATGTAATCCTCGAACGCCATCAGCTCCTCCGACAGTTTCTCTACTTGGCTTCCCTCCTCGCAAGCTTTTATCATCATCGGATCATCGCCAACTTCTTTCTCAGTAACGTTGTTGTCGACGAGGCCATTTCTTCTGGTCGAGTCGTTTGGGAAATTCAGTTTGGCTTTCTCGCCACGGATTTGAATGGCTGCAACGTCGTAGGCTCGAGCAGCTTCCTCGGCGGTCTTGTAAGTGCCGAGCCATACACGAACACCTTTCCTCGGGTCACGTATCTCCGCTGCCCATTTTCCCCATGGTCTCTGCCTTATCCCTCTGTACAGATTCTTCCTCTCTCTCTTGGCCTTTGGTTTCTTTTCTGTTTCCACATAAACACGTCTCCTAATTAGAAAACGTGAAACAGGTCAAATATCTCTAAAACGAAAGTGAGTGTAGTGTGTACCTGAGCAGACGAGTCTACGCTTCTTGATGGAGACAGAGCCATTATAACCGAATTGACTCGGATTTGACTCAGCAGACGAAGATTTGGAAGCTATGAAATCAGAAATGATAGCAGCACCTCCACACATTTTATTTATAATATTTCTAGGGTTCTTGTTTTGGAACAGAGAAGACGAATGAGTTCTTGCCAAGATGGAATCGGCTGCGATTTTTTTATATATAAGAGACAAAAGTCAGAGGAGGCTTCATTTGTTGTTGAAGTTTTTGCTTGACCACCAAGTTCTTCTAGAAGACTCTACAACTTATATTATTATTACTCTTCAACATATCACATGAGTCATTCAATGTTATATTGTTTCTATGACATAATGTTGATTAGTGAAAAGATTAAGCAAAAAAAATCTGGTTAAATCATATGGTAAAAAATAAAGTAAAAATATTCATCCCATTACAAGCTGTTACTGGTAAAAAAAAAGACAAAAAAAGCCACACTCAAACTAGTTTCACTTGGGACAGTTTCAACACTTTGCAAAAGGTTAATCTTCATCCCATTGTAAGATCACATGCTCTTGAACCCCTTGACGCAATTTCCAACTCCTCAAACACACAATGTTTGCGCGCGAGAGGGTAGATAGTTGCAGTCACTAATCGCCTCGCGTTATTCAGAATATAAATCGCCACTTCTTTCTCATATTTTGTTCCTTCATAGTCTCTCCACTCAAAGGTTTTGAGATGATGCAACAAACATTCAGGAACATATCGCGGCAGGACGCAGAGAGGCTTATACACAAGCTTGAGAACTTGTAGTTTAGTGGAGTGTTGGAACGCATTCACAACCATAGTCGATTTATATTCATGAGTACATATCTCCAAACTCACAACCTGAAGGAAACAATGTATTAAAATAGTTTCAAACTAGCTAATCATGATATCAAAGCTCACAAAAATATGTACCTCTTCATCAAAGACACAAAGAGGCTTGACAAAGCAAGAAGATTCCACAGCCTTGTCATGGCGGCACACAGATTGAAAATTTGCCTTGACAAATTTAGGCATATCACCTATCACATCAAATTTACCTCTGTAGCCCGCAACCTTCAACTGATTCATAGAATAAGAATGTATCACGAACAAATGATAATCAGGTATATTGATTTGCCATGTCGACTGAGTCCTAACGAATAAACTCTGTAGGGAAGGCACATTAACAGTGAAAGTCACAACATTGTCACTGAGACAAGTTTCAACAACCAAATCTTCAAGAACGGGACAGCTTGATGTAAGCCTAGAGAAAGATTCATCATCTGAGTACTTCAAAGATAGGAGTTGTAACTTCTTGAGGGATCCAAAGCTACACCGACAAGGAACTTCCGAAACAATCAACCTATCGAGTACCAAAGTCTCAAGTGTTTCACATCTAAAAAAGTTACTTGGCAAATGAACAAGGCCATGATGACCATAGAATATTATCTTCAGATCACGCACAAAACGTTCAACTGCGATTCTAACCCATAAACCAACCTCCGAAGGGCTACATTCTGTGGCACTTTTGAGATAAAAACTTTCTAGAGCCGCTGCCTTGTGTAATAGCAAAGTCCCTGACACAAACCGAGACAAACGTTTCGCGTGTTTCTCTTTATGGTCAAAATATTCTGATGAGTAGTAATAATACTCGTCATCCTCGTCAAAGTAATCATAAAAGATAAGTCTTGGAACCAATGTCCAAAGAGACATCCATCGTTTAGACAAAGTGCTCACGGCCACGGCATCTTTTGTTGGGACTAATGACAATATTTCGATGAGCAAATCATCCGACAGCTGACTTATTCTGTCCATAACTCTAAAGCTTGCTTCTTCTTTTCCTTCCAAGTTTCGCCTGTCACTGGTTCACTACCGTAATCTCGAAGCCAAAGACAAAAGGATAAGACTTTTCGATCAGTTTTTGATTGACCTAAATGAAAGTTTCAAAAGGGTATCAGTTTTCTTAATCAAATTCATTTTAATCTCATGGATTGAGGACAAACCCTGAAGCTAATACAGAAACCACAGACGGTAAAACTAAAGCCGAGACAAACCCTACTAACTTCTCTTCACATTCGAAGAAGCAGAGTCCACTTTCAATAAACCCTAAATTCTGAATTGGTTCTCTCGATTGTCTTAAAACAAACCGAGGAGCGAACTGGATCATTGAATCATATACTTCAAACCCAACTCGTGGGTCTACGACCATGGTTTTTTACCTTTTTATAAGTCATTAAGCTTGAGTTTTTTTATAATTATGATTGCTTGGATTCCAAGTTTCTATTTTTTTTTTTTTACCTTGCAAAGAGATAAAGATTCGTTATAACAAAGAGAACACTTGCAAAGCTTTGCACCCTCTACAAAGTCTTTGTCTTTCTCCTTTTAACATAAAAAGCTATAATTAGCGTCTAATATAAATCCACATTCACCTTGTTTATACACACACACTCACACACACACACACAAAAAAAAGAACAGAAACAAAGGATATATAAAATCCACATTCAACCTGAAAAGTTTCAACAACAACACACTTGGTAAAACTAAACTTTCTTGATTTCTTCAGCCCAATGTAAGCTCACAAGCTCTTGAACCCCTCGTTGCAAACTCCAGTTCATCAAACACCCGACGTTGGCCCCCCCTAAGTGAGTCAGGGAACACGGTTGCAGTCACCAATCGCCTCGCGTTTTTCAAAATATAAACCGCCACCTCTTTCTGCGTTTCTGCTCCTTCATATTCTCTCCACTCAAAGGTTTCGAGATGGAAGAACAAACATTCAGGAACACAGATTGGCTGAATCCAGCAAACCTTGTCATCTTCCACGTTCCTATTGAAGTTGCTCTGTGATTAAAATGATGTTATAAACACAGTGCATCAGATTTTACCTCTAAACCGCAAGATTAAACAAACATGAAGAAATTTTCTTTCTTACCCGCTCATCGTACAAGACAATAATCTTGAGTATTTGTAGTACAGGGGAATGTTGGAGCACATGCACAAGCAAATCCGACCATTTCACATCGCATCCTCGGAACTCCAAACGCACAAGCTGAAAGAAAACGTTACCAATAGGGTATTGAGGAGCCTGCAAATGAAACAAAGCAAAAGTCAGACACACGGTTTTGCAAGTGTGTTACAAGTAAGAGAAATCAATGGAGAAGAGCGAACTACCACTCCATCCAAGGTCAGAGAAAGACGTTTGACGGTAGTAAGAGACTCCAAAGCAGTCACTTGGTCTTCCAAAGTAGGAAGACTTGCCTCCACCAGCTTGGACATTTTACCAATCACATTAACGTCACCAAACTCATTCACAATCTCCAAATGCTTTAAAGAAGAATGAGAATGTATCACATAGAGATGATGGCAAGGCCCTGGGTCTTGTAAAATATTTCTAACGCTTAAACTCAGAAGGGAAGGCACATTAATGGTGAAGGTCGGCACATTGTCATCGCTACAACCTTGTACAGCAAGATTCTCAAGAACAGGGGCACTGGATATAAACCTAACGAAAGATTCCTCGTCTGCATACTTGACAGATAGAAGGCGCAGCGTCCTGAGGGATCTCAGGCTAAACCGAGAAGGAACATCTAAAAAACTCACCTTTCGAAGTTCCAATGTCTCAAGTGTTTCACATCTAAACAACCTACTCGGCAGTCTTATAAGGCAGTGAAAATCATCAACGAAACTTATCTTCAGATCACGCACAAAGCGGTCCACTGCAATCCTAACCCATAGATCAATCTCGGAAGCGCTGCATTCAATAGCTCTGCTGAGATGGAAACGTTCTAGAACTGGTGACCTATTTAACAGCAAAGCCCCGGAGACGAAATGTGCAGGCAACACTATGAGGCGAACCTCATTGGTCTCCTCAATATCCACCCAGCGATCTTCAAAGTTAAGTCTTGGCACCAGTGTCCAAAGAGACAGCCACCGTTTTGCCAAAGTGCTCGTAGCCACGGCATCTTTGGTTGGGAGAAAGGACAGTATCTTGATGAGCAAGTCATCTGTCAACTGACTAAACCTGTCCATAACAACTCTCAAAGCTTGCTTTTTTCTTTTCTTTCAACTCTCACTTTCAAAGCTCACAACCAGAGACAAAAAAGCGCCACATAACGCAGAGCTTCTTCATGCGACTGAGCATTGCAGGTAGAGAAGACAAGTGACCTATATATCATTTTGACATTCAATTAACGATCCAAATTTGTCACGAGGTTACAATGCCGATGCACACAAAAGTTATCTCACATTCAAATACACATATCACAACTCAATATACCTAGCAATAGCATCCTATTCAATTTCAGAGATAAAACGATACACGATTTCACCTTCTAGATCACAAAACGGAAACAGAGAATAGTTTTCGAAGAGATTCAACTGAAAATATATTGAATCAGCTACGAAATCATATCATAATCGAATCATATAGTTGCAAACCTGACCAATAATAGCTTGAATACGGGGTGAGATCGAAGAACAAAATGTCCACCTTTTTCCGAAGAAGACCAATCGACGAGACAGAGACCACAGAGGAGAATCGCAAGGAGACGAAGAAGAAGAAGATGAGATCGATTATGAAGATATCGGAGAGGAATCGATCTAGATAGGAGGCAAAGAAATTTCGCCGGTGAAGAAGACGAAGGAAACGAGGAAAGCGGCCAAAGAGAGAAAATTATGGCGGGTTAATGTGGAGGCGACACGTGGTGTGAGCAGTGCAATTGGAGACTCCAAAATTATGGCCGGTTCTGAAACTTTATGCTGCCACATCGATAATTGTAAGCATTTTTTCTTTATTTTTTTACCTGAGAGAAAAAATGGTGACAGATTACTTATATGATAAATAGAGTTTAAAGTTTGCAACTTTTTTTACCAAAGATGGTGACAGATTACTTATTACAGAGAGCACACTTCAAAAGCTTCAAGCTTTGCGTCTCCTACTTGGGAACAAGACGATGCAGAGGAATGAAATAAGAAGCTCTAAAGCTATTATAGTGTCTAAATATAAATCCACATTCAAACTAGTTCTACTTGGGAAGGTTTAATCATCATCCCCTTGTAAGCTCACATGCTCTTGAACTCCTTGACGCAATTTCCAACTCCTCAAAAATTTGATGTCTGCGCGCCAAGTGTTAGGATAGATAGTTGCAGTCACTAATCCCCCCCGCGTTCTTCAAAATATAAACCGCCACTTCTTTCTCTATTTGTGTTCCTTCATAGCGTTTCCACTCAAAGGTTTTGAGATGATGCAACAAACATTCAGGAACGCAGCTCGGCTGGATCCACCAAACGTTAGTGTTAGAGGAAAAATTAGCACATTTCCTTGAGCCCGTCACCATTAGTAAAATCACAAAGCCCAATCTGACTTTAGGCCTAACCTCCTCAACAAAATGGCAAGACTTGAGGAGGAAGGTATAATCCATGAGAAAATGTAAACAAACTCTCATGACGACTCAAGAATGGAAGGAAATCAAGGATAAGAGGAAGTTTTCCATATCGCAAAAGGGGAAGTTTTCCATCTCGCCGGAAGGAAAATATTCGCCAAAGAGCTGACCTATCAACACTATATATTGAAGACCCCCCCCATTCGTGAAAAGGCATCCAAGATCATCTAGAATCACTAGGCTTAGCATCCTCTTAAATGTCATCTATGTTTTCCTCTCGTTCATCATAGTTCATCTCGCCAAGCTTGTTGGCGAGATAACATCTTTTGTAATATTACTGATATTCTTCGAGTTAAATCAAGCCTCGAGTTTCCTAAACTCACATCTTTGGTAACCCGTTTTAACGAGTGCTATCTCATATCTAACAATTGGCGCTCAGCGTTTCCAGCCCCACGGTGGGCGCCAATTGTTAGATCTGAGATAGCACTCGTTAAAACGGGTTACCAAAGATGTGCGTCTAGGAAACTAGAGGCTTCGAAGAATATCAGGAAGATTACAAAAGATGTTATCTCACCAACAAGCTTTGCGAGATGAACTATGTTGAACAAGAGGAAAACAGAGACGACAGTTAAGAAAACAAAAAATACCACATTTTGAAGTTCCAGTGTCTCAAGTGTTTCACAGCTAAACAGCCTGCTCGGCAATCTTATAAGGCAATGAACACCATCAACAAAACTTATCTTCAGATCACGCAGATTACGATTAACTGCAACCCTAACCCAGAAATCAATCTCGGAAGCGCTACATTCAGCAGCTTTGCTGACATGAAAACTTTCTATAACTGGTGACTTATTCAATAGCAAAGTCCCTGAGACTAGATGTGAGGGCAACACTTTGCGGTGCAACTCATTGATCTCCTCATTACGCTCCCAGCGATCTTCAAAGTTAAGTCTTGGCACCAATGTCCAAAGAGACAGCCATCGTTTTGCCAAAGTGCTCGTAGCCTCGGCATCTTTGGTTGGGAGAAAGGAAAGTATTGGCAACTGTCTAAACCTGTCCATAACAACTCTCAAAGCTTGCTTTTTTCTTTCAATGTTCGTCAACTGAGAAGAACCCTAAATCCTAGAATGATTTAAAGGAGCGAACCAGACATTGGGCCTAAAATAATGGTTCATTATCAAACCCATTGTCGTATTACATATTTTACATAGACTCTGTTTAGGGTTTGTTTAAGACTCTGTTTTAAGCTGTTATCCTAAGACTTGGAGAATGAGTAAAACTAGTCTGGAGACTTTAAAATGAGCAAGAGTTGAAAAACTTTAGATAAAGACTCTTTTCATAAGATGTAATTTGAAGCACTCTTATAAGATACGTACATTCACTGATCACATACACAAAATTCTCAACCGAAAAACAAACAAACTTGAATCTTTTATCTGTCTCATTAACAAACTTTTACATATACAAAAACAAAAACTCATTAAAGAGAAGAAAGCTGTAAGTGTAACAACTCTAAATAGTCTACTACAGCCTCCATCAGATGACCTTTCTCTGTGAAGCTTCTAAATTGGATTCATGACAACATCTCCTTCTAACATCCGCAACACCTTCATTGAGAAAACACAGATTCCAGAGATAAAAGAAAATTAAGCATTCATTAAAGTTTTGTTGACTTTTGAAGTGTTCTTTTAGATGAGAAATGGCAACAAACCTGAGACATTCTTGGCCTTGAGTTAGGGTCACGGCGAATGCAGAGGTAAGCACATAGAGCCATACAAAAAACTTCTTGCTCAGAGTAACAATTCATTAGACGCGGATCAAGAAGTTCCTTAATGGCTTCTTTCTGCAACAACGGTCTTGCCTGCAAAAATGTTTCTTCTTTGTCAGCATGCATCATAGCTTTAATGACTGAAACTTTGATGATATAGTTTTTGTTTTTGGTTTTGTTACCCATTCGGTGAGACATTGTTGACCTTTTGGACGTTTTATGTCCATAGCTTTTCTTCCTGTGATTAGCTCAACTAAGACAACCCCAAATGAGTAAACATCTGCTTTCTCTGTAATCTGTCCGCTTTGCGCATATTCAGGAGCTAAATACCTGAATAAACATAACATTTGCTTCTTTGAGTATTGCGTTTAGACAAGTAGTCAAGAAGAAGAATATCTCAATGATTATGGCATAACAGTACCCAAAAGTTCCAATCACTCGGGTCTCCACTCCTTTATCTCCTTCTGGTTGCCATCTCGCTAGCCCGAAATCTCCAACCTGGAAAATGTTATAAAGTTTCAAACTTTGCACAGACCCAAGGGAACAGAGAGAGCTTGAGCAAAAGTAAAGATGGTTATAGTACCAATGGCTCAAAATCATGAGTAAGGAGAATGTTGTTAGGACGCATATCCCTATGAACGATGCAACCAACTCTGCATTCTTCGTGAAGGTATCTCAATCCACGAGCAGCTCCAACCGCAATCTTTTGTCTCGCTGACCATCCTAACGGCTCTCTCCCCAAACCTATAGAACTTTCCTTTATTAGCCATTTTTCAAGAAAAAAACAAGAATGTACCAAAAGTAGAAAGTTTTTACCATAAAGATGAGTATGCAAGGATCCATTGCAGATATACTCATAGACAAGCAATCTCTTTCCATCTTCCACGCATAATCCAATGAGCATCACAACGTTCCGGTGCTGTGCACAGCTCAAGACCTCAACTTCAGAGCAGAACTCTCTGTCACCTTGTGTGCTAGCAATCTTGTATTGCTTGACGGCAATGATTTGACCATCCGGTAAAGTTCCTCGGTGAACCGAACCAAAACCACCTTCAGCCAAGAAACTACCTTTACCAAAACCTTTCGTTGCGGTCTCAAGCTCTCCAAAAGTGAACCATCTTGGAGGGTTTCCGAATTTAGGCGCCTTGTGTTGACATATTGAACATAGTGGAGGAGGTCCAGGAGCTGGCTTTCTTGATAAAGAAACCACTTCTCTCACGCTCTTGTTCAAGCATGAGGTATCAGAGTTACGGATCTCCTTACCCGCTTCAGGCTCCTTCTTCGATGAACCAAGCCTTAGAACAGAGAATCTTGATTTTCTTGGAGTTTCCGTATGAGCTTTCGATGAATCCCCAGTAGGACTCAGGATATCAGCTGTTGTTGTTGTTGTCACAGGATGAGAAGATGAGGAGGCCATTGATAAAGGACTCCACTTTTCGATATCCGAGTCAGAATCAGATTCAAAGAAACTCTTGTTTCCATCACTGACCCATGGGTTCTCTTTGTTGAGGCCCTCAAAGACTCGAGAAGCTAGAAATGGTGAAGCTCCTGCATCAGAGCTAGAGATTGATGAAGCTCCTTCTTGGTCTGGACTGCTAGCCGGAGTCACAAACGGTTCCCTCAGTTTTTTACCTGGTCTTGAGCTTCTTCGTGTGTCGAGTGACTTTGAGGTTAATCTCCGAATAGCTTCTGGTTGCTCTGTATCTGCATTCTTCACCAGATTGAGACGAATCACCTTTGCCTGTGACTTCTTGATTACCACAAGATTGCATTCCAATTGCTCCATACAGCATTTCTTCTCATACTTCAGTCCCCTGTTTAAGAATTTTTACTGTCAGGATTCACAGAGAAGTATATCACAAAACTGTGCATTTGCAACACAGTCACACAGTGTTTACCTGTCTAAAATCACCCAATTTGAGTTGGATTTCTTGGCTTCAGCAGCAATAACTCCATCAGGTGAAGCAAAAACAATTTTGATTCTGACATTTATCTGCAAATTTAAACCAAATGAAACCCTTTATGATCAGATTAACCAAGAAAAAGCTTTTTAATCTGCATGAGTAAATGTGAGTCTTCTACCTTCTCTGCATCATAAACATTGTGTAACTGGAACATCATCTGAGAACAAGACTCATGAATATCATCTTTCCGATCTGCATTCGTTCCAGCAAGAAATCTTCCATAACCTGAGGCACAGTCGCTGGTAAATCTCGAAAACCCCCAAATCTTTTTACCTGATAAACAAAACCAAGACAAAAAGGTGAAATCTTTACTTTAAAAATCAATGCAACCAGACAAAACCAGTGCTCTTTGTTTTGTCTAAATAAGTGAGAAAAGAAAACATTACAAGTCTCAAGTTCCACTAAGGTAAGCAAATTCAAACGAAAACTCTGCCTTTCTAAACTAATTATTCACCACTCAACAGTCAACAACAAGAAGCTGCCAAAAACAACAGATTGTGGAATTAAGAGACAAAAGAATGAAAGAGAAAAAGAGGATTACTTGTATAATTTGATGGAACAACAACAAGAAGCCTAATTCGGTCTCCAGGTTGAACAACATGAGTCAAAGTCCATAACAGAGCTGCTTTTGGGATTTCCTTTGAAGCCCTAACAGCAACCATCACTTTCTTCCCCACTACAACACCTCTCTCTCTACAACCCTTCTGCTTCATTCTCTATAGATAGATAGAGATATCACAAACCCAAGAATTGAAAGAAACCCTAAACCCCTAAAACTTTTCCTTCTTCTTCAACCTTTGCTTACACACACTTTTAGCACTTCCACTTAATCTAGACCCAATTTTTTCCTGAAATGAGAAAGTTGGGAGTATCACGCAATCCAAGATGCTTTCAGAAGTGACCTCAGAAGCTCAAAAGATAAAATAAAGTTGAGAAATTTACGCGTGTGTGAGTGTGTAAGTGTGTGAAATTCAATGTCTCTGAAACTATTTTTATATCTGAGAAACCCAAGAACAGATGCACAAAACACAACAGCACAAGAACCAACAGTACTCTCTCTCTCTCTCTCTCTTAATAGCCAATCCCTAGACTCCAAAAGTAGATCTCTCTTTCTTCTCTGTGAGAAATTTCAAAGCTTTGTTTTGGTACTTAAGACTTTAAGCTCCACGGAAATGGTGTGAGCATTTGCTTTGCTGTAGAAAACAAGAAAAATTTGCTCATCCTTCGTTGGTGGGACCAAAAAGGGACCAAAAATGGTGATGTAAGTCAGATTATTGGATTTTCAACACTAATCACTTGGACAAAATCAGAGGAATTTGGTAGGATTGAATAGGAAAGGTCCAATAGGAAGATTTAAAAATAAAATCTGAGTAAGTAAATGACAAAGAAGAAGAAGTAACTGGATTTGTAGCTCTGTCTGAAAGAAGAGACAATGGCTATTAATTATGATATGATTGGAGTTTCTTTCTTCTTCTTCTTCTTCTTTCTCTATTTTGTCTCTGCATTTTTTTTTATTCCAAGAAAATTAGAAAAAGGACAAAACAGAATAAAGAAATCTGCTTTATTCGAAAGAGAGCAAAAAGAATCCAGTAGAGCTGTGTTAAAGGATAATCCTTAACTACTTATCACACTTTTTTCTTTAAATTTTATTGATTTTAAAAATAAGACCGTTTCTTTCTTCATTGTCAAGTTATGGCCAAGTTTCATCCTTTTTGATAAAGAACATTCATGGAATCGGTTCTCATCATTCACTCAGAAAAATATGATAAGTAATTAGGAAAAAAATGATATAATTAAGGAGTTGAACGTGTTGGAACCAAATTTAAAGTCCTCATGGGCTGAATAAATTGTGGACAAATGTGAAAAGAAATGGGCTTAGGCTCATGTAAAATGAATGAGAAATTTGAGTGAGTTAAATGAAGGAGTACTTGATTTTGTCCCACATTGGAAAGAAGGAACTTTTTCCTCTTGTTTAAATATAGACATTTCCATACAATGTTCAATAGCATTTAGTGGGAGACTATGGACCTTGAGAGAAAGGGGGCCATTATGCAAAAAAAAACCACACGCGCGCGCGCCGCCGCCGCCGTGCCGAGCCGGGCTCGGGTCTTGGGTCTTGGTGAATGTGGGCTTCGCCCACAAAAGCCTATTCTTTTTGGGCCAAATTCCTATCAAGGTTTTTGCTAAAGCCCTACCCGAAATTGCATAATGTGTAGAATAAATCTTCCAGAAGATTGAGTTCGTTTTTCGGTTTCCTTGATAAACTCGAAAAGATATTCGGAATATTTCCGTATCCCTTTCGATAAACATAAAGGAGAATATCTTGCGGATATTCCTTCCTTGCCGACCAAGTCTTCTCACAGCTATAGATAAAGGGCCTCACCCCTCTCATTATTGATTCACTCGAATATCAAAACACTCCATCAAAAATCTCTCGCATCTCTTCTCCTCTAAACGTAAGTCTCGAGAGTATAGCGTAGTTATTTAGTTCGTAGATTCTGTAGTCCGGTGTTGGGACTATAGTCTCACGTAGTTGTATCCTGGGATTCAAAAGTCTCATGCAAACCGCCACACTGCGGGAGATTTATTGAGTTAAGGAAAGAGATCAAATCTCGCCTCTGCGTAATTCGTCTATTTCCAATCGTATTTTTAATTATATATTATTTATTATATAAGATTTTATTTCGTGTTTTTCCAATCTGGATTTTCGCGGTCTTACAGAACGTTGCACTTGCATGCTTTACATGTTGCTTTATTTATTTCAGTGGAGAAAGCGAAAAAAAAAAGAAGGTTTGAAAAAGATAGAATTGTACTTTATTAAAGCATGAAAGGTGCTTCAATAAATCAAGTCTAGTGATGTAATCGAATATATCATGTGTCATATTGGAATTGAATCAATGTAATATCTTATATGATTTGTTTCAAAATAAATATACACTGTTACCAAAGTGAAAAAGGATGAAAACAAATTATTGGATTTAATGGTAGCATGAAAGTACACTAATCATTAAGTTTTGTTCATTTCTGGCATTCTAACTCTACAATTCTGATTAAAGTAAACATGTTGGCTAATCTCTTTTGCGAAGATGGGTGTTATTGCTCTGGACTGCTCAAGCCCGAGAAGTTCACATTTGAACATAAAAGAGAATGTGAGTTTTTAAAGAGATTTATACACACGTTTGAATCATGTAAAGATACTTATGGACTACATATTTTTCATGTTGCACACCTGCACGCTCTCATCATATCAGGTAAGAACTTCAATCTGAAAAGCGTCTTAAACCTACCTCAATACCGGAACCGGAAGGTTCAGTGTCACATTTCTCAAGTATTTGTCGAATTGATTAGGGAAGCTAATAGGTAACATTAGTATGTGTATAGTTCACTTATACGGTATATCTTACTGTATCATAAACAGAAATATCAAAGATTAAAGAGTAGCTAATTATATCGATGGTTCTTTACCTCCAACCTACATTCCACTCGTTAGAGAAAACTTTTGCATTAGTTTTCAAAATAGCACAAGAGAGCTCAAAATTACAAGCCCAAGAACACTGCCCAAAATTGTTACCAGAGAAGGCGTTTTAAGTCTTATGTAACGACATGCACATGCAAAGAAAATGTGATATCCACTTCCAAGACGCTCTCCTCTCCTCTAGGACCAAATCAATCGGGAAATTTTTGTTTGTTTTGCATATGGTTGCAAATCGATTCTTTAGATTTCTTACTACTTTTGTAAACATTCCAGTTTCATTTATGTTTCAAACATGAATAATGTTGGGTTTTTTGCTCGTCAATAAGCTGTCAAGATCTTGGTGATAGATCTATTGACATCTGAATTTATATGAAATTAAATAAAGGTTGGTGATAGAAATCTCAAATATCAAATATGGAATACAGTTTTAACCAGTAAGACTTTTGAACTATTCATCGGAAAATGTTACAGTTATGCTAACTACTTATCCGCATTGACTGAGAGATAACGCCGTCACAAATCCATAAACCGTATGAAGAAAGCTTCACTGTTGCAACGGTAACTTGAAAAAAGTCATCTCCTTTTGGATGGATTGATCATTGGGAAACTATCTTCTCGTTTAGTAAACAAATCCATCTTCCAAGGGAAATTTCTTATATTTATCTCTATTTACCAGTTGGTGAGTTCTAAATTATTAGAAAAGAAAAAAAAGGCCTTAACTTAACTGTAGAAGTGTGTCATCGGTTTCATCGGAATGTATTTCGGCGACGGCGGTTCCTTCGCCGTCGTCCCAACTGTGTACAAGAGAGAAGACTACAAGCGGACCAAACACGACGCCGTTTTCTCCAAGTGGAAGGTCCTCTCCTCTCTTCTCTCCCTCACTTTCGATTTTGTCTATTGAAAAATCGAACTTTCTTCTCAGTTCTGGGGTTTTCGCTCAATCTCGTGAATTCTCTCAAATCCTTCATGGGAATCCTCTGATTTCATTTGAATTGAGAGAACTGATATCCAATTTCCGGAAATTCGTTCCAAAATTAACTTTTTTAAATAACTGCTCTTTCTCGGCTCTCTGTCTCGTCATTTCCCCAGATGTTTGAAAATCTATGAATTAAGCTAAGCTCTGCTCATTTTCATCGTCTTCGTCGATAAATTCTGAATAATTATTGGGGTTTTTGCTCAATTCAAGTTCTAATTATTTTAGCATTTCTGAATTTCTGTTAAAAGTTTGTCACTTTTAGCTCATTCTGTCACAGTCGTTTGATCTCAAGCCTTATCTTTAATGCACAATTATGAAAGCTATGAGCTCTCACAGTGTGATGTTTTGATGCTAACTGTATGCAACAGGTCCTCATAGGATCCAACGATTGGGAGGATTTCAAAAACGGCAAAGACGGTGTATGCAGATACAGAGTCCAGAACTTACCCCGCAAATCATGTCCAGGTCTGTACGAGCTCGGTGTAGCAGTCGTCGGCCACGACCAAGCCCGAAAGCTCGACTCGGAAGATGTTCTCGCTGCATATCTAGGACAAGCGGAGAGCGTTAGATCTAGACTCCAGCGTTACGGAAGATCCGGTGCTCATTTGCGCAACGTAAACGACTGTGAAACCACTGAATCTCCTGACAAGAAGGCTGGTTTGTTCGAAGACATATTCGCTAAAGACGGCTCGGTTGTGTTCAGATGGGCTCCGGTAATTGTTATGTGTCTTTGTAACTTTTGATAAAGTCTATAACTTTTTGATCCTAACTCATGTTTTTTTGTCAGATGGGGTCTAAGAGGGAAGCTGAGGCAACAGAAGGGATGCTTTTGAGCACGTTTGACTATGCGTGGAACAAAGGAAGTAATGGGGAGAGACGGCAGCTTGATTTGGTGAAGAAGCTCGGTGATGGAGGGTTTATGAGCAAGAGGAAGTCAGGGATATTCAAAGAGCTTTTCCCTTTTCTTCGGAACAATGTTGGTATTAGAATCAAAGGAGAGAAGCATGTGCTTAAAGAAGAGAGAAAGGATGATGTTTATGAAGAGAAGAAGAAGAAGAAGAGTAATAGTAATTTCTTCACTTCAGTACTCAAACTCAGCCGGTCTAGACCTCAACCGGTTTCAGACAGATTTGAGGAGGAGCATGATGATGGTGGCTCCGGTTCTGATTCGGTTTGTGGAGTCCTATTGGAAAATGGTGGTTGTTGCAGTAAGAGTCCTGTGAAAGGAAGAAAGAGATGCGTTGAGCATAAAGGGCAGAGAGTTTGCCGTGTTTCGCCGGAAAAATACAGACCGCCACAGCAGCCGGAGATTTTCACCGGAGAAGATCACAATCATGAAGAAGACTCTGATGTCGTGTGTGGAGTGATCTTACCTGACATGGAAACTTGTGGTAAGAGACCTGTTTCAGGAAGGAAAAGATGTGAGGATCACAAAGGCATGAGGATTAATGCTTTCCTCTTTCTTCTTAACAAGACAGATCGTAAGAAAACCGTTAAAGACGAGAAATCTGATACCGACGACACAAAGGAAGAAGAAGGTTTGACTCGCTTCTGTGAAGCGACGACAAAGAATGGCTTATCTTGCACAAGAAGTTCACCTAAAGGAAGCAAAAGGTGTTGGCAACATAAGGAGAAAACTTCCGAGGATAGCTCGCCGGGAAATGTTTCACCGGTGGCCGGGAAACAAGTAACGTGCGGTGTTAAAGTGTGTAATGGATCGATCTGTGAGAGATCTCCTGTTAAAGGACGTAAAAGATGTGAAGAGCACAAGGGAATGAGAATCAGCCCTTCATGACTTGTTTAAGTTCTCTGTTTATCTAACCGAAATTGTTTGTAATTGTACCACACCGGTTTTCTGAACCGATTTATTGTACCGGATAATTTAATTGATTGAGAATTTTTAAGATTTAAACCAGTGACGTGTTCAGTTCTATAGTAACAAAGTTTGGTAAGAGTTGTCGGCAGAATCTCTACCGTCAGTTTTCGAAATATGAATTTAATCTAACGGCTAATATTCTGGTCAAAGAACAAATATCCTGATCAATAAGGTAGAAAATCGACGGCTCCGATGTTTTAGAATAATCACGTTAATAACACGCCACGTGGACTATCGTTATCTCTATTTTATGGTTTTTAAAAATTTCCGCACGATGAAATTGCAATTCTCGTAGGTAGGAGAGAAAAATCAGATTTTTCTCGCCGTCGTTAAGATGCCGCCGGCCGGAGAACTCCGTCATCAACCACCTTCAGAGGATAAACAGTCTACAGATACTCAATCTGCCGAAGCAGAAGCTGCGGCAGCGATATTAGCGGCAGCTGCGGATTCGGAGGCTGCTGGATTATGGACACAGATCAAAGCGGAAGCTCGCCGTGACGCTGAGGCGGAGCCGGCGCTAGCTAGCTACCTATACTCGACGATTCTCTCTCATTCTTCTCTCGAGCGATCGATCTCGTTCCATTTGGGAAACAAGCTCTGCTCCTCGACGCTTCTCTCCACGCTTTTGTACGATCTCTTCTTAAACACCTTCACCTCCGATCCTTCTCTGCGCAACGCCACCGTCGCAGATCTTCGCGCTGCTCGCGTCCGTGATCCCGCTTGCATCTCGTTCTCGCATTGCCTCCTCAATTACAAAGGCTTCCTAGCTATTCAGGTGAATCTCCATCTGCCAGATTTGTTTTCCAGATTTTAGCCCATTTTGATTAATAGTTTCTTCAATCTGGTGAATTTGCATCATACAATTATGTTAATTTGAGATTCTCTCAATTAATTTGTGTTTTGTAGATAATTTGATTTATAGATTTTGGCCCAATTAATTATGAATTCTGCATAATTCGATTTTGATTTTGCTCAATTGTGATGTGATTTCTTTGAAATTCGAATTAGGCGCATCGTGTCTCGCACAAGCTATGGACGCAATCGCGGAAGCCATTAGCGTTAGCTCTTCACTCGAGAATCTCCGACGTATTCGCCGTCGATATCCATCCGGCAGCGAAGATCGGAAAAGGGATACTTCTCGACCACGCAACGGGAGTCGTCGTCGGAGAAACAGCTGTGATAGGGAACAACGTATCGATCCTTCACCACGTGACGCTAGGTGGGACCGGTAAAGCTTGCGGAGATAGACATCCGAAGATCGGTGACGGTTGCTTGATCGGAGCTGGAGCGACTATTCTGGGGAACGTGAAGATCGGTGCAGGAGCTAAAGTGGGAGCTGGATCTGTGGTCCTGATCGACGTGCCTCCGCGAGCTACGGCGGTTGGGAATCCGGCGAGACTCGTGGGAGGGAAAGAGAAACCTACGATTCATGATGAGGAATGTCCCGGAGAGTCGATGGATCACACTTCCTTCATCTCGGAATGGTCAGATTACATAATTTGAAGGTGTTAGTTATCATTGTTTCTGTGTTTTGGAAGAAAAGACTTTTCGAACTAATCGCTCGTAGAGAGATAGCGAGGTAAAGTGTTTTCTTCTATTATCTGTCGTTTTTCTTTTCTTTTCTTTTCATGTTTTGTAAATTTTATATGCTCGAGTCTCTAGTACAAGGAATCCAAATTAAAACATGTTGGGATAAAGGAATCATCAAATCATGAAAAATAAAAAGTCATAACAGAAACAATAATCAGTGATTACAAAAGAAAATCTAAAGAAACATTGCATAAATGAAGAGTTAATCCAAGAACTGAAAAATCCGACCAAAGCTCTTACAAGGAGATGAGACTCTCAATGTGATTTGGTATGACAATTAATTCATCGCGAACATCGAATTTAACTTCATCGAGTCTCCAAATATCGTCACAACAAATTCCTCCAAACTTAACTTCTCTTGTGCTCTTCTTCTTGGGATCAAAATACATAACAGAGAAGGATTCGTACAAACTCTTTTCTACATGAATACGTTCACTACTCTTGCAAAACTTTCCTGATTGATCATGACAATACATACAGGCTGGTGTGTAGATATAGATAAACTCACCAGCATCAGTGACACCCTTCAACATCCATTCTTCGTAAGGAGGAGGAGGTAAAGAGAAGCTTTTAGATGACCATTTGTGATTCTCTGCATCCTCCAAAATCCATAATTCAACACCAAACCTACTGGAAGTGACAAAAGCTAGCATTCCCTCATAAGATACCAACGAACCTTGTTTTTCCCATTTCGGATGTTTAATAAGGTTAAGCTCTTCAGATCTGAGATCAAAGCTCATTATGGCGTAATTCGCAGCCAAACACATAGCTTCATAGTAAATCAAGCCATCAATGCAAATGACGCTATTGCTTTGCCCAACACATGGCAAAGGGTCATGCTTAGGGATACGTGTGGATATAAATCTCCATGATTCTTCTTGAGCTCCCAATGTAAGAATCCCAATTTCCGTGAATCTTGATCTGCCTTGAAGGATGCAAAGTGCTTTGTATTCATGATCAACCGAATCATATCCCAATAAAAATTGTTTTAGGGTTAAGCGTTCGTCACATTCAAGTTTCGGTAGAGTGAAGACACGTCCCGTGGTTGGGTTCCAAATCTTGAACTGTGTACGAGTTTGCAAGAGAACAAAGCCGTTAACGGAATGAAAACAGTGTTCGAGACATTCATACAGCGAACTGACCACTAGAGGAGGGTAATTAGCATTGTCGGGATTATTACTCTCTTGTGTCGGAGACGAGAAAGCGAACAGCCTCTCGCGTTTTAGAAAGAGTAGTAGAACACGCGGCGGTGATGCCGAGGACCGAGCCTTGGTGAATTCTGGAGTGGCGGTGATGGACGACCAGAGCTTAGAGACGGACTGAAATCTCACAATCGATTCCGTAGGCAGTCTTGAGAGTATCTCAAAGATTATATCGGGAGGAATCGGCTCTGATTTCGATATGTCATTACTATCATGTGAAGTTTGTGTTGTTTTCTGGATCATTCTCGTCTTCTCTCTCCATCTTCTTTCTCTACGGCTGGCGGATGGCTCCATGGATATCACGTAACCTTTTTGAAACCCTAACTTGTTCTTTTGTCTGTCACTTTACAAAAACCCTAGCTAGTTTATTCTTTTATATGTTTCTACGCTTTCTCTATGCGTTTAGACACGTGGAATCTGGCTGTAAATTGGGCTTTTCTTAACTTTAACCCATATCACAAGTTTCTTAGCTTTGGAGTTTAAAGGGTACACCAGAAGAGAGAGACTTCTTGGGTTTCCACTTCAGAAACGCTCGTTGCTTGAAGTCTACGTCAATCTTGCGGTGATCTTGTTGTCGCATTTGAATCTAAATTTTAGGTTTGTTTTTGTTGTCAAGAACAACTAGATGTTTAACTAAATGTGGAACTCGGTTTCGAAACACCAGAACTTGTGTTGCTAATTATACCGGCCTGATCTTGAAGAAACTGGTCATGGACGACGTGTATATGACAAAATAGAGAAAATGGTAGAAACAGAGACTGTAACATATGTTTAAGATTGGTACTTAACTAAATGTGGAACTTGGTGTTTGAGCGAAACTTGAGATGATCACAGAACAATTGTTACAATGTCACCAAAAGAAAGAAAAAGAATTGTGATTACTGAACTTTATTACTCAAATCGGCAGAGTTCCATCACAAAACAATTGTTACAATGTCACAACAACAGAAGAACATTTTTACATATTTATAAAAAAATGAAATAATAAACAACATTTGTGGCATCTTAACAAGAGAGGACTGTCGTGAGCTGACTACAAAAGAATGTGTTATGTAAGGCTTCCTTGAATTTCTCTTCTTCTCAAATCTCCCTAAGTGTTTCTATATCTACAAAAGCCCTAAGATTTTTTTCTCCTCCGCAAAACTAGAACCAATGAATCAGTACATACACTTAAGCCGAAATTCTGGTTTTGATAGGCTTAAGCTTTAATCCCATGCTCTCAGGAGAGAGAAGCTCAGGTGAAATGCAAGAAGGGCTTAGAGGACTTCTAGGACTCTCTGTGAAACAAGATGGTCTATACAATCCATAACCCATCAAGAAATATTCCATTGGGATCAACATTGCGTGTGGTTGCTCCTCTGTTACCATCGAACCACAAGACTGAACCTGAAATTTCAATACCCCAAAATGTTCATCAATGTGAAAACCAAACGTAGTGGAGAGAAAAGGTTAAAGGATTTTAGTTTTATCAAACCTCAACCAAAGCACAGTATCCTCTATCCAAATTTGCTGCCATATGAACAGCTTCTGAGTAGAAAGGTGACTGGTCTCCAATGAAAATAAGTGTCCTGCATTTTAGTTTCTTCAATCCTCTAGAGATGTCAGGTCTCCTGCAAGAGCAAATGTTTGATTTCCATCAATTTTGCAAGTCAATATTTAATCTTGAAGAGTGCTCTGGTTAGATAAGGGAGGTGTTTGTTGTATTACCGATCAATAGCATCAAGAAACCGCATAACGTTTACGCTTTGCCTCTCATCAAGCAGCTGAGGACAATAACCAAAACCGTAACGGTGTCAATTCCAGATATACAGAGAGATCTACACATTGCAAGGTTAATGGAAAAGAGAAGAGTGAAAGACTGACTCTTCTGCAAGCTTGTGCTATATCTGACTCTGGAATCTCGATGTTACCACGGACTTCCTGTTGCCAGTAGAAGCGATTTCTCAGAATTATTTTAAGTAAGAGAAGAACTTGAAATGCAACAAGTATAGACCAATGGTAAATGCAGTCAACACACCTTACTGAAATATCTCTGAAGCAAAAATTCTTTAAGCACTGCACACATTCCGTAGAAATATAACAAGTTTGAGATGACCTTGTTGTAAAACCATTCAGACCAAGACGGCGCCTTGCATAACGGTGACACAAGAATCAAACCGACAACCCGATCTTTATGTTTCATCTGAAAAGTTTTAAGAGCATTGAACAGATAAATCAACACAATGTCTGAGGAATCGGATTGTGAGAAAAGTAAAAAAAAAAACAAATACGAACATACCGCGAATAAGGTGAGTATGTAAGCACCTGCAGTCACTCCCATACACATCACAGAACCAAGCCTGAAGAAAAGCTTATATGTCATTAGTTTAAGAGAGAGAGAGACTTTTTTCTCATGTCTGCAACTTCAAAAAGCCAGAGATAAGGGCTACGATCATTACCCGAAAAAGTTGAGAACTTCAAGGATCTGATCCGCCAAATCATCAGCAGAAGGGACTGAATCATTGGGACAAATCGGAGCAGCTCCTAACTGCAAAAAACTCTTTGTTAAAACGCAAGAATCATGGGAGTAATCATATGGAAAACTAATCACAAAGCTATTAACTTAAACGAGAAACTAAAATATGGACCTCATGGCCTGGTGGACTGATGTGGTAAATGCAGAAGTTGTGAAGCAGCAATGAAGCTGCTTCAGGGCAGAAGAATAATCCTTGGAAGCATGACATATCTGAAGAAGAAGCAACAAACATTAGAAAATCAGCAAAGTAGACAAAGGATCCTGTAATTTAGCCGTACGTTAGTGCCTGTAGATAATCTTTGAGAGACTTACGGTTAAGGGCCAGATCGGGATAAGTAATCAATGCTGGCTTTTCTCTGTCTCCATACACAATGACAGACACAACACCACATGCAGTTTTGACACGATGCTCCTGAAACACAAGAAACCAAGCAAGTTTTATACAAATGAGAAACAGAGAACTAAACTTGTAACTATACATTATATTCTCATACCATTGTCTTCTCCATATTCTAATGCATGTGTTTTGTTTATCTTCAGTAAACAATTCATCAGTTTCTCTTTTGTATTTTTTTTAGTAAAGCTAGGAATGTGACAACTTACTTTAGGTGGAAAATTATACAAACAGAAAAAGAAAACAAATGAAAATCTCTGTAAAAGCTTTTCCATGTGCAGCTTTTCTACTTTAAGGGGCAAAAAACAAAATCAAAACTTCATCATCAACCAAGGTATGGCCTAATTCCAATCATTGTGATTATTTATTAACACAAAAGGGAATGACAGTGTGAAAAAAGGAGTTTAGAGATGGAAGAATATGAGTGTTAATGAGATAATAAAGAAGCATTAGTCGTAATCATCTTAATAAACAAAGGGTTAATGGTAGACAAAAACAGCTGGAGTTTTTCTTTTTTATACAAGAAAAAAGAAATCAAAAGGCAATGAGACAAGAATAAGGAATACAAAAGAAGAAGAAGAAGATATCTTTGAATAGAGAAGAAGATCCCAAGAATAATCCCTTCTGGAAAGAATCATAAAGTTTCACAAATCCACAAGCAAAGAATTTCGCATTTTGCAACAAGAAGCTTATCATGAGCTTCTAAAATGTGTAAAATAAGCAATGATTTGATCCGCAGATTTATTACGAAATAATTGAATCTAACAATGCCTTGTGGTGAATAATTAATCTCAATCAGAAAAGTAAGGAAAAATGATCTCTGTTCTTCCCCAATTGCACAGAGAGATTGACCCAGAAACAAAAAAAAATCAGCTTTAATCGGATCCGATTTCAAGAGACTCGTACAATCGAAGAGAAAATTGAAAATGGGGAAGTTGAAAAAGAATGAACCTTGCCACCAAGATAGATCGTCCCAACGTCGACGGAAACGGAGCCGTTAGAGTCCGACATTGGCAAGAAAAGCTCCTCCGTTTCCGCCGTCGTCGTCGTCGTCTTCTTATAAGTGCCGGTGCCGGATAACAACAGAAGCTCTCTCCTTTATCTTCCTCTCCTCCCTACCTCTAGATGTTTTGGCATTTCTTTAGCTTATATACAAAGCGATCCCTTCTCTCTCCTCTCTCCTCTCTCCTAAGACCTCTCTGGAAAAAGAACCGATTTTTCGTTTTTCTTTTTTTTCTCTAAAATTGCGGTGATTTCTCCATAGACGCCGGTAGTCGTAACATGATGACACCCGAACGGTCAAAAACTCAGAAATAAAATAACATTTTTAATATCTGTGATTTAACAAAAAAGTATTATAAAAACCTAAATTATATTTTTAATAATTAGAGAAAAAACAGTTTTACAAGAACAAGTAAAAAAAAAAAATCATTTTTGCAAAAACTAAATCGTACTTGATACTCCTCCCTTGATCAAAGTCTAGATGCAGAGCATGCAGCTCTTCTACATGGTATGTCCGTTATTGAGAATCAAGGAGACACATATGTTGTATTTGAAAGTGACTCAACGATCTTGTTATTAGCTGGCCGCATTTAAAGTACTATACAAGTGAAAAATTTGAGGTTTGAGAAGGAGATTCTTGTAGCCAAACTTTAGGTTCCAAGGGAAAATAGGAAATAAACTAATGGATGGTGTTGATTGCATTACCAAAAGAGCTGCTAGCTTTTCTATTTTACAATGTTTTGCTTCATTGTTTGTTGAAAAGGAGAAATCTAGCAAATGCAGTATGTTTGAACAAAATGAAAAGAATTGAGCAAGTTGACTTTTGTAAAGATGAACTTATCTTTAAAATTTAGGTCCATTTCGAAACGTGTCTTCATTTCCTAACGTGTGGACAGTTCTTACATGTTCTTAAAGTTTTTGACTCACCTGAAAATCTAGAACATTTATTGAATAAGCGAAAACCAAAAAATACAAATTCTTAAAGTTTTCGAACTCGGGACCTCTCGCACCCAAAGCGAGAATCATTCCACTAGACCAAACGCCCACATTGTTAAATCCTTGATCCGAAACATTATTGTTTATGTGAATATGGTTTTAGATATGGGCCGTGAACGGGCCTTGCTGTAGGTTTGACATAAGTCACGTGCGGATAATGTGGTGTCTATTTCACCGTCTGCTCCCTTTTCTTGTAAATAAATAAGCTTCCTCTCAGTATCGCTCTCTCCCATTTCCATTAACCCTCCAATTTTTCCCGCCTTTGTCTTACTCTCTTCCCGCATAGAAATCCCTTACCTCGCCGGCGAATCCATGGTTCAGAAGCAGCAATCCACCGCCGCTTTAGGTGCCGAGCCGAAGAAGCGTCGCCGTGTCGGATTTTCTCCTGCCGGTTAGTCATTTCTCATATTTCTGCTTCCGTTGCTTTACTGCGCTCGCGATTGAAATTTCAGCTCCGGTTTGGTATTTTCTTCTTCTGATCCGGTATTTTACTTCTGAGCAGATATTGGTGTGGAAGCCAACGAGTGCATCAAAATTTACCTCGGTGCGTATCTATTTGTTGGATAATTTTTTGGTGGATGTATCTTCGTGCGAAATTAGGGTTACGTTTCCTGCTTTCAGCGTTTTGGTGAAATTAGTTGTTCTAGCTTCCTGGATTTTCTTTTCGGGACAAATTTAATCGCAATTTGTATCTAGAAAGGCTGTAAAATTCTTTGGTAGAACACTAAAGACGAATTTTTTCGATTTGCCTGTGAGTTAAAATCTGCAATTTAGTCATTGCTGTGTACACTTAATTGATATCAAAAGGTTTCAGTTTCTGAACATAGAGGTTCTGTTGAGTATGATTTTTCTTTCTTCCAACTGATATATTTTCAAGTTTATCAATGAGTTTATACAAGTCGCTCTGTATAGAGTTTTTATGTTATTGTGACATGATTTGACCTCTCTTTCTGTGATGGTTGATTTTTTCTAGTTTCGAGCAAAGAGGAATTGGATTCCACTGAGATTCCTTGTGTGAATCCGGTTGATTTGAATGATTTCTTTGATGGAGATGGCAAGATATATGGTTACCAAGATTTGAAGGTAATGAACCTGTATATTGCTCTTTCTAAAATTTCTAGTTTTGTTGTGGCTTTGTTCTGAACAAATATTGCTGTAAATTTCATCTTCTCAGATAAACGTGTGGATCAATAGGATCTCATTACATTCATATGCGGATATCACATACCAGAGGACAATCAATGTAAGTGTTAAGAGTTTACTTATAAGTTTTGTGTATTGGATTGTTTATATATGGCTTTTTTACAATGAAATCTACCTCGGAGCATCATTTCTTGTTATATTTTGTTGCGTTTTTCAAGGGAGACAAAGGCATCACAGACATCAACTCTGCTTTAAAGGTACAAAACAACTTCCACGTCTCATCATTTTTTAGCTCTTATCTGTTTTTCTTTATTGACGACTTCCTTCACTCCACCCAGAAAATATTTGGTGAGACCATTGTTGCCAACAAGGATGAGTTTCTGCAAACCTTTTCTACAGAGAGAGATTTTATCAGGTACACACCTACTGGATGCTTTACCACTAACTTGTTCCTGGATTTTTTTAAGATATGTTTCTCTCTCTATAGTCTCTGTGTATAATTGTTTAACTGTTTCGTTGATTGTTTTAGAAATATGGTCTCAAACGGAGAGGTAATTCATACTGGAGTGGTAGATGGAAGCAGCGTTAATGCTCAAGTGGCTCCTTCAGATCTCCAGGTAGTTTTTTTGTGTGTTAATAATATGTTTCATGCATCTTTTAATCTTAATGGAGCAAAGTAGTTTGAGATGCTTTTAGATTTGCTTAAGAAATAACATGTAATGGTCGATAATCCTCAGGTTCTACGGATGGAAATTGGCTCTCCAAATGCTGGACTCCTCTATAGCCGATTGGTGCCTCTTGTTCTTCTCTTTGTCGATGGTAAACACTCACCAACACACCATTGCTCTTGTAACACATCTTTTTATCTCTCTTGTTTAGTACTAATGAGACGATGGTCCATTCTTTTGATCAGGCAGCAACCCGATTGACGTCACTGATCCTGACTGGCATTTATACCTCTTAGTTCAGAAGAAAGATGAAAAGGAAGAAGAGCCTTTGTATCAAATTGTGGGCTTTACTGCAATCTATAAATTCTATCGTTATCCCGACAGGCTACGGATGCGACTCAGCCAGGTATACTAACACATATACCTCAACTGTTCCTTTCAACTGTTCCTTCTTGTAATCTTTCGGATTTTGACTGTTATGCTGATTATTCATTTGTATTTCAGATCCTGGTCCTGCCTTCTTTCCAAGGAAAAGGATTTGGAAGCCATCTCTTGGAGGTGGTAAACAAGGTGGCCGTAGCAGAAAACGTCTACGACCTGACAGTGGAAGAGCCATCTGAGAAATTCCAACACATTCGCACTTGCATTGACATAAACCGCTTGCGTGCCTTTGATCCAATCAAGCCAGCCATTGATGCAGCCATTCAGACTCTCACGAAGGGGAAGCTGTCGAAGAAAGCTGAGATGCCTCGATTCACTCCACCGTTGAACGCCATCGAGAACGTCCGTGAGTCTCTGAAGATCAACAAGAAACACTTTCTCAAATGCTGGGAGATCTTGATTTACCTAGCGCTGGAGCCTATCGACAAGTACATGGAGGATTACACTTCTGTCATCACGAACCATGTGAGGACCGACATCCTTGGGAAGGATATTGAAACTCCAAAGAAACAAGTGGTGGATGTTCCAAGCTCGTTCGCTCCCGAAGCGTCGTTTGTTGTTTTCAAGTCTGGCAGTGGAGAAGAAGCTAATAGCAATGTTCAGGTTGAAGAAAACAAACCTGATCAAGAGGAGCAGTTAAAGCAACTGGCTGAGGAAAGGATCCGTGAGATCAGGTTGGTTGCTGAGAGTGTCACCAGCATTTCCCCTAATGTTTAAAAATCTGATTCGATTGTAAAAACTTCGTGAGAGATTTTATAATAAGCTTTTTGTTGAGTGATCCAACTCTGTGATCTTTGAAAGAAGTATGTGTTTTTATTCGTTTTGTTATGGAGGGTGACTCCGGTTAAACGGTTCCGTACGTTTAATGATATTCTTAGCAATTTACATCAGATTTTAAAACCTTGGGAAATTTCTCCCACAATTCCTTACTTCAACCAAGAAAAAGGAAAAAAGAAAAAAAAAATCATTTCAAGAAAATAAACTAGAAATATTGAAATACACGTGTCATTCATCGACTTGTATTTTATAAAAATAAAGATTAGAATGTGGAGCATACTATATGATTACTACCATATCTATGAAGTTCTTGGTTATATTGACTTGTGAGCTTATTTTCTCGCAACATTTTCAAAAACACTTGTGTAGATTTCAACGGAAGAGAATGTAGAGATTATTGACTAGGAGGCTGTGCTTGAAAAATTTAGCAGAGTTTTGATGAATTTTGTAACAACAAATCTATTTTTTTTTTTGTTATATAAAAACCAAAATCAATACATACTTTTTTTTGGAGAAAATGTGGGGCCCAAGCCAAAGCGCTCACTTGGTTCTGTCCAGAGTCGGTTCTTCTCGCTACAAAGTCAGAGAGAAAGCGATTCAAAATTTTAACCGAGAAGAGTGGTTTCTGAACCGAGAAGTGAAACTATTGTGTATGCTACTTTGACCAATCTCAGGATTTTCAGTTGTCAACAATCTATGCTTACTAATGGAGACCTCAAATAGAAGCTGGAAGGTTTTAGAGCGTCCTGTAAATGTTCAAGAACCAGTAAGAAAAAACCGAGGGATTAGGATGAAGAACAAAAAAAGCTCTCTAATTGTACATTAACAAAATTGGAATATGGAAGTTAGTAGCGTTTTGAGGACTGAGTGAATTTTGTGTGCTAAAATTTTATACCACACTTGATTCCCTTGAACCAGAGTTAGGCTAATATTTCAGGGAGACAAATAATACTAGTTCAGTATTTTGAAGTCACTTTGAGATACAGTACACTGTTTGCAACCAATTCTATATATATAAAGTTGATTCAAAACAAGATGAAAATGAACACGACGGAAATGAACGAGACAAGACAAAACGGAAAGAAAATGAACGAGACGAAGCAGAACGACAAGGAAATAAAATATACCAAACTATGTTTAACCATAATTTTGTTTAATGGGACTAGACGAGAAATATTCCTACCCTTAATTTTATTTAATTATTATGTTTATACTTTGGAACATAAAAATAAATTAAAAAGTTTAATATCCTCAAAATTTATTCTAACAATATCAATAATAATAACAATTTAAAATTCTGCATGCGAAGTGCGGTTGAAACATAGTGTTGGATATTATAAATGTCATAAGATAATCCAAAATAGTCATTTTAAGCTCTAACAGCTTTACTTAGGCCATGAATGTTTGAATGGTTTTGGTTTTTGATTTTAGTTTTCGATTTTAGATTTTGCAGTAGATTTGGTTTCCAAAAAAACTTGAATGGTAATTATAGTTTTTGGTTTTCTATTTATATAGGTTATTACAAAAATTAACGAAATATAAAATTAATTTTTAAAAAACATATTGTTCAAATTTAAACCTAACAATATCAATAATAACAATTTTAAATTCTGCGCGCGAATCAGACATAATGTTGAATATTATAAATGCTACAAGATAAAAAAAAAAACTAAAAATATCCATTTTAAAGCTTTAATAAATTTAATTAAACACACTGATCCTTCGAGTCACATTAAACCATTAGTAATCACATGAATAACTATAATTAATTGCAGTAACTTTAATTAGCACGAGGGCATCATGGTAATTTCAACATTTGTTGATGACACAAAACTTTCCCGTTTCCAGATATTTTCTCAGATAAGAACTTAAGAGCAGAAATCGCGAAATCGAAGAGGGGCTTAGATCTGAAACGCAGAAGAGAATGGAGATTTTGCGGAAAAAGATTCCGACTACCGTCGACGAGTTTGTAGAGGCGTACTGTAACGAAGCGTTGAAAGAATTTGAAATTGGAGAGCTGTGCAAAGCGCGGGAGAAGTACGAAGACTGCTTGCATCTCATGAGGGAAACCTACGGGAGGATTCAAAGGAGATCGGAGAATTTGTCTCCCTCTACAAGCGTCTGGCTTATTCGCAATCTTTGATATGACACTTAGACGGAAAATAAAAATATTAGCTTGCCGCTTCTTATCATTTTACTAAACTATCTACCATAGCACTTATGAAATTGAGCTATCATTATGTGCTATCAATGTTGGTAATTCTTATAGTGCGTGTTCAGCCAGAATAATGTGCGTGTTTGGTACACATGGATTGGATCACTTGTTATTTTATCCATAAAATTTGAATCTTTGTTTTAACATAAGCACTGCAAAAGATAAAAAGAAACCCGACTTTAATATAAACGAAACTAAATTGAGAATAAGACCTCCATTGTTTTGAGACAAATTAACCTTTTTTCAAGCTAAATCAGTTTATAAAAAAACTTACTAGCCAAAACCATTGTGGCTTAACCATTGGTAAAGAAACCTCCTCAATAAAGTACATCTTCAATGCGTGAATTGAGATATATTGTGTGAAATTTAATATTTCTATACATATTAGATTTCCCCACATCCACATCCACACCCACACACACAAGGTTGACAGGCTCATAACTGAGCTCAAATTACCTCCAAGGGATGCTTACTACAAGCTGAGGCATACAATTGAAGGCAAACAGATGGATCAAGATTTCATTGTTTGGAAGTGCATGTGGCTTATCTTATTATGCATGTATGTATTATATATTATTGAACTAATTGTCATCGTTCAACAATTTGTAATGAATAAAAAAACTTGTTGATAGAATCATAGATATATGAGAAATTTAGTGAGAAACAATTTGTAATGAATAAAAAAACTTGTTGATAGAATCATAGATATATGAGAAATTTAGTGAGAAAAAGTTTGTCTTTTGAAACTGGATTTTGATATAGGATTCTTTTTCTGATTCACGGTCCAACGAATATGAACACTCTAAGCAATTTCTAAAAGCTATGACCTCTTTCATATTTTTTTTATTTCTCTAAAATAATAATAATAATAATAATAATAGTAAAAAAACAAATGAGAAAAAAACATAATTTCACTAAATAAAACAATTATAAGCAAACAATATAAATACTGTAGATAGCTACCAAAGTCTAAATCCAATTCATACATATAGAAACTAAAAAAAAAACAAATCGCTACCTTAATTCACACATTAACGTTTGAAGAAAACAAACCGGATCAAGAGGAGCAGTTAAAGCAATTGGTTGAGGAAAGGATCCGTGAGATCACGTTGGTTGCTGAGAAAGTCTCTAGCATTTGCCCAAAAGTTTAAAAATCTGATTCGATAGTAAAAACTTAGTGAGAGATTTTATCAGAAGCTTTTTGTTGAGTGATCAAACTCTGTCGTCTTTGAAAAGAAATATCTGTTTTATCGTTTTATTCTTAGCACCAATTACATCAGATTTTTAAACTTTTGGGAAATGCTGGTGACTTTGTCAGCAACCTTCTTGATTTCACGGATCCTTTCCTCAACCAATTGCTTTAACAGCTGCTCTTGATCCGGTTTGTTTTCTTCAACTTGAACTTTGCTATTAGCTTCTTCTCCATTGAGAGACTTGAAAACAACAAACATTTCATAATTATAATGTAGTTAAATGGCTTGTACACTTTTCATTTTGTAACAAACTCTTTTGATCATCAATGTAGTTAAACCGAACATTTCAGAGTCCTTAACCAACTAATAAACCAACTATACCGCTAGCACAATTTAAATTTTGGTTCATTAATCATACCGCTAACTGGAATATTCCGATCGTATTTTAGCAGAAACCGGAAGTTCGGTTGAAGAAACCGATACTGGTCGAACCAACTTAATTTTATTTGTCAAGTCAAAATAAAACGAACATGAAGAACAAATCTTGAAGGTGGGAGTCTTTCGCGTCGCCAGAGGGAGAAGGAATTTGTTTCGTGCTCTGTTGAGAAACGATTTCGATTTTGACAGAGTGAGGGAGAAAGAGAGAAAGGAGTTAGAGAGAGAGAGAGAGATGGATTTGATAGCGGGAGAGAGCTCGAAGGTGCTGAGGAAACAGGGGTTTAGATCGCTGAAACTGATGAGTGTGGATATGGAACAGGAACTCGGAAACGAGCCTGAGCCCTTCGGTGCTGACTATGGAAGACTCGACAATGGTCTCGTCTACTACGTTCGACGAAACTCCAAACCCAGAATGAGAGCCGCTCTAGCTCTCGCCGTTAAAGTCGGGTATGCCTTCTTCCTTTTTTTCGATTTTGGCCAAATTTAGTGTACAGTCTTGGTTTCGATTTGATGTTTGTTGCTAAATTGTGTTTGCTCAAACTTGAGTTTAGGGTTTATCATTGTTCTGAGTCGAATTGGTGATTAATTTGTTCTCTGCTGTGTTGATCCAACTTTGATTCGATTAGTGATTCTTCTGGTGACAGATTTATGACATGCATGAAAATATTTGTAGTCTATGTGGATTCTTTATCTCATTATACCAAAACTAGGCTATGTTATTTGTATAGATTTCTTGTTTTTGAATGAAAATGTACAATCTGTTGCTGAATTGGCAGTTCAGTTTTGGAAGAGGAGGATCAGCGTGGAGTTGCTCATATCGTAGAGCATCTTGCGTTCAGTGCTACAACTAGATATACGAATCATGATATTGTCAAGTTCTTAGAGAGCATCGGAGCAGAGTTTGGGCCTTGCCAAAACGCAATGACTACAGCGGACGAGACCATATATGAGTTGTTTGTCCCCGTTGATAAGCCTGAATTGCTATCTCAGGCTATTTCCATTCTAGCAGAGTTTAGCTCCGAGGTGATTGTTCTCTGTGACCTCTGTTTCATCTAATATCTCTTCCTCTTGTTGTTTTCAGTCCATAAGAAATCTGTAAATGGCTTTTTTTTCCCCTTAAGATTCGAGTCTCAAAGGAAGATTTGGACAAAGAAAGAGGGGCTGTTATGGAAGAGTACCGAGGGAACCGAAATGCTACCGGAAGGATGCAAGATTCACATTGGCAGCTGATGATGGAAGGTTCAAAGGTGTGTTAAGCTTCTTCCTTAATCATTTGAATGTAGTCTAAGAGAGACTCCAATGTGTTCTTGAAAGGCTTGCTTCATTTGAGTGCAGTATGCTGATCGTTTACCTATTGGGTTGGAGAAAGTGATTCGGTCTGTTCCTGCTGCAACTGTGAAGAAATTTTACGAGAAGTGGTACCATTTATGCAATATGGCAGTTGTGGCTGTTGGAGATTTTCCTGATACAAAGGTACTTTTTGCGACTGTGATTCCACTTTTGTTCTTTAGCTACTCAAGCAATTTATGAGTATGTTTCTGGATTTTTTTTTGCTAGACTGTAGTTGATTTGATAAAGACACACTTCGAGGATAAAAGACCAAGCAGCGAGCCTCCACAGATACCAGTCTTTCCAGTTCCTTCTCATGAAGAGACACGATTCTCTTGCTTTGTTGAGTCAGAGGCAGCTGGGGTTAGTCAATTCTGCTTCTCCAAACTTCCTCCGATATTATACTGATGTCAGTTTCCAAACTCCTAAGCTTCTTTCCTGGTCTTGGCTTGTAGTCTGCGGTAATGATTAGCTATAAGATGCCTGTAAGCGATCTGAAGACGGTGAAAGATTATAGGGATATGCTTGCAGAATCAATGTTTCTACATGCTCTTAACCAGAGACTCTTCAAGATATCTCGTAGAAAGGACCCTCCGTTTTTTGCGTGCTCAGTTGCTGCTGATGTCCTGGTGAGCCCATTGAAGGCCTATATAATGAGCTCTTCTTGTAAAGAGAAAGGAACTCTGGCATCCCTAGAGTCTATGCTTCTCGAGGTCTCTTCCTTTTTCACTCTCTCTCCCAAGTCTTTGTCATTTTCTCCTTTCTCCTCTTCATTGGTTCTCTTCGTGTTTTAGGTTGCTAGGGTACGCCTTCATGGGTTCTCAGACCGTGAAATATCTGTTGTTCGAGCTCTCATGATGTCGGAGATTGAATCTGCTTATCTGGAGCGTGATCAAGTCCAATCAACTAGCTTGCGGGATGAATATATACAGGTAAAGTCTTTGATGAACTTTATTGTTCAGCTTTCTGTCTTTACCCTCTAGAGAACTCTTGTTTATGTGAGTGTTTCATCTGGCAGCATTTCCTTCACAAGGAACCTGTTATTGGGATTGAATACGAGGCACAACTTCAGAAGACTCTTTTACCCCGTGAGAACATGCTTACTCTGCTTATAGTGTAGTCTAATTTCAACATTGGTTATGTAACATTGGTTCCTCTGCTTACATTACTCTGCGTATGAAATATTGGTTCCTCTCTGTTGCAGAAATATCAGCTTCAGATGTATCCAAATACTCTGAAAAGTTAAGAACATCATGCGGTTGTGTGATCAAGACAATGGAACCTAGATCTGGTGCGACAATTGATGATATGAGAAATGTTGTCTCAAAGTTTAATAGTCTTGAGGAAGAAAAGAAGATTGCTCCGTGGGATGAGGAAAAGATTCCGGAAGAAGTTGTCAGTGAAAAACCAACACCAGGGTAAAGTTTTGAAATACTTATAGGTTTACTTAATAACTTCTTCACTCTTGGCTCTATTGGCTTTAGTTTCCAGAGATTCTCTGGCTAGAATCTATTCACCGAAAGTTTATCTGAGAATCCTATCTCTAAGTCTTTTACTAAACTAAATTGCTCTTTTGTTGAGCTCAAAGTAGGCAGAGCTCACTGACTGGTGTGTAATTTTCATTTCTAATATCTCATCCTCGACTAATTTTCAATGAAGGGATGTTACTCACCAGCTTGAATATCCAGAAGTTGGGGTTACAGAATTGACCTTATCAAATGGAATGCAAGTTTGCTACAAGTCCACAGACTTCTTGGACGATCAGGTGCAATATTAACTGAGAGCTACAATGGATTAACCTCTAAAGTTTTTTCTATACTTAGTGTTCCGTAACTTTATGGTTGTCCTTTGTTTGTTTTTTTTTCTGTACAGGTTCTTTTTACAGGGTTCTCATATGGAGGACTTTCTGAACTCCCTGAGAGTGATTACATTTCATGTTCGATGGGATCAACAATTGCTGGTGAAATTGGTATGTTTGGTTATAAGCCATCAATGCTTATGGATATGCTTGCTGGTAAGAGAGTTGAAGTTAGCGCAAGACTCGGGCCATACATGAGAACGTTCTCTTGTGATTGTTCACCCACAGACCTTGAAACTGCTTTGCAGGTTTTGCCTTCTTGCTCCTGCATATATAGTTCGTTTACTAAGTTCTTCCAGGTTGATCTCAGGCTGCATGAAAGCACAACTCTCTGATTTGCACTTAGGTGTATTGTATTAGCTTTGCTAACATCTGAATGATGAAAGTTAAACTTAGTGACGAACACATTCATGCGCATCTTATCTTCGCCACAGAGTTAAACTTATTATTACTTCTTTCCAGCTTGTTTATCAACTGTTTACTACAAACGTGATGCCACAAGAAGAAGAGGTTGGAATAGTGATGCAAATGGCCGAAGAAGCAGTCCGTGCTCGAGAAAGAGACCCTTACACTGTCTTCGCCAACAGGGTGAAGGAACTCAACTACGGAAATTCTTATTTCTTTAGGGTATGATATCTTCTTTTAGCTTCACAACTAATTATTTCTCAGTGAACGCCGAGCCATTTCTAACTGTAGTCTCTGATGTGTGTAGCCTATTCGGATAAGTGAACTCAGGAAAGTTGACCCGCTCAAGGCTTGCGAATACTTCAACAGTTGCTTTAGGGATCCATCAACTTTCACAGTTGTGATTGTAGGGAACCTTGATCCAACTATCGCGCTTCCTCTAATTCGTCAGTATTTGGTAAGTTGGATCATATCACTGGTGACTTAGAGAAGTAAGCTTGGTATTGACTGCTTTCTTGCGTTTCAGGGTGGAATACCAAAGCCTCCTCAACCGATTCTCAACTTCAACCGTGATGACCTGAAAGGCTTACCATTCACTTTCCCAACAAAGATAACAAGGTACGCTGTATATTAATCTTGTCCCTGTTGAAGTCCAACAGCGTAGTCTATATTCTCAACTTCAATATCGCCACTATATAAAGTGAGACGATGATACTGTGCATTTCCCCTTGATGATTCCATATTGACTTTGAATGTATGAATATTTACAGAGAATTCGTACCAAGTCCAATGGTTGAGGCCCAGTGTTCAGTCCAGTTATGCTTTCCTGTGCAGTTAACAAACGGAACAATGGTAAGTGGCTCTGCTTTATCATGTGAATCATAACTAACGCTGATTACATTGATGATATTATCTTCTTGTCTTTACTTAAAATGTGTAATGCATTTTGCTTCATACCTCTGATTTGAATGATAGATCGAAGAAATCCACTGTATCGGCTTTTTAGGCAAACTTCTAGAGACCAAGATAATCCAGTTTCTCAGGTTCACGCATGGGCAGGTATATTCTGCCATTCGTGTCAGTTTTCTATACATGATGGTCACGCCAAACCTGTAGTGACCTAACTAATTTCCTATGTAAGCAGATATATTCCGCTGAGGTGTCGGTGTTTCTTGGCGGGAATAAACCTTCTAGAACTGCGGATTTGCGTGGTGACATCAGTGTAAACTTTTCCTGTGATCCAGAAATCTCCTCTAAACTGGTATGATATTGTTCTCACATGATCCTAAAACAGTTTCTCTCTACCTTTGGCTGCCTTATGGTCACCAAAGTCACCTCTTTGTCTTCTTTCAGGTTGATCTAGCTTTGGAAGAAATTGTACGGCTTCAAGAGGAAGGCCCTTCGCAGGAAGACATTTCAGCCATCCTTGAAATAGAACAAAGAGCTCACGAAAATGGCCTCCAGGTTTTTGTTTTTTGCACAATTACAAATCCATCACAGCAAAAAAAAAAAACCAGATTTTGCTTGCGGAAACCAAACGGATTGTTTTTCATTTCTTGTTCAGGAAAATTATTACTGGTTAGATAGGATTCTACGTGGATACCAGTCAAGGGTCTACGCTGGCGATTTGGGCGCCTCATGCCAGGTCAGTTTCAAAAAACAAAACCTTTTGTTCTAGTCAGGGTTTGATCGTTCTAGATAAACAGTCTTATGAAAAGGAAGAAAAATCTCTGTGGTTATTAGATTCTGGAAGAAGGGCGTTTGCGAATGAGAGAGTCACTTGCACCACAAACAGCACAAGCGGCTTTACAGCGAATCCTTCCACACCCTTGCAAGAAACAGTACACCGCCGTGATTCTCATGCCTCAGAGATCACGTTTTGGCTTCCTTTCCTCTATCTTTGCTCCTCGGCCCGAGACCCGCTACATCCGTGACACTAAGGTCAGTCTTCGTTTGTTCTTTCTTTGTGTTGTCTACGTAAATGTAACACATCCAATCATTTGATATATGAATTGTGTCTCTTTGGTTACCAGATTTTGGCAGGCATTGCTGGTTTAGCTGTTCTTGTTTTTAGCATCTGGAGATACTCTCGCAAGTAGGAGTCCGATGATCTTTCTTTTTTACTTTTATACCCCAAAGTCTTAGAGATATTAAATGCACCGTTGGTGAACCTCAGCGTTTATTATGTAAGTTCTCATTAGATTTTTTACAAGAAATTTCAGAAACACAAACTTATTATTTGTTGCTACATTTTTACAACTTTTGGTTTATACACTGAGAGATGAATATGCCAAAGCCTTCTCTTCAGCTAGCTCTCTCGCAGAGTCATCCATTTTCTCCCTTGAAAACTCGTCTACACTGAGTCCTTGTACGATCTTCCAGCTCCCTTTCTCACAGATAACCGGAAACGAGTAAACCAAACCGGTTGGTATACCGTAAGAGCCATCAGAGCAAACACCCATAGAAACCCAAGTTCCTTTAGGTGTTCCAAGAAACCAGTCATGAATATGGTCACAAGCCGCACTGGCAGCGGATAAAGCACTCGACTGTTTCCGTGCACTTATAATCGCTGCACCACGTTCCTGAACTTCTGAAATAAACTCGTTCCTCAGCCAGTTTTGATCGGCGACAAGTTCTTTCACCGGTCTGTCTCCAGTTTTCGTAGAGACCGTTGCGTGATTGGTGTCTGGATACTGAGTTGAAGAATGGTTTCCCCAAATGATCACCTTCTTCACGCTGCTCACGGGAACACCTAGCTTCTCCGCAAGGCGAGCTTGAGCTCGGTTATGGTCGAGACGTGTCAGGCAAGTGATGTTTTCTTCCGGGATCGACGGTGCAAACTCTTTGAAGATCAGAGCGTTTGTGTTTGCGGGATTCGCTACAACAAGAACCTTGCAATCCTCTGATGCGTATCGCTCTAGTGCCGAAGCTTGAGCTTTATAGATCGCTACGTTTTTTGACATGACATCTTTTCTTTCCATGCCTTCTTTTCTTGCAAACCCTCCGATCAGTATCGCGATGTTTACGTCTTTACAAGCTTCGGCGACGTTTGTTGTCGCAATAACGCCTTGGAGAAGAGGGAAAGCTGAATCTTGAAGCTCCATTTTCAAGGCTTCTAGTGATTTTGAAGCTGGTTCTATGTCAAGTAAATGTAGAATCATGGGTTGATCTGGACCTAGCATTAGACCTCTTGCAATCATTGGAGCAATTGCATATCCTATGTTTCCTGTTCAATAATGGTTCATTATAAATTACTCAAATCGAATTGATATTGCATAAAACAGAACCGAAATCAAACTGAAAGTGAACTACTAGACACAGACGCATAGTTATGTTTAGTTTTAGATTTTCTTCACCCAATAAACTCAAAAATCAAAATGTAAACCGGATTATTGAGTCCAGAAACGTTAAAAGATTTTAAAAACAAGAAAGACATAAAACTTAATGTTTGGCTGACTTTACCTGCTGCACCAGTAACCAGAATCCTTATTGGTTCTTTCTCAATGTTTAATAAATTGCACAGGTATATTATCATTTTCCATGACAAAGCAACACAAAACAATAGAACTAAAGTTTTCTGAATGACAAAGGTATAATCAGTTTCTTCTTCTACCAACTCCATGTTTTTCAAAGTAAAATATATAATCAAGAAACGAATGGGTGTTCATGTTTCCATGAGATTAATTTATAGAGCTAAAAAGGGGAAAAAAACCAAGAAGACAAAAGGAATCTTTGGAAAGCTTCTAAGAGGACATAACCTGATTCTTACAAAACCTGGTCTTACAAAAAAAATATAATCATACGACAAAGACAAGGAATCCCTGGAAAGAAACGTAGACCAGTAGAGATCCTCAAAAAACTTATTTTGTTCATATTGGGCAATTTATTATTCTAATCCATGCATGATAGATGATATGGTTTGTATTGTATTTTGGGTTTGACACGGTTCAACCGGTTTTTGATTAATCAGTTTTTTCAAAAATCTGAAAGTCTGAAACCAAAAGTACAAGAAAATAATGATTAGATTTATGTAAATAGGATTATAATTGTTTTAACGGGGAAAAAACATAAGGAAAAGGAAAATTAACAGGTAGAAACCGTGATCTTCAATATAAAGGAAATAAAATTGCATAAATACAATCGTTTTATCACCACATCAATCCTTGAAGATGTTTTCATAAGAATCTATAGCTCAACCAAAGTTTGAATCTTCTCTCATCTCTCTTACTATAGCAGCTTAGCACGTAAGTACGCAACTTACCTATATTTACCAAGTAATTGTTAAAAACCCTTTCAATTTGATTTGATTTTTTCGGTTTATATATATTGTCCTTATTCACTTGAATTGCGCATCCCTAATTCATCGATTCAATAGTCGCGCACACGTTGCGTTTTAGGTATTTTCTTTGGTGTTAAGAGAAAATTACCACACAGAGGTTTTAGTTTTTTTTCTTCTTCTTCTGATTCTCGTCGTCTTGTTTGATGTCGAAAGAAACTTACCATGCATACTTGCATAGTTGCTTATCATGAAAACTTGTTTGAATCCTGAGAATCTCATATATATTTTTTTCTTTAATGTTTTCAGGGTTTCGTCTCTGGTTTCAGATTTTCAAGGATTGGGGTTTCAAAAAAGGTGTAAATTAGGTCTTAAATATGGACAGGATAAGTCAGTTGCCTGATGAGCTTATCTTGAGGATATTGTCGTTTCTGCCTAGCATGAAGCATGTCATGGCCACTACGCTTTTGTCAAAACGGTGGCAGTTTCTTGGGATGATGGTGCCAAAACTCGTATACGATTACGCGTATCATTACACTAGGTATCGAGGATCTAAGCGGTATTCGTATTTTTCGGATTTTGTGGACAAATCTTTGCTTACGCACGAGGCTCCAGCGATAGAAACTATGCATTTTAAACTAGGTCAAGTCTATAGTAGTGGAGATATTCGAGTGTGGATTAGAGAAGCAGGTAAACGCCAAGTGCGTGAGCTGATTATCGAGTTTCATTTAGCTTATTCTCGAGTCACACTCCCTAGGAGCTTGTATACATACTGCAGAATGCTCACGACCTTGAAACTAAGTAACGCGGTTCTTGTGGATGATGATGAAACCTCCCCAGTTTCTTTCCCGTCCCTCAAAAGACTGAGTCTTTGTATCCATGGAGTACCCGAGTTTGTCGTTTTTCAGAAAGCTTTTACGCGGCTGTCCTGTTCTTGAAGACTTGGTCATGGAGCATCATCCCCTTTTGAGCATTAGTGTGCCTTCTCTTAAGAGTTTAGTCTTGCGTAGTAGTAAACCAGTGAACATAGATGCAAACTGTTATTGTTGTAAAGTACCTCTGAAGGCAAACGATATTACTAATACATTTACGATAGACACTCCTTCTCTGGAGTGCTTGGACATTGTTGATCATCATAGTTGGTTTTGTGTCATTGAGAACATGCCTAAGCTTGAAACGGCACATGTTGACGTCACTTACTGTGTTCGTGGGAATACTCTGGGGTCTCTTACTTCAGCCAAGCGTCTCTCTTTATGTTTACCAACTTCAAAGGTAACTAACAATTTTAATGTATTTTTTCAATAGTTTCTACAATTTATGTAGCTAGATATATATATATATACTTAATATGCCTATGACTTTTGCAATTGCAGCATGCATATCCTGTTGGTAGTGTATTCCACAATCTTATACATTTAAAGATATGCACATGCGAGACAGAATGGTTGAATCTACTCATTCGTGTGCTCAAAGATTCCCCTAATTTACGAGCTCTCAAACTCGAACAGGTAACCTGAATTCATTTTCCTTGATCAGTACGTAACTATATATGTTGTTCTAATCTTCTTTAAATGACAATCACAATCATTGTATATCAGTGCCATGATATTCACAAACATGAAGTGCGGCCGCAGTGGAGAGAGCCGAGTCAAGTTCCTGAATGTATCTTATGGAGGCTTGAGACTTTTGAATGGGTGTCATATGAAGGACTAGATAGAGATTACGAGAAGGAAGTAGCATTGTTTATATTAAGAAATGCAAACTCTCTAAAGAAGGCAACTATTATCTCCTCTGAAGACGTTCATCACCGTGACAAACTTGAGATGCTCAAGGAGTTGTCATCGTGTCCAAGGGCTTCACGTACTTGTGAGCTTCTATTTTCTTGAATAAATAATGGTCGCCATTTTGTCAAGGCTTTTTTTTTTGGTTTTTTTTTTTTTTGTTAGTCTTTCGTTTGATTGAAGTTAAGTTACATTATCAATATATTTATCATTATGTTTATCTATTCAAAACTGAATTGTTCCTTGTGTCTTTTTTTACTATTTAAAGTCTCTGCGACAAAAAAAGATAGAAATCTAAGCAAGAACTATTCATTGGTTTGTTCGTTTTTGTTAAATTGAGAGCATTTCCATTGCTGAAAAGGTTGTCAAACAAAAATAATGATACTATTTTAATAAAATTAAATTTTATAGCTAAAGTATTAAGTTGTAGAAAATAATTGAGCTAAGGAGGTACATTTTAGTCATTACATCTAGATAAAATAATTTGACCGGTTAGCATTATTAAGTTATTAAACCAATAGAATTTAACTAAAGGAGGTATATTGGGCTTTAACCTAGAGGGTAATAATGCAAAAGGCCCATTAAAGCCCAAAATGTTTCAGCTAGGGTTAATTAAGTGGCGCATATATAACCTTACGTCTCCTCCGTCGTCCCGTTTCTGTCTCTCGACGTTCTTCGACCTGTAGGTACTCTCTTTCTCTCTCGATTCTTCAATTCTTTGATCGTAAAGAGCTACCAGCGAACAGATCTGTTTAATTTCCGATAGGAGAATCTGTTACAAGTGATCTTTTTGTTTTGTGTGGAAAATCGCAGGTAAGAGTTTGAAGAAGAAGATCAGTAGACAAAGAGAAGATGTCTGAGAAAAAGGGGAGGAAGGAGGAAGTGGTGACCAGAGAGTACACCATCAACCTCCACAGACGCCTTCATAGCTGGTCAGCTCTCTCTATTCCCTAATCTCTTCTGTCACTGACATTAGAACAGAACAGATTCATTTTGTGCTCATGTTTTATCTGCTTGATTGGTTATGGTTTTGTAATGAAATTTTGTCGGATTCTGCAATATCTTAGTAGCAAATTTCTTGGACTCGTGTTTGATTAGTGTCTCTAGCTTAATCATTATCGTTCAGGCCTTAAAAGGAGACCTTATGAGATTCATTTTGTAATTTAATTATGGAGAAATGTATGATTGTGATGCCGAAAATGACATTAAATGTATTCAATCGAAGTTATACTGAATCGTGTATTGTTTTGATTCGGTTTAAGAACGTATTGTGTTATAAACTAGGTTTGGTTTGTGGAACAGCCTGTTTCCAGTGTGGTTAAGGTTTGGTTTTATGAGGTTTTAAGGTCTCTTGCTAATACATGACTAAACTTGTAACAGCACCTTCAAGAAGAAGGCTCCAAAGGCAATCAAGGAGATCAGGAAGTTTGCAGAGAAAGCAATGGGGACCAAGGACGTTAGAGTAGACGTGAAATTGAACAAGCAAATATGGAGCAGAGGAATCAGAGGTCCTCCAAGGAGGATCAGAGTCCGTGTTGCGCGTAAGAGAAACGACGACGAGGACGCAAAGGAGGAGTTTTTCTCGCTTGTCACTGTTGCTGAAATCCCAGCTGAAGGACTCAGTGGACTCGGCACTAAGGTCATTGAAGAGGAGGATTGAGATAAGACGAGAGACTTAGTCTGTCACTAAGACAAGTTTTGAGTGTTTTTGCTTCAATTTCTTCTTGTTTCAGTCAAAGAGTCTTCTTCACAACCTTTTCGCTTTCTACTTCTTTGTAGTGTTTCGACTTGAAAATTTTATTATGCTGTTTATTGGAGAGACCCATTTTCTTCCTGATGACATTACTGCTGAATCTAGTTATGCCTCTTATCTTCTTGAATTTTCTTGAATCTCTGCTTTTTAATTGTTTAATCTCAAATTAATACAAATGGATCAAGCTGAACCTTCGTTAACAATTCAAGATATGCAAATCCAATTTTCATTACAGGTATTCGATTAAATTTCAAATTAACAAACAGTAAAATGTAAAGAAGCATCACATCTTCGACGAACCAAATCTTGATGTTGTAGGAGTAGGAGGGATCCTTATCCAAGAGAGGATCGTACAAAACAACTTCTTCTTCTTCTTCTTGACGTAATCATTGACGACAAGATTGGCGTTTTTCTTTCTTGTCCACCTTTTGGTCCTAAAGACCCCGCACAGTAATTTACCAGCTTTCGAATCAGAGGAACAGCACACATCCACGACGATGCTGGCCGCGCGATTTGCCTTCGCCCCCAAATCAGACGGTGTCCGAGAACAGCTTAGTTTTTCGGCGCTGGAGAGGTAAGGGAGAGACATGAAATGGCGTTCGATGATGTGAGTGAGAGAGACGAGCTCGTAGGAATCATAGAGCGGACTTCCACAATCCCATAGTATACGATTATCATTCTGATCATCGACCATCTTCACTGTGGTATTTTTCATGATTGTTGTGTCATGTGTGTGTGCTTAAGTGTGTTTCTGGATGTAGATTTCCGACACCAAGTGTGTCTCTTGTTTTAAGTGTTTAAAGGTTTTTGTATTCTTCCTTTATTTTTTGTTGTGTGTGTTTGTTTTTTGGTCGTATGGTTTTAATAACATCCAAGCTGGCCAGATTTTCAAGTACTATTCCTAATTGTACCAAACAAACCTAAACAATGGTTTGCGTATTGAAAATTCTATTAGGTTTCTTATTTAAAAATGAAAATAAAAATTTGATAAGAATCTCTCGTATGGTTAATTTATGCGAGTAAAATGGTATACATGGACATGCCCTAACTATTATAAGCTATTTACAGTAAAATGTTTTGAGTTTATTAGGCTACCTTCATATTTCATTTTGTTTAAAATGAAAAAGAATCGTCGACAGCAGGATTCGAACCTGCGCGGGCAAAGCCCAATTGATTTCGAGTCAATCTCCTTAACCACTCGGACATATCGACTTTCGATGTTGATAAACGCCCTTAACGCTATATATACCTAAAACGTATTTAATCAACTATACCACCAATGGTCTGGTTTTGTGGTATATTTCCGTATTCAAAGTCCGGTTTGTTGTAAAATTCAATTTTAACTCATAGATTCTTGAGAAAACCGAGAACAAAAATCAGATCCACATAGTATAAATCAAAGTAAAAAATTCCAATTCATTCATCAAACAAATGTAAAGCAAATCTAGTTAACAAACAACATGAAGTGTGCTCAAATAAACAACCAAAACTACTGGTTGAGCGACTCTAATAACAACAACCTAAGTTGTGATAGTGTAGTAATGTTTGGTACAAAGGGAATCAAAGATCAGCTCTTCCAGGATAACGAGGGAAAGGAGTAACGTCTCTGATGTTATCCATTCCTGTGACGAAGAGAACCATACGTTCAAAGCCAAGTCCAAATCCTGAATGTTTCACTGTCCCCAAACGACGCAAGTCAAGGTACCACTCGTATGGCTCCGTTGGTAGACCCATCTCCTCCATCCTGTTCGTAAAAAAAGACATACCAGATTTTCATTTGCTTCATGAGAGAGATATCAAAGAACAAAAAATTAAAGTCAAGAGTTTCACTTTCACCAACCTTTCCTTGATGACTTCATACCGTTCTTCTCTTTGGCTTCCACCAATGAGTTCTCCAACCTATAAAGGTAAACACAAGACGCCATTAAATATGTCTTTTCTTCAATAAAGAAGGATCATGGAGTCGAATGCATGAGCTTAGTTGTTACCTTTGGAACGAGAACGTCCATGGCAGCGACTGTCTTTCCATCATCGTTAACTCTCATGTAGAAAGCTTTGATTCCTTTGGGGTAGTTATAGACAACAACTGGCTTTTGAAACACAACCTCTGTCAAGTATCTGAATAATTAATACAAGAATAAGAGAAACATTAGTAACAATCTCTTGCAAGTGTTAAACTTCAAGAAATAGTTTTTATTAAGGATTAAAGAAAAAAAAAACCTTTCATGCTCGGATGCTAAGTCGATTCCCCACTCCACATGGTTCTCAAATACCTTCCCTTGAGACACAGCTTTCTCAAGTAGCTCTATTGCTTCGGTGTATGTAACACGCTCAAACGGAGTCATGGCAACACTTTTTAGCCTCTCAATGCATCCCTCGTCGGCGTTCTTGGCCATAAACTCCATCGCATCGTCACATTTTTCAAGCAACCACTCGCACATGTATTTCACATATGCCTCTGCGCAGTTCATATCATCCTACACACAAATTTTCAAGCCAGTTTCTAAGTATACGTTGCAGATGTTTCACGCAATAAACAAGAACAATATCGAATGATTTTAATTATTACCTCAAGATCAGCTTCTGTTAATTCAGCCTCAACCATCGAGAACTCAGCAAGATGCCTTGAGGTGTGAGAGTTCTCTGCCCTGAACGTCGGGCCAAATGTATACGCACTTCTATGAGAACAAGCAGAGATTTCCAGTTGTAACTGACCAGAAACTGTCAAGAAAGCTTTACGGCCGAAGAAATCTTGGGAATAATCGATTCTCCCATCTTTAACAGGCAACACAGGCTTGCTCATCAACGTTGTCACTTGGAACATCTCACCAGCACCTTCGCAGTCACTCGTTGTGATGATAGGAGTTCGGATTTTTAGAAAATCCTCTTCACCAAAGAAGCCGTGTGTCGCCTTTTCAAGCTCATCTCGGATACTTTCAACTGCTGCAAACTGATATCAACAAGAAAACAAGTGTAACGTAAGATACACGTCATATTTTTGAAAAACCTAATAATGAAAAAAAAAACTATACATAGCTGTTTCATTCAATCTCAAAGGGAGGGGAGAGGAAGTTTTACCAAGTTGGTTCTTGAACGAAGATGAGTATAGTCTCTCAAATACTTTAGACTCAGATCCGTCTTATGAATCGGGTAATCCTTATCCACCGTCCCCACAAAAACCACCTTCTCCACGCTAAGCTCAATCTTCTGCTTCGTACGTTTACCTTCTGGCGGAATCTTCAAATATCCATCAACGACGACAGAAGTTCCCGTAGGAACCAGCTTGGAGAGATCGTACACAGAAGCGTCCACCATAACCTGAAGGTTCACTAGGCAGGATCCATCGTTCACCTCTAGGAAAGCGAAAGTTCCTTTTCCTTGCTCCCTTCCAGTTTTAACCCGCCCGGAGATTCGGACTTTCTGGCCGGAAAGTCCAGCTCCGCCGTCGGGTCGACCTAATATAGATTTAACAAGGACACGATCTGAAAACCGCTCTTTTTTCACGGTCGAAGACGAGGCTGCATCACTGCTCAAAGAGACGGCGGCGAGTTGATCTGCTGGCGGCTGAATCTCATCACCCATTGTTCGGAAGCTTGAGTGGTGGTGAATTGTGGTGATGATCAAAGATAAAACCCTAAGCTTGTTTCACACGGTATTGAATGTCTAAGAAGAACTAAGGACTAGCCTCTCTTTCTTTTTATATGTGGTGGATTTTTGATATTTACTTTTATGTAAAGAGTAAAAATGGAAATTTACAAACCAAACATTCCTAATTTCTAAAGTCGCAGAAACGAGCAAGATTCTTTCTAGCTTCTCAGTGTATCTCTGTTGTTCACTATGAATATGAAAATGATGTTGCCTGAACTATGAATAGACATGTAATGTTCTCGCCCAAAGCCAAAACAATGTATATCTCATTGTTTTACGTCTCATGGTTTATTAATCAAAAGATTTGCAACCGTAGAATATATGTATGCAGTTTATTGGAGAGACACATTGAAGACAGTAAGTTGAATCTAGTTATATATGCAGCTTATCATCTGGAAAATTTCATGAATATTTGCCTGTGAATTGTTGAATCTCAAATATATATACAGATGGATCAAGCCAAATCTGAGTAGCCAATTCAAACAATTTCTTCCAACATTTATATACTTCTTTGTAAATTAACTAAATAGCCAAGAAGCAGATGATATTACGTCAGGATCAAAAGCTGTATCTGGTCTATCTGTGAGCCATATCGATCCATTGCATCAGAGCATACGAATGTCGAACAATTTGACAAAATTCTGGAAGAGCATCAAACTAACATTAAAGTAAAGAGATCCACATAGAAAATGAGGTTCACAATTTCAGGACGTAAAGGAATCGCAAGAAACACATCACGAAGCAACAACTTGACAACATTGAGCTTGTAACAGAATACTTATAAAGTCCAAAAAACAATGGTATCCTAAAGTTACGGTTACGGACAGGATCTTCCTTCGGCCTCAGCATGTCCTCGATAGGTCTGAAAGCCATTACTAAATCAAGGTGAGTGAATTCAGGCTGCTCTCAAATCTTCGTCTCTTAAACATGTAATTATACGGAAATAGAAAGCAAGATAGAGAAATCATTAATTCTCTAACGTCAACTAAAACAAGACAAGAAAAGTAATTACACCTGAATTCTTGAGGGAACCAGATAATCTCGTGCGCCTTCTGGAGTTAGATTTAGAGAGTATTGGAGTTTCAATCTAATACATTCAACAAACCAAGAGGCAAAAAACCGGGTAAGACCCGAAACTTTGCGGAGCCTAGAGAAGAAAGCACCTCAATAAATCCATGCATGTCTCCTAATCAGCTTTCACCACATTATGGCGAAGAACGATATTCTTCTTCATTTGCCGACGGCGTAGATCAAGACATCGAAATCTAACATCATACCTATAAGGCTATAACATATTCACCTATCGTCCTACACTACCATAGTCATCCGGAAATGCTTCCACCTTCTTGGAATCACCCCGGTTTACAACATCTGATTCATCCCATCACCACTAAAACGGACCCAAAAGACTAAAGAATTGAATGGTGATGAGATGTATCAAACCTTGTAAATAGGGGATAACTCAAATTGACCGATGAGTTTATATCTTGTTTCTAGGCACAAATTTTAAAGCATTGTGTTGCCGCAAGAGTTAGTTGAACAAACCTGAGAGGTAGAAAGACACTCCACACACAAACGTTTCTGCAAGAATCATGAATAACTGAATACTTACATAACATGCAGAATGGTTTGGTTCAGCCTCGGATCTGTGGCTCTCTGAGTCATAGTACTCTATACCATGAACACATTCTTCTCTCCACTACAAAGGCAAAACGTTTTTGATGGTTAACTAACAAAGGAAAACAGAATCCAAAACTGTTAACTTAAAACGAAATACTAACATAATCTATAAGTACAAATATAAAGTTTGGATTTTGTCAGAGGTTGAGAGAGACAGAATGCAGAATTTTACAGTGCATGCGATGCGGAGGAGGAGGATCGCGTGTCATGACAGCTTCCGACCACACGACGCTGCCCCAAATCTCGCCTCCTCCTGCTCCTTTGCGTCTCTCCAAAGAGACCTCCAGTTTCTGAGGAGCAAGCACGTCCCAGAAGAGCAGCATGTTGGGACCAGAATTGCTCAGCTTGTGCCCGGCAAACGCATCGTCGGGTACGAGTTCGGTCCGCAACCTCCTGGAAGACTTGGAGGAATCCGAGAACGCGCCACCATAACTAACAACCCTGGAAGCCCGGATAAGGTCTCTCAGAGCCTCCAAGCCCATCACTTCTCTCCACTCGATCGCCTCGGTTCCTAAACACTCCAATTCACTTGCCTCACACCACATCACCTTCCCACCACTTACACAACAGTACACGACCTCGTCAATCACATGGAAACCTCTGTTATCATGCGGGATAACTTTTCTTGCTCTCTTCCATTTGCGCGCACTCGGTCTCCTCAACCCATCCACAGCGAAAACCTTCTTCTCCTCCACCACGCCGCTCTCGTACATCAAGTCGAGGTCATCGCAATACTTAGCCGGCCACACGGGGACGGGCAATGCAGCCCAAGTCTGCGTCTTTGGGTCGAAAACCTCTCCCCAGTTGCCGGGATTCTCCGAGTCCTTGCTCCCTCCCAGAACGTATATCTTCCCGTCGACCACTCCCGCCGCGGCAGACTCTCGAGGGACTCTCATGGAAGGGAGAGTGGTCCACTTGTGCGATCGGCAATCCAGGTGATAGACGCTTGCCCGAGGGGGAGACTATCCCGCTAATCCTCCTCCCGCCGATGACGTAGATCCCGCAGCCGTGGGCCACCACGGAGGATGCGTCCGGAGGCTGGTACAAGGTTGACCGGACTTGGACCAGGCGACGAGGACGGTTTTGGGTTTTGGGGAAGAGGGCGAACCAGCGCGGGTTTGGCTCCGGAGGGATCTGTAAGCATAGGTAGATGACGTTTTCGGTGAAGCCCAGTAGAGATCGGAACTCGTAGAGCTCGGGGGAAATCAGTTGACGGCGGTGCCACTTTGAGACGAGAGATAAGGATGCGTGCTCTGATTTTGAGACGCGGGCCAAGCAATTCAGAGCCATCTCAATTGGCAACGAAGACGGTTTTAACCGCTTCGATCTCTTCGCACGCGGTTGCGGCGTTTCGTTGGCGGTGACGGAAATCGACATCGACGATCGCGAGATTAATTCACCAAGCACTGTTTTCGATTTGAATAGACTATACTTTATATAGGGACAATAAACTTCTCCTTGGATTTACTAATTCGACCCGACAAAGGAAAATAACCTTTTTTCAGCAATTTATGTTGTAAAGCGCGCGATGACGAAAGGAGGCTTAACCGAACAAAACCAGATTCATATAGATAGATTAACCAACGAAATCCAGTTGATACATTAACCAACGTAAGATTTTCAAAGTAAAACTAAAAAAAAACAAATCGGTTATCAAAACCAGACCAGGTTACAAAATGTCTGTGATTTGAATTGGAAGGGAATCAAAGATCGGCTTTTCCAGGATAACGAGGGAAAGGAATAACATCTCTGTGATTCCTGTAGCGAAGAGAACCATACGTTCTAATCCAAGTCCGAATCCTGCATGCTTGGCTGTTCGGCTGTTCCACAACGACGCAAGTCAAGGTCAAGGTACCACTCGTATGGCTCGGTTGGTAGACCAATCTCTTCCATCTTGTTCATCAAAACATACCAGATTCAAGTTTTGCTTCATGACAGAGATTTTTAACATATACTGTATCAAATTCCATCAAGCTGTGTGATATGATATGAACCTGATTTCTGGACCTAGATAAGAAATGACTAAAAGTAAGGCTTCATCTTAACCCAAGTCTCTCTTTGAGAATTAATTGTTGAATGTTAAATATCATTGATGTTTTACAATGACTCAAAACAAAACTGAATAAATAAAATACTAAAACGCTAATCCTATTGTTAAAATGAAAATTAACAAAACTACTAAAAACTCATAGATATGAGTATCGTATTAGTATGTTTAGGTTTAGAGTTTATTTCAGCTTATAGATTTGCAATTCGATTAAGATTTTGAAAAATTTCGCATTTAGTGGATTTGGAGTTTGTTTCTCTCTGACTGGTTAGGTTTTAGAATTTGTGTGTATTTTTTTTTTTTTTTGTCTATGATGTTTTGGATTTGTTGTTTGGTGTATCGAATTCGTCTTTGTCTTAGATTTTGTGTGACATAGAAATATTTCGGCTTGTGGAAAAATATTGCAAAGAGGCATTGGTAAATTTTAAAACACATAGGAGATCGGAAGTTTTACAGAAATACTAAGACTGTTTTAGTCTGATGAAGAAATCGGACGGTAAAAAATATAGAGGAAACATTGAGTTTTGCGTGCCGATCTCATATTTTACAACAGTCATGATGCCGGTAACAAAAACCTACAATTCTCATATTAAGGTTATGTGATTATGATCTTAATTCTGAGGTGTATATAGACTCGCGATTGCTGGTAATCCTGATCCCCCAAACCCCTTATTGTTTTGATCTTAGTTTTTCAATCTTATATAATTATGTTGGATGTGTATGTCGTGCACATAAAATGCTTATCTAACTTTATATAATAAGATTACGAAGAGAACAATAGATGATATGATGAAGGTTTGTTCTCTCTTTCTATCCATATGTTTATGTTAGTTTGAATTGGTTTTCGAATCTGGATCGGTTAAGCTTGAGTTTAAAGTTTGCATTTTGTGTTGTTAACATATATGTTTTTTTTTTCCAAACGGTTTACAATTGCCTAAAATGATATCAACACAATTTGGATCAAGATGGTAGTTTCATTATTTAGAAATGCATGTGGCTTGTCTTATTATACATGTATCTACTAGTAGAGTACCCGCACGTTTGTGCGGTGTGACGTTGTTGTTTTGTGTAGAAAATTTAAACCCTAAATCCGAACCCGACAAAAAACCCTAATCAAAAAATTTAAAAACCCAAACTTTTTTAATAGGTCTAAACATGAAAATCCGAAATAAAAAAAATCCCGAAAACCCTGACTGAACAAAAAAAATCTGGAAACTTTTTCACCCGGAACCCGACCCCAATACCTAATCAAAATTTTAAAATACTCAATTTTTTTAATATATCTAAACCCGAAAACCAGAAATCTAAAAAATCCGGAAAACCCTAAACTGAAAAAAAAAATTGAACCTAACCCGAACAGAAATTTTCAAAGAAACCCGAACAATTTCTATATCTCTATATATATCTCTATAAAATTATGTCTCAGATTTTCACCCAAACCCGAACTTGTCTATAAAAACCCGAAAATCCAAAAAGCATATTCTATTGATTTGGAATTATCGTTAGATTATGTTAAGTTTTTTTTGCAGATTTTTAAGAGATGGAAAACGGAAGTTTTCTAAACCATCGGTTTATTTTAAGTTATTATTCTTGTATCCAAACAATTTTTTCCATTTATTCTTCTATCCAAATAGATTTTTCTCTTATTCTTATATCCAAACAACTTTTGTTTCCATTTATTCTTCTATCCAAATAGATGTTTCTCTAATTCTTGTATCCAAACATTAGAATGTACTTCTCAATTAATAATATAAAGATTATTATTTCACTAATTGCCATAGTAACAATTTGTAATGAATAAAAAACTTGTTAATAGAGATATAAAAGAAATTTAGTGAGACATTTTCATATAGATAAATAACAAAGTCTAAATCAAATTCATACAGAGAAAAAGATAACGTAAAACTTTAAAAGTAAAACTAAAAAAACCAAATCGGTTATGAAAACCAGACCAGGTTACAAAATGTCTGTGATTGAACTGGAAGGGAATCAAAGGAATAACATCTCTGATATTAGAGGGAGAAGATAATTTGAAAATTAGAAATGTCTCTGACATCCTTTTAATGGCTGCTTCTCGTTTATATGCATAACCGAAGGTTAGAGGGAGAAGATAATTTGAAAATAACTGATGGTAAAACCATTTTGCAAAACAAATCACGGAAGAAGAAGAGAAAACAAAATCTATGGTGTGGAAAAGACCGTTCAATGATACTTGATGTTGGAGGATATCAATCTCTTGCTCCTCAGTATAGCTAGGGTAACCCAACAGCTCCGCCAACCTAATTCAACTTGATCTCTCCATTGACAGCTTGTTACGGTAATCCAAACAGAGCCCATTACAAAATTTTCTTATCTAAAAGGCAAACAGTAAGCTTTACCTTGTACAACATGTTGATTCACTTTTTACAGCCACATAGATGAGAGAAATCCGTCGCCATTGTTGTGGCCTCCACTCTTCAAGTAATAAAACTCTAATTTATCAATCTCTAGCTGTGACCTTCGCTTCATGAAGCCTTTGAGTAGCATATAGTTTCATTGACGTCTCCAGTTTTTGCATTGACGTCTTAATATATCCTGCAAACAGAAATTGGTAAAAATCATGTAATACGAAAACTTCAATACTTGGCCATATTCAAGTGATACTCATAAGAAATGGTATTATATGCACAATAGTCAATAGGTAGCGTTGTGAAGCTTTTAAAGAAGACTAATTTTCGACCTGGCTGAAATAATTTCACACTCAATACGATGATATCATTATGAGAATGAAGAGGGCAAATGAAGAAATCTTGATGGTTGTTTGTGTCATATATATAGTGAGAGAGAGCTTTACCGTCTGTGGAACTCAAGGTTCTTCTGGCACCGAGTTTGAGCATTTGTTGGTACTGTGATCAAGGTAGAATATACAGCCATGTACAACGTCTGATCCGCGCTAGCGAGATCCTTCTTCTGACATGGAACTCTTTGTAAGTCTACCCAAGAACAACGACTGCAAAAGATTAATGGCATGATTAAGTTGCAATTCCTTGTCCTGTCTTTTAAGTAAAGTCTTAAGCCCTGACCCTCTACAAACTTTATCGTGTCATGAAAGTAGCTGAAGGAGGCTTATACCTTTGGATGCAGTGATGTTTTTTTGTTTATTTCCTTGATTTCCATGAGCGCCTTCGCTTTGAAGACAATTGAAAAAAGAAGGTTATAAGCAATAAAACCAATTGCTTGTACTGCAAATTTGTATAAATGGAGAAACTTGAATGGTATGTGACATGAAGGTTTTTTTATTTCTGTTGGATCTCAGGCTTGTTGATTTAGCAATGAATTTCGTCAGAGTTTTCCTCTCCGAATGCTGATGAAGACTTGTTCTTTAGCTCATGTTCCAAACAACAATGATAAAGCTGCCATTTTTGTTGATTGCTGCGATTTTACAACCTGAAAGAAAAATTAAGCTTCTTGTTGATGTCCGGAAACATGAACAGAGAAGATTAATTCTCTCCTCTATAACAGAACGTGATAAAATATCTGCAATCCAAACAAAGAGCATCACCAGAATCTACCAATTTTTTGTTATTTAAAAGGTTAAGCTTTACAAATTAAAGACTGTTGAAACACTTCTTACAGCCACGTAGAGGAGAGAGAATCTCGTTGCTATTGTCGTGGCTTCCACTCTTGAAGTAATCAATCTCTAATCTATCAAGACTCTAGATTGTTCCCACTAAACGCCTCTGAACAGATCAATGGATTCCATCTGATTCTGTGATAGTAATAAGCGTCGTCGCACCTCTTTTTCGGCGCTCAATCACACTCTCTACGTCCATGCAAGTGTCAGATGACGTGATGAAGAAACGATGGAGATATACAACTACTACGATCCTGATGTATTCTCCACTGAATTGATGACCTTATAGCGAGGTATAAAAGCTATTTTTATTTAACTTGAGACACAAGTTTCTTCATGGACAATAAGTTCGAAGAACGATCTAAACTTGTGACTTTGGTTCGAGACATAAATCATGGACTAACTCGGATCACAGTTGGAGAGGAGATAGGAAACTTGGTTTCGGGAGGAATTTGAGAGGGTTTCAAACCCAAATGGAGAGGCAAAGAATGCTCTCTAATTGTACATAAACAAAACTGGAATATGGAAGTTAGTGAATTTCATGTGTTAAATTTTTATTGTTAAATTGGATGATTTGTTGTAGTTTCTCTAATTGTACATAAACAAAAGTGGAATATGGAAGTTAGTGAATTTCATGTGTTAAATTTTTATTGTTAAATTGGATGATTTGTTGTAGTTTCCAGCAAAGAGTAAGTGGATTCCCCTGGAATTCCTTGTGTGAATGCTGTTGCCGGTTGTTTCAAAGGTTTATTCGATGGAGATGGCAAAGATTTGATTCATTTGAAGGTAATTTGGTAATCTGGAGATTGTGTATGTTGCTCGTTTTTGGTTCTGTTCTGACTCTAGTCACATTCTCATAAAGTTGTGGATCAATAGCTTTACCACGAAATTGTTAATGGATTTTCTGAAGATTGGTTTCTGGTTATGGTCTTTGTGTACAGTTTTTGAACTGTTTCATTGATTATTTTCAGAAACATGGTCCAAAATGGAGAGTTAATGCATACCGGAGTGATAGATGGAAGCGGAATTAATGCTCAGGTGGCTTCTTCGGATCTGCAAGTAGTTTTTGCTTAGAATCTTAATGGAGCAAAGTAGTTAGATTTGCGTAAGAAAGAACATATGTAATGGTCCATGATCCTTGATAGAAATCTCAAAACAAGCCTATGATATTCCTCACAACCAGACCAGGTTACAAAAATGTTTGTGATGGAAGAAGAGAATCAAAGAGCAACTAAAAAATGGGTCATAGTTAGTTTTTCATTTCATATTTTTTGCTATATCTATATTCTTCATCCTTTTTGCAATATTGTTATTTACACAATAAACTTCTTTTTGTTTTTTGCTAACTAATTCGATCCGACAAATTTTCTTCTCCAGCAAATTATGTTTTGAAGCACAACAAGATCATGAATGGAGGCTTAACCGAACAAAACCATATTCATATAGATAGATAAAATATCAAAGTCTAAATCAAATTCATACAGAGAAAAAGATAACGTAATATTGAAAAACCAAAATCGGTTATCAAAACCAGACCAGGTTACAAAATGTCTGTGATTGAACTGGAAGGGAATCAAAGATCGGCTTTTCCAGGATAACGAGGGAAAGGAATAACATCTCTGATGTTGTCGATTCCTGTAGCGAAGAGAACCATACGTTCTAATCCAAGTCCGAATCCTGCATGCTTAGCTGTTCCAAAACGACGCAAGTCAAGGTACCACTCGTATGGCTCCGTTGGTAGACCAATCTCCTCCATCCTGTTCATCAAAACATACCAGATTTTAGTTTTGCTTCATGAGAGATATATATCCAAAGGAGCGAACAAAAAGAGCAAAAGATTGAACAAATTGGTTTCACTTTCACCAACCTTTCCAAGATGACGTCAATTCGTTCTTCCCTTTGACTTCCACCAATGAGTTCTCCAACCTAATTTTTACAGAGAGAAAAAAAAGATAACGATGAATCAATCGCACACAGAAAAAAAGGATTCAACTTTAACTGTGTTATAATGTGATAATGATGCATGAGCTTAGTTACTATACCTTTGGAACGAGGACATCCATGGCAGCGACTGTCTTTCCGTCATCGTTAAGTCTCATGTAGAAAGCTTTGATTCCTTTAGGGTAGTTATAGACAATAAGAGGCTTTTGAAACACAACCTCTGTCAAGTATCTGAATCATTGCAAAACAGGAGACAACGTTCGTAACCCCAATTCTTGTCAAGTGTTAGAGATATTAAAAGATAATAGAAGAAGGAAAAAAACCTTTCATGCTCAGATGCTAAGTCGATTCCCCACTCTACTGAGTTCTCAAATGTCTTTCCTTTAGCCACAGCTTCCTCAAGTAGCTCTATCGCTTTGGTGTATGTAACACGCCCAAACGGAGTCGAGGCGACCAGTTTTAGCCTGTCAATGCAGCCTTTGTCGTAATTCTTAGCCATAAACTCCATGTCATCGTAACGTTTCTCAAGCAAATACTTGCACATGTACTTCACATACGCCTCTGCGCAGTTCATATCATCCTACACATAAATTCCCAAGCCAGTTTCTAAGGATATACTTTACAGATATATAACGGCGACAAAGAATATATAAAAAAAAAAAACAAAAGAGTTTTATTACCTCAAGATCAGCTCCTGCTAATTCAGGCTCAACCATCCAGAACTCAGCAAGATGCCTCGAGGTGTGAGAGTTCTCTGCCCTGAACGTCGGGCCAAATGTATACACGCTGCTTAGAGAGCAAGCATACGTCTCCACTTGTAACTGACCAGAGACTGTCAAGAAAGCTTCACGGCCAAAGAAATCATGCGCGTAATCAATCGTCCCATCTTCCTTTTTAGGTAATCCTGGCTTAAGCTTCGACCTCTCTTCCACATTAGCTAAACTCGCCTTCGCTGTAGTGAGCTCCGCAACGGAGGCAGCGATCTCTTGCTTGCTCGCTTTGGCGGCTTTGAGCTGCGCTACAGCTTCACCTCTCTCCTTCACGATGAGCCTTGCAGCTTCAATGTCAGCCTCCGTGGGAGGAGGGTTGTTGATGAGATCCTTCTCCACCCTCTCGGAATGGTTGATCAATGTCGTCACTTGGAACATTTCACCAGCACCTTCGCAGTCACTTGTTGTGATGATAGGAGTCTGAATGTATAGGAAACCACCATCGTTAAAGAATGTGTGCGTCGCGTAACTAAGCGCATGCCGGATTCTTGCAACTGATTGGATCTGAAATCACAGCCAAAACAAATTTTAGCAATTAGCAATTCCCAATTTCTAAATAGCCGAATCAAATCCAGGAATAGTTCAATCTAGTTTCAATCAATCTCAAAATGGGAGAATAATTTAGGGTTTTACCGTGTTGGTCCTTGGACGAAGATGAAGAGTCTCCCTCAATTTCTCCAGAGTCAGCTTCGTCTTAGGAATCGGGTACGTAGCCGGATCCACCAGTCCAACATGAATCACCTCCTCGACGCTAAGCTCAATCTTCTGCTTCGTGCCTTTGCCTTCCGGGGGCATCTTCAACAATCCATCGACGGTGACACACGTTCCCGTAGCAACCAGCTTAGGGAGATCGTATACGGAAGCGTCCACCATAACCTGAAGGTTCGCTGGGCAGGATCCGTCGTTCACCTCGAGGAAAGCGAAAGTCCCTTTGCCTTGCTCTCTTCCGGTTTTAACCCACCCGAAGATTCGAACCTTCTGGCCGGCAAGTCCAGCTCCGCCGTCGGGTCGACCCAAAATCGACTGAATACGGACACGATCTGAGAACGGCTCTTTCTGCACCGTCGAAGCATCGTTGCCCAAGGAGACGGCGGCTAATTGATCTGCCGGCGGCTGAATTTGATCACCCATTGTTCGAAAGCTTTGAGGAGTGATGAATTTGGGGCGTTGGAGATAATAAAAACCCTAAAATGAGGTTTCACGGTAAATGGTTGGATTGGTCTAAAATGAGGTTTCGCTATTTTATATGTCGTTGGATTTGGAGGAATCCTGTAGGGGTAAAACTGGAAATTGATTAGCCAAAGATTCTAACGGAGTATAGATGGAATCTTTGCTTCGTATCATTTCCTTTTTTTCTTGTCCAAATTATATTTTTGCCTTCCGTTTATGGAATACGACGAGAGACGTCATATAACAATGACGCCGTAATGAAATACAAATCCACAGAATCAATTGATCTATCGGACAGAATCATCATAATTATTAAGTTTTAAAGATCATAAGTCTATATATATCAAAGTACGGAAGATTTACATGCCATAGATCTCATAGATCTTCCAAAAATTGATCTTATAGTAAGACCATAGATCGATCTTCCAAAAAAATGATTCAAGTTTCAGAAAGGGTCAAACTTGTGCTGGTTATGGGCTTTGATATACCCAATAGTAATTATTTGGTATGGATCCATATTTATAAACAGTTCTTAAATGCGCTTACAGTAAGGCCCAACAAATTTCGTTGTCACGTATAAATACATACACATATCTTCGGCTCGGAAAAACCCTAATTCTGAGAATCAGCTCACATTTCAGCAAGCTTCTTGCCGCCGTCGGAAGAAAAAGGAGAGAAGCAAACCAACCATGGGTAATCAATCCTCAGAGTCTCCTTGAGTTTAATTAGTGAAAATCGAGTCGTTTAATTTGATGAGGTGATTTGTTTTTTTTTATGATTTTCATTTGGATCTGCTAACAGTAAGTGTTTGTGGATTTCAGGAAAAGTTCATGGATCTTTGGCTCGTGCCGGTAAGGTGAGAGGACAGACACCGAAGGTGGCGAAGCAAGATAAGAAGAAGAAGCCCAGAGGCCGTGCTCACAAGCGTCTCCAGCACAATCGCCGTTTCGTCACCGCCGGTAATTTTCTAAAACTCCTTTCCCATAAGACTAGTAATTTATATAATTTGCTGATTTGAATACGCTATTCATTGTTCAGCTTAGCTAATAATTCAGTGGATTGGTATTTGTGATTAGTCGAAATTGCATGTATTAGGAATAGTAATCTACACAACTGTTTTGAATAAGCTCAAAGTTTATACTTCTGGGTTCGAATGCTTATAGATGATAGCATACAGTGTATGATTGTTCACGTCTATGTAATCAAATGCCTCCTTCAGTGTACTGAGTGCTTAGTTACAACATTTCTCTTTGTATAGACATTGATTTATGTTCGTTAATGGATTTTTGCAGTTGTTGGATTCGGTAAGAAGAGAGGACCCAACTCTTCAGAGAAGTAAAAAAAAAAATGCTGAAAGAAATGATTCTGTGAAAGCTTATCATAGCTACTTTGTAACCTTCGGGGTTTTTTTCTTCATTTGTTTTAGTCATGTTTCTTTGGTACTAGACTTATATGTTTTGACTCTATGCTATGAAAGAAGACTTTTTACTTCTGAATCTCATTATTTACTTTAACACCATCTATAACATTTTGACCACAAACAAAACTTGAATCTAGGACCAATTCTGTGAAATAAATGAAAATATCCAAATTTTGCAAATGCAACGTGTAAAACTAGACTCGGTGTTTTCAAAGTTCGTCATGAAAGCCTTTTGGCGAGTCGGATCTTGTAGAGGCCTTCTTGTCTTTAAGGTACTGTACGGCCATCGACGCATGAATTGCAGCACCGTACGGAAGCACATCCTCGTTGATTCTATAGAACGGCGAATGAGACGAAGCGTAGCCTTTGGTCTCATCTTGCATCCCCAAGAAAGAGAAATGACCAGGGATTGCCTTTGCAAAGTAGGAGAAGTCTTCTCCTCCCATAACAGGCGTCGCTTCCACAAAAGATTCTTCACCCAACAGATCTCCGACCATGCTCTTGAACTGCTTGTATAAGCCCTCGTCGTTCACGGTTGGTAGGAGCGGTATTTTACCGTTTGGTGTTAGATCCACGGATGCATTGCACTGGTGAACCAATGCTTGCTTGATAATAACCTATAACCAAAAAAAGTTGAAAATCAGGGGAAAAAGCAAATGATACTAGAAAAAGGTGCGAGCGATCTTGAATCACATCACCTCTTTGACTCTTTGTTCAAGCTGAGTAAAGCCGGTGAAGGCTCGGAGAGTCCCTCCTATGGTGACTGAATCAGGGATAACATTGAAAGCATTGCCTCCGTGAACCTTAGCAACAGTAACCACCTGAAGAAGAACCAATCCGAATGAGTTTTGTTAAAGGTTTCTGAGCTCTTCAAGAATAGAAAGAAAGGAACCTTGGAATGCAAAGGGTCGGTTTCACGTGAAACAAGGTGTTGAAGACTGAGGATGACACTTGAAGCAGCAACAACAGGGTCTATAGTATGCTGTGGAATCGCGGCGTGACCTCCTTTTCCGGTGATCACAGCCTCAAACGCTCCAGCTCCGGCGAGAATCGAACCTGCAAGCGAAGCGGCTTTACCTAAAGGAATCCGGTTGGAGAGATGAATCCCGAAAATGGCGTCGACGTGCTTCAACGCTCCTTCTTCTATCATCTTCTTCGCTCCGGCCAAACCTTCTTCCGCTGGCTGGAAAATAAGCACCACAGTCCCCTAAACAAAAACCAAAACCAAAGGTTTGATAATGATAAATGTTGCTGATGAGAGCAAGTAGCCAATGCAGAGAGTGTGTACAAATTGCAAAACCTGCAAATCTTGGCGATGTTTGTGAAGCAACTTTGCAGCACCAAGAAGCATAGTGACATGACCATCGTGTCCACAAGCGTGCATTTTACCAGGATTTTTGCTCTTGTGCTCCCACTCAACACCTTCCTGAATATTCAACAATCAAAATCAGATTATATTATCTTCATTAACCTAAGATCAAATCCAATCAAATTTCATACTAATAGACCTGAAACTCTCGGATCGAGAATATTTCTGGGAAATCGTGCCACTGAAACATCGACATTGATATTCGAAATTCATAATTTTCTGAGCCCAAATCAATGGTGGTTACTTAGTTTTACTACACCTGCATAGGCAAAGCATCCATATCGGCTCTCAGAGCGACGAACGGCGGTTCTCCGGTGCCGATGTATCCGATGACGCCGGTGATAGCGACGGGATACCTGTACTTGACTCCGATGAGGTCCAGCTCCGACCTGATGAGTTTACTGGTCTCGAATTCCTCGTAGCCCAGCTCCGGATTCTCGTGGATTTTCCTTCTGATTCTCACCATCCAATCGAAAACCTTCGGGCTCTTGGCGAGTTCGAGGAACTTCGACGGGATTCGAGAGGCGTCGCCGCCGGTGTTCGATGCGGATTCCGATGAGACGGTGAGTAGAAGGAGTAGCTGGAAAGTCAAACTGAAGAGCAGATAGATGGTTGGAGCCATGGTGATTGGTGAGGAAGAAGAAGACAACGAACTTCTGATTACAATGACGCGCGGCACTCAAATATAGGGGAAGACTGAAACGACACTCCACTGAGCTTGATTCTTAATGGGCCAAATGTTGTAATTTAAGCCCATTTCATGAATTTTGTTGATTAAGTTACTCGGACTGCAACATCGAGAGTGAGGTTTATTACAGTACACTCCAGCTGCCTTGGCTTGCAAGAAATTCAAGTCGCGGCAAATAATTTTTTTGTGATCTCCGTTGATTGGATGCAGGATTGTTTGTTTATATGTGTTGGAGCTAAATACTAAACAAATCGTTGATTGGCTGAAAAACAAACAGAGACAACAAACTAGGTTTCTACAACAACAACAACAACAAACAAAAGGTCAAAAGTGATGGTGTTTTTGTCTCTTTATAATGCAAGAGTCAAGACTATGAAAACTCAGCAATCGTGGAAATGGAAACTAACACAATTTTTTGGGCCAAATTCCTATATACGAAAGCCGTACGTGGATTGGACGTGGAGGCCATTGCAAATATCCCCATATGCTCGACCATTTTTGCCAACACAACTATTAACTTTGGTAATTTGAACTATATTTTGCCTATGTGGTCCGTTTTAATTTAATCTAAAATTTCTTTTACAAAAAAAAAATATATATACAACAACATATGATATATACCATTACCATATAGGTTAATTATATCTACTATATTCTGCATGACACATGTCCAAATTTTGGAAAGGAATCTATTATGTCAAGAAGCTGACAACATAACTTTTCAATACAAATGAAAATTTATGATTTAGAATAAACTTTGGTATATTCAAGTTTTTGATAGACAAACACACAGTACACATATATTAATATTGACTTCACTTTATACAAATTATTATAAATATTTTATTATCTGACATATCTGGTTCTATTTATTTTGGTCAGATTTGATATTAACTAAAGGCTTTCATCTTTTTGACGTGTGGATAAAATCTAGATTCCTTGATAATTTAGTGGGTCAAAAGACGTGGATTTATCTCTAAATATAGAGGAAAGCACTTATCGTCTCCAAATCCATCACCCCTACAAATACCCCTTTTGTTTTTGGGCTCCATCAAATTATTACACCTCCTCGTAGACATTCTCTCTCGATCTCTCAGTTTTCAATTCACCTTTTCCTTTTTTTGAAGATGACTATCTCTGTCGAAAACCCTGTTTCTGGTAAGCTTAAGTCTATCTTGAACTTTTTATCCATCGCTAAATTTAGGAGAAATAATCAATGGTGTATAATTTTGAACTTTTATTTTTCCAAGTGCACGAGGATTTTACAACACAAACGAAAACCGAAGAGTTACAATCGGACAGTAGAATTCCAATGTCAACGATACCATCTAATGATGAAGTGTTTTTGGCTCCTGAGGTGAATGCATTTGGTCGTGAATTCAGGTATCTTTTATTTTCTTACCAATTTATGTTTTTCCACATGAATCAAAAGAATATTATTTTGATTAATGTAAATTATTGTAGAAACTATGAGGATGAGAACAACGAGAGGCAGAAGAGCGTCGAAGAGTTCTATAAAACACAACACATTAACCAAACTCTAGACTTTGTAAGATCTCTTCTATATCATAATTTAGGGTTTATCATTTTGCGAGTATGTATATATACCATATTTTGCATGGAAGTAATTTTGTGAACTACTGTTGAAAATTAAAGATTTCAGCCAAAATGAACATGTACGTACATATTATACTTTTGCAGGTAAAGAAAATGAGACATGATTATGGAAAATTGGACAAGATGGTGATGAACATTTGGGAATGTTGTGAACTTCTTAACGAAGTGGTGGACGAGAGCGATCCCGACCTCGACGAACCACAAATTCAACATTTGCTTCAAACTGCGGAAGCAATTCGTAAAGATTACCCTGACGAAGATTGGCTCCATCTCACTGCTCTTATCCACGGTAATTAGTCGTTAATTATTACAAATAGTAATGGTTATGGGCTTATGGCTATAATTAAAAATTCAAATCTTCATATATAAGAATCCTAAGAAATGCTAAAATGGAATGAATTTTCAGATCTTGGGAAGGTTCTTACTCTTCCACAGTTTGGAGGGCTTCCTCAATGGGCTGTTGTTGGTAAGTCTAATTTCTGGTTTCTTGTAATTATCAAAAGATAATGAGTCCTGTTTTCAAAATTTATAAACTTATTAATCTTACTATTTTTTATTAACTCATGAATTCTCTATCAAAACCTGCAGGTGATACATTTCCAGTTGGGTGTGCATTTGATGAATCTAACATACACCACAAGGTAATAAATCTCAATATTTTGCTAATTATATTATTTAAACAAAAAAACACATATTATTTTTTAATACACTTTTTTTTGTCAAATTTTGTTAATACACTGAACAAGTGGTTCAGGATTTAATTGCTTTTTTCTTACCTTTATTTGCAGTATTTTAAGGAAAACCCTGATTTTAACAACCCAACTTACAATACCAAAACTGGGATATATTCTGAAGGATGTGGACTAGAAAATGTTTCTATGTCATGGGGCCATGATGACTACATGTACATGGTAAGTTATTTGATTACTATAATTTATGAATTTTTTTATTATCGATTATGATTTAAATGGTCTAAAAATCTTTAAATGTATGCTTACAGGTGGCCAAGGAGAATGGCAGCACTTTGCCATCACCGGGACTGTTCATCATCCGATACCATTCCTTTTATCGTAAGCATAACACTAGGACTATTAACGAACTAAACCTAAATATATAAGTAACGTGATTTGATTAATTAATTAACGTTGATGTGGGATCAATGTATGTAGCATTGCACAAGGCTGGAGCTTATACTCACCTTATGAACGACGAAGACAAGGAAAACCTCAAATGGCTCCATGTTTTCAAGTAATTTTCTCTTCTAAATCAAATATAGCTTGACTTTTTATTGCCAGTGATATATCCGTTTTAATCCTTAGTTGTGTGTGTTAATTTAATTATACAGCAAGTACGACTTATACAGCAAGAGCAAAGTACACGTCGATGTCGAGAAGGTTAAGCCGTACTACATGTCAATCATCAAGAAAGTGAGGATCTCTACTTTCATTTGCTAAATATAAATCATATGGTGATAAAACTTATAATAATTTGTTATATAGATTTGCTAAAACAATGATTTTTTGTTGAAAACATTATGATAGTTTTTGTATATCGCTTTTCTTCTTGTTATTAAAATTTAATATTTTTGTTTGGAATTTTCAGTATTTCCCGGAAAATCTGAAGTGGTGAAAAACTGCATCACGACGTCCAAAAAGTCTGCTGTTAGAAGATCAAATTGAGTCAGATTGGTAGTCGTTTAAGCACTGGAATGCATTTTTATTGCTCAGCTAACAATGATTTATCATTGCATTAGCTAATGTCAATCAATGAAGATGCAACATTATTGTATCCCGTTTGTCATGTTATTAATAAAAAAGTTAAAGTTTTCAAGATGATGGTGTATCGTTTTTTTGGATTGCCTAACGAAACATACATTTTTTCACTAACTTTACTCAATAGAGTTAGAGTAGCTATTGAGTAAGTAATGAGATCCGACTCCGAGACTTCATAATCTTTGAAAATCAGTTATGCATTTTATTTTCAGTGTTTATTCAATGTCTCCTAAATACGTTTATCTTTATAATTTGCATATCCAATATTTAAGGAAAACAGAACGAAGATTACTTCATTCATTCATATGATGTGCAAAAACAATTACAAAACTAAACATCTAAAGAGAAAAACATTTGTGTTTTCTCTGTTTTGCCAACAAAAGGACAAAATCTTCGAAACAAACAATTATTTCACTTTCACCTAAAACGGCATCGTGTTGGGGAACCCCTTTGTGTATGTAATAGATAAGCCCTGAAACATTCACTTAGTAATCTCTTTAGTCACCGGAGGAATATCGACAGGACCGTCACCGTCAAGAAGCGGCGTCTCCGGCATCTCTTTCTTCTCTTCAGTTACATCCTTAGGTCCCAAGAAACTTGGCTGGTTCGTAGAAGACAATAGCCTCGCCCACATCCTATCCGTAATCACTACATTGTTCTGTTTCTCTGTTATTCTCTGCAACAACAACAAAAAGAAGATCAAATTTAAGACCATCCAACAAAAATCTGTTACTCAGATCCTTAGACCAGTAACTTACGTAGAAAGGGATGTATGTTTGTCTTCCATGGACAAGACCACTGGTGTAGCCAGTGTAACCAGCCATTGCACCATGAACCGCGCTCTGAGCAAGAAGTGTACAGTAAACATTGTCTGATGCATTACTTGGAACCGCCCGGATCATGTATGTAGGATCTTAAAGAAAAAAACGAGAAATTGAGTTTAAAAGAAACTTAAATTATACGAATAGTTGAAAAAATGGAGACTTATGATTTGTTACCAATGTATTTGAGATTCATCACCATCTTATTCTTCTTAAAATGATCCTATCACCAGAGAAAAAAACAACACTACGATGAGTTTTCTGTAATGGCATAACAGAAAGTCTAAGAGTCTTTTTTTTTTTTTTAATATATTTACCTTAATGCATTGCGCTAGCCACAAGCCAACGTCTTTAAGAAGTTTGTTACCAGACGCGTCCGTATTAGACTCCATGCTTTTGGACATCAATTCTTGTCCTGCTCCTTCAGCAAGAACAATCACCATGTGACCATTCTCCTTGAGCCGTTTCTCTACGAACTCAAAGAGCCCACCTTCTCCTTCCAGGTAAAATGGTGACTCCGGAATCAAGCAGCAATCAACATCTCTGCTTGCTAACGTCGCATACATCGCTATGAATCCTGCAGTAAACAATCGCCATAGCCTTTAAATCAGTAACAACAGCTTAATAAGTGTAATGTTTAAAGCAAAAACACAAGAAGAGAAAAAACCTACCGCTGTAACGACCCATAAGCTTAACAAAACCGATACCGTTCTCATTACTCTCAGCTTCAACATGAGCTGCGTTGATCGCTCGCTGAGCTTCCTCCACAGCAGTGTCAAACCCAAAGGATTTATCTATCACCGGTATGTCGTTGTCAATTGTTTTTGGAATCCCAACAACAGCAACTTTAAGCCCACGTCTTCTAATTTCCTACAGTGTTTTATAATTCTAAACTCAGTTGTTGATTGTTAATAAACTTATAACTACTATTCAGAGATGGCTCAGTAGCATTACCTCAAATATCACTGAAGCTCCTCTCTGTGTTCCATCTCCACCAATAATGTAAACCTGGTTGATTCCTCGGTCTTGAATGCTATCAACTATCTTTGTGGTATCATGTCCACCTCGTGAGGTCCCGAGGATTGTTCCTCCTCGTTTATGGATATCGTTCACGACTTTGGAGTTTAACGGGATAGTGTTCTTGGCATAGAATCCCCTGTATCCACCCTGTAATGACAATCATTAGGACATTAGTCTGGCGAAACTCATACTGTAGATTAACTAATGTTTTCACAAAAACTTACATCAATTCCAAGAATTCTCTTTACTCCATACATGTATGATAAGCTGCTAACGACTTCTCTAATCACGGTGTTGAGACCGGGACAGAGACCTCCACATGTGACAATGCAAGCATGGACTTCGTCAGACTCAAAGTAAACCTTTTGGCGTGGACCAGCTCGTCTGAAATGGATTCCTCTTGGACCATCCTTGTGGACTACAATCTGAATAACAACAAGAAGAAAATAAAAACAGAGGAATGAAAAGAAAAAAAAACATTTTGATGTGAATTCAGTTTCTGAGTAAGGCATAATCATGTAACACCATTCTTCAAACAATTCAAAGGTAAAAAAGGATTATGCTTGATGAATTTTACCTTCTCAGGAACACTATCATCTGCATCAACAAAGTATTGCCTGACCAAAAAAAAAAAAAACACTCATTTGTGAACAAAAACAACAAACACTATCGACACTTAAGCAATAGAAACGTGTGAAAAAATACTTACTTGACCACAGAGTAAGCTGGATTGTCTTGTAATGGATTTGGATAAGTCTGCAACAACATCAAACAGGAAAAAGATTCGACCAATTATCACCATTTGATTTAAGTAAAACCATGAACAGATCAAAAGATTCGCACTTTGTTTGTAGACAATATCAGATTCGATTTTTTTTTTAGTAGATCGAGAGTTTTTCTAATCAGTTAAGCAAGAATCAGAGAGATCAAGTGGGACGTACAGGAAGATCCGGCAGGTAATCGATGAGATGAGGAACGTCCTGTAGTATATAACCACCAGGACCGTTGACGATCTTCGGCTTGTTACTTTTCGGACTAGACATAACGACGATCGAAATCAGACAAAACTCTTATCTTCGTGTCTCGAACAGAAACTACTTGAATCAGAGAGAAAAGAAGGAAAATGACAGAGCGGTGAATCAAACTCGTGAATCCAATACAAGGCGACCCATTTTTGTAGGAGTCTGGATATTTAAGTCGGTATAAACGAATCGGAAGAGGTAAGAGAGAGTGAGAGAGAGAGAGAGAGCAAATGAGACGAAGAACTTTTCTAGATGGAGAATATGATCGAACAGGTGGCGGGCATTAAAGGAATTTCACTTAAGGAAGAGAATATTACATATACATACACTCACACACACACACACATACATACATGTATATGTGCTTAGTTTCAGGATTCTCGTGTGTATATATATATAAAGGTGATCGATGACGGAGGACGAAAAGAAAAACGGACGTTGAAACTTGGAGAAGAAGATGATTCACTAACGATTTAGTAAATTAATTTATTTTAACTTTCCATTTACTGACATCGTTTTATTTTAGGCCTTGGATAACAAGTTCAGAATTTTAAAATGATTTTTTTTTTTTCACTTATTTTCTTCGATCTTCTTTTACTTTTTTCAGTTTTTGATTTTCAAATCTTGAAGAATATTCCGACGTCTAGAAATAAAAAGAAGAATCTTAAAGAAAGGGAGACAAATCCAACTTTTGGTGTCGGCTATCTCTAATTCTCTATTTTATTGTTTTTTTTGTTGTTGTCAAGCAACAATTTGCTCGTTACAAAGAGAAGAAGATGATATAATAATTTACAAATGAACAAAAAGAGTTGACGAAAAGCCTATTAGTTCATAATGCTATCACATGACATACTTGCTTAGCCGTTTTAAATAAAAAAACTTATTTTGTAAGATCAATAAGATTATAATATTTTATTTTCGAAAACTGCTCGCGTAGTGTTAAATAAAAAAATCTATACACGTTTATTCGTATAATTCTTCGTTCGTAGTGTTCTGTTGAATGATCTACGGTCAACTGAAGATTTATGCGTATTTGCCGGTCGATTTCGAACCAGTAAAGTTATCAAAAATCAAGCTGATTCTCAGCAAAACATGTACTTTTTCTTCATATTGAACATTTTAATTTTTTCCCGTAAATTGAAAGTTAGATAAATTAGTATTTGCGGTAAATCGTTAATCTTATTTAACTATCTACAGTAGGATATTGAAATTCATATCTGGAAATGGTAAATACAGGTCGTTGTTTCTGCTTGCTTTGCTTGCATATGTCACAACGTACGTGACCATGAGTTTGAATCCCATATGTTGCAAGAAACAAAAACGAAGTTGAATGGGCTATTACAAATGCCAATTACAGGTCGATATATGGGCCCTGATTAGGCCCAGTAATCATTTCTCAAGTGTCGGACGCATAAGTTTTTATTTTGATTTTAGGCATAAGTTAAAAGTTGAAACAATGCCATATTGTTGCGTACAACACTACACTAGTTAAGAGCAGTGTTTGATGGATACTTGAAAATTTTAGGTTTTTATCGTCAAATAGGATGTTGACAACAAAAAAGAAAAGATCCTCAAGTGGGAAATATAAATATTGGCTAGGTAGCCAATTGGTCCATCCAAATGGTCATATGGTACTTGCTCATTAACTACACACCAAAGAAAAGAAAAATGCGAAACCTAACTAATTTTTCCTAAAAGAACTTAGACCAAAGAGAATAAACATTATAACATACAAACTCACAAGTTTATGCATTATGTATAGGTAATATTCATAGAAGATTGTCTTGTCCTAGCTAGTATATGTAATTTTTTATTGTGTATACATGTGTTTGCATAGACTAAATAAAAGAGATGTTCTTATACTATACACAGATCTAATTAATATGTTTATTCTCGTCTCACTCTCACACAGTCTCTAGCTACTAGCTCGCGGAGTTTCTACTTCTTTTTTTCTTTTCCGCTTTTCAAAGAAAAAGGAAAGAACAAATCGGAAACCTTAATAATCATTAGATCGAATAAATGATGACCGTCTCTGATCCGTTGTTCAAACAAATCTGCGGCTAGGCCCCATGTTCCGACAACATCATTGGACCCACATCAATGTAGGACCCATTGGAAAACAAAGATTCTTAAAACATGTTTTTGCCCTTAATCCAAAGGGATTTTCCTTAAATGCTTTTTCCTATGTTCTTTATTATCATATGCTATGTTTGCTAAATTAACCCGAAACTACAGTATGTATTATAAGTGCAACGTAATATAATAAAAATTGGTCTAAGAGCACCACTATGTTCGTGATTTTTATTTTTAACAAAGGCTTTCTAACTATGGAAGGCATTTTGTAAGTATTATATATTACTCACAATCTCCTCACACCGTTAAAAGATTGTTTGATGTGGTCATGATATGCATAAAATTAAGCATATGTAACTGTGTGCAAAATCCTAAAATCCTAATACTGTTTGTAGAAAAGCATTCATATATATTTTTGTACATGTATACCGCTTAGAATGTATGAAATACACTTTACTTAATTAAGAAAAGTAACAACAAAAGAAAGGACATAAAAAGTTTGGTCAAGACACTGAAGACTCACACAAGACAAGCGAGAGTAAAACTAGGGTTTTAACCTTTTCAGTCTCAACTCCTTTTATTTCCTTTACTCTTCTTCTTCCTCCTCTTTTCTTCTCCATTTCTTTATCTACTTGTCATAGATTTTTCAGTACTTAAAGTCATATCTACATGTGTTTCTGTGTCTCTTCTGGAACCAAAGAGATATAATAATAATAACAATAATTGTAATATAAACTTTTGTTCAAAGCGTAATTAAATATATACGTGCTAATAAATTATAGATTATAAAGTTTCTCTAGTTATATATATTGAGATCAGTCCCGTCTTTATCAAGTTCTTCTCCCTCTTCCACTTTTTATTCAGTCGATCTCATATAAATCTGGTAATCTTCTTTTTGAGAACAAGTTTGTAAATCTAATCTGGTAATCTTCTTTTTGAGAACAAGTTTCTAAATCTGGTAATCTTGATATTTGTTTTTCACTGTTTTCATGCCTTAATTCAATTATATATGCAGATCAATCTCTCATACAATCGATATCAATCGTTTTAGCTATCGATCGAACGTAAATGAAGAATAGCAAATGTAATTTCATAGATTCAAAGCTCGAAGAACACCATCATCTTTGCGGATCAAAACACTGTCCTGGATGTGGTCGCATGATTCAAGCTGCTACTAAACCAGTAATATCCATGTTCCGTAACTCGTGTTATGCATAGCTATCAAAAGTGAAAAAGAAATAATTTCCTTTAACTTTTTATTTTTTTAAAAATTATGTTCTTCATCATTCATCCTCTTTCTTTTGGTTTTAGAATTGGTTTGGATTGCCGGCGGGAGTGAAATTCGATCCGACGGATCAAGAACTTATGGGACATTTAGAAGCAAAAGTGAAGGGTAAAGAAGAAAATAATAAATGGTCATCGTCACACCCACTGATAGATGAGTTTATCCCCACCATTGATGGAGAAGATGGGATCTGTTACACTCATCCGCAGAAGCTTCCAGGTTCCTTTGTTTATTTTCTATACAACAAACTCTACGTTATCTTCAAAATAAAAACTCAAGAAGCTTGAATTATATGATCTGCATGGACCGATAGCACAAAAAGAATATGGATTGATTTGGTATATAACTAAAAAGGTTAAGGAGATTATTTTTTTTTACGAGAAAACCAATTTAGATATCACTACACCTTTATCCTTTTCAATAAAAATCGTTAATATAATTTATTTTTCAACACCCTTGATTGTTTCAAATTATGAATTATTGAATAAAGTCTTATTTTTACCCTAGTTATTCTTACATGAGTATGTACATTAGTATTCTTATCATCTCTGTATTTTGTATAACTGTATATATAAGTGTGCATAATAGATTGAAAATGATTAGGAAATTCTTTTGAAAAATTCTACACTGAACATGGAAATCAATAACCTATTATGAAAGAATATGATGTGATGCTTTTCAACTAACTTAAAAGTATTAACAGCATAATTAATCGACTCTTCTATTAACTTGGTAATTTTATTATCTTGGACTTTTTAGCTCACATATACATATTGTATTATACATAACTAGATATTTACCGAAGAATGTTCATGCAATGCAAGTAGTACATGGGCTCTTAGATAACGTTTGGTAACCTAACGTTGAACAACACAATTCGAGACATTTTCTTCATAATAACTTGTTCCTCTTAAAATAAATTTCTAGAAATCCAATTCATATCATTTTAAATTTTCTTGCTTCTAATTAGGGGTAACAAGAGATGGCTTAAGCAAACACTTCTTCCACACACCATCGAGAGCTTACACAACCGGAACAAGAAAACGACGCAAAATCATTCAAACCGATCACGACTCCGAATTAACCCTCTTAAAATAAATTTCTAGAAATCCAATTCATATCATTTTAAATTTTCTTGCTTCTAATTAGGGGTAACAAGAGATGGCTTAAGCAAACACTTCTTCCACACACCATCGAGAGCTTACACAACCGGAACAAGAAAACGACGCAAAATCATTCAAACCGATCACGACTCCGAATTAACCGGATCATCATCTGAAACGAGATGGCACAAAACCGGTAAAACAAGACCGGTTATGATCAACGGTCAACAAAGAGGATGCAAGAAGATATTAGTACTCTACACAAACTTTGGCAAGAATCGACGACCAGAGAAGACGAATTGGGTAATGCACCAGTATCATTTGGGGATTAATGAAGAAGAGAGAGAAGGAGAGCTTGTTGTTTCCAAGATCTTTTATCAGACGCAACCTAGGCAGTGCGTTGGTAATATTAACTGGTCCGATCATCATGGTAGTTCCAAGGACTTGAACGGAATCGTTGCCGGAGATGAGATCTCCAATGTGGCTACCGCTTTGCAAAGTCTTAGCTCCGGTGACATAGTTTCTAGGGCTAATACGAATCCATTCACAAGAGACTTAGATGAGGTATCATATAAGTATATTTCTTACAATAATATGATTTATAAAAAATATCTAATGGAAACAACTAGTAACGACGGGTTAGTTATAAATCTTGGATATATATTGCTTTATAATAATTCATCTTTATGTGACTCTTAATGCAACAGTGATAGTTTAACAAACATTTTTGTGTGTGGTAATTAATATGTATGTAATTAAGGGGACAGCCGAAGCTTCGAAGGGAAGAGAAAACCGGAGTGTGTCTGGCACGTGCGAGGAAGTGCATGATGGGATGCTAAGACCATCATCGTCATCAACATCATCGTTGCCATCTCATCATATGATCCACGATCATCAAATCGGAGATAGAAGAGAATTTCACATACCATCTTCGTCACCATATCATGATCAGTCAATCTATAACATTACAAGTACGGTGCCCTTTCAGGTAAAGTTCTATTTCTGTCAATATGTATTATGTATACATATAAGCTAAAACTTGAAGTCAATGCACGCGATGGATATGTATAAACAGTAGTGTTTGTCTTCTTGAACATTTAATCATAAGAACTCATTTAAATAAAAACTAATGATTTTGGATCTACAGGCTCATGCAAAAAGTAAATCATGCAATTTATTACAAAATCAGTCTCTTTCGTATTTTTGCCTAAAAAGAAAACTACAGATTTGAAAAAAGTTATTCGTATTTTTCTTTCTTTATAATGACATGCAGCAACAGCAATTTAAAGGTCGATCATCTGGTTCGGGATTAGAAGACTTAATTATGGGTTGCACAGCTACTTGCACAAATGACGTAAGTTTTTTTGTTAATTCAATTTGTGCATGATAGATGTAATATATTAATAATGATAACCATTATGCCCATTTGGCCATTTCAAAAGATCTTACAAAAGTGTAAATTTTGCAGGAAAGCTCAGAAGCAATTCCACAGCAAAATGCAGATTGGTTAACGTTTCCACACTTGTGGTAGGACCAAAATTACTAAAATGATAAAAAAATATATTACATATATTATAAACAATTGTTAATCAACAATCATTTGGTTTTGTTACGTGTAAGATCAAGGTCACAAAGGCCTCAATCTTGTAGTATTTGTTTTCTTTCGGAGAATATTAACCGCTAGACCGGCCACAATTTCGCAGGAACCAAACCGAGCAAGATGGTCAAAACCGGAGCTTTTAACCGAACCAAAAGGAAGCAGAGAAGTCTTGCAAAAACCTCTGGCGTAGCTTCTCAAACCAATGCCGGAAATGTTGAGCTATGATCTCTGCCATTAGCTTTAGACATCAGAGGTTACGATGAATGCTGATTCACTCAAAGAAGAGTGTAGCCTTTTAAATTCCTCAACAGCCTAGTTACACATGAAAATAACAATCTTTTAGAAACAAAAACCATATACTTTGTAATGACGAATCACACACAAAAAGACCATCTTGAGGATATGTCTCATAGATTACCTTCCTCTGTGATTGATGCAGCAAAACCCGCGGTCTTATTGAGCGAACATGTTCAAAATCTGTAGCTACAGTCATACTCTTATGCTCAATCTGAAAAACACACAAAGAGAAACAACAGTGAGAAGTTAATTCATTTATGGAGTACGCAATGCAATTGTAATTTAACCGAAGGATATAATTTAAAACCGACAAATCTATGAACTTGCCAGATAGCAAAGAACAACGACAGTACTTCTTCCGCGACCAGCCTTACAATGGACATAAGTGGTCTTACCAAGCAAAGCATTCTCTGTTTACAGGAGGAGTAAGTATATAATCAGTAACAGAACAGAGTATAATTACAGAGAGCACAAACATGACTCACTGTGAATGAAGTTTACAGCTTGTGTTATATCTGCAATCGATGGAGCAAACAGGTAGTCTCGTGTTGGTATCACCAAATGCTCCATTTCGTAAGCCTAATCAAAAAAACTTTGCAATCATCAAATACTCCACAAGTAGACAAAAGATTTGATCATTTGAAGCAAAAGATTGGGAGCATTGGAACCACCTTACATTGTACAGAGAAGATGGTACCAAAGTCTCATAAGGCTCATTAAGAGTGATTACGCCACCAACGCCTAGCTCTTTTAGCCTTGGAACATCCTTACGAAATGGAACCGCTCCCATCAGAAGATACTGAAAGCAAAATCAGGCTTTCTGCATCAACATATTGAAGAATTGATACTCGAGATTCCAGAAAGAGCTCAAATTTTAAACAGTTTACTGGATAACTCACACCTACAATGATGAAAAAACCTGAACTTTAAAGCTAAAGACACAGTCAAGCTTGAGAATTGAGAAGCTAATTTCTTGGCAAGAAGAGTTGAGGAATTTTTCAGCTGCTCCAAACATCAAAGCAAATAACACATTTCCTCCTATTTCGGATCTAAACATTTTCTAGTCAAATTCAAATTTTCTAAGACCAAAAAAGATTATTTTTAAAAAATTAACAAAATTAAACACACCTCGTCGATTTGATCCCACCAACGGAACTGAGACTGGAGTTTGAAGCGAACGAGATTATAAAAAAGGGTCGGATAAAACAGGATCCGACCACCAGCTCCGATTAGAGCTCTCTTTGTTTTACCGCCCTTAAAACCCAAGCTCTTCTTCTTCTTCTTCCTCGAAACGCCGTCGTTTCTGGATGATCGCTGTGTCTCTTCATCTTCCTCAGTTTCATCGATCATCGCCGGAATTTTTGAAAAAACTTTTAAAAGAGACCAGAGTTGGTCAAACTATTTCATCCGAAATGTTTCTTCAATATCACCCTCCATTACGTTTGACTTACAAGGCCTATTTTAGTAAACCCAGACGTATTGGGCCTTTAGAGACCTATCAGGCCTAATAACGAACACCAAGTCTCGAAGGAAAGAAGAATTACAAGAGAGATGATCGGACGACGACGATACATTTTCGCTTTAAAAAAAAACAAAATAAAGTAATACTGGCGCACCTGTCGTATATATTTGCGTAAATGCCACTGTGACAGACACTCGTAATTTCGACGCTATCTCTAGAACATTCCGATCAACCACAGAAGCAGTGCTGAAAGCTGCAACCTTTTTACGTTTTCGTCATCACTTTACTCTTTTGCTTATATTGCCTTCTCCTTCTCCAAACGAATTTCGAGTAGGATCTATAGTCTATAGACAGTGCGTTCGATATTTTCTGTGCCCTTTTGTTTGGTTTTTGTTTTGATTTTGTTGAATTGTAATTGCAAAAGATTCAGTAGCAGAAGTTCGATTCACAAGTTGAAAGCATATTAAGCAGAAAGTTGTGACTTTATAATCTTTCTTTGTAGTTGAGTTTATTCACATGCTCATGGGTTTTTTCTTCTAGACTTCATAGTGAAGTGTTCACTGATATTTAGCTGTATAAGAAATGCTGTGATCTTGAAATCATTATACGTTTCTCTTACTGATTTTTACTACTGTTGTTGTTGTTGTCTTAGTTGAAGCCTGAGGAGATCGATGGCATTAACAAAGATTTTGCTGAACCTGGAACACTTGCGCCTACAGGATTGTTCCTCAACGGCACAAAGTACATGGTGATCCAAGGAGAGCCAAATGCTGTCATTCGAGGAAAGAAGGTAATGACACTATTTCGTCTTTTTGTGATTTTGATGAGCTAATGGTGTCACCTCTACTTGTTTTGATGAACCTTTTGCTTTTTCCATTGTAGGGAGCTGGTGGTGTTACCATCAAGAAGACCACTCAAGCCTTGGTCTTTGGTATCTATGAAGAACCAATGGCTCCTGGACAGTGCAACATGGTCGTGGAGAGGCTCGGTGACTACCTTATTGAATCAGGGCTCTGAAACCCAAGCCGCTGCTATATTCTTGTTGCCAATGTAATCTTCTAGTTGTGTCGTGAGAGAAAAGAGAACTATTTATATATCGAATGTGATCGATCATTCAATAGTCCGACTGTGTATTACCTACTTATCAAATCATGTGGTGGATCTTGATGTTGTTTGATACTAATACAATATGGTATTGACTCCATTTGTGTCGAGTTGAAATTTTTAATGAATGGCAGTGTGGTAACATAGCTTTTTTATAGAGTTTATGAATGGTTCTGTAGATTGAAATTTTTGTGAATTGCAGTTAGGATAGAGTTTCAGATCACAAGATTATCGACTTAAGTGAGATCAGACAAGATTTCAGATATAATGTCTGTACAACAAATGATTACAGGATGAAAAGCCAAAATCTTAAAGACGTTCAGGAACAAATTACTTTTTCCTGCTATCGCTACATTCCTCTAAATCACTGACTCAATTTTCAGAGTCTTGGTTACAAACTTACAATGCGTGTGAATTCAGAGTTTCAAAACCGAAACAACAACAAGATCACGAGACAGAGTCTCAAAATCCATCTGGCCAGCTTGTTTCCATGAGAAGTTGAAGCAGAGGAGGTCAATGCAGTTGCATTCGTCACCTTGGTTTTGTTCCTGCAGAGGATTCAAACAAATAAGTAAGTATATATGTGTCTATTGCTTGCAAAATGTGAAACAATGTTGCTGACTTTTGTGACATACCCTCCTGCTGTTATGTATATGCATTTGTCATAACCTGTAACAACATTGAATCAAATATCAAGACAGTTGATTTTGTGATTTTGCAGAACCAAAAGCTGAAGACGTTTTGTGATAAAGAGATTAAGGTTGATTTTGTGATTTTGCAGAAGTGAAAAGCTGGAGATGTTTTGTTTTACTTACTAGGGTCTTTGTTGACTCTAACACCAGCTCCTCCGAAGCTACAAGCAACATCTGTCGCTCTGTTCTGCTGGAAGTAGCTATTAAACACGAAAGAAGCATGAGAAACCAACGTGTCTGGTTGGAAACAAGGCTGGCTCGGTTGAATAGCCGTGCAGTCAACATTCCCCGGACCACAAGCCCAATCCAAAGCACCTTTCAGATCTCTCTCCGAAGCTTTAGCAGAAGCAATACACCATCTACTACTCCCACTCGAGTTTCCACCGCTCGAATTCCACCGAACTCCGTTGTTCTTCCCCGTGAAATCCAGCTGGTAAACACTAGTCTGGTCAGGGTAAAACAACCCCCAGTTTCTCTCCGAATCCAAACCCGACTTCTTGTTCTCGTTGAACAACGAGAATATGTAAACGTTCATCGACTCTCCCGGCTTTGCAGGCGTGCCTTGGTTGGTCACCGTGTGGCGGATAATGTTCGTGTTGTACGTCTCTGCGTTGTCCGGAGACGCGGCTGATTTCTCCTTCGGGGAGCCTTTCGTTGGCCATCCAGTCTCTGTGACCATGATCTTGATCGTCCTGAAGTTTAACGCCGTGAGAGCGTAGTAGAGCGCATCGACTTGAGCATCGAACATGTTCTTGTAGAGGAGACCTGTGTTTGGGTCGATGACTTCGGAGGAAGACTCGAACAAGACGTAGTCCAAAGTCACGTTGCTCGGAGAGTCTCTGTAAGCGTAGTAAGGATAAAGATCGATCATGAAAGGAGACTGATGCTCTGCGAGGAACTCGAGCATTGGCCTCAAGAAGTAGGCGTAGCTGCTGTTGAAAGCTCCGGCGGAAGGAGGGAAAGATCTTGAGAGGACGCCGAGGGAGAGAGTCGTCGAGACTTTGATCCTTCTGCTCAGACCGACTTTACGGAGAGCGGTTAGGACGTTCTGCATCGCCGGGACGACGAAGGAGGAAGCGTTGGTGTGTGGATCGTCGGTGGATTCGGCTCCGACGGTTATGTAGGTGATCTTGGTTGTTGGGTAGTGTGGCAAGACGCTGTTTTTTAGCCACGTGTCTGCGTTTGATTGGGATTGGGAGAAGGCGTTGAGGTCGGAGTTTGGGACTCCGATCATTAGCTCGATGCTTGTGTTTGCAAATGCTTTGAGGACTTGAGGGTTGTAATCGTAGATTCTGACGTATTGGATGTTGTGCTGTTTGATGAGCTGGACGACTTTTTCCGGTGTTGGAAGATCGTCGGCGCTTCTTCCGTAACAAACTCCGACCTTGCCACCGTGGCAACACTCTGCAAAAACATAATTTAGGGGAAAAAGAAGAAGACAGAATCAATTGGTTTTTGTTTTTTTTAGAATCTATTGAAAATCATAGACACGTAAATAGGAATTGAGTGGTTCCAAGAACTGCAATTGTACAGAAGCTCAAGCTCTACAGTAGATTACAAGAAAGTAATGGAGTCTATGAAAATTTCTATTGAATATGAATCGAAGCTGGAAACTAATGAATGCTTAGCATAACAGAGTCTGAGAAAGCTCTTTGAAGTGGCTCTAGTGAATAGTACAAGGAGAGAGGCAAACCCAGAAGCAGAAGCAGTAGAGAAATGGCGAAAATGAGCTTGAAATCTCTCGCCATTGTTGATAACTCGAAAAAAGGAAACTTCTTTTTCTTCTTCTTCGAGCTTCTCTCTTTTATGAAAAAAGAAGTTTGAAGCTTTTTCTCACTCTACAGAAACAAGCTTTCTCTCTCTCTCCGCCGAGAGTGGGAAACTACTTTAGTTTTTTTTCTTTTTTCTTTCGATGTTGTTTTTTTCTTGTCAGAAGTTGGAACTCTGGTCGGAAACAAGCCGGGCCTCAGGCTGTACAATAAATTCGATTTGATGGAATTGTCTCGATTCCGCGTAGCTTTGAGCGTATTCTAACTTTTACTTTCTTGCCCCATTATTTGTGTAATCTCAAAAAGTACCCCACTATAAAGTAAAATTGGTCCCATATAATTCAATTTTTGTGAGATTTGGATACGCTCTAAATAAATTCGACCATAAATATTTGCTTATATGATAGGCTTAAAGCGATATTCAATTCCAAGAAATGAAATTAGCTTTCCTTTTAATGCCAAAATTAAATATAGATAAACTAATTAATTGGCAAGCTGTCCTGTCCAGCGTAACCAGACATAACCGATGGAACGGGTCAGAAATTATTTCGATCGTCCTTGACCTTTCACTTAGCCGTGGTGCATCTTATGGGCCGTACCGTCTCATATGCTACTAATGGGTCGATTTGAGGCCCATTTTAATCTTACTGTGCTGGTTTTACAGCCTATTTGCTTTTCTTATTTCTTAATTATATAATTTTATTTTTTACTTTTCCCGGTCTCTCGCGTTCAAAATTATTAGTCCGTTATCACTTATCACGAAGAATCGTCGTCTTCTCTCCACTCCTCACTATCTTTCTCTTTCTTTGAAGTTGTTTATTTAGAAACCCTAGAGAGAGGCGATAATCCCTAGATCGTACCAAAGAGAACGAAAAAAAGAAGAAGATGAAGATCAAATCGAACTTGATGCAGCTTAAGCTCTCCGTTCCAGCTCAAGAAACCCCGATCTCTTCCTTCTTGTAAGTTTCGCGATTCTCCTCTTGTTCTCTGATAGAAATCAATAGCAATCAGATCGATTATCTTTCCCCTTCGATTGATTTTTTGATTACGAATTTTCAATTGAACTACGATCTGTTTTGTTTCGCGGGATTGCAGACCAAAATCAAATGATTTGACCATTTTCTGGATTTGATTGAGTCCTGCTTCTGAGAAATTGATTGTCATTTCATTTAATTCAATCAAAAACCCAATTGAAAGAAGAACTTAATCGTCTTGATTTCATATCTGGTAATTGGTAAATGCCTTAATGAAATGACAGGACTGCAAGTGGAACGTTTCACGATGGAGATTTTCTGCTGAACCAGAAGGGGCTAAAGCTGACTTCAGATGAGAAGCAATCAAGGGTAATTTCACTATCCTTTCAAGAGACCAATGTTCTAGAGAAGAAGCAATTAAGGCAATTTCTTGTGTGTGTTGTTGTTGTCTTCGATTGTAGCCATCTGATAGCAAGGAGCTTGATTTCGAAATCACTGCGGAGGACTTGGAGACTGTGAAAGTCATCGGAAAGGGCAGCGGCGGAGTTGTGCAATTAGTTCGGCATAAATGGGTTGGCAAATTTTTCGCTATGAAGGTACCTTTTTGATTGATAGCTGATTCAAGAAAAGTACTTTTATTCTTCTCTTTGACTAGTTTCTCGTTTGAATCTTGAAGAGTTTATGAAAGTTGGAATTTTGTGTAGCTTCGTCTCAGGAAATGTTCATATCATAGGAAAGTTTTGCTCTTTTGATAATGTAATCAGTCAACTTGTTAGAAAGAGTTCTTCTTGCTCCGTTAGGCTAAATGATTACTGGTGAATGACAAGTAGAGCTTGAGATTCAAGAACATTTTGGGGGTTTGAGTTTGTTTATTCTATGAATCACAGGTCATACAGATGAATATACAAGAAGAAATCCGCAAGCAAATTGTGCAGGAGCTCAAAATAAACCAAGCATCATCACAATGTCCACATGTAGTCGTCTGCTACCACTCTTTCTATCACAATGGAGCCTTTTCCCTTGTGCTCGAGTACATGGACCGTGGATCTCTTGCGGATGTGATAAGGCAAGTGAAGACTATCCTTGAGCCTTACCTTGCTGTCGTCTGTAAACAGGTACACTGAACTTCCTATACTCCATCGAATGATTTAAAACCATTCCTAATGATACTTCCCTCATTCTCATGAGTTATTTCCTCTTGTAAACAGGTTTTGCTGGGGCTTGTGTACCTGCACAACGAAAGGCATGTCATACACAGAGACATCAAACCATCAAACCTTCTTGTGAACCATAAAGGAGAAGTGAAAATCTCAGATTTTGGTGTCAGTGCAAGCCTTGCTAGCTCCATGGGACAGAGGGACACATTTGTTGGAACCTACAACTACATGTCGGTACGAAAAGCCTTCCAAAACCTCACTTGCTACACAAATTTTCTTGATGTTGCAGTATTGTAGAAGATACATAACCATGACTCTTTTTTACGTCTATGCTTCACAGCCTGAGAGGATCAGTGGAAGCACATATGACTACAGTAGCGACATATGGAGTTTGGGTATGTCAGTGTTAGAATGTGCGATAGGAAGATTCCCTTACTTAGAATCTGAAGATCAGCAAAACCCGCCTAGCTTTTACGAACTCTTGGCAGCAATTGTAGAGAATCCACCACCTACTGCTCCTTGTGATCAATTCTCACCTGAATTCTGCTCCTTCGTTTCATCCTGGTAAGTTGGTCTCTCATTATTCACATCTTTTTGCATTGAAACGCAGAAAGATTTGATACAAATGGCTCATGTACTTCTTATTTACATTTTAAACAGCATACAGAAAGATCCTCCAGCAAGATCATCATCTCTGGACCTCTTGGTAAGTTATTCTTCCTCTCTCTGTCTTCGTAACATCCTTGAGGACCTTTGATGAAAACACACTCTTAAGATCTGTGTTCATGTTTTCAGAGTCATCCGTTCATAAAGAAGTTTGAGGACAAGGACATTGATCTTGGGATACTTGTTGGCACTTTGGAGCCACCAGTCAACTACCTTAGATAAGCATTGTCCTCCGCTTTTTCTCCTTTTGCATTTGGTATATGATATGATAACATTGATAAGATACATGATGTGTATGTTTCTTCTCTAAAGAATATTATTATTACTTGATGATGGAAATCGAAATGAGGTTTTAATATTATACATTGTGTTATTCCTTTTGAAATGTTATATAAAAGGCTTTTGTTTAATATGTGACTAAATAGACTCGGTCAAGTCAACTATGACATTTCATGAAGGCCAAATCAAAGGATAAGAATATACTTTATGGTCTTGACTTAAGATCCTATCTATGGAGAATAACTTGTGGTGGAGATGAGTCATGGACACTCATGGGTCCAACACATACTTCAAAAACCCATTCATGTATTTAGTAAGAATAAAAGTCAATTGATTGTTTATTTTTTTGTTAAACAAATGATTGTTTGTTTACCAATATAATTATGATTAGTGATCAAATAACAAGTCAAACAACATAGTAGTCTTTATCATAAAATAGTTAGATTTTGGAAAAGTCCTATCTATGTTTTTTATGGATGTTCTAATTTTCTTCTTCCTAAGAAACTGCATTGAACATGGTCTAGCTATAAGTAAACTACGTGAGCAAGCTGCTCTGTTTATTAATGGATCCAGAGATAAGAGACAAAACCCACATAAACCAAGGAAAAAAAAAGGAGAGCGGAAACCTAAGAAACTGTGTTTTCTAGAGAGACACAATGGGATAAGAGTTTAGTCAATTACAAGCTGACATGTCTTTGAAACTCTGTCCATAGACTTTAACTTCCTGAACATGCTATGATGTTTGTTTCTACATCTTGATGAGAATGTCGCCATCTTTAGAAAAGTAGAGTTTGCTAGTATGTATGCAGCCACTTTCCTCTCTTGCTCTTTGCCTTCATATTGTCTCCATTCAAAGATCTCCAGATGCGTCGATAAACATACAGGAGCAACTGATGGTTTGCTAAGGCATATCATCGGATCATTGTAATCGGATCTATGATTCTGAGACAAGGAAAAAAAAAAAAACATTACGTGAACACTTGTGTTAGTGTTTGATAGTTAAACAAATATAAATAAAAATCAGAAACACAATGATGAGTAAAAATGATATACTAGTTTCTTACGTTTTAGAAATTGTGATTCTACAATTTTTTAATCATTCAGAACAGTGGATAAAGTTTTCGCATTTTGGAAACAAATTATTCAACAACTAGTAAACGTGTTAAAGAACATCACTAGAAACTGAAAACGTAAACAATAAAGTGTTTATACAATTGATTATCCCTTATTATATTAGTCAACTAATTACGATTCAAACCTTCGTCTAACATACTACTAGCCAAAAGTAAAGTATCAAAAATTAAAAAAATTGCATACAACATACCGACTTAAGCTTGAGAGATCGAAGCCTTGGAGCGACTTTGAGTATACAAGCAAGTAGACTCCACCATCCCGCAGAACATGTACATAGCTCTAGATGTTCAAGAAAGAAGAAGAATGTGCCTCTAGGATATGGAGCCTACAGTTAAATCAATATATTGTTTACTGTAATGTGAATAACAAAACAACATAAAAGGAGGAGTATTGACATTATTGAAGTTAAAGTGTAAGAAAGTTGTTACCTCTGAAGTGAGAGAACAGAGAGAAAGATGTTGGACTGAGGTAAAAGATCCTATGAACTTCTCAGATTGGTCACAAATAACCTCTATATTCGCCGTGATCACCTCAGGCATATATCCAAACGTTAGAAAGTTACTGAATGTGTCCTTAACGTAAAACTTCCTCAAAGCAGGAGCATTTATCACAAACCCATGAATCTCTTCAACGTAGGAGCGTTTCCATTCCGAGTTATCAATACATAAGCTCTTCAAAGTAGGGACATTGATATTGAATATTTTCACATTGTCATCTTTGATTTTGTTTACAACCAAATCTTCAAGAACGAGGCAATTCTGTAAAAGACTTGCAAGAGATTCGTCGCCAGAGAACTTAACCGATAAAAGGTGTAGACTTTTGAGTGATGGCAAACAAAACCAAGGCGGAACAACCTTAAACATCACATCGTCATCTTTGGTTTGGATTACTACCAAATATTCAAGAACCGGGCAACTTTGTAAAAAACTTGCAAGAGTTTCATCGCCAGAAAACTTAACCGACAAAAGGTGTAGGGTTTTGAGCGATGGCAAACGAAACTCAGGAGTAACAACCTCGATACTTACTTCACGGAGTATCAATGACTTTAGGGTTATGCAACTCGGTAGTTTTAGGGTTCTGCCAAATAAGTCGATTCTCAGCTCTCTCACAGATCGATTAACCGCGGCTTGAAGCCAATCGTTGATGGACAGAGCAAAATCCCAACAACAGTTTAAGCAACTCTTTAGATCCAATCTCTCTAGAACTTGACATTTGTTAAACAACAAAGATGTATAAACAAATCTTGTAAAAGTAAAAAAAATAGAATATAACTCATCATCAAACGTGAGATGTGGCACCAGTCTCCAAAGACCCCGCCAACGTTTTGACAAGAAGCTTGTTTCTATGGACTGTTTAGTCGAAAGTGACGACAAGATCTTTAAGAGCAATTCATCTGGCAGCTTGTTGATGCTCGATGTCTCCATATTTTGTTTCCCTTTCGAGTCACCGATAGATAAGCTCCTCAAACTAGGCACAATGATATTGTATACCATCACACTGTCATATCTGGTTTGGTCTACAACCAAGACTTCAAGAACCGGGCAGATTCTTACAAGACTTGCAACAGACCCGCCGTCATAAAACTCAACCGATAAAAGGTGCAGAGTTTTGAGTGATGGCAAACGAAACCAATGCGGAACAACCTTGATACGTACTTCATGGAGTATCAATGTGTTTAGGGTTTTGCAAGTAGTCAAGCAACTCGGCAATTCTAGGGCATGGCCAGACAGGTGGATTCTCACCTCTCTCACTGACCGATCAACAGCAGCTTGAACCCAAGCATTGATGTCTGAAGCCAAATGATAGTAACGGAGAAGCTTGATTTGCAGTCTATCTAGAGTTTGAGCATTGTTTAGCAAATATGCATAGACGACAAATCTATCTGATGCATCATCAATCGTGAGATCCGTCACCAGCTTCGAAAGACCACGCCAACGTTTCGATATTAAGTCGCTATGGTGTGTTTAGATATCGTAATCGATGACAGTATCTTCAACAGCAAGTCATCTGGCAACTCGTTGATGCTCGGTTTCTCCATATTTTGTTCTGCCTGGTGAATTTTGGAAAACCCTTCTCGAAATCTCCTACTTCGACTCGATAAAATACATCGGCGCTCAGTTTCTCCAAGGAACCCTACTCAATTTAGGTCTGGCTATAAATAAATAAACAGTTTAATATCTAAGGTATAGGAATTTTTTTTTTAAATGTCGAAAAAAAATTAAAAAAATTAGAATTATTTTCCGAAGGCATCCTGGGAACGGAAATGAATATCTCCTCTTGATTATATCATCACCTGGTTTTTGCCACATTAATAATATCTTGAAAAATTCTCGTCGTTGTTCTTTGACTTCTTTGGTGCTCTTAGTGAATAAGTTTTTATTTTATCACATAGTAGTCTTTTGTATCTATTAGTTTTTGGAAAAGTACCCATCTATTTTCTTTTTTTGTGATTATCTTGTTGAAATGCAAGAAGAGTATTGAATATTTCTTGCATCTAGTGTATTTTTTGTTTTTTACTCAAATAAGTAAACGAAAACTGCTATGTTTTCACAAATTAGAGAACAAAACCCACAAACACCAAGTCAGGGAAAAAGAAGAAGAAAGCTCAGAACATGTGTGTCTTCTAGAGACAAACACCATCACATAAACTGATAAAAAGTTTACTCAAACACTAACTGACATGTCTCTGAAACTCTGTTCATTTTCTTTAACTCCTTCTCCCTCAGCATGCCATGATATCTTGATGAGAATGTCGCCCTCTTTAGACAAGTAGCGTTCGCTAGTATGTACGCAGCCACTTCCATCTCTTTCTCGGTGCCTTCATATTTTCTCCATTCCAACAACTCGAGATGCTTCGATAAACATTCCGGAACATCTGTTGGTTTGTCCCAGGGATTCTTCCAATAACTATCACTATGTTTCTGACGTAAAAAAAAAAGAGAGAGAGAGAGAGAGAGAGAGAGAGAGAGAGAGAGAGAAACATTACGTGTGAGGTTTTATAGATCGTTAACAAAAAACAATATTTTTTCTACGTATAAAAAATGCGATTCTACCAAAAAGGTTAATCATTCAGAACACTGATAGTGATAAGGTTAATCATTCAGAACACTGATAAGGTTATAGTGTTTTTGAAAATGTGATTATGCTACCAGTGAACGTGTAAAACATTATCACTAGGAACAAAGAAAACGTCATTAATGAAGTGTTTCTGCTATTTGATTACTCGAGTATATTTGTTAATTATATTGTACCGTTCGTCTAACATACTAGTCAAAACTAAATTAACAACAATAAAAAAGGTTGCATACAAACATACCGACTTAAGCTTCAGAGATCGAATTGTTGGAGCGGCTTTGAGTATACAGCTAAGTAGATTCGACCATCCCGCAGAACATGTACATAGCTCTAGATGTTCAAGAAAGAAGAACAATGTGCCTCTAGGATATGGAGTCTGCAAATTTCAGTTGAACTATACATTATTTACTGTGAATAACAAAACATAAAAAGAAGAAATGTTGACGTTATTGGAGTAAGAAATTTGTTACCTTCGAAGTTAGAGAACAGAGAGAAAGATGTTGGATTGAGGTAAGAGATCCTATGAACTTCTCAGACTGGTCACAAATAACCTCTATATTCGCCTTGATCACCTCAGGCATATACTCAAACGTTAGAAAGTTACTGAATGTATCCTTAAAGTTCAATTTCTCCAGAGAAGGAGCATTTATCACAAACCCATGAATCTTCTTAACGTAGTCTCGTCTCCCTTTGGAGTTATCAATAGATAAGCTCTTCAAAGTAGGCACATTGATATTGAATATCATCACATTGTCATCTTTGGTTTTGCTTACCACCAAATCTTCAAGAGCCCCGCAACATTTTAAAAAACTTTCTACAGAATCGTCGCCGGAGAAGTTAACCGATAGAAGGTGCACACTTTTGAGTGAAGGCAAACAAAACCAAGGCGGAAGAACCTTGAACGTCACATTGTTATTGAATTCTTGGTCCACTACCAAAGATTCAAGAACCGGGCAACTTTGTAAAAGACTTGCAACAGCTTCGTCGTCCGAGGACTTGACCCATAAAAGTTGCAAACTTTTGAGTGTTGGCAAACGAAACCATGGCGAGACTTCTTGGATGCATACTTCACGGAGTATCAGTGTTTTTAGGGTTCTCCAAGTACTCAAAGCAGGCACTTTACTACTGAATTCGGTTCGGTTTACAACCAAATCTTCAAGAACAGGGCAGATTCTTATAAGCCTTGCAACAGGGCAGAATTCTAAAAGACTTGCATTAGACTTGTAGCCCGGAAACTCAACTGATAAAAGGTGCAGCACTTTGAGTGATGGAAAACGTAACCAAGACGGAACATCATTGATACTTACCTCTCTGAGTGTCAATGATTTTAGGGTTCTGTAAGTACTCAAAGCAGGCAAAGATGTACCGAATACCTGGGTTTGGTGTAAAACCAAATATTCAAGACCCGGACAAATTTGTAAAAGACTTGCAGGGTTGCCCCAAAACGTGACTGATAAAAGGTGCAGACTTTTGAGCGATGGCAAACGAAACCAAGGAGGAATCAACTCGATTCTTACTTCACGGAGTATCAATGACTTTAGGGTTACGCAACTACTCAAGCAACTCGGCAATTTTAGGGTTTGGCCAGACATGTGGATTCTCAGCTTTCTCACAGATCGAATAACAGCGTTTTTAACCAATAAGTTGATGTGTGAAGCCGAATCTTCCCGGCCAAGCTTGAGATGCAATCTCTCTAAGATTTGAGCATCGTTAGACAACAAAGATCCATAAACAAAACTCATAAAACTCTCGTATGATTCATCATCATCATCTAACATGACATCCGGCTCCAGTTCCCAAGTTTCCTCCCAACATTTTGAAATGAGATGTGTTGCAGTGGTCTCTTTAAACATTGGAAGGAATGAGAATATAATCAAGATCAGATCGTCTGGCAACTCACTGAGCCTCCGTTTCTCCTCCATTTTCACCCTAATCCTGCTAGAATTTTCCTGCGAACACTGAAAAATGAAAATGCAAACTTAATTGGGACGCAGAAGAAGAAAGAGAACTCAAAACCCTAGCTAGTCAAATCAGTCAAATCAGGTTTAGCTATATATTAAAAAAATAAAAATAATAATAATTCAATAAAGATTTTTGTAACTCATAAGATCACTTCTCAAATAATAGTATAGTTTTTTATTTTGGAGAATCTCGTTGTTGTGATTATATTCTTGAAATGCACAAAATTATTGAATCTTTCTTGCATCTAGTGTATATTTTTTTTTTTCTCTCAAATATGCAAACGAAACTGCTCTGTTTTCACAAACTGAATAAAATCCGGAGATTATAGAACAAAACCCAAAAACACCAAAAATAAGCCAGGGATAAAAGAAGAAGAATGCTCAGATCAACCTTCGTGTCTTCTTCCAGAGACAAACACAATCACATAAGATCAGTTTACTCAAACACTAACTGACATGTCTCTGAAACTCTATGCATTGACCTTAACTTCTTCAACATGCGATGATATTTGTTTCTACATCTTGTTGAGAATGTCGCCATCTGTAGACAAGTAGCGTTTGCTAGTATGTACGCAGCCAGTTCCCTCTCTTTCTCCGTGCCTTCATATTGTCTCCATTCCAACAACTCGAGATTCTTCAACAGTGGCGGACCTAGGAATTTTTCTTACCTGGGTCAAAATTTAAATTAGGTGTCAAGGCTGGGATAAGAACGCTGGTTAGGGGGTCAGAGAAGAAGATTTTAACCAACTAAGCTATAATTGTGCTGATGTTTAAGCTCACAGATTAGACATATATTTATTTTAGGGGTGTCAAGTGACCACCCTCCCTCTCATGTAGGTCCGCCACTGTTCTTCAATAAACATTCCGGAACATCTATTGGTTTGTTCCAGGGGTTCATTAGTTTTTCTGGAAAAGAAAATTCATATATGTGTTTTTTTGAATATTTCTAATTTTCTTCTTCATATAAAACATATTGAATATTTCGGACATAAAGTGTAACTTTAAGTAAACTACGTGAGAAAACAGCTCTGTTTGTTAATGGATCCAGAGATCGGTAAGAGACAAAACCAACATAAACCTAAGAAACTGTGTTTTCTAGAGAGACACAATGGGATAATAGTTTCGTCTAACATACTAGTCAAAAGTAAAGTATCAAAAATAAAAAAGATGCATACAACATACCGACTTAAGCTTGAGAGATCGAAGCCTTGGAGCGTCTTTGAGTATACAAGCAAGTAGACTCCACCATCGTGCAGAACATGTACATAGCTCTAGATGTTCAAGAAAGAAGAAGAATGTGCCTCTAGGATATGGAGCCTACAGTTAAATTAATATATGGTTTACTGTAATGTGAATAACAATCATAAAAGGAGAAATATTGACATTATTGAAGTAAAAGTGTAAGAAAGTTGTTACCTCCGAAGTTAGAGAACAGAGAGAAAGATGTTGGACTGAGGTAAGAGATCCTATGAACTTCTCAGATTGGTCACAAATAACCTGGATATTCGCCTTGATCACCTCAGGCATATATCCAAACGTTAGAAAGTTACTGAATGTGTCCTTAAAGTCAAACTTCCTCAAAGCAGGAGCATTTATCACAAACCCATGAATCTTCTTAACATAGTCTCGTCTCCCTTTCGAGTTATCAATAGATAAGCTCTTCAAAGTAGGCACATTGATATTGAATATCATCACATTGTCATTTTTGGTTGTGCTTACCACCAAATCTTCAAGAGCCCCGAAACATTTTAAAAACATTTCTACAGAATCGTCGCCGGAGAAGTTAACCGATAAAAGGTGCAGACTTTTAAGTGAAGGCAAACAAAACCAGGGCGGAACAACCTTGAACAGCACATTTTTATGCATTTCTTGGTTCACTACCAAAGATTCAAGAACCGGGCAACTTTGTAAAAGACTTGCAACAGCTTCGTCGTCCGAGGACTTGACCCATAAAAGGTGCAAACTTTTGAGTGATGGCAAACGAAACCATGGCGAGACTTCTTTGATGCATACTTCACGGAGTATCAGTGTTTTTAGGGTTCTCCAAGTACTCAAAGCAGGCACTTTACTATGGAATACTTCGGTTCGTTTTACAACCAAATCTTCAACAACAGGGCAGATTCCTAAAAGTCTTGCAACAGGGCAGAGTTCTAATAGTCTTGCATTAGATTTGTAGCCCGAAAAATCAACTGACAAGAGATGCAGCGCTTTGAGAGATGGCAAACGTAACCAAGACGGAACATCATTGATACTTACATCTCTGAGTGTCAATGATTTTAGGGTTTTGTAAGTACTCAAAGCAGGCACATTACTACCGAATACCTTGGTTTGGTGTAGTACCAAATATTCAAGATCTGGACAAATTTGTAAAAGACTTGAAGCAGATTCGTTGTCCGAAAACGTGACCGATAAAAGGTGCAGACTTTTGAGCGATGGCAAACGAAACCAAGGAGGAACCACCTCGATTCTTACTTCACGGAGTATCAATGACTTTAGGGTTACGCAAGCACTGCCACTCAAGCAACTTGGCAATTCTAGGGTTTTGCCAAACAAGTGGATTCTCAGCTTTCTCACAGATCGATAAACAGCGCTTTTAACCCAAAAGTTGATGTGTGAAGCCGAATCTATCCGGCTAAGCTTGAGATGCAATCTATCTAGGATTTGAGCATCGTTAGACAACAAAGATTCATAAACAAAACTCCGAAAACTCTCGTATGATTCATCATCATCATCTAACATGACATCGGGCTCCAGTTCCCAAGGTTCCTCCCAAAATTTTGATATGAGATGTGTTGCTACGGTCTCTTTAAACATTGGAAGGAATGAGAATATCATCAAGATCAGTTCGTTTGGCAACTCATTGAGCCTCCGTTTCTCCTCCATCTTCACCCTAATCCTGCTAGAATTTTCCTGAAAACACTTAATATGAAAACTTAATTGGGACGCAGAAGAAGAAGAGAACTCAAAACCCTAGCTAGTCAAATTACGTTTAGCTATATAAAAAATAAATAAAAAACAAAAAAAATTAGTATTTTATTATACGAAAGATATTATCAACTCATAAAATCATTTGGCAAATAATAGTATTCAAATTACGTTTAGCTATATAATAATTAAAAAAAAACAAACAGAAACAATAGTATAGATTTTATTATACGAAAGATTTTATCAACTCATAAGATCACTTCGCAAATACAATACAGTATAGATTTTATTTTGGAGAATCTCATTGTTCTGATTATATTCTTGAAATGCACGAAATTATTGAATCTTTCTTGCATGTAGTGTATTTTTTTTTGTCTCAAATATGCAAACGAAACTGCTCTGTTTTCACAAACTGAAGAAAATCCGGAGATTATAGAACAAAACCCAAAAACACCAAAAAAAATAAAGCCAGGGATAAAAGAAGAAGAATGCTCAGAAGTCAGAACCTTCGTGTCTTCCAGACAAACACAATCACATAAGATCAGTTTACTCAAACACTAACTGACATGTCTCTGAAACTCTCTGCATTTTCTTTAACTTCCCCACCACGCTATGACATCCTGTTGAGAATGTCGCCATCTTTAGACAAGTAGCGTTCGCTAGTATGTACTCAGCCACTTCCATCTCTTTCTCTGTGCCTTCATATTGTCTCCATTCCAACAACTCGAGATGCTTCGATAAACATTCCGGAACATCTGTTGGTTTGTTCCAAGGGTTCATCGGATCGTTGTAACGAGCACTATGTTGCTGAGACGTAAAAAAAAATAGATAAACATTACGTGTAGTGTCAGTTGTGTTATAGATCGTCAAAAAAAAGAAAGAGAAACACTATCTTTCGACGTATAAACGTGATTCTACCCAACAAAATTAATCATTTAGAACATTGATAAAGTTCTCATGTTTTTGAAAAAAATGATCATGCTACTAGTGAACGTGTAAAACAATATCACTAGGAACAAAACAAAGTCTTTAATGAAGTGTTTCTGCTATTTGATTATTCGGGTATATACCGTTCGTCTAACATACTAGTCAAAAAGTTGCATACAAACATACCGACTTAAGCTTGAGAGATTGAAGTCTTGGAGCGTCTTTGAGTATACTGCTAAGTAGATTCGACCATCCCACAGAACATGTACATAGCTGTAGATGTTCAAGAAAGAAGAAGAATGTGCCTCTAGGATATGGAGTCTGCAGTTAAATCAATATATTGTTTACTGTAATGAAAATAACAAAACATAAAAGGATAAATATTGACATTATTAGAGTAAGAAAGGTTTTACCTCTGAAGTTTGAGAACAGAGAGAAAGATGTTGGACTGAGGTAAGAGATCCTATAAACTTCTCCGATTGGTCACAAATAACCTCTATATCCGCCTTGATCACCTCAGGCATATACTCAAACGTTAGAAAGTTACTGCATATATCCTTAAAGTTCATTTTCTCCAGAGAAGGAGCATTTATCACAAACCCGTGAATCTCCTCAACGCAGTCTCGTTTCCCTTCCGAGTTATAAATTGATAAGCTCTTCAAAGTAGGGACATTGATATTGAATATCATCACATTGTCATCTTTGCTTTTGTTTACAACCAAATCTTCAAGAGCCCCACAACATCTCAAAAAACTTGCCACAGAATCATCGCCCAAGAATTTAACCGATAAAAGGTGTAGACTTTTGAGTGATGGCAAGCAAAAACTAGGCGGAACAACCTTGAACATCACATTGTCGTCATTTTTGGTTTGGTTTACTACCAAATATTCAAGAACCGGGCAACTTTGTAGAAATCATGTTTGTCGTCGAGGAACTCAACAGATAAAAGGTGCAGACATTTAAGTGAATGCAAACAAAACCATGGCGAGACCACTTCGATACTTACTTCACGGAGTATCAACGTTTTTAGGGTTCTGCAAGCACTCACAGTAGGCCATAAACTATTGAATACTCCGGTTCGCTTTACGATCAAATCTTCAAGGAAAGGGCAGATTCTCAAAAGTTTGGCAACAGACTCTTTGCCCAAGAACTGAACTGATAAAAGGTGCATGGCTTTGAGTGATGGCAGACGAAACCAAGACGGAACATCATTGATACTTACTTCACTGACTATCAATGTTTTTAGGGGTATCACTGTTTTTAGGTTTCTGTAAGTACTTAAAGCACGCACATTAGTACTGATTAATATGGTTTTGTATACAGCCAAATATTCAAGATCCGGGCATTTTTGTAGAAGACTTACAGCAGAGTCGTCGTCTCCCTGGAACTCAACCGATAAAACGTGCAGACTTTTGAGCGATGGCAAACGAAACTCACGAGTAACAACCTCGATACTTACTTCACTGAGGATCAATGACTTTAGGGTTGTGCAAGTACTCAAGCAACTAGGCAATTCTAGGGTATATCCATACAAGCCGATTCTCAGCTTTCTCACACCACGATTCACGGCGATTTGAACAAGAAAATTTATGTCTGAAGCCGAATAGATTCGGCTAAGCTTGAGATGCAACCTCTCTAGAATATGAGCATCGCGAGACAGCAAAGATCCATAAACAAAACTCATAAAACTCTCGTATGCTCCATCAGCAACATCTTCTTCAAACATGACATCCGGCACCAGTTCCCAAGGTTCCTCCCAACGTTTTGATATGAGATGTGTTGCTACGGTCTTTTTAAACATCGGAAGGAATGAGAGTATCTTCATGATCAAGTCATCTGGGAATTCATTGAGTTTCTGTTTCTCCATTTTTACCCTAAACCGGCTGGAATTTGCCTGAAAACACTTCAAAGGGAAACTTGGGACGCAGAAGAAGAAGAGAACTCAAAACCCTAGCTAGTCAAATTACGTTTTTGCAATTAAAAAAAAAAACAAAATAATTCAATACATTATATAAATAAATAAATTTGACGTGGAAAATAAGTAATAGTTTCGTGATTTTAAAATCTTCCTTAGTTTTCAGATATCCTAATTGATTAAGTTTCAATTTCTTTCTTATCCTTCCATAAAAGCTAATCCAGCTACATTTCTATTATTCTTTTTCCGGTTAATTTTTTTAAACTGTTTGAGCCTTACAAAACAGAACAAGAAAGCACAAAAGAATAAATCATTCTCAAGATATAAAGATAGAAACTAGTTCTAAAGATAAAAAGAGAAGCTTATGTTACATATTTTCATTCTTTAAGAGAAACATCAATTCGACCATCTAAATCAAAATACCAGAAACGAAATTTAGGGGATGATTGGTGGGAGCTGTGGTTGCTCTCCACAGCTCTATATCTCTCTACAGCACTCCAAAATTACCAATCATGCTCTCCTTTTATCTCTTTCCATTTTTGAAACATAGAGCAATTTTATTTATTTATGGAAGTTCCGTAGCTGTGGAAAGCAATTTTTCTATAGCACTAAATTTAGTGCTCTCTAAATTCTCTCTCTTCTCTTTCCTTATTATTTTGTCTATATTCTTTTTTTAATCTCTTATTTCTATATCTTCTTTTTTTTGTTTTAATATTTCATTTAATACACAATCTACAAAAAAAAAATCTTAGAGCACTAAAAACTAAAGCCACAGCACTAAAACCTACAGCCTAAACTCTACAGCCAAAAATCTAAAGCCACAGCCACAACCAATCACGCCCTTAGTTTAGTATAATATGTTTTTTTTGTCAAATATGTAAACAAAGACTGCTCTGTTTTCAAAAACTGAAGAAAATCCAGGGATCAGAAAACAAAGCCCACAATCACCAAAAATAAAAGTCAGGGGAAAAATGAAGAAGAAATTAAGTTAAGAACCTCTAGTCTTCTAGAGACACAAACCATCACATAGGAGTTTACTCAAACACTAACTGGCATGTCTCTGAAACTCTATGCATTTTCTTTAACTTCCTCAACATGCGATGATATTTGTTTCTACATCTTGTTGAGAATGTCGCCATCTTTAGACAAGTAGCGTTCGCTAGTATGTAGGCAGCCACTTCCCTCTCTTTCTCTGTGCCTTCATATTGTCTCCATTCCAACACCTCGAGATTCTTCGATAAACAATCAGGAACATCTGTTGGTTTGTCCCAGGGATTCATCCGATCGTTGTAACGAGAACCATGTTGCTGAGATATAAAAAAAAAGATAAACATTAACGTGTGTTGTGTTATAGATCGTTAAAAAAAAAGGCAGAAACACTATTTTTCTACGTATAAAAATCGTGTTCTACCAAAAAAAAAATACCATTCAAAACATTGATAAAGTTATCATGTTTTTGAAAAAGTGGAATGCTACTAGTGAACGTGTAAAACAATATCACTAGGAACCAAAACAAAAACGTCAGTAATGAAATGTTTCTGCTATTTAGTTATACGAGTATATTTGTTTAACAAGTCAAACCTATAGTAAAACAGAGATTAAAAAAAAAAAAAATGTTGCATACAAACATACCGACTTAAGCTTGAGAGATCGAAGTGTTGGAGCGTCTTTGAGTATACAGCTGAGTAGATTCGACCATCCCGCAGAACATGTACATAGCTCTAGATGTTCAAGAAAAAAGAAGAATGTGCCTCTAGGATATGGAGTCTGCAGTTAAATCAATGTATTGTTTACTGTAATGTGAATAACAAAACATAAAAGGAGGAATATTGACATTATTGAAGTAAAAGTGTAAGAAAGTTGTTACCTCTGAAGTGAGAGAACAGAGAGAAAGATGTTGGACTGAGGTAAGAGATCCTATGAACTTCTCAGATTGGTCTCAAGTAACCTGAATATTCGCCTTGATCACCTCAGGCATATACTCAAACGTTAGAAAGTTACTGCATGTGTCCTTAAAGTTCAATTTCTCCAACGAAGGAGCATTTATCACAAACCCATGAATCTCCTCAACGTAGTCTCGTTTCCCTTTTGAGTTATCAACAGATAAGCTCTTCAAAGTAGGCACATTGATATTGAATATCATCACATTGTCATCCTTGGTTTTCTTTACAGCCAAATCTTCAAGAACGAGGCAATTCTGTAACAGACTTGCAAGAGATTCGTCATCCGAGAACTTAACCGATAAAAGGTGTACACTTTTGAGTGATGGCAATGAAAAACCGGACGGCACAGCCTTGAACATCACATCGACGTCGTCTTTGGTTTGGTGCACTACCAAATATTCAAGAACCGGGCAACTTTGTAAAAGACTTGTAACAGAATCGTCGTCGTTCGAGAACTCAACCGACAAAAGGTGTAGACTTTTGAGCGATGGAAAACGAAACCCAAGAGTCACAACCTCGACACTTACTTCACGTAGTATCAACGACTTTAGGGTTGTGCATGTACTCAAGCAACTCGGCAATTCTAGGGTTTTGCCAGACAAGTTAACTCTCAGCTTTCTCACAGATCGATCAACCGCGATTTTAACCCAAAAGTTGATGTGTGAAACCGAACAGTTTCGGCTAAGCTTGAGATGCAAGCTCTCTAAAATCTGAGCATCGTTAGACAGCAAAGATCCATAGACAAATCTCATAAAAGCCTCAAAACTCTCGGATGATTCATCATCATCATCAAACATGACATCAGGCACCAGCTCCCAAGGTTCCTCCCAATGTTTTGTTAGGAGATGCGTTGCTACGGTCTCTTTAAACATCGGAAGGAATGAGAATATCTTCAAGACCAGTTCGTCTGGCAACTCATTGAGCTTCCGTGTCTCCATATTTTTATTTTTATGATATGTCTGCTGGAGTTTCGCTCTCGATGGTTGAAAAGCGGTCTCGAAATTTACAAGGAAACCTAGTTTCGTATTATACTCGCTTGAATTAGATTGCAATGGGGAACTTGGGTGGGACGCAAAAGAGGAAGAAGAAAAGTACCTTACCCTAAGCCCTAAGGCATAAACAAAACATGAGTTTTAAAAATTATTCTTTTTCAATTTCAATTTTCGAATTTCTAAATTGGTTTTGATATTCAACTTGTTTATTTCCATTTTATTAAATGGTAATTCAACCAGATTTCTATTTTTACTCTGATTTGTAATATTTTCTTTGATAGTTTATGAATAATATTTGATATAATGGACTTTCATTAGCGGGTTATCAAAGTTATTAATTCATTTTTCCCAAAATAAAAAGCTCTTTACTTTTCAACCGGTTTTGTTCACCAAGTGCATAATGGATTTGTATCCCTCTAAAACGGATCTGTTGATATTTGAAGATTTGTTTCCAATAAAATACTTTAGAAATTGAGAAAGTTCAATACATATACAAGATCGAAATAAATGATAAATTTTTCACTGTAGCAGGCTATATTTATTATAAATATTTGGTAAGGAATATATATGAATCGGAATTGATTTACCTTATCATATTCCAACTTGAAATCAGAATTTTCAAGTATCAATTTATGATCGAAATTGTCTCGTTTAAACTTGATAGACTTGATAATATCCTCTAGATTCTCGAAACTCAATATATCAAATTATCAAGGAAGAAAATGATGACTTTTATATGTGTCGGGAAAAAGCTGTTTGAATCCGGACAAGATTCTTGTTTTAAGGATATAGCGTAATTATCAATAATCAATATATACATGAGATGTCCAATTAAACTAAAATATTTTGAGGACAGATCTTGTTATTTTCTACCTTTTAAAAAAAAAAAATTGAAAAGTCGTTATTAGTGTGGGAACTAAAATTCGGTCCAATTAACAAAATGAAGAAAAATCAATTTTAAAAAGGGTAAGGATAGTGGTGACGAGGACATGATACGGATATGTTTAAAACGAATGGGTCTTATCCTCTTTGCCTTGTAACACCACCATGGGGAATTGAAAACTCCTAAACAAATCTAAACCATATACTATTTTAATTACAAACCGACTTTATTGCATTGTTTATCCTCTGTGTGTGCAAGGCTACAAGCTTTAGAGTTTAGACTAATCTCCCTGTTTATTTATTTTTTATATAGTAAATGCCCATATTTCCCCCAAGACATCATGATTAGGAGAAACTGGAAACAGTTGTATGGTTATCTTCTGATCATCTTTTTCACTACAAGAATTATTGTTTTTGGTCTCTTCTTTAGCGATCATTTTATAATGTTATATTACAAAAGAATAACAAATTAAAGAAAACAAAAAAAACAAAAAACAAAAAACAAAAAGCGGAATATGACAGTGACGACCCATAGAATGAGAACCGCATATCAGAACCGCATAACAATAAACATATGCGATCTCAGATAACAATTAAGGAACAATAATAACAAAAAGAAAAATAGAAAGAAATATTTAGAGATAAAAGTGAGATTTTAAAGAAAAGGGTCAACGTTATCCACGGCTTGCACGTAAGTAATACCCACACATATATTTATCCTTATTTCTTTCCCTTTTCTCTTTTTTTTTGTTTCTTTATCTTTTTGAATTTTAAAATAATAACTGGAACCTCTCACATATCCCATTGTATATATATGTAAGAAGATGTTTATCTGTAAATAGAACTCATGTTTCTGTGTTTCCAATTGTAGAACAACAACACACATCTTGACAGAAGAACTCTCTTGTTCTGTTTTTCTTTATCCTGTTTTCAAGAATCCTTTATTTTTCTTGTGTTTTATCTTCATTTCAAAGATGAATCTTCATTTCAATATGAATCTGAAGCAAATGAGCAACATGATCTATGAAGATCCAAGGAGGATCGAAGAAGAAGATATTGTTCAAGGAGTTTCAAGATCGATGTTAGCAGCTAAAAAATTCTCCGAGGAAGAAGATTCTTCATCTTGCTCATTGTCTTCCATGTGTTCTTCATCTGATTTAACAGACGATGATGATGATGCTTCTTCATCTTCTTCAAATGGGCCTCTTGAAGATCTCTCTGACCTCATGTCACACCTCCCAATCAAGTAAGAAAACATTCTTTGATCAATAACTTCTTTTTGAAGCTAATGGTTTTGGGGGGTTTAATACCTAATGATGAATAGATCTAAAGATTTATTTTCCAAAGATCTCAACTCTCTCAAAGATTTTTTGTTGGATTGGTAATAACAAAACTTGTTCACTTTTTGTGTTAATCTCAGGAGGGGATTGTCAAAGTTTTATGAAGGAAAATCTCAATCATTCACATCACTAGCAAATGTGAAAAGCCTTGAAGATCTTATGAAGAGAGGTTTTAAAGATAGAAATTATGGAGCAAGAAGAAAAGCATGTAGGAGCACCGGAGGGATATTAGAACAAAGCTACAAAAGAGTTTATAACCCAAAAGCTACAATCTCCAAGAAATCCTCAAGAACACCTTCTTCTGCACTCTCTTGTCTAGCCAGAAGAAGACATTAGATCCCAGAGAAACATTCGCTCTTTGTAACCCTTTTTACGATTCACCAGAATCGGTTTTAGAAACATAACAGAAAAGAGAAAAAAAGCATCTTCACCTTAATCTTAAGTCTTTAAGAGAGATTCTAGTGTCTAATTTTGTGTACAAAAGTTAAAATAGACTTGTTCATACTCTGTTTGTTTTTTTTTTTTTTTGGCCTTTGGCTCAATTTGTTGTATCAAAGCTTGTAAACAGGAGTGATTCCGAGAAGGTGGAAGCATTTCCGCATAACAATGGCTGTTGCTTGACATAATAAGAGACGGCTTGTCTCTTGTTCCGAACCGATAACCTGAGAGAAAGTTTTATAACGGAAAACATTGTTTTAAATGATGAATATCAGAGCATTAATGGTTTTGAACTTTTGATTATGCAAGGAAAAAAAATTCGTACCTGACAATTAAATTGGAATTTGTTGTAGTACTCGGATAAGTTGTAGAGGTACTTGCACAACACGTTCGGTAACAAGTTCGTACATGCCTCCTCAACATTCTGCAAAAATCATTCAGAAAATTTGATCTCAATCGTATATGGTCATTTCATCAAAAAAAAAAAAAAAAAAAATACAGAGTAATTGACTGATCGATCATATCGTTACTTGCCTCAGAAAATCGTAGCAAGTGAAGTCCTAGTGCTCGTTCATTTGCATGATCAACTATCATCGGTGACACCATAGCTCGCATGCTCGAGTACTCGAAAGTTGAAGTTCTACGCAGAAACCATGTTGGTGACTGGGGAACACAGGTTACACTCTTAGAAACACCCTGTTTCCACAAAATCAGGGGACACATGTTTATAAGTGATTTCCAAACCCTCGTTTAATGTGCAGTTTGGCATGCTCATTGAGTACCTGTTTGAGAAGTTTTCTGACTCTGATCGCGCGACAGAGCTAACTGTTGAAGAACTTCAGGTGAGTCCTAGTGCTCGTTCTTGCTGTCTGATTCAGATTAAAATGACAATTACCAAAGAAGTAACTCACATCAGCAGACATTTCATTAAAAAAATATGCAATGCTCAGGATTGTAAAAGCTTTCACCCTTCTCTTCAAGCTCAACTCCAAGGCGTTGATAAATCTTAGTGAACTCAATTCGGCTGACTTCACAAATCTTAGCCCAAACCTTATGATACTTAGGATCCCCACCCTATAAGATATACACTGGTTAGTGACTAATTCTTCCTAAAGAAAAGGATAATGCCATTGAAAAATCGGGTTATTACCTGAAGACGGACCACTCCTTTCTGTGCCTTCTCTTTGAAGTCATCTTCTGACTTAAACCTAGCTTGTGCTGCTCTGTAACATGTCTGTAAGATCACATATAAAGTTAGAGTAAAAATATCTCGAGTTTTGCTTTTGCTTCTTTCAAAATATAACACACTGCTGCCTAAGTGCCAAAGACTCACCTGAAGTTCTTCAACAGTTAGCTCTGTCGCGCGATCAGAGTCAGAAAACTTCTCAAACAGGTACTCAATAAGCATGCCAAACTGCACATTAAACGAGGGTTTGGAAATCACTTATAAACATGTGTCCCCTGATTTTGTGGAAACAGGGTGTTTCTAAGAGTGTAACCTGTGTTCCCCAGTCACCAACATGGTTTCTGCGTAGAACTTCAACTTTCGAGTACTCGAGCATGCGAGCTATGGTGTCACCGATGATAGTTGATCGGAGATGGCCAACGTGCATTACTTTAGCGATATTAGGGGAGGAAAAATCAACTACAGCTCTTTTAACCGAAAGTTTAGGAGCCCAAATATCAATACCATGTACAAGCATATCTTCAATGCTCTGCATACAGATTAGAGAAAATCAATTTTAATGCTAAACAAAACTAAAGAATGTAATGTTTTTAAGGACTTGAAATTTGATACAAAATCATGTAAAGTGAACAAAACCTTGGCCATCCACTCATCTGATAGTACAACGTTGACAAATCTTTCCTTTACGGAACATGATTCCACCATCTCAGAGTTTAAGAGACTTTTCTTAAGGTCCTACAAAGGAAAAAACAAGAATTGAAAGTGTTTAGTTTGTCGTGTGGTGAAAGTTACAAAAGTCTCTTGATTATAATTTATTGAGGAGACCAACCTCTCCAACAGAGGCAAAGGCAGCTTTAACAGCTTCAGGATCCTTTCCTGTGATCTTGGAGACAATGTCCATGGCATTGTTACTGAAAATTAAACAAAAGCGAGAGAAAGAAAATAAGTAAGCAAAAAGAAAGGAGATTTATTGTCATGTCACTGAGAGCAGGCAGCAACCAAAGGCTCAACATCAGTTTCATTAGGAAACGTTGATTTCAAAGATCCTTCAAAGAGCTTAGCAACTTTACGTTTCAAGTTTCCAGTTAATTCACCCTCCTGACACAAAACCTTCAACGTTAGTTTACAAAACAGAGAAAGAACATAAACTTCTCTGTGGTGTTAGAATCGCCGTGACTTACAGCTTCCATGGCTTCTGATTATGTTTTCGGCACTCTCAATCCACTAGAAACGATTTAATCAAGTGATTATAAAGCTTTTTGTGACCGTGACTGTATCTGAGTTCTCTCTGCTTCTCCTCTTAATCGCTGGTCTTTTTTATCTTTGTAAAACCCTCAGTTCTCTTTATACTTCTTGTCTCAATTGGAAATTAACTTCAGTGTTGACCGAAAAAAAGGGAAATTAACTCCAGTTTGGGCTCTTTTTGTGATTTGGCCCAACACGTTTTACCTTGTAAGAAACTTGATATGGGCTTTACCGTTTGGGCCTAATCATATTTTTTACCTTGAATTAAAACTTCATTAAATTCTTTTAGATACAACCAAAACTCAGTAGGACAAAACAAATCTGCGGAAGAGACTCGTTTGATTCCTTCTTCAATTGGTTTAGATCAGACTTGTATTCTCTTACTCTTAGTTTAGAAAGACACAACTTTAAAAGGTGTTTGCTTTTTGTCCGCTCTCACTCAAAAACAGAAACCTTATTACATATTAGCAGCTTTAAATTGCTTTTAGATTAGGATTCCAAATGGCTAATAGTATAATCTATTTTATTACAATATAAAAAAAATTCTAGTGAGATTATTTGATCCAGTTAGATCCACCTTACGATACACAAATTTCTCGGTTTCTGTTTGCACCATATCTGTATTTTAAGATTCTGTAGGAGTAATAATTAAAATAGAAAAATGATAATATTATTATTGATATTAGGATGAGTCAAATTCAACAACAATACATAGAGAGAGAGAGAGTGAGGAAGAGAGATCAAACATAACACAAAATTAACTACAAGAACTCAAAGAGACACAAACAAGATCAGACTCAAAACGTCAATTAATTTTACTCATTCAATAAAACATAAAAGGCAAAGAAGAAACTTCTTAAAAAAGCAACCCAAAGGCCATAAGCGCCAAGGAGGCGAAGAAAGTAGGGATAAACGAGGAAGCATCGGAGGTAGGGCTTGGCGCCGGAGCGTCAACGGCTGCAGCCGTTTGTTGAATCGCAGCGAATGCTATCATCGCCACCAAAAGCGCCACGAAAAGCTTCATCTTCATTGCCTCCATTGTTAGTATTTTTGGATTTGAGACTTAGAGAGAGCAAATGAAGAGAAGAAAAGAGGGGTTTTGGTGTCTATTGTTGTTTTTGATGTGTGACATGCGAACTACATTTGTTAGTGTTTATATACACGAGTACGCATGCAAGGGTAAGTGTGGACATGTCACTTTACACCAATGCATTGAATAATTTAATTTTAATGTTTTCAATACTTTATTATATGCCCCACTACAAATTTTAATTTAGCCTGAAGAAAGTTGTATAAGAAATGTGTTATGTTGTACTGTGGAATTGGTTTATGACACGTTAAGGTTTTAGTTCATCAACTAGATATATAAAAAGATGAAAAATAAGGTAGAAACAGTTGGACAGAGTATATCATTTTACAAAAGAAAAAACAGTTGGACAGAGTGGGTTTGTATTATTGTTTAATTAGTGTTGTAGAGTTAGGTTTCAAATTTTCATTGTGTTCTCATTCAATGAATTTCTCTCCTAATGGTCTTTTCGTACATTACTTTCTTCCCTCTCTTTGTACACTCAATCTGTCTGGGATTTGTCCATAAACAATGACTAATAAACTAATAAATTTAAATATTTTTCTGTGAAATGAGTAGATATGAGAGAAGCAATGAGCTGTAGTTGTTTCTTATAGGTAAAGAAGGTGCAAAAATGGATGATGGTTCCATGACATCCATGTGCGCCTCCAAAGCTAGTAACATGATTTAGCCTAACCCATGTTTCGTTAAATTATTGTACTCTCTTTGTTTGTTTTTTTTTCCTTCTGATTAGTCGACTTAATTTGATATATGATTCGGCGTATCAAATTATTTATATTATCATGACTTTTTCATGCTTCTCATCAATCATCATAACATTTTTAACCTTTCTTTCACAATGTCTATAATTTATATCATATGTTTTACAATTTTATCAAGATTAAAGTCCGCGTATACGCGGATATATTTTAAGATTTTATAATAAAAACATGGAAAATATTAAACAAAATTTGATCATTTTTAAACGTAAACAAAATCTTTATATTATTAATTGAGAAGTACATTCTAATGTTTGGATACAAGAATTAGAGAAACATCTATTTGGATAGAAGAATAAATGAAACAAAAGTTGTTTGGATATAAGAATAAGAGAAAAATCTATTTGGATAGAAGAATAAATGGAAAAAATTGTTTGGATACAAGAATAATAACTTAAAATAAACCGATGGTTTAGAAAACTTCCGTTTTCCATCTCTTAAAAATCTGCAAAAAAGAAAACTTAACATAATCTAACGATAATTCCAAATCAATAGAATATGCTTTTTGGATTTTCGGGTTTTTATAGACAAGTTCGGGTTTGGGTGAAAATCTGAGACATAATTTTATAGAGATATATATAGAGATATAGAAATTGTTCGGGTTTCTTTGAAAATTTCTGTTCGGGTTAGGTTCAATTTTTTTTTCAGTTTAGGGTTTTCCGGATTTTTTAGATTTCTGGTTTTCGGGTTTAGATATATTAAAAAAATTGAGTATTTTAAAATTTTGATTAGGTATTGGGGTCGGGTTCCGGGTGAAAAAGTTTCCAGATTTTTTTTGTTCAGTCAGGGTTTTCGGGATTTTTTTGATTTCGGATTTTCATGTTTAGACCTATTAAAAAAGTTTGGGTTTTTAAATTTTTTGATTAGGGTTTTTTGTCGGGTTCGGATTTAGGGTTTAAATTTTCTACACAAAACAACAACGTCACACCGCACAAACGTGCGGGTACTCTACTAGTCATATAAGTATTTGCAAATCAATTTTCGTGAATGGAGGCACCACGTTAACTCTCAGCCTCGGAATTACATTACTACCCTTAATGAAAATCTTGAATAAATCTTTCAATTTGCTTATTATCTTATTTAAAAACGAAATTATATATTTGCTTTCTTCCTAAATTATTTTTGGATATATATCGTATAACTAACATATTTTCGCGCTACATATATGGAAAAAATTAAAAAAAAAAGAAGTAAAAAAATAAAAATTGGAAAAAGAATTAAAAATTGGAAAACCTAGGTTTATTAGCCAACTCTTTCTTATATATAGTTATAGCTACAAGCAAGATCAACCCAAATCAACGTAATCTTAGTTCTTAGGTCTCCTATTTCTCAACCGATAATCAACGTCTACGTCTTCTTAGCTAATTAGGGTTTAGTATATCTTTATTGTTTTACTTTTTCAAAATTATGATTACCTGATTATATGTTATCTACTATCAATCATCTATATATACGTTTTTAACTTCTTCTTTCCTCGCTTTTGTAACAGTGAGTTCCAAGCTAATGGAATCTAGAAGATCATATTTGGTCCCAAACAAGACATATTCAACTCCAGCAAAGGAAGGTATAAACATCTATCCTTTTAATTACCATCTTAATATTCATGAAACCCTAATTCTAATGGCCAATCTATAACAATATATATATTTTTTTTTTATCCATAGTTGATGCCAACAACAATCATTACAAAGATAGCTACAAGCAAAATCAACCCAATTCTCATTACGATTTGCATATCTTCTTTCTATACGTAATCTTACTTCTTAGGTCTCATATTTCTTCTTCTCATGTATCTTTATTGTTTTACTTTGATTTAAGTTCTATTTACTATAATGATTAACTGATTATTTGTTATCTACTGTCAATCATCTACATACACGCTTCTAACTTCTTCTTCTCTCGCTTTTGTAACAGTGAGTTCCAAGCTAATGAAATCTAGAAGATCAGATTTGGTCCCAAGCGAGAAATATTCAACTCCAACAAAAGAAGATATGAACATCTATCCTTTTAATTCTAATGGCGAATCTATAACGATTTTTTTTTTCTAATATCCATAATATTTGCTTAATCATTAATATTATATCTTAAGTACTTACCTTAAAGCAATGTTTTAAAAACCGGACCGGAAGGCAAACCGCAAAGACCTTTGGGTCATGGGTTAATCCGGTCCAACCGGTTCAACCGGGTTTTCAATATTTATTTTATTAATATATATATATATATATATATATTATATACATATGTGGCAACTAATATTTGAGTGTATATTCAATAAACAAAACATAAATTACTTTTGTCAGTTTTGTGAGAAAACCCTACTTTTCTCTTTCTAAACCGCCGCCTATCTCCTCCCTCTTCCTTCTTCTTCTTGCTCTTCTCTCTTCACTCTGTTTCTGTAAAATTGTTATTCTAATTTTGTTTTCTTCTTTATTTCTACAGTTTTTTCTTTTCCCTCCTAACAATCTCGAAATAGATTAGAGAAATCAACACAAAGGGATAATGTGACTGTGATAATCAAAATATGTTTGACTTCCATGAATTCAAACAATTCGATTAAGCTTGAAATGGAAAAAAAAAATGTCGTCAACACTAGATTACCAAATAAACAAGAAGCAATTTAGGGTTTTCAGAGTGCATAAACACAAAACCGGGTTCACCAATTAATTTGAACCGGCCGGCTTTTGGGTTTTAGCCGGTTTTTAATCGGTTTTCTTGGGTTAATTGCAAATACGGTTTTTCATTAAACCCAAACCGGGATAGGCACCGGTTCCCCGTTAGACCGGTCCGATCTAATTTTTAAATCATTGCCTTAAAGAAAGGAAAGAAGAAATAATGGAATGTGAAGAAAAATCTAAAACAAATGAAGAATATTACGTAGAAGAAAAAGAAAGAGAAGATAAAAATAAGACACCTCAAGATTACAAAAATAAGAAGTTTGCGAAAACAAAAAGATGAATACAATAAAAAGTTGTACTACTTATATTATTTAAATATTTAATTAATAATTGTATTTAAAAAATATTGTACCCGCACAAGGTGCGGGACAACCACCTTGTTAATATTGAAAACCCGATAAAAAATATTTAAATAAAATAAAATTGGTAATACTTTTACATTTTTATTATAATTGATTTTTCTTTTGAATTTATGATATGACAAAATGAATTAATTTGTTTTAATATTATTTTTATCCAATACATAAACACTTACACATGTCTAAATCTGATCAACTGATTAATTAATCAAACTTTTATTATTCCATTCAAGAGATTTTAATTGATGAAATCTTTATTTCAATTTTTTTTACCTAACAAAAATTGAAAATCAAACTATTTAAAATTAGAATATCGATTATAATTTTTTAATTTTAGTTAATTGCTTGAATATTATTTTGTTAGTTTTCTATTTATATTTTTTCTTTCTCAATTTTGTTTTTGCCTACCATTATAAATAATATATATTGATATTTTTCCTTTTCGAAATACATTTTTTTCCTTTTCTTAATAGATGTAACAAAAGAATTTAAATTATTTGTTTTCTGTTTTTTTTATTACTTTTAATGGATTTATTATTTTTTCATTTTAATTATTTTTATCTGATTTTCTAATTTTTATTTAGTCTTATACATATTAAATTATTATTTTTTATTCTATGACACATGTTACGATCTTCATACTTTCATAAAAATTTTTTTCTAAAACAAATGTCACAATTGTGTGAGTTATAAAAATCATATGTATCGCAAAACTGTCAAAAACATGATTTTTTAATTGGAGAAATAGAATCCAAGGGATTTGATGAATTTATGATTGAGAAACTTTGACTCTCTTTTATAAGGATTCAAATAACCTATTCAGTTATATGAAATTTAGTTTACATAACTGACGTAGCGGAAACTTCTAGGGATAGAACTAGAGATCCGTTGATTCCTCATAATACCGGATAACTAGGGTTTGAGAGTCCTCCTCTCAGGGCTTTCGCAAAAGCTCTTGGTTGTGAATACTCTTCACAGTGGTTTATCAAAACCTCTTCAGGAAATATCCTTTTTATAAATTTATCAAAGTCTTCATTACAATATGAACCCTAGACGGCTATATATAAGAAAAACTCAAAAACCCTAAAAGCCATAAATAATAATAAATGTAAATAATACTTATTTATCTAAATACATAAAAACATAAAATCTAGATAATAAAGATATTTGGAGATCTTCCAAATATCACGCTGCATCAATAACATTATTTATTTCATTATACAAATAGAATTTTATTTATTACATTATTTTGATTTTATTATTTGTTTGGATAATATTAATTTGATTACATAACATTATACAAATATGATTTTATTTATTACATTATTTTGATTTTATTATTTGTTTGGATAATATTAATTTGATGAATGAAAAACATTTCTCTATTAGGATATGACAAATATATTTTTATTTCTTTTAACTGTAATGGATTAATTTTTTTTTTAAAATTCCTTTATCTAAAAGCATCCAACTTTATATAATAAAAAATTTTGATGAATGGGAAATCTTTTTCTGTTTGGATATGGCAAATATTATTTTTTCCTTTTTGATATAATAGATTAAATTAAATTTCGTTTTTTTTTATTAACATTTATCTGGAATTTTTTTTTTTAAGTTCTCCTTTTTTTCTAAGACACGTGTCACGATCTTAACGGACATAAACTTAAAAGTGACACATGTCGTGATCCTGAATTTTATAAAAATCATACGTGTCAGCAACCACGTCGTGCATATCCAGCTTTATATAATAAGGTAGATAGATGTATGTAAATTTAATGAAATAGACTATCTAAGATGAATCACATAAAATACGACCCGAAGAGATTAGTACATATTTTAGCATAACATATACTTTATAATAGCATTTGTAACTAAGGTTATTCGTTTAGCATTACTTGACACTTTAATCGCTTTAGTTATCATTTTCCTTTTGCCTTTTTTTACTTTAATAATGTCAAAGAACAATAAATCACCCCACTTTATCATCATGAACCACTTATGGTTGAAATTTCAAATGATCATAGTTCATTGATTAAGAAAATAATTAGTTGGTAAATGAATCAAACCTCCATCATGATTCATAAGCAAATGCAACGAGTTAAAGAGTGTACCACAACCCAAAGGTGGTAAAATGAATCAAACCACCTTCTTAATTGACAAATAGGAAGACTCTTAAGCAAGCCAAAGGTCCGGACTCCGGAACCTTCTTAACGGTTACAAACAAACAAGAGAGAGAGAGAGAGAGACTACCAAATTCTCTCTTTCACACTTGAAAACTACAGCCAAACTTGTTTCTCTTACAATCCAAGAAACAAATAAAAACCAAAACTAAAACCTAACTAAAATCTAAAACCCAAAAATACAAAACAATGTCTGAAAAGAAAACAGTAGATGTTAAGTGGAAGAAAAGATCAACAAAAACGATATTTTCACACTTCACATAACCAAAAGGAAAAATCCAGTACAAGTGTTCTTCACTTCTTCTACATCTTCATCTTCATCAACTTCTTTCTTCTGTTCATCCTCTACTGACAACTAGGGTTTCTTCCAGGACCTCCATAGTAAAAGTAATGTCCCCATTCATCATTCTTATTAACCTCAACATCATAGCAATTCGATTTCTCGGTGAAAGTGTTGAGCCCTTTTGGTTCTTTCAGATTATTAGAGCTATCGACGACTTGAATATTCCGAAAGTAACTCGCTTTCGTGAACCCTGCATCCGGAAACTGACCGCTTCCCATTTGCGTGGTCGTGTGGTGACCATCTTCTTCCATGTTCACCACTTCTCCTCCCCATTCCACTATCGATGCACTATCAGCTAAGTAGGAGAACAGAAAGCTTGGCCAGTATCCCAACACATACCCATCTCCAAACTGCATCCACCAGTGCCCTTCTTTCGGATCCTACAAGAAACAATGTGCACCATCTATCAGTTTCACTGATCAAACACACTCAAAGATCCTTAAAGTTAGCACCTTTGAGGAAAACAAGATGCTATGTTTAAAGAATCCATAACAAGAAATGGTTTTTGAGAGGAACTTCACATATGGAAACTGGTTTGATTCATCAGACACAACCACTGATACATAAAGTTCGCATCTTTGAGGTGTAAAAGCTGAGAGTGGTTCACTGAGAGCTTTAAACAAATGGAAACTGGTTTTTACCTTCCAAATGGTAATGCTGATATCGTACTGCGAGTTACGGAAGCCAGACACCGGAGAAATGCTGGCTCCCAGTGCTACTTGACTGTTGATTTGTATAAAACCCGAACAAAGGTGATTGTAGCAGCCAGTAGCTTGATAAGCATCGCTCTGTTGTTTGTTCCACACAGAGAAATCAATGAAAATATGAAACCTTATCAGCCCAAAAGACATAATATAGACAGTACGTTTCATCAGAAAGTGATGCAAAGTTAAACAGAGTTTTCAAACTTACAGTCCAGTATGTGAAAAGCCTTGTGTTGTTATCCCCATATAAGTCCGGACTAACCTGATATGTATACATATAGCAAACAAGCTAAGATCATAGATGTAAATGAAATCAAGTTAAAATGTTAAAGACTTTATCTAGGTTGTTACCTGCCAACCAGCTTCGATGCTGTTGAGATCTTGACCAAAAGCACCTCCAAGAATCCACAGCTGAGACAGGCTAAACTCATTTGAGCTTTGTACTTTTGGTTCCCATACATTCATTGTCGCCTTGGCCCCATAAAATTCGCCTCCTTCCACATAAGCTATGGCGTGCTGGTTCGTCCACAAGATTCCACAGACCAAATGCACATACAGAAGAGAACTTTTAGACCAAGAAATTCAATAAGATACAGATACATCGGCAAGTAGGTACAGAAATCAAAATCTACCTGATGACCACTTTGGTTGATGAGATCAGGATCAGCAGATCTTGGCAGAGGAACAGTACGGAGCTTCTTCTTGCCGTACCTTTTAACAGAACTCGCCCTCAAAACATCATCTTTCTTTGTCCTCCTCACTGGTATGGTTCCTTCGGAACAGGCTCCATTCTGGTGCCATAACTGAGTGACTGGATTGATTCTCTCTTTTGGCTTCTCAGACACTTTGTTATCATCAAAGAGCATTCCTGGGATGTAACTCGGTTTCGTCTGTTAATAAAACCAATAATATGTTGAGAGATATGCAACACTGGAAGAAGAAGAAAGAGTGTGAAGTTGAGGCAAATGCTGAGTCAATTTCAAATTACCTGAATCTTGTGGTCTTTGAGGAAAGGATGATCAAAAGCTGGTTGCTTGGATATGTGAACACAGTCTATTATGTCACCATCTGAGCTCTGTTTGAAATATCACACAAACAAGAGAAAATTGTAAATCAATTTGGAGTTAACATTTTCACATGTAGTTATCAAGTTTCCAACTTTGTTCCCTACATTTTCTCACTAGTAAGTTAACAATGGAACAAAAGTTTCTATGAAAAACAAGAACTTTCCAGGAGAGTATAAAGATTTAGCCAACATTTAGGGGATTTATGTAATCATCTCCAGGAATCAATTAGGTTGGTAACATCCAGAAACAAAAAGGGATCCAAACAAAAATTGAAAACTGGAGATTAAGAAAGAAAGAATTCAGAAACCTGAATGCTCTTAACGGCTGGTTTATTCAGGCGTTTCAAGTGCTTGTGCACTTCGAAATTCTGCTTTGAAACACTGGGCCTCCCAGCGCATGTTAGACAGAGCAATCCCCAGAAGCAGAACCAAACCAGAAACCCTCTGAAAACCCTCTCATTGCTAAAATGCGCCGCACCCATCTTCTCACTTTGAAGTCTAAAGCCAACTAGAAGAGAGAGAGTGAAGAGAAAGGTAGAAGATTTTGGGAATGCTTCTCACTTATCTAACGAAACCCTTTCTTTATTTGGTGAAGTTTTGAAAAAGCTAACACCTTTTATTTATCTCCTTCTTCTTCTACTAGACCTCTGTCTCTGTAACCCACCACTAACACTAGTGATTCTGCAGCGACATTGAAGTGGGTCTCTCGTTTGATGATGAAAAAAAGACTCCACTTTTTTATAACTCACTCTCTCTCTCTCTTTTTCTAGTCACACTCTCTCTCTCTACTTTTAGTTATCCCTTAAATATACCTTTCTGGGTAATTAAAAGTAATTGAAAGACAAGTAAATACTCCATTTTTATGAACAAATTACAAATCTGTTGAAATTATGTTTTACAGCCACTCAAAAACAAATAATTACGAAAACGAAACCGTCTAAAAAAAATGATTCGAAATAACCCCTCAACTTTCTCTAATGGGTATTCAAATGATTATTTGTTTAATGACAAAAATATAAAAAGTAAAAGTAGATGTGAATAAAATGAATCATTCGTAACTAATAAATGCATGAATGTTGGGTATTTTTTATGCAACTACAAAAAAATACATTTTTAATTAATCCTTGCAACGTTTTTTTTTGTTTTGACTGAATCCTTGCAACTTTTTATATAAGTAATTAGGTATGATTACTTATACGAATTAGTAAGCATAATACGTTTTTCCCAAAACAAAAACATTTTTTGAAATATGATGCGAGTGGATCCCACGGGTCATGGCGAGGTAGTCGATGCAACTCCTCCTAAAATTTCACGAGCTACGTTGTTTGCTCCGCTACAAATAGCGACGACCCAAAATAACATAAATTTCCATGTACAAGATATTACCCTTTCACATGAAACACATTTTGCATTAAATTGCATCTACTAACTAATTTACCACTAATTAACTATGCAAAACTTGATACTTCAAAAGTATTTCCTTACTTTTTCCAAGCATATATTCCTCTTTATACAAGTGTGTTTCTTTCTGCTAAATTATATTTTTGGAACGAATAAATTCTGAAACATCGTATCGAACGATGTCACTAAAGATAATAATTTTAGAGAAACGAGAATAAAGTTCTGCAAAAAGTGTCAACTTTTCAGTAGTAGTTTTAAAAATACTGTTTTGACCCATCATACTAGTGGTCGAATCGCTTCTTACTTTTTGTTAGTTACAGATTAATCAACTAATACATGGTTAATAAATAAACAATTTATAGTACATGGTATAATATGTGTGTTCTAAAAAACAAAACAAAAAGGCTGCAATTGGGAGTTTGGGACTATCATTACTTAGTTTAGTATATGAATGATTCCATTATAATTTATGAGCCAACCTAAGATACATGATGAAAACAAATTTTACATCTAAGCTGCTTTATATTTGCATATTTAAGCTGATTATATATGTCATGTTAACTGAGGAAAAAACCTTTGTTTTCTGTAATCGTATGCTAAAAGTTGGTTAAACAATCCAAAGAGTAACTGCAAATTAACGTAACGTTATGATAAATTACAAAAAGTATAGAATCATATACTACCGACTATAATGCTGTAATCTGTGAAATAAAAAAAGATACTATCGTTAATTACGAGTTGCCTCGTAATGATAATGTTTGTCTTTTGTTTGCTTACAATAGTTTACAGTTAAGGGGTACTACTACTAGTGTATGATGGGGAAGCAGACACAAGATTATGTCTCCCGATGAAGCTGTTGGTCTCTCTTCTTCTGTTTCGGTTTGGTCGCCGTTACCAAGGGCCAGTCGCCGTTTATAATCTGACGGCGTCATCTCACTAGGATTGATTTAGCTCCATACACGTGTACGATGCGTAGCGTCTATTCCCGATGATGGGTGTTGACGAGAGAATGAAGCAAAATCTAACTAACGGTGGGGAATCCAATGAGTCAAACAGACTAGCAGATGCAGAGCATCATTATGAGATTCCACAAAAAGAGATTTTGGTCAGTAGATAGAAAAAAGGCTTTATCATATTTTGACTTGCGAGTTTAAAACCTTGGGTAGTTCTTTATATTAATAACAAAATTGTGTGTGTTAACTGTTAAGTAGTACAAATGGATTTGTACAGATGGATTCCTTACAAGATAGTGTCCAAACTGTTAGTGGAAAAAAGATTTATATGAGAAAACTTTATAATTTCTTTGTAAAAGTCAACAACAACTAATAATATGAAAACGAAAGCTTTTTTTATCTTTTTTTACCAATGAAGAACGAGAGCTACGAGGAGTAGTTAAAATCTTAATTATTTGTTCTGGTTACATATATACTAGTTGATAGCTTTTTAGTAAGAAAAGACGAGTATTTCCATGTTTCTTTAACTAATTGCGACATCATCCTCGTTAATCATGCACCACCCTTGTCTTTTCTAGTTATAATTGCACATTTTTATAACGTGCGTGACACAAAATAGACAAAAGTGATTAGCCCGAAATTACCATCATTGGTTCAGAAAAGACAATCCCTCGATGCTAGCTACCATCATTGGTTCAGAAAAGACAATCCCTCGATGCTAGCTGGATCATACTCAACAGGAAGCAAACCATCCAGCAAACCCATTTCGTTTTTAGTCTATAATTGTCATAGAAATGCTCCAAATACCATAGTTAGACTTAGATCCATCTAGAGCTTCAGCAGTAAAAACCAAACCAGGATGATCGGAGCTATGTAGATAGTAAGGATTATGAACATTATTATATGAGTCAGATATCTCAAACGCGTGCAGAGCGTAGGGAATGACTTATCGGCGAGAGTCAATGAGGAATATATCGAGAGGGTTTGTGGAAGATCGGCGAAACTTCGATTGACACTTGCGTTTTGTCTTGGCGAAAAGAAGAACAACTCATAAACAAAAGTTTTTTTCGATCGAAATATATAAACTACGAGAAAACCAAAACGCGAGCTCGTCCGAGCTGTAAAACTGAAAAAGAAAATTAAAAAAAAAAACTGAAAAACGGAGCTTAGATGAGCAGAAATCAGAGTCGGAAAAATGACTTTAGAGACATTGTGGCTCTGATACCATTTTACCAAATGTGTAAAATAAACTCCCATTCTCATTTATTGATCTGAAAATGTACAATTAGGCTACTTCATTTACAATACTTGATCAAGGTAAACCAGTGACTTAAACCAAAAGAGAGAGAGAGACCGGTTTATATATACAATATCGGAAAACAACTAAAATGCGGAAATGAGAAACTATATAACACTAATGTTGGATGCATCTAGAAAATGTCTAAGCGATTTTGTTGGAACACGAGACCCATCCTGATGTTTTGTTAATCGATAACTGCATATATTGTATATTCGTTTTGATTTGATCTTTGGAAACTAATATCATGATTGATGTTTTCTCGAAGCTAATAACCGTAAGTGGAGAGAGCTCTCATTCACAAGTCACACTCACACATGAGTGACATGACACAACAAAGGGTCTTGAAAACCAATGCAACCTCTTGAACTTTCTATATCTAGAAAAGACATGGGCCCTACTCGCACAGACATGTTCAGTTGGCCCAAATTAGATTTGCTTTTGGTAACCACTTTGGGTTTTTCCATTTACTAGGAATGGCCCAAATTATATTTACTACTGAAATCCATACGAAGTGCAGCAAGAACCGACCGCAGACACAAGATTTGAAGGTGACTGATTATCTGAATTTAGTCTATTTGCAGAATCATGTGTGAATAGACACACACACAAACTCACTTGACGATGAAAGGTAAAATACAAAAATTTGAACAGATGGATTACATAAAACTTCTCAAAACCGGAAGGAAAGCCTAGCAAGAACTAATCAGTAGGAGATCTCACACTTTGATAAACTAGGAAACACATCATCATCATCACACACACACAAAAAAAAAAGCTTAAGACTTTATCAGAAAATGGACACAAATGGATCTTGCAGAATCACACAAGAAGCAAGTATTGAACTTGATTCATCCACAATAGTTTTTCTGATAACATCTGAGGACTGTCGACAGAAGACTGATTCCTAGCTAGAATTTAAGCTCAATTTGCTTGATTCTCCATCAATCAAGAGCAAGGATTTGGACGAGTAAAGATCAAAACAAGCTCCTTTAACTCCTAAAATGATGAAAGATAAACTATACGCATCACCAAAATCTCAAGATTTCCTGATTTCTCTGATTCCACAAACAAGGATTCAAAAACAAACTCCAAATTTATCCAACAATCCCAAGAAACTCCAGTAAAAAAAAAACCCCAAATGATATATCTGTACAGTAAGGGGCAAAAACAAAACTTTACAAAGGAAAAATCAGAAACAAAACAGACGGCGGAGATTTCGTCACTCCAAACGAAGATGATTAACAATCGAAGACGATGTTGATGGTCGTCCATAAACACCATCACTATCACGCTCATCGTCGTCGTTGAAGTACAAAATCTCCGGCGGCGGAACGCAGACATAGTTCCAGAACCACATGACGAATCGACCCAACTGCTGAAGCGGAAAACAGCAAACGAGCTCCAGCATCTCGCCGCTGCTGATTCGATCCGACGGCGGAATCGACCGGAATCGCTGAAAAACACCCGCCGATAAATGGGCAACGGACATCACCGTATCGCCGCGGAACACCATATCTTATCTCACCGGGAATTTGGATTAGATTTTTCCAAAATCGATTTTCTTTGGATTTGTTGCTGTCTCTGTGTGACTGTGTTTTCGTAAATTTAAATAGACAGAAAGGAAACAAAATGATGGATTTTTCCATTTGCAAAGACCAGAGATTTTATTACCATTTCGATTTAATCCAATTGAAATTACGAACATTTTTGGTTTAAATTGTCTCGATAACCGAAAGAGAAATCAAACCGACATAAACCGAACGCTTTAAGACCGAACTAAATGAGGATTAAACACTAGAGTTAAAAAGCTTTAACTATTCATCATCCTATGTGATTTTGACACGTTGACTTTCGACACGTTAATCATTATCTCCCATAAGATGTGGAGTGGGGGATTGATTTTATATTTTAACACTTTATTACATTCTAGTCACAATCAATTCCTCCTGTTACTTTGTTAGCCACGATCGTTACACTTAATGTTATTTTATTGTATACTTTTTTTTTTTTTTTTTTTTTGTGCACATTTTTTTTTTTTTGGTATACTTTAGCTCAAAATTTGTGAATAACCAACACGTATGATGAGAGGCCATGACTTTCTTTTGAATCTTGACCATCCATTTACTCGATGAGTCTCTTTCTATTCAAATACTCATTTACTTCTCTGCCAAGAAACCGTCCAACAAACAAATGAACAGAAACTTAACAGCCCTAAGTTTGATGGTTAATTACGATTATTGACGTCAGATATTTACTACTCATAATAGATTTTCCGTTTTCTATATATATTAAAAGCATTTAACATGATCATTCAAATTGTACAAAGAGAGGAAACCGAAACAGAGGAGGATTGTAAGATTAGAGTAAGTGTGTCTTTGAATCTTTTACACCAAAAACCTCCGAATTATGCTCTTATTACATTACATTTACAAGGTAACTTTACCAACAACAAACTGTTACAAACAGCACCATTTGATACAAATCTGCAATGTCAAGTAAAAACAAAGAATCAAATTAACTGTAAAATCAAGAGAGACAAGAAGAAATATTTTTATCAAAACGGCGAAGATATTTTACCTGATGATTTACTTCTTCAAGCTAAGTGCAGAGAGGACTTTTTTACCATAAGGATTGGTACGAAGAGATGAGATATGAAGCTTGATCGCATCAACCAAAAGACCATGAAGCATCCCCTACAAGAATCTCATCAAAATTTTGAAACAACCTTAAATCAATCAACTACTGTGTTTAGGTTTCCTGTTTTTACCTTGGAATGTTTAAGAGCTGACTGAATGACAAAGTTTCCATAAGGATCCAACATCACTTGATCAAGACGACCATAGCTTATGAGCTCTCTAACGATGCGAGCTCTATGTTTGTCATCAGCTAGCTTCAGACATTTCTCAACTACATTGCTGCTACATTTCTGCATCGACAGCTCTGTGTAGTTTCCTTCTAACTGCTCGAGGATCTCGTTGATTGCCCATTGGAGTTGTAGCTCAAACACATACTGAAGAACATAGTTCCTGCAAAATAAAGTTTGCATCTTTTCTCCATTACTTACACATGCATTGGATTCAAAAGCTCAAAGAGAGAAAGATCGAAAAAAACAATTACCCGAAAGGGTCTTGAGAGAGGAGTAGAGCATTGGAGGCAATCTCAGAGACTAAACGATCCTTTTGCTCTCCTTCAGAATAGCCAAGACATTTTTGTAGTACACAACATCCATGTCTATCAGTTGCTAGCTCCACACAATGACTAATCACAGCTTCGAATAGAATCTGAAGAGACAAGAAAGAAAAATGGATCACATTTTCATACATAACAGTGAAAGCAGAGTGAATCTATAATGAAAGAAAGTTGCTACCTTTCCGCAGTGAGGTAACAAATACTGCAAGCATCGTTGAACAACATGGTTACCGTTTACATTCTTGATCAAAGTGACAATGCCATGCTTCAAAGCAGAAATGATGATTGAGATCTCTTCCTGTCTCTTAGCCGTCTCAACGATCTTTTGAACAGCTCTAGTCCTGTTTCAAAACGTTAAAGAACACATCAGGCAAAGAACAAAACACAGAGACATGTTCATATCTAAAGAAAGGTTCAGTTTTTACCCATGCATATCACAAGAGATCTTGACAAGAACTCCTGGCTTTCTAGTTATGCAATGAACAATCTGCATCCTCTGTTCTTCGTTGCACACTTCAAGCAGCTTTTGCACTAGATAGTTCCCAAAAGGATCTACCATTAGCTCACTGATATAGTCAATGATCTCAACAAAGATCATCTCAATATCATTCCCATCTTTCTCGGCAAACTTCCTCTGCAAGAACCGACAACCGTGCTGATCTTTCGCCATGTAATAGATCTTCCCTCTCGCCTCTGCAAGAGAGTTATACTTCGGAGAAGGAGGCTGCTGCTGCAACTTTAGATTTTTGAGGCTCATCGCAAGATCTTCACTGAGCTGATTCTGAAACCAAAACCTTCTGTTCTGTGTCTCATCATCTCCACCACCGTAGTTTATGACTTTAGCATTGCTTAAACCGAGCTGTGATCTCATTAGAATCTTCTCAGGGTAACACGTTTTCTTTACACTTCCATTACCATCTTCTCCATACCAAAACATGTTTCTGTTAGACTGCTCAGCTCTGCGATAGTCGAAATGTTCCTGTCTCTGATTACTGTAAAGATAGAGGCAATGAGGGTTCATAGATGAATACTGTTCTTCTTGCAGACTCAGCCTCTGGAAGCTTCCTTCTTCCACATTCCTCCAATCCATATGAGACTGATCAAGCGATGGATAGTGAGATAGAGACTGCGAGGATGGCATGTAATGCTGCTGCGGCTGAGCATGTGAGTTCGGAAAGCAACCAACTTGTTGCAGCTTCCTAAACATTTGAGGATGATCGAGCTTTCTTGAACCAAAAGGTGAGCTGTTTGGAGAGTGGTAAGAAGGGTTAATGAACATGAGATGAGGACTTTCTTGAGTTTGGTTTGGGATTCCAAAGGTTAATGCAGAGGTAAAAGCACAGTCGTCAGGAAGATGTTGTTCTTCGAATTGAGAAGCTTTCGTTGAGATGAAACGGTTATAGTCGTTTCCTGAAGTAACTTTCGGGATCTCTCCAAGAAGCTTTTCGAATTCATCAAACTCTGGCTCGTTTCTTAGCTGATCCATCTCCAAGATCGGTGATTTTGTACACTCACCAGAGTAAAGATCCATACTTTTCAGCTCCAAGTTTCTGATGGTGATCAAAGAATGATACTTTACAGCTGCAACAGAACAAGAGTAATTAAGCTTAAAGTCAAACACCAAAGACACCACAGAAAGTATGTCAAAATTCAAGAGGGAAGAAACAGACAAAACATCTTAAAGTGTCACAAGTTGCTGTTCTTATTCTTGTTCAAGAAGACTTCATAAAATATTTGTAAAAAAAATAAAATCATTGGTAGGTTCTTTAAATACATCAAAAACAAGAAAGAAACATTGGGATACGAGTGAAGAATCAGCAACAAGACATTTATTTTTTCCATTACTTTTTGTCTCTATACTTCAAAATCAAAATAGCTTTGCAAGAACAAAGAAAATTTCAGTGTCACTAGCTGAAACACTCAAAACAAATAATTTACATTTACATTAGAGATTGTGAGATCAAACACTATAACCCAAAATACAGAGCTATAAAAAAAAGCGATCAGATTTTAGATATTTGAAACAAGAAACAAAGAATCACGAGATATGATCAAAGTCTAGAAAATGTACGGACCAAAAACAAAGGAGAAGATCTCGACGATCACATACAAATCTTAGAAGAGAGATCAATTTGAAGAAAGAAAATAAAAACGTAGAGAATGTACGACGATCAAAGAGCAAAAAGGAGAAACTTACATCACAGAAGGAGAAATCCGATCTCTGTCTTCCGATCAAATCTCCATGTTTAGACGAAACCCACTAGAGAGAAATCTCAGTGACAATGCGAGAGAAATTGTTTAGAGAGAGAGAGAAGAATATCAGTGAGGTTGAAGAACCATTAAACATATAAAATCACCAATCGGCAAAAGGTGATGAAGGAGGAGAAAATCTCACACACGCAAAGAGAGAAAAGGAAACAAAAGAGAGATTAAAAACCACAAAAGAAAAAGAAAACAGTTTTTTTCCGAAAGAGGTAAAAAAAAAAAAGATGGAGAGAATAATGAAAATATTTAAATCAGAAGAAAATTTTCCTGGGAAAGTTCAGAGGAAAATGCAAAGAGAGTGCGAGAGAGAGAATGGCGAGAGATAGAGAGAGTGTTTATATTTGGTAGGCGGCGTGAAGAAGAAGGAGAAATAGAGAGAGTCATATAGTGAAACTTGAAGCCTTTTTCTTAACATTAAAACCAAACCAAAAAAAAAAAAAAAAAAATTGAAGCCTTTTTATTTATTTTATAGCCAAAAATTCAAAATGCATATAATTAATTTGTTGGAATAAATTGGATGTTTGATTTTTTTTTTTCTTATGGGATTGAATTAAATTAAATTAAATGGGAAGAAAATAGAAAAATAGACAAAAGAAAATAGGGAGGGAAGAGAGGATGATGAGAAATAATAAAATAGGATGCACGAAAATGGAAAGGTCTTTTATGATATTTTGGTCACACTTATAAAGTCTCTCTCTACCTTCTTTGGGTACGTTTCTGTCCCTTTTTTCTTTCGTATTATTAATGGCTCTGTTTGTTTTCTCTCTCTACATATATATAACATAACACGTAGATATGTGTACATATGCAATGTACGTATAAACGTGTTATAACTTATAACGTATGTTTCTGCTACAAACGCTTATTGGATTCTTGTACATAGATTCAATTAATTAGGGGTTTTTTTTTATTAAAGAAAATGGTTGATTCAATAAGGTTGCTTTTGTGATTCTAGAATATATATATGGAATGAACCTTTGTATCTTTTCTTTTATGGTTTCTAATTCTTTGAATAATTCCCTAGTTTTCTACTTTTAAGTATCTTTATTTAGATGACAAGGCTCAAGCTAACCAAAATTTTGATCCATTTTTGTTCATTGTGAACTGTGACGTATGCCTATGGTTTTTTTATGTTGTTGCTAAAAGTATGGACCTTTGGTTGCTCATGATTCGTAAAATTTTTGACTGTCAGTATTTTTCAAAATATTCATTTATGTTTGTTCAAATGTTATTGATTGATCAACAAAAAAATTTGCAGACTTGAAGAAAAAACAAAGAGAAGAGACGGGAAATAATCATTAAATGAGTGTTGCTAATTGTTATCCTAAATTTGATGTCCATTAGGCATTTTCTTCTCCTGCTCCGCTTTGTATTGCCACCATTCAAACTAATTTCTAATGATTTAACTTTCGAATATCTTGATTTCGTCAAAATGATCCATAACAGATTGGTAAGCACTAAAATTAAAAGTTTGAAAGAAGTTTCTAGGAAGACAATACTAACTTGTTGCCTTTTACCTTAAATTCATCATCAACTCGGAGCTTCTTTACTTGTAGTGTTTCACTCTTTTGAGTAAAAATAAACAATATAGTATATAAATTCCTAACTTCTGAGAAATGTTTTTTTGTAAACATTTCTAAAACTGGGTACGTTAAAGTCTTGAGAAAACCTTATGTTTTGTTAATTGCTTGAGAAATTAACTCAGGAATCAACCCTACATAAAAAATTGGTAAGCCAAAAATTATCGAAATATGTGAAAATCCATATTTTCTTACAATTTAATACTACAATGGCCAACGATTATGAAATTACAGTGAAAATAACTTTTGAACTAATAGGTTGAATCCTCAATTACTAGACCACCATTAACGAACTATAGTACATTTTTTTGCAAATTACTTTTTAATCCCTTTTGATAAATAAGATTATCAATAACAATATCATGTGTAAATTCGAACAGATTCCAGTTAAGTAGGTTCCTTCAAATAATAATAATAATAAAAAAACAATCAAATCATTCAGCCGTCAAAAGAAAATAAATAAATAATAATCTACCTTCTTGAGAAAGAAAAACAAATAATGGCGGACGGTGACAAGCTCCACTGGAACCCTAATTTGCATAGCTCACAGTCTATTAATTTATTGCAAACAATTACATCTTCTTCATTGTCACGTGATCTATACAAGCTAAAACTGTTCAGTTCATTTTTCAGTTCAAATATCACTTGTTTCAATCTTAAGAACACGACCGAACTATATGTTTATCGAGCCATGCATGCAACCAGATTCTAACCCTCATCAAGTCACTAAAAAACATAGATAACATTGAGAAATAGGTGTTTAATTTTAGATCGGCTATTGAAGACTTTAATGGTGGCTTTTGCCTCTCCTAGTTGTATTCTTAAAACTAGTTTAGAAGCTATAATCTATAAATAACCAAGAGCACCAAAATGGGTTACTCCAGGATCTACAATAGACATATTATACAAATCATATTATTTAACGATTAATGTCGTTTAGAAGAAAAGTATGTGGCTTTGAAAATGCTCTCAAAGTGAAAAAAGAACAATAAAGGAAACTAAAATGTTCTCCCTTCCTTCAATTTGTTATTATCAACTTTTGAACTCTAAATTGTGGTTTAGTAATAAAAATTCATTTTGAACAAACCCAAAATTAAAGGTTACAAGGGATATGAGTCATGGTGGAACCCACCTGTAACTTTTGAAGTAAGATTGACTTTGAAAATGCTCTAACATTGTAAAAAATATTCTCTCATCAATAAATACGTAACACGTTATTAGATCAAGAATAACCCAAAATGTTCGAAGGAAATTTCTTGGAAGACCACTTTACTATCTTTTGTTTTTTCCTTCACGATCAGACTTTGAAAGCTTTGGTTGTGGCTTTTGGTAATTCAGACGCTATTCTCACAAATAGTTTAGAAACTGTAACTTTGAAAATGATTTAAATGTTGTAAAAATTGACTCTCATCAATAACATAATAAAACTTTGTTAAACCAGAAAAGAAAAAAGTAAAAGAAAAAATAACTACTCCTTCGGTTTTTTTTAAGATGAATTTTTTAGCTTTTTTTTGTTGTTTTTTTGAAAATAAAATCTATAGGTTTTCAATGTATTTTTTTCATGATTAAAGTAAAAAAAAAAACAAATTCTAATGTATTTCTTGCATTATTATTGGTTTAAAGTTGTTTAATTTAGAAAATTTATTGAATTTTTATTTCTTTTTTTAATATGTGGGAAAAACTAGATAATATATTATTTTTTTGATTTGATAACTCAGAGTAAATCTCAGACCTTTGATAACCTACGATATTGTTATCAGCTTCGGTCAAATCTTGCAATTGTGTTTTTAAGAGAGAAAAAAAAACTTATGCACAAACCCAAAAATTAAAAGATACAAATATATGAGTCATACTGTCATAGTGGAACCTGCTCGCAGCTTTTAAAGTATGTTTGACTTTAAAAGTTTCTCTCATCTACTCTCTTCGTTAGATAAAGAATAATAAACCAAAATTTATTAAAAACCAAAATGTTGGACAGAATTTATGTTTTAGAAGATCATTTTATATCACGACCAAAAAAAGAAGATCATTTTATATTTTTAATCTTCTTTTCATTTTATATGTTGCTTCAGGAAAAAAATTATCGATGAACGAACCAAAATAAGAAAGATTATGAGAATACGAGGGTTGTTAACTAATGGTTGATTTTTAAAGTGCTCTAGCTTTTGAAGAAAACTTATCTTATCAATAGACAATAACGTGATTTAAAAAAATTAAATTGATGAAAAGAAACCAAACTATCAGCTTCAAAATGATTACACTACTTCTAGTCTTTTTAGTTTTTACTTTTTAGGTACCTCTTCTGAGCAGTATTAGACAATATAATAGTCTTTCTTCGTCTATACTCGAAAAATAGTTTGAAACAAAGAAATTTTGTATGCTGACCAAATCCCCAATTACGGTTTTCTTTGATCATTACAAATTTGGTGACGATTTCAGTCAAATCTGCTGAGCATTGCAAATAGCAAATATCTTCTAGAGTATGACGTGCAGTAAATGCTTTTGAAAATAACTCTTCGATGAAGTTTTCATATTTAAAGACTTGTTCTTGATTCAGAGAACACAAAAACCAAATTATATGTTTCTTCAGGTAATCGGAAAAACATATAATTTACACTGGAAAAAGATGTTTCAGATCAGAAAATATGTCGTGGCTTTTGCTTCCTCAGAGACTACTCTGTTCTCATTGCTAACTTAGAAGCCATAACCTGAAAATCAACAAGAGAATCATATCAATAAAAGGTTGCAGATTCACAAGATGATTCAAGAAAAAAAGAACTAAGACAAACCTGAATTGTCCATAGGGTTACCAGCAGGAGCTGCTGATTCAGGCTCTTTAATCTCCACAACCACACAATCAGACATCAAGAACGTCTTAGCCACAGATGAGGCATGCTCTAAGCAACATCTCACAACCTTTAAAAAATGAAAAACTCAGCTTAGCATGCGAATTATAAGATTCAAACTGCAGAAAGTAAGAAACTTTGCTCCAAGTTAGGAACGATTGCTCACTTTGGTTGGATCAATGATTCCTGCAGCCATTAGATCTTCGTATTTGCCAGTTGCAGCGTTGTAACCATGTTTAGGATTGTCACTTGAGAGAACCTATAAAAAAAAAAGCCATTGACGTATTAGTTTCTATATCAAAAGACTCAAAGTTGCAATCTGTGTAAGTGGATCGTTTACCTTTTCACTGACAACACTTCCATTAACACCAGCGTTCTTGGCGATTAGCTTCAACGGGTAGCTCAAAGCTTTCTTAACAATATCCGCTCCTACCTGTTTTGAGATAAGCAAGATTGCAAAATGGCGTTACAACCCAAGATCTCATCATTCATGATTTTATTTTCCTCCTGTGTACTGTAGCTCTTCAGGACTAACCTTTTCTTCATCGTTTGCTAGAGTCTCTTTAATGGCATCCACTTTCGATGCAAGTCTTAGCAGAGTGCATCCTCCTCCAACAACAATACCTTCTTCCACAGCCGCCTAATTTAAAAGGTTCAATTAATTAGTCTCACAATACAAAGCATTTCAATATTCTTAATGATGATGTTACCTTTGTAGCATTAAGAGCATCTTCAACTCTCAGTTTCTTCTCCTTAAGCTCTGTCTCAGTTTGTGCTCCAACCTAAAAAATGTTAACAAAACTGGAATTTTATCACCTATCGTCAACACTTTTTATATCAACGTGAGTTACTTTTTATTATCTCACCTGAATTACAGCAACACCGCCTGATAATTTAGCAATTCTCTCATTAAGCTTTTCCTTCTCATAGTCTTGTTCAGCAGCCTACACAAACGCAGAGACTTAAGATAATAGCAAAACAAAACCACAAGCGAGAAAACTTTGTTGCTTTGAAGATGTACCTCGATAAGGTTCTTGATCTGCTCAACTCTCTTCTTGACAACTTCTTCAGTAGTTCCATCACCAACGATAGTCGTGGTGTCTTTCGTGAGAACCACTTTACCAGCATTACCCAAAACTTCCGGTCCAACTTTCTCCAACTGAAGTCCAACTTCTTCCCTAATCACAGTAGCTACAAAGAGAAAAACAAACACAGCAACTTAAGAACTAAAACATGTTTCCTTTTTCATAAAGTAGAAACATTTAGTATTATGGTCTCACCTCCTGTAAGAGCAGCAATGTCATCAAGGTACTGACTCTTCCTCTCTCCAAATCCAGGAGCTTTCAGAGCAGCAACTTTTATAGTGCCACGAAGCTTATTCACAACAAGAGTCGCTAACGGCTCTTGCTCGATATCTTCAGCGATGATCAAAAGCGGGTATGCACCTTTAATCGCATCTTCAAGAATGCTGATGATGTCTCTCGCACTTGTTATCTTCTTGTCAACAAGAAACAACTGCAAAAACAAACAAGAAGCACTTGTTATTTTCTTATCAGCTAATAGGATTTAACTAATAAGCAATAATAATAATACCTTGCAGTTTTCGTATTCTGCACACATTTTCTCACTGTCAGTGACAAAGTATGGAGAAATGTAGCCACGATCGAATTGCATTCCTTCAACGACGTAAAGGCTATTCTCAGCGCTTTTCCCTTCCTCGAGAGTGACAACGCCTTTACGACCAACTTTAGCCATTGCTTCAGCAATCATATTGCCTACTTCGTAGTTGTTTCCTGCACTAACCGCTGCAACATCTGCAAGTTCACTATCTTCCACCTGCAAATCCAAACAAATAACAACCCTTTCGTAAGCACAATGATAAGAGCCATGACCAAAGGAATCTGATTTGACTCTTGAGTAAATAAAAAGTTACCTCCTTTGACATTTTCTTCAACTCGGCAACAAGAGCCTTAGTGGTTTTCTCGATTCCTCTGGTAATCAAAACCGGATTTGCACCAGCAGCAACCACCTGCATATTCCAATTTTACACATCACATTTCAACCAAACACTTGCTCTGTTTCAATTCACAAAAGAGCCTTAAAAGTACAAACCTTTACACCTTCAGCGATGAGACCTTGCGCAAGAACAACAGAAGTTGTCGTTCCATCACCAGCTAAGTCATTGGTCTTTGAAGCAGCTTGTCTCACTAGCTTAGCACCAATGTTCTCAACTGGATCGTCAAGCTCAACCTAATTAAACAAAAAGCAAAAAACTTTCAAATCTACAAAAGCAAAGATAAGAGAGTGAAGAAGATCTACCACAATAAGAGAAGACCATTACCTCTCTAGCGACTGTTACACCGTCATTAACGATTCTTGGGGAACCGTATTTGCTCTCAAGAACAACATTTCTACCTTTAGGACCTAAAGTAACTCCAACTAGATCAGCAAGTTTATTCACACCAGCCTACACAATGAAATGATACGTTTTATTCAAATACGGAATCAGAAAGCAATAAAAGAGTGATGAAATCGGAAAACATATCATTCATTTGACTCACTTGAAGCTTCCTAATCGCAGACCCGTCCTTGTTGAAATGCAATTGCTTAGCCGCGTAGATTTTGGGGAATCTTGCTTTCCTCTGAGCAAAATTCTGACTCTTTCCAAAAGAGTTCGATGAGATCGAGACAAGAGACGACAATCGGTTCGAAGGAGGAGCCAGTGATGACGAGCCCATTGAAGTCGTTGCGCTGAAAGTTGAAGTCATGATTCCACTCTCTGCAAACAACATATAAAAATCAAAACTTTGGTTTCATTGATCTAAGAAAATCTAAAAACCCGAGTAGAGAGAATCAGAAGATCTAAGAAAACTTTGTAATCATCGAAGAACAAATTAAAAAGGGTATTTGAAAGCTAACAACTTTCCCACATAAGGCTACAATCCAACAAATACATATCGAAAAACAGAGGATGGTTAAAAGTTAACACTCTTACTGAGAAGCGATCAAGAGAGTGGATGGGAGATGGATCAGGGTTTTAGCAAATGAGGGGTTTTCTTGTAGAGAAATCGATCGATTTATGCGTCTAGAAAGTTATGTTTTTTTTCATTATATTATTCGATACGAGTGAGTGTATAGTACAAACGGTGAAAGTGTAGTAGTTCGAGGATCGCGTCTTCAAGGTTTCTAATTGAATCTGAGCCGTTGAATTTGGAAGTCTTTAAACCCTAAACCCACCAACTCTTCTTGTAAACACTTAAATCTTATACGACACCTAATCTTGTCTTTTGGTCTTGCATACCAGACGGCATCGTTTGAAGAAGCAATGCAACCTTCTTTCCCTCTCTTTCTGATTGTTCTGATTGAAAGTCCTAAGTTAACTTTAAAACAGTTTTGTTCCGGTTTATGATGAACCGGCTGGTTTGTTTACCATTAGGCTATAATTTATGAGTGTTTCTCTGTATCAAAATGTAAACATTAATTTTTCGAGGATGTCATTTGCCATTTGGTCTCATCATATTCCCATAATTAGGATTTAGGTCCAGATATAGCAAAATTTTTACATTGAGTAACTCTGATCTAGTTTTCATCAATCTCTGTATTTATATTCACATAAATGTATATAGTATTACTATATTCTTCATATTAAAAGATTTATAATTAATACATAGTATTACTATACATAAATGGATTTTTTTTGGTGGATACTATAAATGGATTTTAGTCTATATGCATATTGATCTCTTGCCAAAACAGGCAAAATTGTGATAGACCATAATCTCCTTTTCTGTATTTTACATCTGTATATATTTTTCTAGAGTGTTGCGTTAAGAGAAAAACAAAAACTGAAATACAATGAAAGACCAAATCTTCTGTCAGTTTCTAGTCGTAACGATGTTGTTGTGGTCATCTCAAATTGAGGGAAAGCCATGTGACAGTTCAGGCATCGAAGTTTTGATTGGTTGTCTAAAATCTATTGGCAAGGAGTTCACCCCTCCTCCGACACCAGCCGAAGGTTGTTGCTTTGGTCTCCGATACATTGGGATGAAATGTGTCTGCGAAGTCATCACAAAGGAAACCGAAGCCACCATTGATATGCAAAAGCTCGTTAATCTGGCCGCTTATTGTGGACGCCCTCTTGCTCCTCATACGCAATGTGGAAGTAAGTCCCAAACTCCCAATGTAACCCTTTTTTTTTAATTTGCCATACCGTTGGACACGAACAACAATCCTATGCGGGTTCATTAAGTTTTGATAAGTTTATTGTTATAATCTGCGCAAATTGGATATATCACCGATGCTAGTTGTCCCAAAAGTCAGCTGATAGCCTAATATTCTGTGGTAAAAAAAATACATACGTAATTTGGAATATTGTTTTTCTTTTCTAACGTAAATATCATAAAAATATTGTTAATGACATCCGTAGAGAGGTTTTGTATCACTTTTGGTGTTCATATATATATATATTACCAGTTGGTAAATGATCAAAATATGTTTTATCATCTTATAGATTTCTAATATACGGATATACCTTTGATTTTTTTTGTTTCTTTCTGTTTGCAGGTTACCTAGTTCCCGGTGGCACTATGATAAATTAGTGTCATTTTATTTGTCTATTTGAATTTATGGTTCAAAATAGGATTGTAAGGGTAATAAAAATAAAATCAAAATTAAGATCATCAATTCATCATCTATTGTAAAGCTAGGCGTCATTAATCGATAATTCAAGTTATCTTTATATTATTAATTGAGAAGTACATTCTAATGTTTGGATACAAGAATTAGAGAAACATCTATTTGGATAGAAGAATAAATGGAAACAAAAGTTGTTTGGATATAAGAATAAGAGAAAAATCTATTTGGATAGAAGAATAAATGGAAAAAATTGTTTGGATACAAGAATAATAACTTAAAATAAACCGATGGTTTAGAAAACTTCCGTTTTCCATCTCTTAAAAATCTGCAAAAAAAAAACTTAACATAATCTAACGATAATTCCAAATCAATAGAATATGCTTTTTGGATTTTCGGGTTTTTATAGACAAGTTCGGGTTTGGGTGAAAATCTGAGACATAATTTTATAGAGATATATATAGAGATATAGAAATTGTTCGGGTTTCTTTGAAAATTTCTGTTCGGGTTAGGTTCAATTTTTTTTTCAGTTTAGGGTTTTCCGGATTTTTTAGATTTCTGGTTTTCGGGTTTAGATATATTAAAAAAATTGAGTATTTTAAAATTTTGATTAGGTATTGGGGTCGGGTTCCGGGTGAAAAAGTTTCCAGATTTTTTTTGTTCAGTCAGGGTTTTCGGGATTTTTTTTATTTCGGATTTTCATGTTTAGACCTATTAAAAAAGTTTGGGTTTTTAAATTTTTTGATTAGGGTTTTTTGTCGGGTTCGGATTTAGGGTTTAAATTTTCTACACAAAACAACAACGTCACACCGCACAAACGTGCGGGTACTCTACTAGTATATATAAGCTGATCAAATATGCTTTCCAAAACCACGTAAGTCTATAATGGGGCCTTATCATAGAAAGCCAAACATACTATTGACCCTCGTGCATCGTGCGAGTAAATCTGAGGTGGCTATAATCAACAGTGACGGAGAGTGGACACAGTTTGAATAAACAGACTTTGTATTACTCATTCTTTTGTTTTTAGTAGTTTGGAATTTTGGATATTACATAAATCTCAAGATCTTACTCGAGTACAAACCCTAGCTTCTTGATAGACTTTACCTGGTCGACACAGATAACCTTTGCTCGGAGCACAATGTGAGTCCTCCAAGCAAATACGGAGCCCTTCCAAAGCGCATCCTTGTTTCACAATCGTTACGTTAGCCCTAGAATCTGATCGGTCCATTCTGTAGAAAACAACCCCGAGGGATCTAATCTATCTCTTACTTTCAAAAACGCATCTGCGTTCTTGTACTTGCCAATGGCACCATCAAACGCTAGGTTCCTATTTTTCCCCCAGTGTGGCAAATTAAAGCGCTGTATTTTAATATGGCCATTTGCTCGATCTCTTCGACGTAATCCACGTAGAGACGCGGTGCCAAAGGATCATCTTTGCTTCGGTAGTAAGTTAGGTCGAAGTCTAGAGCTTTCTCTTATTTCCCAAGAAAAGCAGGAGACAATGTCACATAGCGCATCAGTATACCGTTGTTGAGCTCAAGGATGCAGAGAGATGTGGGTTCGAATATCTTCAGTCTTCACAAGTTCTTTGACGTCGTTGATGAAGTCTTTGACATGTGTCAGAGGAACACTAAATGTCGTTTGATGAAAGAATTGGCTCTCTCTACACAGTCTACAAGATGTAAACACTTAAGTCGTATACGACACCTAATCTTGTCGTTTCGTCTTCCAAACAATACGGCATCGTTTAAAGAAGCAATGCAACCTTCTCCCTTCTTTCCCTCTCTTTCTTCAATGTAAATAATAAATTTTTACATTGAGTAATTGATCTAGTTTTCATCAATCTCTGTATTTATATTCACATAAATGTATATAGTATAGTATTAATATATTCTTCATATTAAAAGATTTTTTATTGATATATATCTATAAATGGATTTTAGTCTATATGTATATTGATCTCTTGCCAAAATAAGCAAATTGTGATTGATCATAATCTCCTTTTCTGTATTTTAAATCTGTATATATTTTTCAAGAGAGATGCGTTAAAGAGAAAAGCATAAATTGAAAAATAATGAAAGACCAAATCTTCTGTCAGTTTCTAGTCGTAACGATGTTGTTGTGGTCGTCTCAAGTTCAGGGAAAGAGATGTGACGGTGAAGGGATCGTAGTTTTGATGAGTTGTCTAGATTCTATTAGCAAGGAGATGCGACATCCTCCGACACCAGTCAAAGGTTGTTGCCTTGTCCTCCAAACCATTGGGATGAATTGTGTCTGCGAAGTCATGACTAAGGAAATCGAAGCCATGCTTGATATGCAAAAGCTCGTCAATCTCGCAGCTACTTGTGGCCGTCCTCTTGCTCCTCGTTCACATTGCGGAAGTAAGTCCCAACATAATCCACTTGTTTTTTTTGGTTTCCACCCATACGTTAGACAGCACCAACAACAATCTAATGCGGTTTTGTAGATATTACTATCGTAGACAAATTGTATCTAGTTTTCTGTAGTAATTATCTAGTGTTTCATAGTTAAAGTTCGAACATAAAATATAAGTAGCATGATATTTTGGTGGTAAGAATACGTACTGAATATAACTGCGAAAAACTTGTTAATGATATGTTTTTTTTTTTGGTTTTATTGTTAATGATATCTTTAGAGACGTTTTGTAGTACTTTTGGTATACATATATATTATCATTTGGTAAATGATCAAATTATATTGTCATGTAAACATAAACGTTCTTCAATTCATTACTCCATATGCTTAATGATCTATCAAGTAAATATTTGCTTGTGATTTTTTATTTTTTTACAGGTTACCTAGTTCCCGGTGGCACTATGACACATCATGGATAAGTTAGTGTCAGTTTCTTCGTCTACTTGGAATTTTATGGTTCTTACTTCTAACTTCTAAGTACGTTTGTAAGGGTGATTTGAAAAATAAAAATAAAAACCCATCCTATATCTTATTGTTGGCACTTGGTATGGCACAAATAATTTTATGAATAGAAAGCAATATAAAGGGTGGTGAAATCGAAAACATATCATTTTACTCACTTGAAGCTTCACTTTACTCAATTGGTATGGCACAAATAACATATCATTTTACTCACTTGAAGCTTCTTAATCGTGGTCCCGTCTTTGTTGAAATGCAATTGCTTAGCCGAAACAACATATGACAATCGGTTCGAAGGAGGAGCCAGTGATGATGTTGCGCTAAAGGTTGAAGGCTTGAAGCCATGATTCCACTCTCTGCAACACATCAATTATCAAAACTGTATAATGTTTAGGTAATGAAATGAAGAAATGAATGGTAATTACTTTAACGGTCGTAAAACGTTTAAATGTCAACATGATACATATCTACTGTAATTTTATTCTTAACAAACTTTTTACATTGAATAACCGAGCTAATTTTCATATAATCTATGTATTCAGATACACATATATGTCTATACTAATACATTACTAAATTCTTTATATAAAGGGATTTCTAGTTGGCATATATCCTATAAATAAGATTTTAGTCTATATGTATACTGATCTCTTGCCAAAATAAGCAAATTGTTTAGTGATCTGATTTTTAATTATACTTAACATACCATATATTTACAGACATAATGCAAAATTTCAAATTGTGAAAATCTCTATAAATTGATTTCTAATTGATATATATCTATAAATATGATTTTAGTCTTTATGTATACTGATCTCTTGCCAAAATAAGCAAATTGTGAGTGATCTCATTTCTGTATTTAACATACTGTCTATATATTTATATGCAGATGCGTAAAAGAAAAAAAAAACAAACAAAAACTGAAAAAAATGAAAGACCAAATCTTCTTTCAGTTTCTAGTCGTAACGATGTTGTTGTGGTCATCTCAAATTGAGGGAAAGCCATGTGACAGTTCAGGAATCGAAGTTTTGATTGGTTGTATCGAATCTATTGACAAGGAGATAAAACCGCCTCCGACACCAGCCGAAGGTTGTTGCGTTGGTCTCCGATACATTGGAATGAAATGTGTCTGCGAAGTCATCACTAAGGAAGTCGAAGCCACCGTTGATATGCAAAAGCTCGTCAAGCTGGCCACTTATTGTGGACGTCCTCTTGCTCCTCATACGCAATGCGGAAGTAAGTCCCAACGTAACCCCTTTTTTATTAACCGGCCATACCGTTGGACACGAACAACAATCTAATGCGGTTTCATAAAGTTTTGATAAGTTTATTGTTATAATCTGCGCAAATTGGATATATCATCGATGCTAGTTGTCCCAAATGTCAGCTGATAGCCTAATATTCTGTGGTAAAATAATTGGATTTTTTTTTTTTTTAAACGTAAATATCATAAAAACTATTGTTAATAATATCCGTAGAGAGGTTTTGTCTTACTTTTGGTGTTCATATATATTATCATTTGGTAAATGATCAAATTATGTTGACCTTTTAAAATAAACGTTCTTCAAACTATACTAGATATATGTTTTATGAAATCTTATAGATTTTCTCTTAATAATATACGGATATACCTTTGATTTTTTTGTTTTTTATTTCTGTTTGCAGGTTACCTAGTTCCCCCGGTGGCACTATGATAAATTAGTGTCAATTTCTTTGTCTATTTGTAAGGGTGATAAAACATAAAATAAAAAATTAAGACCGTCATCTATTTTAAAGCTATGACTAAGTCATTAGTCGATAACCGAAAATATGCTCAAGTATGCTTTCCAAAACCAATTTTACTCTCTTACAATGGTCAATGGGGCCTTTTCATAGAAAACCAAACGTACTATTGAGTCAATATAGTATTGACCCTCGTGCATCGTGCGAGTAAATTTGAGGTGGGTAAATATCCAGTCATACGGAGAATAAGAAGAATAATCAAAAGCGATTAAAAGTGGACACAGTTTGAATAAATAGACTTTATATGATTTTTCATTACTCATCCTTTTTTTTTAGTAGTTAGGAAATAATATCACTCTCAACTCTCAAGAGCTTACTCGAGTACAAACCCTAGCTTCTCTATAGACTTTACCAGGACGACACAGATAGCCTTTGTTCGGAGCACAATGTGAGTCCTCCGAGCAAATACAGAGCCCTTCTAAAGCGCATCCTGGTTTCACAATTGTTACGTTTCCTTTTAGCCCTAGAACCTGATCTGTCCATTCTGTAGAAAACAACCCTGACGGATCAAATCTCTCCTTTACTTTCAAAAACGCTTTAGCGTTCTTATACTTTCTAATGGCACCATCAAACGCAAGGTTCCTATTTTTCCCCCAGTGTGGCAAAGCATTGTATTTCAAGACGGCCATTTGCTCGATCTCTTCGACGTAATCCTCGTAGAGACGCGGTGCCAAAGGATCATCTTTGCTTCGGTAGTAAGTTAGGTCGAAGTCTAGAGCTTTCTCTTCTTTCCCAAGAAAAGCAGGAGACGATGTGACATAGCGCATCAGAATACCGTTGTTGAGCTCAAGGACGCAGAGTGATGTGGGTTCGATCTTCACAAGTTCTTTGACGTCGTTGATGAAGTCTTTGACATGAGTCAGAGGAACACTAAATGTCGTCTGATGAAAGAATTGGCTCTTTATGCGTGGATCCCACGGACAAGCCGTGAAAAGCCCATTTTGATGGCTGTCTAGACATCCACCGGAGGACATCATACGGCCTTGGCTTCCAATAACTGGATAGCCTGTAAATATAAAGTCTGCGGTCGAAATTACGGTTAATGAAACATTAAAAAAAACTTATATAAAACAACCAATTAAAGAGAACGTATTTACCGTTATTGGTCACACCGTAGGAGATTCCAAACAAAAAAGATGTTACACCCTTTGCTCTCAGACACTTGTTGTTTCCATTACCCGACGACTCGTCACGCTCCTCTTCATAATCATGCACCATATATAAGAAATTTTACAACTATGCAAACTATACATATGATATGAATATCTTAGAAATTAAGAATGAACCTAAGGATCTGGCGATGGCTAAGAGCGCAGAGACTTGTGAACGGAATGGGAAGTAACTGAACACGCCATTGCCTGTAAGGTTGGCAGGAGCTCTATCATCAATTCGGAACACGACTTTTCCCTGGCTCGGCAACCAGAGAAAGTCGGCGAACTCATGACTTTCCCCAAAAACCACGGCTTCATCTCCGAGATCCGTATCGTTCCTCATGACGAACCTTAGAGACCGCTTGAACATTGGCTGCAGCTTGAATGTTACCTTTTCCAAAATATACAACAATAAAATAAAATGTATTAATTTTGGTAAGACGAACAAGAAACATTATTTATAATCGATCAATATTCAGAATAAATTAAAAAAAATAATAATAATAAATACCTGAGAGATCACACCAAGAACGCCTAAAGAAACTTTGGCTGCGTTAAATTCTTCAAGATTCATAGTCTCATTAAGAACCCGAACCTTCACATAGCCATCAGAAGCCGAACCAGGACTCACGATTCGTATCTCCGTCACGTAGTCGTGTACGGCACTGCCTTTGCCCCAGAGAGAGCTTCCATGGGCCCCTGTCCCCATCATTCCTCCGATCGTGAGGCCCCACCAGTAGGGAGCGTATGGCAGAGCCAGCTCCAACTTAGCCGCTTCTCCTATCAGATCCCTTAGCGTCACGCCACTCTCGACGGTTAAAGTCTCAGCCGTTGGATCCGCTCGAACCACGTGGTTTAAGAACTTGGTGCTTATGAGTATCCCGTCCTTGCCGTCCGTGCAAACCAGCTTGGGGATGCTGTGAGAGTACCGAGTCAAGACCCGCATTTTTTTGCTGGCTCTAGTGGCCTCAGCGACCACCGAGACGAGCTCAGCCTCCGATTGTGGGTACTCCACTTTTGCAGCTTCGCATATAGAGCGGTCGGGAAAGGATCCGTACGAGTTAGTAACGGTGCATGTTGTGTTTCCGGACTCACATTTGACCGGATCATCCGGTGGAGTTGAGGAAACGAATGTGAACAAACAGAGGATCAGAGTTAGCCAAAATGCCATTTTGTGAGAGACTTTTTTTTTGAAAATATTGCAAGGGAAATGTTTGGGCATCGTTTCATTGATGTATTACTTATAGACATAGTTCCATATTTCATCACATGGTATATTAAGAGCTACCTGTAATTCGAGCTTTTGTGGTAATATATTTATTAATTGGCATGCTTATTTATATGACGTCACATGATGTCAATATGATTTTACAAAGAAACAAAAAAGAGAATCAAATCATTTAATGAAATTCAGAGATATTACGTAGAAGCTGGACCTAGCTATACAGCATTGAGGCTTTTTGGGGGTAATTACATCACATATAGTGTTAGTCTTCTGAAAGATGATATGATGAGATTTGACCATAAATAACATCTCATCTAAACCTTTAAATAAAATACGACAAATCGTTGAAATATAGGAGACTTTTGTAGACCTCTATTGCTCGGGGTTTTATGGATGAAGTAAATGATGACACATGGTTTCCAGTTTTGCTATAGTACTCTGAAATGAAACTTACCATAAACATCTCAGCTAATAAACCCATTCACATTGTAGTATTGTACAAATTACAATGATTCCTTTACAACCATATTAAACATGGTTTTTTGAAGAGTATTATCCTTATATTATATCAAAACAAATTTTATGATTAGCGACCATCATCCATACAAGTACAAGGTTACAAAGCCGGGGATTCAAAGGCTAATTGTTATATACAGTTGAGTCGATGACAACAAACTGGTGGTAATTTATACAATGATCCGAATCAATAAATTTTTGCAGGAGCCGGTTTGCTTTCACTACAAGTTATCAAGTCATTGACCAATAGAGATGGTGACATTTGGAAAGATCACAAAATACAAAATATTACCCAATTTATACCTGTCTAGACTCGGAGTTGTGGACTAAGTTCACTTTGCAGCACATGCGATGTCTTTACTTTAGATGCTTAAACAATTCATAAAAAGACAAATCATGCATCTTTTGTTTCCTAAACGTTTTCAGGCCCTGAATCGTTGTCACACACTCCACGGCCCAAATCGTTGTCACACACCAAATGGGGGAAATGATAATCCCCCCTTTTATTACAAGTTTTGAAATTTTAGATGCATACAACAAAATGTATATAAACCGTTGTACCTAAACAAAGAAACTTCTTGAGATATTTTGTTCTTCGCCTTCAAAACTATATAGCGTACAATCTTTAGCAACTCGCAATTCTTAACAAAATCACCAAATTCTAACAAGACTAATCTTTGAATGCTTGATGAGGTTGAGCTCGGTCTTGAGGCACTTGATAAAAAAAAATTCAAATTTTACTTGCAATGACGAACTCTCCTACGAAGAACCGATTTTGGGTCGACAAATTTTCGGTCCATCATCTGTTGGGCCTCACAGATTTACAGACTGATCTTGGAACCTGCTGATGTCAACATGCAAATGCAGCATGTGGTAAACCCCTTTTTTACCCAACAGTAGAAATCCGTGACTGAGAAGTGAGAGAACACACAAAGGTTAAAGTTTTGTATTTCAGTAAAAGAAAAATTCACAATCTTTTGCATCTCTCTCTTAATCTGTTTTGTTTGTCAAAATACACACAACAACACAATCTTGTTTTCATTTTTCAAATTGTATATTAAGTAAGAAATTTAAAGAAACCAAGTTGTCAATTACAATGTCAATTATCTTCATCCTTTTTCACCTCTTCAACCTTCTTTAAGTCTTCAACCTCTTTTAACTCTCCAACCTTCTTCAGTTCTTCAACTTTCTTCAACCCATTCTTAGGCATTTCATCGATAATTGTAATCACTGCTTTCTGAACAGTGGGGACGAGTAAAGCCTCCTCTTCAGTGGCCTGAAGAGGCTCCAAAGAATCAACAATGTCCCTCATCAAAGGCCGAGCCTTTGGGTTCCGGTTAAGGCAATGGTAAGCTAGCATTGCAGCCTTTTGAACCGCTTTAACCGGGTATTCACAGTTCATTCTCGGGTCTACAATGTTCAAGACTTTCTTCTTCTCCTTCAACAGTGGCAGAGCCCAATCTATGAGGTTTTGCTCACGCGTTGGCCGTGACTTGTCTAACGACTTCCTCCCTGTGAGAAGCTCTAACAGAACTACACCAAAGCTATACACATCACTCCCCGGCGTCAAATGACCTGTCACCAAGAAAATTGCCAGCATATGTACATTAAGCTTTGGGACTTGGGACAGACACACCAAAGGGAAGTTAAACAAAGTCTTGTCCTTTAAGCTTTTATGGCTAAAAGTTTCAAACTTTGAAAAGATTGATTACATGTCATAAAAGTAATGGTAACACATTGTAGAAACTTACCTGTCATGATGTATTCAGGAGCTGCATAACCGTAAGTTCCCATTATGCGAGTGGAAACATGGGATTTGTCTCCTACAGGACCGTCTTTAGCAAGTCCAAAGTCAGATAATTTGGCATTATATTCCTGTCACAATACCAAAAATGAAACCTTCACAATTAAGTCAATGGACAAGAGCAGAGCTTGTTGCACTAATACTACTAATACTAACCATATCAAGAAGAATGTTCGAGGTTTTGAAATCACGATAAATGACTGGCTTCTTTGCTTCGTGAAGAAAGGCGAGTCCTTTGGCTGCTCCAAAAGCAATCTTCATCCTAATTGCCCATGAAAGAGGAAGCAACACTCCTACCAAAAAGAATACACATAAATCAGAATTACTTATCCATTCAAGAATCAAGAGTGGTTTCCAGCAAGAAGAGAAATGAGTGCAAGAACATTAAGACTCACTTGAGAAAAGATTCTTCTCCACGCTACCACGAGCCATGTACTCGTATATTAGCACCCTGTGATTGTCCTCGCAGCAATAACCAATCAGTTTCACTAAGTTCGGATGCGAAAGCTGCCCTAAGAATATCACCTCTGCCTACAAAACATCGACACAAATAGATAAGAATCTCAGTTCATTCTCTCCTAAATCTGAGTCTCAGTAAGCTCTGCTGCAAACTAAGGACTTAGTCTGATCTCAATAAGCTTATTCAAGTCAAGTACTTTAGTCCACATGAACAGAGGTATCCAAATCTGCTTATATATGCCATTTTGCATAGACTTTATGGTTTGATGGTGAAACTTGTAAGGCAAGCAAAAGGCAGAGAGGCTAACTAACCAGCCATTCTCTGTGACCTTGATAGCTGTTATCGCCGTCGTGAACTTTAACGGCTACAGGGAGTGGTTGAGGAACTTGTTGATCACCGGAACAGTCCTCTTTTATAAAACCTTTGTAGACACTTCCAAAACCACCACCACCAAGAACTCTGTCTGGTCTGAAATTCCCTGTAATGTGCTTAAGCTCATCGAATGTGAAAGCTGTCAGAGGATTCGCTGCATCACGTCTTAGATCTTCTACTTCTTTTGGGTTTGATGGCAGCTTCTGAACCTCTTTGATATACGTGTCTTCCTCTCTTGGACTCTGTTCTTTAGGTGATTCTGCAAAGTTTCAGACAAAGAAACCAGTGTTTTGATTGGATTTGATTCTGTGAACAGAATTGAATATTCTACTTGAATATTGTGGAACTGATTTAATTTAGAAAATATTCTTCTAGGGGTCTTAAAACAAGAAGGTGGAATATATTATTAAAAATTGACTTTTGAATGGACCAATCTAGAAGAAAACAAAAGTAGATACCAAACAGAAAAGGAAAAGAAAATAGAGAAATGAAATAGAAGAAAAAAGAAAATCGAGAGATTATAATCGCTTAGTCAAAATTCTAAACAAATGAGTGTAGATAAACGAATTTAATTAGCTTATTCGAATACAAATCTTACCTAACAAAAGAGAATACACACAGAACAGAGCATAATCAGAACAAACCAAGAAAGTAAAAGAACAGTCTGTTGAACATTTTGGAATTAACTGACAGATATTTAACAGTTTGTGCAGGATTTTTGGGATTAAACCCATAAGTATATCTCTTAATTTCAGGCGAAAATTTGCCATAACAGTAACACATAATTTTCAGAAGAAATAACACCAAATTAAGAAGAAGAAGAGATAAAAAAAACAAAACGATACCTGATTTAGCGTTTGCAGAAACTCTGTGGTTTAAGGGCTCAAATCTACACCAACAGTTACCCATTATTCCCAAACAACACACACTCACACACAAATTTAAAAAAAAAAAAAAACAGATTACTATATTTATTGAGAAATGAAAAAAAAAATCCCAACTTTACTATCTATTGTAAGTTACAAATTCATGCCCGTAAAGAAAAACATAGCTCTCAATTTCTGTTCTTAGAATTTCTCATTTGTTTCTCTTTTTCGAAGAATCAAAAGGTAAAGAGATGATGAAAGAGAGAGAGAGACACACACTTAAGAAAAGTTTCTTCTTTTAGAGAGAGAAGGGAGAGAGAGATTCTTCGTGGCAATGATGGGTAAAGAGCTATGAGGTGGGAGAGAAAGAGGTCTTTGGCTATGGCGGAAATGGGTCCCACCTCTCTTTCTCTTTTTCCACTGACAAATCAAAACAGACGAAGTCAGGAAAAAAGCCGAAAACAAAGATAAATCCACTCCGGTCTGGTTTATTCTGGTTCGGTTTGAATACAGTTTATCTCTGGTTTATACTCTATTCCGATAGCGTTAAACCGAAAAATTCCGATAGGCTCAACTTAGCATTTAATTTAATCGAAAATCGATATTTGAAAAATAAATTAAACAGACTTTTAGTAACATCAACATTGAACCAGTGAAAACAAAAAAACAAATCCAAATTAAACCATGAACCGTTGGTGTAATACTCTACCAATTCTTTGTTTTGTTTTGTTTAATAGTGCGCATTTATGAAGCGCATATTCAGTCCACAATTCTCTTTTTTGTTCTTGTTCTTTTGCTGATTTGTTATTTTAAAAGAACACATTTTATCTCGATCGCTTTCTCTTTGTCTAAGCGTGCGCCTTTGCTGCTTTTCCCAATTCTTCCTTATTTCTCTTTCATTTTTTGGTTATCGATAAAAATTTGTGTTCACATTTCTTTCAATTTTGGCGTTGTTCACATTTAAATATTAATCGAATACTATGTTAAGTGCATAATTTCACAAAGTTAGTGCATAATTTTGTGCTGTCGTTTTTCACGTTCAATGTTAATCGAATACTATGTTAGTGCATAGTTTCATAAACATTCTTAATTTATTTAAGTCATATGTTAGTGCATTATTTCACAAAGTGTGTCAACATTTTATAGGTTAATTTCTACAAAACGTATGTGCTCATTACTCACGAGTAGAGCTGTCAATTGACTTGTTTTACCTGAAACAAATAATAAACTCCAATCCATTATTATAGATTTTCTTTATGCATTAGGCTTTCCCAGTTCATTTCTCCAGGTGTAGTTTTTTTTTTTTTTTTTTTTCGCTCATATCTACAAAACCTTATTTTTCGTGTATAGATTTGTACTGTTATATAAAGAGAATACATTTTCATTGTCATTTACATGTATCTAAAAAGGAAACAAAAATATATATTTTAACAAAAAAAAGAAACAAAAATAGAAATTACCTGTAGAAGTGAACAAGGGGTTAGTGGATAAATTTGATGTGAATTAATAACCATAAACTAATACCATAGTTATATGAAATCCCATAGACATCTTACCTAACATTACTATTATATACACTTATATCTTTTAAAATATACAAACGCACAAGATTAATGTTCCACTAAAAAGGCTACCTACATATTTTTTTCCTTCAGATATCATCACGCACATTTACCCTTTATATTTCTTAATACATTAATATATAGATTATGAAAAGGTATCTCTAAAAAAATCAGAAATTTTATGTTAAACAAATAATCTTTTAACCTTTTCTTATGATATCGTATAGTTACAAGAAATTCATAATCCAATCATATAGCTAAGAAGAAATGTTAACTATTCTAAATTTTAGTCGTCTTAATTTTTGTCTTACTTATCTCTGCTTATTTATTTTATATATAAATTTCTTTCAACCATTCTTGCTTCCGCTCTCTATACAAACAAAAATGATGATCCAGTAACTTATATATCGTGATACTTTTAGGGAAATTGTAGTCAATAAGAATAAAAAACTCATAATTAACAAAATAACCATATCAAACTTTAGGCTAGAATACAGTGTGAATAATATGTAATATTGCCAAATTACCCCTGATGGATGAGAGAGAAAGATGAACCAATTTTGTTTCATCTCTTCTCTTCATCGAACTCATCTTCTTCCTTCTGTGTTCAGATCTTCCTCTTAAATTTTAATTTCACATATATTGGTTTCATATATGATTCACCACCCTTACTTCAATCATCTCTTTCGATTACTTTTAGTCATTTATATTTCTCCGATAAACTCATTTCTCCTGTGTTTCCAACCCTTTTTTAATATATTTTGAGGACATATCATAATCTTTCTCCCTGGTTTCTCTCAATCATTTATTTCCCTGATTTCTCTCAGATAAAAGTAATGAACGGCCAGATTTTGACATTTTAGTCGGAAAAGTAGCTCAGATTTTGGTTTGATTTCCCCAATAATGATTTGGGGTTTCTCTTCAAATTTAAGTCAACAGTTAAATATGTTTCGAGAGGTTTTCTCCTACTATGCTTTTAATTTCTTCGCGTTTGTTTATTCTCTAAACAAGCAAGAACGAAAATTGTGCATTTCTGGTTCTAGATAAATCAGAGAAAAGTGAAATGGATTTTTTTTAATATGGTGTTCTGTTCTTCATCGTCGTATGGTATAAAACATATTCTAAGGGTAGTTTCGTCCAAAAATATTGTTAGATTGTTACTTTCTTTATATTAACTTCCTTATGGCTATATTTTTAATTTACTACTATATTCAGCTAATTCACCCATACTTTTACACGTTAAACAGGTACTTTTTTCCCCAAAAAAATTGTTATGTAAATAGTGGTAATATACAAACAAAACATTTTTAAAAGATCTATCACATCCGCATACAGTTTGAGTTTCTCCCAGAACAGAATATATTACCAAAAAAGCTCAAGAAATTTTCTTAGTAAAGACTGTTTAACGAAGGTGCGCCAAACAAGGCCCTAAATATGTTATACCAAATCATGTTGAGCTTCTGAGTTAAAATGATTGAATGCTTCGAACGAGTGAAGCTGAAGTTATGAGATTACTGTAGTTCGTGGTATTGTTTAAAAGTTAATTTACTCGTTTGAAATCCAAGAATGTGCGTTTAACACCAAAAAGTTCGTATTGTTTACCAAAAAGAAGAAGTAAACGTGTGTGAATGCAACAAACCATACATGTGTGTGTGTGGGTAATAAGTTGTAGAAAGTTGCTTAACAAGAGAGATAATTCAAACTCTTTAACAAAAAAAAGAGAGAGATAATTCAACACCCACTAGTTTGTTTCTTGGATCCCTTTTTATCTCGTCCAGGTGTAGGCTTGAATTTTCTTATTTTCTTTCTAGGTTTAAATAGTCTTGAGTTTTTTTGCTTTTATTTTTTTCTTTCCAGCTAATAGCAAATTTTCTAAATTGTTTAGGTTACAAAAGAAACAGAAGTTCTCCTATTCGTAGATAGAAAGTTGCTATAGATCATTCCATTTTCCACACCCACTAGTTCTTTGATCCTTTCCTTTTTTTTTAATCCTGATTAAGAAGTCCCCTAAGATATTGCTAAACAAAAACTGTCTTACAGTCTTTTAATAAACATAAACTCTTTTTTTATACTTTACATTAAAGTTACATGACGCCAGCTAGGACCAAAAACTCATATGTCTATACCAAATCACTCACTTATTGAGCATACAGAAATTAGACAATAGGGGGTTTCTTGTTCTTAATCACTTAAACTGTGAGTGTAATTAGTTATTACAAAGTTTTTTTCCCTTGTCTATTTCGTACATTCTTATTTGAATCTATATATAGCTAGTATCTATTTTTTTCGACACATCTTGTTTAAAGTTTATTTCACGAAATACCACAGTTTATATGAAAAAACCAAAAGTGCTAACTTTGCAAACCCGAACCAGAAAAATTATTTATCCAAATACTTTTAAATTCTTATATCATATTACTATTTAGATTTCTTAATTGTAGGCCAAACCCAGGATTTTCTTGTCGGTAAGAAACAATAACCTAGCTTGCATCTTACGATTATGTTCTCAACTTTTTGTGTATTAAGGATTAAAAAGATGAAGATCTCCCGTGGATTTTGCATGATACCAGCAAGAAAACATTGCCGACATTTCAATTGCAACCCAAAAATAAAAGTAACAGGATGTCATTTGTTCAACCGGTTTGCCGGTGACTCTATTTAACTATATAATCAGAGTGAATATTAGAAACTTTAAGTCTTACGGAATTACTTTTTGAGACTTAGTCATCAACGGTCAATCTTGTTACTGAAAATAATGAACAAAAAGCTTAGAATTTCCTAGATTAAAAGTAGTGTTATTTGAAGTTTCAAACAATTGACGTCATGTTGACTTCGTGAGTGCACAGAATGTTCGCTTTCCTGGCGGCAAGCCAGAATTGATCAGATAAATCCAAATATCGTCTGAAACAATCAAAATAATGAACGCTTTGAAATTGTGAGAAACATCCAAATTTAAAGTCTCCAAACTATAAAAAGCAATTCTGTTTCTTTCCCTTGTATGTAAGGGACTAAGGGAAATTCAAGAAAGTCAGGTGCCAAATAATGCAATCGAGAATCGAGATCATATAGATTACACACCCCAAAAATGTATGCAAATATAAATAAATTTAAATAGTTTGGAATATTTTTTTTTAAATAAACAGTTAAGTACTTAAGTGTTTCAGTTTTTAAAGAAAGACCGTTCTTATCTCTGCAAACGTTTTGCCAGCCCCATACTCGACGGTTGAGTGATCAAGAAGAGTTATGGGCAAAGAAGTTACGTGTCTTCATAATCAACCATGAAAATTAAGTCTAAGAATGTACACTAATTACAAAACATAATTAACTTATGTTTTAACAATCACTCTGTTTTCATCCAAAAGTTTTAGAACATTAATACTGTTTTGGAAAATTACTACTCTCGGTATTTTTGGTTTTGGGCCGGGAATTATTAATATTTGGGCCAAAAACGCTCGTTAAGCCCTTTTTGTCTCGCTCTTCGAAACGTAATGCTTCATCGTTTAGGTTTTTGGTTTTCTCCCTTTCTTCTCTTCTACTCGTTTTTGACGGTGACATTTGAGCTTTAGCTGAACACTTTAAATCCCGCAAACGTTCTGGTGTTCTTGTCGTCGTTTTGGGGGTAATCAAATCGTCGATGTCTTCGAGTTGAAAAGGGGATCATTTAGTGTTTCCATATGGACAGAATCAGTAACCTGTCCGATGATTTGCTCCTGAAGATTTTGTCATCACTTACTTCGAAAGATGTGGTCGCAACGATGCTTTTGTCGAAGCGGTGGAAGTTTCTTTGGACATTAGTTCCAAAACTTCATTTTGATGATAGGTTTAAGGAATACTTCGGTGATGATTGTGTTCCTTACAGGATGTTTCAACAGTATGTTGACATGTTCTTGGTATCGAACAAGTCTCCGGTTCTTGAAACCCTAAAATTCAGCCTTGGTTGTTCGTATTCCACCACTGACGATTTGACAACATGGATCAGAATCGGAATCGCTCGCCGTGTGCGTGAACTTGAAATCATACGTTCTCTTGATGCTTATGATTACGGAGAATTCAACTTGCCGCAGTGTCTTTACACTTTTGAGAAGCTCGTGGTCTTGAAACTTTACGGCTGGATTGTTCTTGATGTTCCCACCACTGTTTGTCTTCCGTCTTTGAAATCTTTACACTTGCTGTGTGTAGAGTACAAAGACGAAGAATCTCATCGTAGGCTTTTGTCTAGCTGTCCTGTTCTTGAGGAGTTAGTGTTGGACCATTGTGAAAACATCTCTCCGCCATGTTTGTATGTCGTGGTGCCTTCTTTGCAGAGATTCTCTTTTATTGGTGGTACGTATGATGGACACGACGATACCAACGTAAAAGTTGTTTTAAATGCTCCGTATTTGAAGTACTTGAACATTGTAGATAACTTTGCCATTGGTCTCTCTTGCTTGACCGAGGATATGCCAGAGATAGTTGAGGCAAATGTTAATGTTGTTTACAAAAGTACTGAGAAGCTATTAAGATCTCTTGCATCAGTCAAACGTCTCTCTTTATGTTTATCCGCTTCCGTGGTAAGCAAGCAAAAAAAAAAAAAAAACTATTGTGATCCAAAGTCTTGTATTCATGTGATTATGTTATGTGTTTCCCTCTGTGCAGGTTCAACCTTGTATTGAGTTTCACCAGCTTGTTCATCTGGAGCTGTGCCCATATGTGAATAAGTGGTGGGATCTACTTACTTGGATACTTGAAAGTTCTCCTAAACTACAAGTTCTCAAGCTCTACAAGGTAACTTTAATATAACCTTATGGATTCGGTTTCCGGCTTTTTTATGATCTATAATAGACTTATCATTTTTTATCATGTTAGTGTAAAGAACATAGATTTTATGGGGTAGAGCCCATTCATGGTCGTTGGGGACAACCGAGTTCTGTTCCTGAATGCTTCTCGCTCCAGCTCAATACTTTTGAATGGAATTATTACAATGGAAGAAGGGAAGAGAAGAGAATGCTGGCTTACATCCTAAGAAACGCAAAACGGTTGAAGAGAGCGAAGATCTTTGCGTGGGGGTTGGGTTCTTACGAGGGACCTCGGAAACTCAAGAAGTTGGCTTCTTTGCATAGGGCTTCAAAGTCATGTCGGCTTCTGTTGGAATGTTTAAAAAAATTGTAGAAAACCTATACATAAGCATTTGGTCCGAAAGTTAGATGTGTTGGAAAAACTTTTAGGTTATTGCTCTTACATGTTTCTTCCATAAAGATCAAAAGAAATTTGGAAAAAGAAGTGTTGGCTACTCTTTTTTCAACATCTATCTACATAGATAACATTACAATGTGCATGTTTCTTTTTCCTATCAAATTCAATATCATCAATATTGAATAAATAAATTTTGCATAAATATAGATAGCCCTTTAATCCATTTTAAGAACAAGGTTAAACAAATATTTGCATCAGCCATCAGCAAAACTCATACCATATGTACGACATAATAGTTTCCAAAAATGTACGCCATTATCGTATACACGTTTGTCTCGTTTGGGCCGTTAGATGAGCTTAAGCCCATAATTTATGTACGGGCAATTATCCTGTCTCAGTACTCTGTTTCTCCTTCTATCTTTTTCAACTTTTCACTGTTTCGTCTCCCTTTATCTCGTTGTGGCCTGAGTTCTTTGATCAAATCCACGCTTGGGACCAAATCAATCTACAAGATATCTCTGTGATTTAAACCGTCGCTCTGAAAATTTTCTGAATATCTAGGGTTTTTCTTGATTCCCCCTCTCCCCTGTTTTATTTAAAATCTCCGACTTGTTGTTCATCGGTATTCGTTTGGTTCCTGATATAATGCCAGATTGAAGAAAATCGAATCCGAATTTCATCAGAATTTCGGTGTTTTCGAGGAGCTTGTGTCATCTCTCTCTGTCGTTTGATTGCATTTCCCGAGATGTGCATTTCGAGTAGAGAAGACGGCGGCGGCGACGAAGATCCCGGTGGTCCACCGAGAAACCGCAGGAATCAATCGCCATTATCGCTTCCGCAGACTCTGAAACATTTCCACAGAGATTTACTCGCCGGCGCGGTGATGGGAGGCGTCGTTCACACGATCGTAGCTCCAATCGAGAGAGCGAAGCTTCTACTGCAAACCCAGGAGAGCAACATCGCGATCGTCGGAGACGAAGGGCACGCGGGGAAGAGAAGGTTCAAAGGAATGCTCGATTTCATCTTCCGCACGGTCAGAGAAGAAGGCGTCTTATCCCTGTGGAGAGGCAACGGAAGCAGCGTGCTTCGCTATTACCCTTCCGTCGCTCTCAATTTCTCTCTCAAGGATCTCTACAGAAGCATTCTCCGAAACAGCAGCTCTCAGGAGAATCACATCTTCTCCGGCGCGTTAGCCAATTTCATCGCCGGCTCTGCAGCTGGATGCACGGCTTTGATCGTCGTTTACCCGCTTGATATAGCTCACACGCGTCTAGCTGCCGATATCGGGAAGCGAGAGGCTCGGCAGTTCAGAGGAATCCACCATTTCCTGTCGACGATTCACAGGAAAGATGGGGTCAGAGGGATCTACAGAGGCTTGCCTGCGTCTCTGCACGGCGTGATCATTCACCGTGGGTTGTATTTCGGTGGTTTCGATACGGTGAAGGAGGTTTTCTCGGAGGATACGAAGCCTGAATTGGCCTTGTGGAAGAGATGGGGTTTGGCTCAGGCTGTGACTACTTCTGCTGGTTTGGCTTCTTACCCGTTGGATACGGTGAGGAGGCGGATCATGATGCAGTCAGGGATGGAGCATCCGATGTACCGGAGCACGGTGGATTGTTGGAGGAAGATTTATAGGAGTGAAGGGTTTGCTTCTTTTTACCGTGGAGCGCTTTCGAATATGTTTAGGAGCACTGGTTCGGCTGCGATCTTGGTTTTGTATGATGAGGTGAAGAAGTTCTTGAACTGGGGAGGGGTGTGAAGAGGAATAAAGGTAAGGCTTTTTGTTAATCGAAGTTTAGAGTCAGGAGGGAATGGTTTTATTCATTTTGATAACTACACGTTAACAAGGAGACTTATGTAGAGAGGAAAGGTTTTAGGTGATTAGTATTCGTTTTTTGGAGGATTTGGCTGGAACTATTAGCATCTTGATTCTTCTCTTCTTGTTATGGATTTTGTGTGTATGAAGAGGAAAACAAAGAAGGAATCTATGCTGTAAATAAAAGAGATGGATTGTGAGCCCAAATATTGCTTTTTTTGTTCCTCTGATCAAATTTGTCTATCAATCTGAGTTTTAATAACAAAGGTTCAAAGAACTTTGATCTACTATAGTTCTTTAGATACAAGAATGTAGTGACTTTGAGCATGTCCAAGAAAAAGTGCGAAAGTTTCTCCTTTTAACTCAGATTATGTGAATTTATACTCGTTGCTGCAAGCTGTCTGCTGTTCTTGCCAGTCAGAGAGTATCAAGACAAGATTCATACGAGTTTCAGGGGGATACAGTTGTAAGATTATCTTTGTTTCTGATGCAAAGAGATTTTTAATGAATGTTTTCACTTGGAAGTTGCCTCATTCTATGTTTACTTACTGACACTTTTTTCCTCTTCTGACAAAACGAAACATTACTTTTGCTCTCTCCTTCTCTTTTTTGACCTGTGTGTTTCATTTTGAAATGTGATTATTTATGAGACAATGCCTTCAACGAGTGCTGCTCTGAAAAATTCTAGCTTTATGATTTAGGATTCAGCCGGCAATGATGTATGGTGAGACCAGTGTAAGTACTACTTTGGCCAGTCACCAATGTGGATATGCCACGAAGGTTAGACGTATTTCCTACTCTGTGAATTTCTTATGGTTATCTGAAACGAATCACTTCAAAACATCTCTTACCTCTCAGCCAAACAACTTTCCTTATGTTAAGAACCGCACAAAAGTCTCTGTGATTTGTCATATGTGAACCGCAAGTGTCTTAACTCATTTTAACAAAAAAAAAAGAAGTGTCTTAACTCATTGCCCCAAGCAATGTGTTGTGAAATGACTAATGTTTTACTTTTTTATAATTTTACAGAAATTGTAATTAGGATACTTTACATAAGTTCTTAAAAACACCTTCTCCGTGTACCTATAAACTTCAATTAGGATCTAGGGTTTGTCCTTGGCTACGAAGCTAAATCCAACGAGGCTTGGGGAAAGCAAGATCCTTTAACCTTTTTCTTCATCGTCGGCAACAAAACCAACGGAACTTTTGAAATTTTGAGATTTTGAAGGGGTTTTAGGTTTAGCTATGGATAGGTTGAATCTCTTGCCAGATGATTTGATCTTGAAGATACTGTCTATGGTTCCAACGCAAGTTGCAGTGACCACAAGCGTTTTGTCAAAACGTTGGTGTTCACTTTGGAAACATGTGCCAGAGCTCTCGTATAGTGATCCATCTTGTGAGAGCGAGTTCTGGAGAGCTTCCCGTTTCGTTGAAAAGTTTTTGCTGCTACACGAGGCTCCTGTCCTGGACACTCTGACCCTCTCACTTGGTCGAAATTGTCTTCCTTCAGATATATCAACATGGATTAGTATTGCAGTTTCTCGTGGTCTGCGAAAGCTTCAATTGTACATGTGTAGACCCTGTTCCACGCCTAGGAGCCTATACACATGTCAGACCCTTGTGACTTTACGCCTACAAAACGTAATCATTGTGGATGTTCCTTTGACAGTATGTTTCCGGTCACTCAAGTGTATGTATCTTGAACATGTGGATATCTCAAACGATGAATTCTTTGGTAGGCTTTTATCCGGTTGCACTGTCCTTGAAAGACTGAGTGTGAAACTATGCAGCTATGGCAAGACTTTCACAGTCGACGTTCCTTCATTGAAGAGCTTATTAGTCTTGGACTTGAAACCTGCTTCAGTACAAGTTCCAGGAGATGATGATGTTGGGGTTGTGATCAAAGCTCCTTCTTTGAGGTCGTTAGTGATTTCTAATCAGTTTACTTGGGTTTGTTCATTAGTGGATATGCCCAAGCTCGTGAAGGCTTTTATCAAGCTTGCAAATGGTGACTCTAAGAAGCTTCTGGGATGTCTTACCTCAGCCAAACACCTTTGCTTATGTGTGAAATCTCCAATGGTAAAAACCTCTTGTGCCTTTTGTAAATCATATATAAATACATTTTCTTTATGTTAAAAGACATAAACTTTGTGATGCCATTTGCAGGATTCATGTCCAATACGCGACTTCAATCAGCTAGTGTCTCTAAAACTATGTACATGCTCTTCACATTGGCTCTGGCTTATACTTAGACATACCCCTAAACTCAGAGTTCTCAGGTTCCAACCTCAAGTAACATTGCTTCGAAACCTACATACTCTTGAGAGATGTCACAGCAGTCACGGAGATGTCCAGACACCGAGTTCTGTTCCTGAATGTTTGACTTCGAGTCTGAAAACTGTTGAGTGGATTGATTACAGAGGAACAGAAGGAGAGAAAAAAGTGGTCAAGTATTTGTTCGAGAACTCTCAACAGCTAAACAAAATGGCTATTAGAGCATCTCCAATGGTCACCCTTAAAATAAAGGGGACACACCTTTAAAATAAGGGTTTGTAAGTTTTGTTCCAATGGAGACCCTTATCCTTACCCCTTAAAAAAATATTTTTGCATTATAGTCCTTAAAAGTAACTAGAATCAATTATAATACTAAAACTTTCATAAAATGCAATAAAAACACTTTAATAAAATATTACACAATATTATTAATTAAAACATTACATAATAATATAAAATTACATTAAAACATAAAATTATATATAAAAATATTAAACTAAAATTACATTATTGTTTCCATAATTTTCCAATCAATGAATGTTTTTATTTGATTTTATGTGGTGGTAATTAAATTTCTTATTAGAGAGAGTAAATGTTAAAAAAAAATTATAATTTTAGACTAAACTGATCACAAAAAGTATTATAAATGTTATTTGTAAGATTGTATAATTACAAGGACTAAAATGCAAATTCAAAATATTTTTAAGGGGTGAACAGTGACCCCTTATATTTAAGGGTGCACTATTCATCCCTTTAAAATATAAGGGGATAAGGGTCCATTGGAATGCAAAACCCCTTAAATTATAAAGGAATAAGGGTCCATTGGAGATGCTCTAAGGGTCCATTGGAGATGCTCTTAGATGCTTACCATCCAACACTTTGGCAGAGAAACACAAGATGTTGAAAGAGTTAGCGTTTAGGCAGATGAGTTATAGCGAATGTCGGCTTTCATTCACCTGATGTTCCGTCGGATCTCAGAGATATAGAAGGAAGGAGTCGTTTCTATTCTTAGAGCGCCATTACATTAGTATAATTATCTTGTTTTGATCAAATTTTTTACAAGTTTTGACAAACATCGAAGGAAAGAGTTTTTTTTTTGTTTTTTTATATAACCAAAGTGACTTGTCTGATCTCATTAATTTCTCCTCAAGGTACTGTCTCTTTGTTTTGGTGTCATTATAATCATGATCGAGGTTGTCTTATCAATGCTCCTTCTTTAGAGAATTTAAAGATTGTTCCAAATATTTTAGTTGGTGTTATTAATCAGTGAATATGTGATAGAGTGTTGATAGTGATATCTAGGAAGAGAGATACTGAATTGTACTGTATATATACAGTATATTGATGAATTGCGAATACAAGATAAGGGATCTCGGCCACACACGACCTTATCCTCGAGTCTCCTATCGACTCCTAAGCTCTCGAGCTTCTTTACTTGTAAATGCATGAAGAAGAAGTAAGAAAAAGAAGAAGTAAGAAAAAGAAGAAGTAAGAAAGAGACGAAGCTTGAAGTTCAAAAAAAAAAAAGAAAGAGACGAAGCTTATAAGGAAGCTAACTGCAAACCCTCTTCCCTAACTAGAGGTTTGTCTCTGCAAACCCTCTCTCTCTAATAGAGGTTTGCTACTCTTCTTGTATCTTATCAATATGGCAATTCAATAAAGCTAGTGAAGGCTGATATCAAGCTTCAACATGATGATTCTATGGATGTCTTAGCTCAGACGAATGTATAAAATTAATCACCAATAGTAAAATTCTCTGTTTCCTCCTATGATGTCCCGTCGGATCTCAAGAGATATAGGAGTGTCATTAGCATAATACTATAACTATGTTGTTTTTTATCACAGTTTTGACAGACATTGAAGGTAAGAGCTTTGTTATACCAAAGTGACTTGTCTGATAATTCTCTTACTAACTCCTCAACCAAAACAACTAGGCAGTCCTTCGTTTATGTTTCATTCTCATGTCCCTGTATTTCTTTCTCATGTTTTACATTGTGACTTCACTTCATCAAGTTAATAAAGGAACATTTCGAGGGAAAAAAAAACAAAATATTAGGGTTTTGACTAAAGCAGAGGCTACGAAAGAATGAAAGTTAAGAAAAGGCAAGTCTCTGTAATTTGTCATTTGTGAACCGCAAGTGTCTTAACTCAATCAGTTGGAATGTTTTACTTTTTAATAATTTTACATACAGTATAAACTCTATAAATTAATAAAGTTGAGACTTTGATATTTTATTAATTTATAGAGTTATTAAATTATCGATTTTGAATAAAATAGTTGTTTTATTAAAAAAAAATTAAATTAAATAAAAATAAGAATTTTAAAAGTTTTTATATTTTGTATAGGTTCATTCTAAAATTAGGGATGAATTCTAAATATATTTGAGTTTTAGTAGAAAAGAAATGAAAGTTATACTTATATTTTAGTATATTATCATAGATATGTATTTACATAAAATTTTATTTATGGTAATTATTAATTTATGATATTAATTGGACCATATATTTACATAAGAGTTTCAAAAATATTATTATCTTATTATTTTATCAAATTTTGCTAATTTTTACATTGGCCCGACTTGGGACTGGAAAAAATTATTATTTTATAGAGTTTATTAATTTATCGAGTATCAATTTATAGAGTTTCTACTGTATATTGGAATTAGAATACATTACATAAGTTTATAAAAACATCTTCTCCTTGTACTTAAAATACTTTACATAATTTAGGATTTAGGGTTTCGGGTTTGTCCTTGGCTACGAAGCTAAAGTTTAAACTTTTCTCTTTGATTACTGGTATGGTTTGATTTGACAAAACGGGCTTTCTCATAATTGCTAGGGCTTGGGAAAAGAAAGATCCTTTAACCTTTTTCTTCATCGTCGGCAACAAAACCGACGCAACTTTTGAGATTTTGAAGGGGTTTTAGGTTTAGCAATGGATCGGATTAGCGTCTTGACAGATGATTTGATCTTGAAGATACTGTCTATGATTCCAACGAAAGTTGCAGTGACCACAAGCGTTTTGTCAAAACGTTGGTGTTCACTTTGGAAACATGTGCCACAGCTCTCGTATAGTGACCCATTTGGTGGCTGCGAGTTCTGGAGAGCTTCCCGTTTCGTTGAGAAGTTTTTGCTGCTACACGAGGCTCCTGTCCTGGACACTCTGACCCTCATACTTAGTCGAAATTGTCCTCCTACAGATATATCAACATGGATTAGTATTGCAGTTTCTCGTGGTCTGCGAAACCTTCAATTGTACATGTATGGACCCTGTTCCACGCCCATACGGTTGCCTAGGAGCCTATACACATGTCAGACCCTTGTAAGTTTAATCCTACAAAACGTAGTCATTGTGGATGTTCCTTTGACAATATGTTTCGGGTCACTCAAGACTATGTATCTTGAACGTGTGGATGTCTCAGACGATGAAAACTTTGGTAGGCTTTTGTCCGGTTGCACTGTCCTTGAAAGTCTGATTGTGAACTTTTGCAGCTATGATAAGACTTTCACAGTCGACGTGCCTTCATTGAAGAGCTTATTAGTCTTGGACTTGAAACCTGCTTCAGTACAAGTCCCAGGAGATGATGATGCTGGGGTTGTGATCAAAGCTCCTTCTTTGAGCTCGTTAATGATTTCTGATCAGTTTACTTGGGTTTGTTCCTTAGTGGATATGCCCAAGCTCGTGAATGCTTCTATCAAGCTTGCACATAGCTACTCTAAGAAGCTTGCGGGATGTCTTACCTCAGCCAAACACCTTTGCTTATGTGTAAAATCACCAGTGGTATATTTCTAAAATTATATATAAATACATTTTCTTCATGTCAAAGACATTAACAATGTGATGCCATTTGCAGGATTCATTTTTAATAGGCGTCTTCCACCAGCTCGTGTCTCTGAACCTCTGTACATGCACTTCTCATAGGTTCTTCCTTCTACTCAGCCATACCCCTAAACTCCGAGTTCTGAGGTTCCAACCTCAAGGAAATTTGCCTCCAGACCTAAATGCTCTTGAGAGATGTTGCAGCAGTCACGGAGATTTCCCAACTCCGAGTTGTGTTCCTGAATGTTTGATTTCGAGTCTCGAAACTGTCGAGTGGATTGATTACAGAGGAACAGAAGCAGAGACAAAAGTGGTTAAGTATTTGTTCGAGAACTCTCAACAGCTAAAGAAAATGGCTATTAGATGCTTACCATCCATCGATTTGGCAGAGAAACACAAGATGTTGATAGATTTAGCGTCTACGCAGAGGAGTTCTAGCAAATGTCAGCTTTCATTCACCTGATGTTAAGGAGTCGTTTCTGTTCTTGGAGCGCCATTAGTATAATTATCTTGTTTTGATCATAGTTTTTTTACAAGTTTTGACAAACATTGAAGGAAAGAGCTTTTTTGTTTTTATAACCAAAATGACTTGTCTGATCTCATTAATTTCTCCACAACGCACTGTTTCTTTGTTTTGGTGTCATTATAATAATGATCTGGGTTGTCTTATCAATGCTCCATCTGTTAGAGAATTTAAAGATTGTTCGAAATATTTTAGTTGGTTTTATTCTTCAGTGAATATGCCAATTCAATAAAGCTAGTGATGGCTGATATCAAGCTTCAACATGATGATTCTATGGATGTCTTAGCTCAGACAAACACCTTTACTTATTTATAAAACCACCAATAGTAAATTCTCTGGTTCCTCCTATGATGTGCCGTCGGATCTCAGGAGATATAGAAGGAGTGTCATTAGCATAATACTATAAGTCTATAACTATGTTGTTTTTTTTTATCACAGTTTGATCATCAATCAAGTCTACGTACTAATAAAGTCTCGAAACTTTTTGAGTGGATTGGGTTCAAACTTCTAAGTAAGACGAGTAGTCAAGAAGAGAACCAAATGGAAGTTAATCTGTGAAGCTGTGGCAATGTATGAATCGTCATACTCGAGCTTCGGCACCAGTTCCAAACAAGCGCCATTGATAGGGTTTCTCTTGGAGTTTGTTTATTCAACGCTTAACATAATTTGATTAAGATTTTTTTCCTTAAATTTATTTATGTTTTCTACAAAAAAAAAAAACTAGATTTAAAAACTTAAAATAACGAACTTAAAATTTAGAAGAGGTCTAGGTACATCATTTTAGATTAAAAACAAAAAGTTAGGGTTTTGGCATTTGACTCAAGCAGAGGAGCCGGCAGGGACGAAGGAATGGGAAAAGTTAGGAGAAGGTAAGTCCATTCTGTAACGATTTCTATTTTTTTGTTTGTGAGATCAGTATTCTAAACAGCGACACATGATTTGATTACGCTTCTTCACTTCCTATTCCTTTTTCTGTTTCCAACGACCTTGTCTTTACGACTTTCGCTTTGGTTTTCTCTAGCTAATCCCTAGCCCCTAGGTGATCTTGTAACTAATTTGTCTGTTATGTTTGAATGTATCCAGAAAAAACCGTGGTCGTCTTCCAAAATCTGTAGGAGAATGTCTCGATATTCCAGAATCAGTAGAAGAACCAAAGGTTTTGTTTAATCCGACAAGCTAAGTATCAATGATTTGCCTGATGACTTGCTCGTAAAGATATTGTCAATCGTTCCAACAAAAAATTCTGTGGCCACATGTCTTTTGTCAAAACGATGGGAATCTCTTTGGAAATATGTGCCAAAGTTTGAGTTCACTGATTGTGATTGTGATTGTTCTCTTAAAAGAGCTTCATGGATCATTGACAATTTTTTGCTGCAAAGCAACGCTCCGGTTCTTGAAACGTTGCATCTCAGCCTTTTAGGAATCTATGAAGATGAACCTGAAGTTTATGAAAATTGGGTTAAAGCAGCAGTCGCTCGCCACGTGCGTGATCTTGAGCTTGTTCATTTATATCCCCAGCCGTTCCCTAGGATACTCTACACATGTCAAACCCTTGTGGCTTTGCGTCTCCAACAAGTATTCATTGTGGATGTTCCTTCTACAGCTTGTTTCCGGTTCCTCAAGGATTTGTCTCTTCTACGTTTCTGCTTCTCAAGCAGTGAAACCTTTTCTAGGTTTCTATCCGCCTGCCCTAATCTTGAAACACTGATGGTCCGTCGATGGGGGGACAACAACTTGAATACTTTCAAAATTGATGTGCCATCATTGAAGAGCTTACGCGTTTACTTGCATCAAACTGGATTATCCAAGGAAAAATATAAAAATTACTGCGGGTTTGTGATCAGTGCTCCTTCCTTAAAGACTTTAAAGATTGATGCTAACTCTAGCGAGATTTGTTCAGTCTCGAATATGCCCGAGCTAGTGAAAGCTGAAATCAACCTTAAAAATGGGGACTCTAAGCTTCTCGGATGTTTGAGCTCAGCCAAACACCTTACTTTATGTCTTGAACTAAATTTGGTAAAAAGTCTTTGTGTTTTTCTTTCATGTGATTATTCATATAGTTTCTTGCGACTTACGGTATTACTTCTTTTGCAGGATGGATATCTTACAAGCGACTTCAATCAGCTGGTGTCTCTCGAGCTATGTACTATATGCTCTCTAGATTGGATCTGTCTTATACTCAAACATACTCCTAAGTTGCGAGCTCTCAAGTTAAGACAAGTAAGTTTGTCCCCCAAACCCAAATGATTATGCTGTGGTCTCTTGACCAATATCTAGTTAAGCTAATTTGTTTTGTTTTTCCTAAAGTCACAGATATGCTACGGCTCTTTCAGAGATCTTGGAAACCGGTGGGAGAAACCAAGTTGTGTTCCTGAATGTTTGATTTCGAGCCTGGAAACTGTTGAGTGGGATGGTTACCAAGGAAAAGGAGTAGAGAGACATGTGGCGATATACATTTTAGAGAATGCGAAGCGCCTAAAGACAGTGGCTATTATACCCTCCGAATCCATCATGTTTGAGGAGAAACTCAAGATGGTGATTATTTAGAGGAGAAACCTCTACGTGTTCTAGCAAATTCTTGCTCTAATTCAACTGAGTTTAATATTTGTCGTTTGAAACTTGGAGCCGATATTTAGAGTTTAGTGTTTGATTATACTTGAACATGTTTCTTTAATCCCTTTTGAAGTTAGCAATTTGCTTTCTTTTGTGTGTTGTCTTTTAGTTTGTAGTTTTTACCACAGTATTGTTTGACTAGTTTCTTGCCAAGAACTGAATCTTGTGAGAAACGGTACTTTAGGGTTGTGCCCGGATACAAATGCTTTGTTTCTTATAGTTATAGGATTCATTATCTGCTGAGAAAACATTTTAACTTTTTCAACCGATTTATCATTTTACGTATAACATCGAATTCGTTTCGATAAATTTTGGAGCTGAGAATTAGTTTTCAACCTTATTTTAAGGTGACCAAAGGAAGCATATTAGCCCAATAATTTGGGGCGACTTCATGTTTTTATTCAAAAGTTATTTGTAAAAATTATTCAAAATCTAAATTTATTGGATTATTCATTTATATACAAATTCATTTAAATGTAGCCTTATTGGAGAATTGTGATTTCACTATTAAATAATAACAAAAAATAATAATTTGAGAGAAAATTTATAGTTAAACCGATGCATTAAAATACCACCTCATAATGGTATTTGTAAAAATTTGGAAAGCAAAATTTGGCTATAGCTCAACTGGTAGAAGGACCCTGGACAAAGCTTAGAAGTCACAGGATGGAGTGCCGCTTGGGGCGAAACCAATATTACATGCATCATTGAGATCTTTAAATTGCTTAAAATGTTCTTAAGATTTGGATTTATTTGGAGAAATCTAAATTTCTAATCTAATATGTCCTTCTAAATTTCAAAAATCTGTCTCATTTATTTACTTTAATTCCTCTTGCTTTTATTATGTTATCTTTTTGTGGCAATTAAAAAGATAGATTTTTCACTTATTATATCCTTTTTCTTTAAAGCACGTAAGATTTTCATTTTCCACAGCATAACTAAATCAATACAAATCTTTCTCTCATAGAGACAGGGGTCTAATTAGAGTTTTGACCTATGCCGAGGAGCGTTTGTGGCAGTAACAGAGAAATCACACACAAAAAGGTTAGTAATTTCTCTTGCAATTTATTTTCTAGGGGATCGTATGATCAGTGCAAAATCAGATTTGATTAGGGTTCTTCGCTTAGTGTTCTTCTGATTACAAATTTTATATCTATCCGTGGCAACTTTGATTCCTCTGTGGTTTATGTGACTCAATTATTGTTCGATTTTCCAGAAGCAATCACCGTCTCCGTCACCAAAGTAAGGTTTTTTTCAATATGGCAAACATCAACGACTTGTCTAACGATTTGCTGGTGAAGATCTTGCTATCGATTCCGACTAAAGATATCGTGGCCACGTCTCTTCTCTCCAAACGATGGCGTTCCGTTTGGAAACTGGTGCCGAAGATCCACCACGACGATTGTTCATACACTGCCACAGCTTCTTCACAGTTTATCGAAAAGTTCTTGCAGCTGAACAATGCTCCGTTTCTAGAATCTTTGCGTCTCAGACTCGAGAAAAACTATACACCTCGAGATTACGAAAGATGGGTTAACGTTGCAGTTTCTCGCAATGTGCGTGAGCTAGATCTTCTTCGTAATGTATCTTACTTAAGGCCCATGCCGTTACCTACGAGCGTGTTCACACATGAAACCCTTGTGGTGTTACGTCTCAAACATGCCCTCATTGAGAATGTTCCTTCAGCAACACTGCTCCGGTGCCTCAAGGACTTGTCTCTGAGAGATGTGATCTTCTCAAGCGACGAAACCGTTGATAGGTTTCTCACCTGTTGCCCTGTTCTTGAAACGTTGGAAGTAGTTCTATGGATCTCCCGAAAGGTGAAGACTTTCGCGATCCGTGTGCCGTCGTTGCAGCGGTTGAAGATCAGCTCTCTTGTGGCAGGTTATCAAGATGCATGGAAAGATCATGGATTTGTGGTCGATGCTCCTTGTTTAAAGTATCTAGAGATTGTCGATCATTTCAGTGAGTTTTGTTCGTTAGTTAATGTGACTGAGGAGGTGGAAGCGAAACTCCAACTTAGGCATTGTGATTCTGAGAAGCTTCTTGGATCTCTTATCTCAGCTAAGAGCCTTGCCTTGTGTCTGAAACCACAAATGGTAAAGTCTCTGTTTTGTTTTCTTCTGTGATAAAGATTCTCTTGTGATTAGTTACATTTAGTTTCTTACCACTTTTTTGCAGGAGTCATATACTAAAGCTGACTTTGATCAGCTCGTGTCTCTAGAGCTGTGTGTTACTTGCTCGTTAGATTGGTTGAATCTTAGCCTCAGTCATTCTCCTAAACTCCGAGCTCTAAGATTGACATTATTTGTAAGTTCTCGTTCCAAACCTAGATCAATGCTACTACAGTTCTTTTTTGTTTTGTTAACTGTTTGATTTGATCTCAGAGAGACCCCGGCTGCAATAATATCAGACATGTCCGGACTAAGTGGGAGAAACCGAGTTGTGTCCCTGAATGTTTGATGTTGAGTCTCGAATCTGTTGAGTGGGTTTATTACAAAGGAGCACAAGAGGAGAATGATGTGGTGAAGTATTTGCTAAAGAATGGAAATTTACTAGAGACGATGAGTATTAGATTCTCAGTATCCATCCAGATGGAAGAGAAAAACAGAATGCAGATGAAGTTAGAGTCCATGCCGAGGAGTTCCAGCAAATGCCAGCTTTCATTCACCTAAAGTTTTATCTCATATCAGATCAGAGCTAAGATTTGAGAAGCAGTAATAAGTTAATGTTTGATCTCATATTGGAACTTGTTTTACTTCTTCTTTCTTCTGTTTTTGTTTCAAAGCTTGTAGCTTTACTAAAAGATTATTGAACTCAATATTGTTGACTATATTGAGAGCTAAGATTTGAGCAGCATTGATACTTAATGTTTGATCTTATTTTAACTTGTTTCTTCTCCTATTAAGTTGCCAATCTTCTTTCTGTTTAGTTTCAAAAGCTTGTTGCTTTACTCAAAAGACTATTGACTGTATTAAGAACTATGATTTGAGCAGCATCAAGCTATCAGTTTTGTTACTTGCTAGTCTCAAAACACTAACAATTTCACTAACAAGACAATCTTTCTCATCTGCAACTCAAAGGATTCATCACTACCAAGTACTCAACTTTCAGATTCTCTGTAACATAACACGAGTCCTTTGCTCGTTAAAAACTCTAAAGCATAAGCATTGGAAACATAAATTCAGTGCAAAATTTTCATCACTGTGAACTCGTTTCAGGCTTAGATAAACGCAAGAGAAATCGAGTAATTAGATCCTACAAACATCAAATCCAAAACAAGCTGATATTATATATTTTTTTCCTGTAAAACATTTCTATTTACAGTAGCGATCGGCCTTCTTCTTGACACGATCGTTGAGAGCCTCTGCGACGGAATCAAAGTTCGATTTGGGAATGTAACCGAACTTCTTCGCCTCCACGGGAAACAGGTCGTCGTACTTCTTCTTCTTCGCGGCGTCGATTGAGTAAATATCGTCTCCGGCTGCTGCGGCGGCGGAGACGGCGGCAGTGGAGGAAGTGGCTGAAGCGTCGGGAGCTATCGTTTCGACCTCGGGAGCGTCGAGCTTGTCCTTGTTCTTCTTGTGCTTCTTCTTCTTCTTTTCGATTGACTTCCTTGTAGCTAGATCACCTCCTTTGAAAGCTAACCTTCCTCCTTTCACCTTCTCGTATGGATCCGACATTGCTGTACTTAGCTTAGATTCTCAGCTTCTTCTTCTTCCTCGGACCGATTAGGTTTTCCGAAAAATCCCCAATTCTCTCTCTCTCCGGGATTTGATTTCTCTTTGTAAAAGCAAAACAAATAACAGACTTGGGCCGTTGTTTTCTAATATTTTGTTACTTTTGGGTATTGGGCCAATGATACTTGGGGCCTTAATCGAGAATGATGACAACAAACAAAATATCTTTTTGATGTATAGTTTTGCACTCCATTTCCAAGAACTTGTATGTTCTCACTCAATTAGAGCCTGAGAACAAAGAAGCATATGAAGCAAAGACTTGGGATTACAATAAAAATTTATAGGTAGTATAAAGTTCTTATAAATATAATGAACTTTCCTAATGTGTTTCTTAAAACTGTAAGAAAAATCTATCATTGCCTATTTAAAAAGAAAAAATATCAGTACAAATTTATTATTTATTGGAATCAAATCTAAATAAGAAGATCATGTGTCAACTGACAGCAAATTACTATACAACTTTTTAATCACCTTATATTGTATTTTGCAATCTAATTTACTACAACTATCACTCTCACATTTTTTATCTTTAAGAAATATTAAATTTGTTAATCAGCCTTATGAACAAAAGAGAAGAGCATCTGGATTATAGACCCAGAGACAGAGGTACTTACGAGACAGAGGTATGTACGGAAAATGTTTATGCCTTTCTCTACTCACTGACAAATTTCTGGTGATTTTATTGTAAACACCTAGCCATGTTTTGATCATGATTCTTCCTTATCTTCTTCTCTCTCTTTTTTTTTTTTTTTTTTTTTTTTTTTTTTTTCTCTTTTGTTTCAACGCATAAGTTTTTGTCTGGTTCCACAGTGATTTGTAATGAACTGTTCTCAGGTCTCTGAGTGTATTTCCAGAAACAAGAAAACGAAATTTAAGATGAGCAATATCAATGATTTGCCAGACGATTTACTCGTCAAGATATTGTCCTACATTCCGACAAAAGACGTTGTGGGCACGTGTCTTTTATCGAAACGTTGGGAGTCTCTCTGGACGCATGTGACGAGACTCGAATACGATCAAGAACATCACTACGCTAGGAGAACTGGTTTCTCAAGATTCGTCGACAAATCTCTGCTTTCGCATCAAGCTTCTCTTCTTGAAAGCCTTCATTTCAAGCTCAAATCAGGTTATGCTTATAGAGACATCGGATTGTGGATTCGTACTGCAATCAATCGTCGCATACGCGAGCTCACACTCGAATGTAGCGAGATCTTGATCCATCTACCGTCAAGGTTGTTCACCTGCGAGACACTTGTGATCTTGAAACTCAAAGGTTGGATCGATCTCAACATTCCTTTGACTGCCTCTCTCCCTTCTCTCAAGACTCTCCACATAGTCCTCCTGAGGAAATCAAACTATGAATCTTTTTCAAGGCTTTTATCAAACTGTCCTGTTCTTGATGACCTCATGGTGGAACAAAGAAGAAGCAATGATATGTCAAAGCTTAATGTATCGGTTCCTTCGTTGCAGAGATTGTCCATTAGAACAGTTATTGAGAGTGAGAATGGCTTGAGTTATTTCATTGACGACAAGAATATTCCAAAGGTTGAAATAAATGCTCCTTCTTTGAAGTACTTAAACATCGATGATGATCGAGGGAATGACTTTGATGTCATCAATAAGGACTTGCATCAAGTTGTGGAGGCAAGGATCAAAGCTAATGAAACATCTACCAAAGATTTCCTCAGGTATCTTACCAGCTCGGTCAAGAGTCTTTCGTTGTCTTCACTGAAGTTAGAGGTAATCCATTGCTCATTCTCTACAAGCTTATAAGTTCTTTAAAACCATCAAAAGTGTAACACTTTTTTTTATTTCCATATTTCAGGATGTGTATCCTACAGGTAGTTTCTTCATTCAACTTGTGCATTTGGAGATATGTACATCTACAAATGGGTGGTTGAAGTTACTTGCAAACATGCTTGAAGGTTCTCTCAAACTACGAGTTCTCAAGCTCTTTTATGTGAGGGAACATTCTAACTGGTGGATGCCTTCCTTCGATCGCTGGGACCCGCCGAGCTCTGTTCCATCATGTATGGTGTCCAGTCTTGAAACACTAGAGTGGAGAGGATACTTAGGGAGAGAAATAGAGTTTGAGCTTATGATTTATCTCTTGAAGCATTCGCTGTGTTTGAAGACGGCGATAGTCACTTCTAATGAGTTCAAGGGCGCGGAAGAAATGTATCAGATGGTCGAGGTCCCAGCTCCTGTGCCAGTAGGTTCAAAGATATGCAAACTTGTGTTCGACGTATGAAGTTGTGAGTTAGAAAAAAGAAGATATGATGTTTGCGTTTGGACTCAACAAAAAGAGTTATGGATGAACTTAATTATAGTATAGGCTTACCATTGTTGAAGGGTTATTTTACTGATGTTGATTTGAAGATATTATGACATAGTAAGTGTTTATTATATTCTCTAAACTTCTTATGATACCGTAATTGTTTGAATCGAGAGATAAAAACCAACCACGAAGGAAATAACCCAAACAGAGGATGTGCCTTGCAACTCAAGTCATCTCACAAAAAGATAGTCAAAACTTCATAAATCTCAATTCTATACGAGTGCAAGCACAAGCTGAGACGACATATTTTTCATTTAATTATAAGCCGAGACATTTTTGATATTCTAGACATAGTTCTTAACTCCCTTGCCATCTTATCTCTCTCTGTCGGATCGAAGATTGATGTCAGCGTTATTGTAGCCGTCTTAAAACACTCAGAGTTTGCAAAGATGTATCTCATGATTTTTTTCTCTTCTTCACTTCCTCCATATCCTTTCCACTCAAAGATACCTAGATGGGACGACAAGCATCTAGGAACAACACTCGTACTCGGTTGGTTCATCGACAATGGGAGCTCCCCGGGTCCATATCCAAACTTGATCCAAGAACATTATATTTGTGAATTGGAATATAGAAAAAAATCAGTTTTATGCAAATGGATATATATATATTGTATTGTTACTTACAGAACTGATATGGAGAAACCGTAGTTTAGGAGAGTTCCTGAGAATAAGTAGAAGTAGACTCGACCAGCCATCGGCCTTTGCATATAGCGTAGACAACCGAAGATGAGAGAAGGTAATCCCACTAAAATCCATAGCCTGCGGTGATTGAAATTAATGTGATCACAGTAACGAGTCAACGACCAGTCTTCAACAAAAAATGAGAGAGAGAGATGGGTAGAGATGGAGATTGGTACCATAGGAAATTTCAAACATAAAGCGAGAGACGTGGCCAAGGAAAGCGATCTGAGAATCTTGTTATCAGCGCGACAAAAAATGTGAATGCAAGGCTGATCCTTGGTCAGATGGATATTCTTGATCGAGGTATTTTCTTTCCAGCGATCAGAGATGAAGAAGGATATGGTCGATTTAGCAAGAACAGAGCAATTCGATACAAGCCTTAAAAGAGAGTCTTCATCTTTGTACACCACCAAAAAAAGTAACATTTTTTTGAGAGATGGGAGGCAAGGGGCGGACGGAACATCTACAAGGACATTGTGTGAGAGAGTCAATTCCACGAGTGTTTTGCACGTGTAGAGACTGTTCGGCAAGTTGGTAAGCTTTCTGGATTTGAGAAGCTCGAACTCTAGCACGCGCACATGGCGATCAACTGCGTTTGCGATCCACTTTTCGAAGTCGACATCAACGTCAATGAATAAACTTCCCTTGATATCGATACGTAGGGTTTCTAATACAGATTCTTTGTGAAGTTCCAATGCCTTGTCAAGAAAGCTACATGCGCTGTCGCGTGCGCGTTGATCATCAGTGTCCTCTATGTACTCGAGTTTAGCCCAGACAAAACGCCATCGTTTTGACAAAATCATGGTGGACGCTACATGTTTGGTCGAGACATGCAACAAAATCTTGACGAGCAAATCGTTGGGCAACGCACTGATCCTGTCTTCCATTCTTTGGCAACTTTTGGGTTCTAGTGATGACATAATAGGCGAACAGAACAGATGCAGTCAAAGGAGAAAGAGAAAAACCCTAACAAACCCTAGACTCTCTGGTTACTTCTCGTGGCTCTTACGTTTGACTTTGAAAAGTAAACCCTAATTCTTTTCACCCTAATTTCTTTTTATTTTTAAATGAGATTGAGTAGGCGGAAACAAATAAGGTCTAAGCAAACGAAATACAAAAACCCTACAGAATCCAGAAAAGAAAAAAACACATTCTGTCACTGAAGCCACTACTTTGCTGTAAATCGTAAGTTTCTTTTGCTAATTTATCGGCGTCTCTTTTTCTGGGTTTTGAATCAATCGTCGCTTTCTCGCCGAAGTTTTTCTAAGCTCAGCTCCGGTAAATTGATTTTAACCCAAATGCGAACGAGTCAGTTTCTTAGTGATTATGAATCAAAATCAATTCAAAAATCGCACCTTTATCTGATTCCGAGCTTTTCTAGACTGCATTATAGGGTGGATTTTGAGGGTTTCTCCTCCCTGTGGAATTTTATAGCTTTTTATAAAATTAAGATACCCAAAAAGCTTCAATTTTTCTTTTGCAGGAATCAGAGCCGATTGTGAAAATCCAACACCGAGCTGAAATGGATGATCATAGGGATAGGATCAGTCTTTTGCCAGATGATTTCCTCTTGCAGATACTCTCATGGCTTCCAATGAAAGATGTCATGGTGACAAGCTCTTTGTCAAAACGGTGGCGTTTTCTCTGGACATTGGTCCCCAGGCTCAGCTTCGATCTCAGCCTTCACGGTAACACGTATCCAAAGTTTAAAACTTTCGTCGACAGGTCTTTGCTGCTACACAAGGCCCCAACTTTAGAAGGTTTGGATATCAAGATTGGTTCCGAGTGCTCTAAAGCTGATGTAGATATAGGTGTATGGGTTAGAATCGCCGTAGAACGATGCGTGCGCGAGCTGAGTATCAGTTATTGCTCCGGTGAAGAGCCTTTAACATTGCCCAAGTGCTTGTTTACTTGTAGAACGCTTGTGGTTCTGAAACTCGAGAACATGAGTCTTCTTGATGCTTGTTCCAATGTTTGCTTCCAGTCGCTCAAGACTCTTCACCTTCTTGATGTGAAGTACTTGGACGAGCAATCGCTTCCTCAGATTTTGTCCTGCTGCTCGAGTCTTGAAGATTTGGTTGTGCAGAGATGTCCTGGTGACAATCTTAAAATCGTCGCTGTGAATGCGATGAGCTTAAAGACTCTCTCTTTGCAGAAGTCGTCTCAAGCTTTCGAAGGAGACGATGATGGATTCTTGATAGATGCTCCGAAGCTGAGGCGTCTGGACATTGAGGACTATTGGGGTTGCTTTTGTTTCGCTGAGAACATGCCTGAGGTTGTAGAGGCAAATGTGGATGTGATCTATAAGAACACTGAGAAGCTTCTTGGATCTCTCACCTCTGTGAAGCGGCTTTCACTATGTTTGATCACTTCAGAAGTAAAAAAAAAAATCTCTCTTTCAGTTAGTTGAAAACAAAAGAAAAGTGTGTGTTCTTGGGATTTGATCTTTTGTTGTACTTGATGTTCTTGGCTGCAGGCTGCTTATCCCGCTGGGACTATCTTCTCTCAGCTTGTTCATCTAGAGCTATGCACATGTGCGCCACGTTGGTGGGAGTTACTCACCAGACTGATTGAAGATTCGCCTAAACTCCGAGTTCTTGTACTCCGCCAGGTACATTTACATCAGTTTCTGTGATCGGTTAGTTTCTTGCTTTTGGTTGTACAGAGTTCTTTGTTACTCAATTTTGTATCTCAGAAACATAGTCGACGTGCACCTAGTCCCAGGGCTATTTGGAAGCAACCGGTTTCTCTTCGGAAAGGGTTGTTATCTGATCTTGAGATCTTCAAGTGGGAGCTATACGAAGGGTCACAAAAGCAGAAAGAAGTGGCGATATTCATCTTGAAACACGCTACGAGATTGAAGTTAGCGTATATCTCTCCCAAATCCACCAGTACTCTGCTGGAGAAACATGAGATGCTCAAGGAGTTGTCATGCACGTCGCGTGGTTCCACTTCATGCGAGCTCTTGTTCGACTGTCAATGAACTTAACCGTTCACTGAGATTATCGTTTGCTAGTACAATTTTAGTGAAGATTGTTTGTTTTGTTGTCTTTATTGATCTGAAAGTTTGAACGGCTGAAAAGCTTTTGCTCTGCATTTAGGTTTATCCTGTGTGTATCCCAGAAAATAAAGAACAACGTACCAAATATCAAAAATTAACAAAACTGCTTTTGACGGAGGAACTTAGTCTGTTAATGGAGAAACTTATAGACTTTGTGCATCTCTTCCATATATATATTGGGGACTGAAAACAGATTAAGCTATTTTTCTTTCTTTTGATTTCGACCAATGCATGTGTTGTTAACCTATTAAGTTATGGAATCAGTGTTGGGATTTGGGAATGGAACCAATCAACTTTGTGTTGGAAAAAGACTAAATTCAAATAAAATCAATAACTCTTGTTGATTTCGTAAACAGCAAGAAACATGAGTAAAGGAGATATTGAATAGAAACTTTGACCAAAATAAATGAAAACGACGTTCAACTTTCTCGAAGAGTCCTTACGTTCTCCTCTCTCTGTCTGTCAATATAATGTGTGTATTGTAATGATGGTGATGAAAACCAGATAGTTGATTCGTCCCTACAACCTATTGGTTTTGTTTCCGTTCCTCTGTAATAATTTTGCACTTTCTACTATTTTTTTTGGGATTACTTATGTGTCGTTCAACGTTTTCAGGATATTTCTAGTGGAAGGTCCGGCTCAGAATCTTTGGGTATTTTTGTAAGAAATGGAAAAGATCAGTGGGCTGTCTGAAGATGAACTGCTGGTGAAGATATTATCGTTTCTTCCCACAAAAGTTGCTGTGAGCACAAGCGTTTTGTCGAGACGGTGGGAACATCTCTGGAAGCGGGTGCCTAAACTTGATTTCGCTTACACCGATGCTAAGCCGTCCGATAAATGTCAGAAGAGGCTACATCGTTTCATCCAAAGGAACTTACCATTGCATAGAGCTCCTGTCTTAGAGAGCTTGCGTCTCAAGTTAAGTTTTCCTTCATTTATTCCTGATGATATCGAAGCGTGGACTGACGTTGCAGTTTCTCGAGGCGTACGTGAGCTGAGCATTTCCTATTCATCTGCTGATGGCTATATCACCCGATTGCCAGATAGCTTGTATACTTGCGAATCTCTTGTTTCCTTGAAACTCGATGATCGGCTTTACGTGGATTCTTGTTAGGCTGCGTAATCGGTTTGTGAGGAGAAGAAAGAAATCCGGTTTAGCAGTTTCAGAGGAAGCAGAGACTCTATTTGACGCGGAGGATTAGAAGATTAGAGTTTGTCATTTAAATACGTGTAATCTTTTACATTTGGAATCTTATCCAGAATTGAATAACAAACAAGAGAGAGAGTGAGGTGATCGGAGAATCTGTTCTTCGGATCAAGAGAGAGAAGTCGCTCGGCGGAGGAGAGATACCTTCCCGATCCGCGTTGTAACTTTGTTATCGGAATCTATACAATATTTCCTTAACAAATTGGTGCGGTGCTTTTACGGAGGCGCGACAACGACGAAAATAGGGAAAATCGACGATCTCGCGGAAGAGTTTCACAAATCGGTGGATTCAATGGCGGAACGATGGGAGCGTCAGGAGAAAACGAACCAACAGGCGAATCAGAACTTCGCGGAGCTCAACGCGAATCTATCGAGACTCACGGAGACTTTAGCAAGGATGGAAGCGACGATAAACAATCTGGGGCCGAATCAACGAACGAATCCAACGGCACGCGATGACTTCGCTTCAACCTTCGGCGGCTTTCGTGAGGAACGTCAGAATAATCCGGTAGAACCTGGAGAAAATAGAACGATAGGTTATCGGGGAATTCACAATGTACTGGAAAATAGGATCAATATGCTGAAGCGGATTGAATTGCCTCAATTTTCCGGATCGAGTCCATATACGTGGATAAATCAGGCAGAGAGATTCTTCAAGCTGGGAAATTACAACGATGCAGAGAGGTTAGAGATATTGTTCATCACACTACAAGGTCCGGCTTTGAATTGGTTCAATAGAGAAATGAACAGAGATCCGTTTCGGGATTGGGTACAATTCAAGAGAAGAATGATTGCGCGGTTTAATCAGAAGATGGAAGAGAATCCGCAGTTAAATCTGTTTGTGTCAAACAGAAAGGTTCAGTGGTGGATTATGTGAATGAGTTTGAAGAACTTACAACGATAGTGATGGGAGTTGAGGAAGAAAATTTGGAGCATGTGTTCGATCTGGGATTGAAGCCAGAGATGCAAGAAGTGGTCAAGATGCAGAAACCTTGGGGTTTATCAGCTTTGTTCAGCACAATTATATCGATGGAAGATAGCCATTTCTGCAAGTCAATGGCTGAGATAGCTAACCCCACGAAGAGAAGCGGTTCTTATTTCCCTCTACGTTCGGCTTCTATATTCAATACGCAGAGAAATGATAGCCCAACGCAGAGCTCGGATAGCTTAAAAGGGGGATCCAAAAGCAGTGAACCGAGCCAAAATTCAAAACCACCGTGGAAAAACAATGGAGGAAGGAATTACAGTGGTATATTGAAGTTGAGTCCTGCAGAAATAGCAGAGAAATGGAGATTGGGACTTTGCTATAAGTGCCCTGAGAAATGGACAAGGGGACATCAATGCCACAACATGATGCTCCAAGTGTTTACAGTGATCAATGAAGAGGAGGTAGAGATTACAGATGAAGATTGGATTGCAGGGATAGAAGAATATATGGAGATGATGCGAGACTTAATCGAACTGTCACTTTTCTCGTTTCTGGGATTAGAGTCTCCATCGGCGACGAAGTTATGGGGAACAATTGGAAAGACAAAGGTGATAGTGATGATTGACAGTGGCACTACTCACAACTTTATAGATCCTTCTGTTCTAGGCAAAACATCTCTTGCACCAGCTAAGAACAGGAAGTTTGATTTATTGTTGGGAACTGGCATCACAGTGAATGGATCGGGCTTATGTAAAGACGTGTCACTAACCCTCTAGAATCATGAGATCACTGCAGACTTCTTTGTCATTGAATTGGGAAACACAGAAATCATTCTCGGTATTCAATGGCTTAGAACACTGGGAAAGTGTGAATATGATTGGGATAAACACGAGATGTCCTTTATCTACAATGGAGAGAAGGTTACATTGTATGGAGATCAAGAATTAATCGCAGCAGGAAGATCATTTAAACAGATGGAGACACAGAAATGGGTGGAATATGCTGAGTTAGACACAGAAATGGGAGAGTTAAATGGGTTAGAAATGAGTCAAGAAGTTCCAGAAAAGATTCAGCGACTGTTAGACCAATACCCTGAAGTGTTCTCAGAACCAACACAATTACCACCTGTACGAGGAAGGGAGCATGCGATAAACTTGATGGCAGGAACAGGGCCTATCAGTGTGAGACCATATCGTTACCCACATGCATACAAGGAGGAAATGGAGAAGTTGGTGAGTGAGATGTTGAAAGCGGGTACGATTCGACCTACCAAAAGCCCTTTTTCGAGCCCAGTTTTGCTTGTTAAGAAGAAAGATGGAAGTTGGCGTTTCTGTATATATTACATTAGCAGACAAATTTCCCATTCCACTGATAGATCAGTTGCTTGATGAGCTTCACGGTGCAAAGTATTTCTCAAAGCTAGATTTGAGAGCTGGCTATCACCAGATACGAATGTTGGAAAGAGATGTAGAGAAGACGGCGTTCAGAACAACCAATGGGTATTACGAATTCTTAGTCATGCCTTTTGGTTTGACAAATGCCCCATCTACCTTTCAGGCTTTAATGAATGAGCTTTTTCGGCCTTTCTTGGGACATTTCGTGCTTGTCTCCTTTGACGACATCTTGGTATTCAGTGCAAGTCAGGAGGAGCATGAAGCGCAGTTGAAAATCGTGATGGATATCTTTGTGGAGAATAAGCTATTTGCGAACAAGAAGAACTGTTTGTTTGGGCAAACTCAAGTGGAGTACTTGGGCCATATTATCTCGGATCAGGGAGTCGCAACGGATCCATCAAAGACTCAGGCTATGAAGGATTGGCCTAACCCGAAGACAGTAAAGGAGTTGAGAGGTTTCCTCGGTCTCACAGGGTATTATAGACGATTTGTGAAGGGTTATGGATCCATTGCGAGACCATTGACGGATTTACTGAAGAAGGATCAGTTTGAATGGTCCAATAGAGCAGAGAAGGCATTTGTAGATTTGAAAGAAGCGATGATGACAGCTCCAGTTTTGGCACTGCCCAACTTTTCAGACGTTTTCGTGGTTGAATCTGACGCATCAGGCTACGGTGTAGGCGCGGTTTTGATGCAACAGCAGCGACCTATAGCTTATTTTAGTTCAGGATTGACTGACAGAGAGCAGGTCAAGCCAATCTACAAAAGGGAACTAATGACTATAGTGTTAGCATTACAGAAATGGAGACATTATTTGCTGGGAAGGAGGTTTGTTGTACACACTGATCAAAAGAGTCTCAAGTTTCTGTTGGAACAGAGGGAGATATCCATGGAGTATCAGAAATGGCTCATTAAACTGTTTGGGTTTGAATTTGATATAGTTTACAAACCGGGTGTGGAGAATAAGGCAGAAGACGGGTTATCTCGAATTCATCATGAAGCTAAACAGATGAGCTCGACTCAACTAATGTCGATTACGGTTCCTGCTGTTCTACAACTCCAAGACATCTACAAGGAGATTGCGGAGGATGTACAGATACAGGATCAGTTGACACGAGTGTTAGAAGGAAAGGAAGAGAAAACAGAGTTTACTGTGAGTAATGGACGCTTGCTGAAGAATGGGAGATTGGTTATTCCACGTTCATCGTCTCATATACCACTGATTCTTAAAGAGTACCACGCGGGAGTTATCGGTGGTCACTCAGGTGTCTTAAAGACGATGAAGCGGATCCAGAGTTTGTTTTATTGGAGGAAGATGGTGAAAGATATTCAAACGTTTGTCCAGGAATGCGAGGTGTGTCAGAGGCATAAGTATTCCACGTTACGTCCTGCAGGGTTGCTCCAACCATTACCTATACCATATAACATTTGGGAAGACATCTCCATGGATTTCATAGAAGGACTTCCTCTTTCACAGGGTGTCAATGTGATTTTGGTAGTGGTGGATCGACTAAGCAAATTTGCTCATTTCGTGAGGTTGAGACACCCTTTCACAGCCATGGACGTGGCGAACAAATTTGTCCAAGAGATAGTACGGCTACATGGATTTCCTCGCTCCATTGTGTCGGATCGTGATAGAATCTTTTTGAGTTCCTTTTGGAAGGAAATGTTTCGTCAAGCAGGAACACAGCTCAAGTTCAGCACCGCGTTCCATCCACAATCTGATGGACAAACAGAGGTGTTGAATCGTTGCTTAGAGACATACCTCCGTTGCTTTGCTTCATCGCATCCGAAATCGTGGGCTAAGTTTTTGTCTTTGGCGGAGCTGTCGTATAACACAAACTATCACACGGCGATCGGCACTACTCCATTTCAAGTTGTTTATGGCAGATCACCACCAAGCCTATTGAGATTTGAGGAGAAATCAACAGCAAACTTTGATTTGGAGGTGATGCTTAAGGAGAGAGATGTGGTGCTATGGAGTATTAAGGAGAGTTTGATATCAGCTCAAGCCCGTATGAAGAATAATGCCGATAAACATAGACGAGAGTTGGAGTTTGCTAAAGGTGACAAGGTTTTTCTGAAGTTGAGACCGTATAGACAACAATCGGTGTCAAAACTTCTGTATCAGAAGCTGGCTGCTCGTTTCTATGGTCCTTTTGAGGTGTTGGAGCGGATTGGATTGGTGGCGTATCGCCTGAAGTTACCGGAGGGGTCTAAGATTCATAACGTGTTTCACGTTTCTCAGCTAAAACCGGTGTTGGGTTCTGGTCATCAGGTTTCCTCACTTCCTACATCTTTTGACCAGCGTCCTGAGTTGATTATCGAACCGGAATTAGTGTTAGAGACACGTTATGATAACGGTGGCCATTTAGAAGCGTTGGTACAATGGAAAGATCTTCCTGAACACGAGAAGACGTGGGTTCGTGCTTCAGAGTTACTCAAGGATTTCCCAGAACTTGAGGACAAGCTTCTTCTTGACGAGGGGGGTAATGTTAGGCTGCGTAATCGGTTTGTGAGGAGAAGAAAGAAATCCGGTTTAGCAGTTTCAGAGGAAGCAGAGACTCTATTTGACGCGGAGGATTAGAAGATTATAGTTTGTTATTTAAATACTTGTAATCTTTTACATTTGGAATCTTATCCAGAAATTGACTAAAAACAGAATAGAGAGAGAGAGTGATCGGGAGCTTGTTCCCGGATCAAGAGAGAGATTGTAGATCGGCGACGGAGAGATACCGATCCCGTTCTGCTTGTATCTTTGTTATCGGAATAAACGTACTATTCACCTTAACAATTCTCCCGACGTTGTTTCTTTGCCCTCCTTGAAATCTTTGCACCTTCGACTTGTGGAATACCCCTGCGTAGAATCTCTTGCAGAGCTTCTATCCAATTGCCCCCGTTCTTGAAGATCTGACTGTGGAACAGAATATCGATGACGGTGTGGAAGAGTTGACTGTTATCATCCCTTCTTTGCTGAGATTAACCGTCTTTCGTTCTGACGGACGTGACCCTGATAAGGCTGTGATTAAATGTCCCTCTTTGAAGTATTTCAAAGTGACAGATCGTAGTGGTCCTACTTCACCACGATTTATTGAGAAAATGCCAAAGCTTGAAGAGGCAGATGTTGACATTCTGTTCTGCGATATTGGGAAATTTCTCACTGCTGTCACATCTGTCAAGCGTCTTTCGATATGCTTACAGGGACATATTCCCGTGGTAAATATTTTTCCCCACCTATCAATTTTCATGTCTTCAATCTCATTATATCATTTTGAAGGAGACTCACCAGTTTTAATTCCTATGTGTAGCCTGTGTATCCTCTTGGTATTTACTTCCATCAACTTGAACAACTGAAGCTATGTATTTGTGCTGAAGACTGGTCCAACTTACTTTTCCAATTTCTCAGAGATTCTAAGAAACTACGAGACCTTGATCTCTACATCAAAGATGTAAGTTATTATAACCATTTTTTTTTTTTTTTTTTTTTATTGTTGCTAAGAACCCTTTATACATGTTGTTGATGAAGTTTCTTCTACATTATTTTGTTCAAGATCGTCTTAAACCTTTTAAGGGCTTGTTAACACTTTAAAATATTTGATTTCTGTTCCTATCGTAATATTTTTTTAATAAAATAGAGACTCTATTCCAATGTATCTGTTATATATGTTAGACTGCTATGATTTGGTCCAGTATACTGAATATTATCTTCGGTTTAATGCTAGGAACATATACCATATCGTGGCCGGAATTATCACTTGTATGTTCCTAAATGTTTCTTGATTGGTAGTCTTGAAACATTCAAGTGGACAGGATATGGAGGATCATCAGAACAGAGAGAGATTGTGTCATTTATCTTCAACGGTGCGTATCGCTTAAAGACTGCAACAATGGTGGCAATGCCATATTTTCGTCCTTGGGAAAAAAAGGAGATGCTTTATGGCTTGGTAGTTCTTTACCGATCTTCACCAACATGCAAATACACGGTTGTTTGAAGAACTTATCCATTGCAAATGGTGATGCTTATGATTTGGACTTGCATTCGTATAATGACGGAGATTTTAGTTAACGTTTTTCTATGTTATCACTTTTTAATTCAAAAACAAATCATGACAGAAATTGTCTAATAACATCATTCTCTCCCAGATCTTCAAATTCATTTGAACTTGTTGTCAGCTAAAATATTCTATGTGCTTTGTCCAATAAGACATCAGGTTCAATCGGTTTCAAATTTGGACATGCATGAATATGTGTGTGTGTGTGTGTGTGTGTTTGTGTAAATAATTAACTGTTGTTCCTTGCATATCAAGTATACTAAAAGAAAAGAGAACACAAGACTTGTATTCCAAGCAGTGGTCTACTTTATTTGGAAGGAAAGAAACACAAGACTTCATTCTCCAGGTTCTAGGCCAACGTCACTGGTAATTAAAGAAATTCAAGTCACTTTGAGATCAAAGCTGTTCAGTCTCGATAGGATTGCTTTGATGAATAACAGTGGCGCTGCATCAACTTCAGACGAACATTCCTTCCTCCATACTTGGTTCCAGTATTTCCAACCATAAACTCTTGCTCTGACTTCGGTTCACTTTATGCTTCTCGTGTCTTTCCTATTTAAAAACCTTGTTAAAGGTTTCAGTTGCCCATGCTTTCTAAGCTTTGTAAGGGCGTACTTGTTTAAAACTTAATAATAAAAGTAGTACTTACAAAAATAAAAAATAAAAGAAAATAAAAGAAAAGAGAACAATGAAAACTATTTCTTGTGCTCAATGATTCTCTGAAACCACAAATTTCTCAAGGTCACCTAAATTTATGTATTTATGTGCAATTTAAATTAAAAATTTAAGCAACCCTAAATTTATTTATTTTACATGAAGAAGGTTAACTAAAGGCACAAACTAACCCTAGGGCCTTGTTTTTTGTTCGATGCAAAGACTTTATCATCACCAGCTCGGACAATCTTTGCCTGTTTTCTTGCTTATCACCAATCTTTTTCGTAGCTCAGATAAAAATTCCAAGTCTCGTATAAACCCTACAAGATCTGGACACTAACAGAAACTTTGGGTTTGTGAAGATATGGACAGAATCAGTGGGCTTCCTGATGAATTGCTGGTGAAAATACTATCGTTTCTTCCACCAAAAGTTTCTGTAAGCACAAGTGTTTTGTCAAAACGATGGAGAAACCTCTGCATGTGGGTGACAAATCTTGAGTTCGACGACAGTCAGACTAAACCAGCCGAATGCCACGAGTTACGCCTTTTTATTCTAAGGATCTTGAGATCTCATAGACCTCTTATCATTAAAAGCTTGGGCTTCAAGTTGCGTACTGATCTGTTTCGAACAGATATCACACGGTGGGTTGAAATTGCCGTTTCTCGCGGCATCTGCGAGCTGAGCATTTATTATTCTTTTCTTGAAAACCATCCTACCATGTTGCCGAGTAACTTGTACACCTCCAAATCGCTCGCGACCTTGAAACTCCAAGGTCATATCCTCGTGGCTGTTCCTCTTACGGTTTGTCTTTCGTCTCTGAAACGTTTGCATCTTCGACATGTAACATACTTGGATGACCATACTCTTCAACTGCTTCTATCCAATTCCCATGTTCTTGAAGATCTTGTTTTCGAAAAACATGATCATTATTACCATGCGGAGATGGTTTCTGAACTCCCAAGTAGTTTGTACACTCGCAAATCGCTTGTGACCTTGAAACTCGATGGCAAGATTCTCGTGGATGTTTCACGTATGGTTTCTCTCCCTTCCTTGAAAACCTTACACCTTTTATGTGTGAGATACTCTTTTGAAAGATCTAAAGATCCACACCTGGTTCTATCCAACTTCCCTGTTCTTGAAGAACTATTAGTGAAACAATGTGAAAATGATAATGTAAGAGCGGTCCATGTTAACATCGCTTCTTTGAAGAGTTTATCCGTAAACATAGCTGAGAACTGTGTTACTGATGGTTTTGTGATAGATTGTCCTTCTTTGAGGTACTTCAAAGTTGTTTATTACAATAGTAATCATCACTATTGTTTGATTGAGAATATGCCTAAGCTGGAGGAGGCAGATTTGGATGTTCTATTTCCCAGTGTCAAGAACTTTATGGAGGCTGTTACATCAGTCAAGAGCCTTTCATTATGCTTAAGCAGCCACGTAGAGGTAATTTGTTTCTATCATTCACCTTCATGAAGTCCTTAATTTAGTCGATCATTATAGCAGTTCAAGCACTAATTAAATAGTGTATTAACTATATTGAATTCTTTGTTACTACGCTGTCTTTGTGTGCAGGCTGTGTATTCTGATGGAATTGTCTTCAAGAAGCTTGAACATTTGAAGCTATGTACATGTGAAACAAATTGGTCAAATTTTATGTTTTGGGTTCTCAAAGAATCTCCTAAACTAAGAGTCATTGAGCTCTACGTTGATGATGTAAGTATATCCCCTTTGAATATTGTTTTTGTCTAAATTAATAAACTATTAAACCAAACTCTCATGTCTTGCTTCAGGAACACGCATGTGTTGGTAAGGATCCATTTGTTTTCTGGAAGAATCAACAAAGTTATGCTCCTGAATATTTGTTTCCGAGTCTCGAAACTTTCAAGTGGACAGGGTTCAACGGAGCACAGGAAGCAAGAGATCTCGTGATTTTAATCTTGAAAAATGCTTATCGCTTAAAGACAGCGAAAATCTTGACTGAGTCAGGGTTGGATATACAAAGGAAACTTGAGATAAGAAAAGAGTTGTCACTTTCTTACAGAGCTTCAACAATCTGCCAAATCGCATTTGATTGAGGATTTGAACTGTTAGATGTTTTGAAAACGTCAGCCTAATGATAAAAATTTAACTTGCATTATTTATGTCTACATTATAAGAATGATCAGAGTTTTTACAAGTGTGGTAATAGTCTATCGACTTTGACTTGCGAATCAAATCTTCTAACCATAATCATGTTCTTTGATCAATATTGTCTTCTTTTTCCACTCCCCCTAATCTCTCCCCATTCATATCAAATGTATTTAGCCGACTAGGTTTATATATGATCATATGTGATGAATCGTAACATAAAAATATATTGAAAAAATAATAATTAATAAAGTAATTGGAAATGAGTTGAATTATTATTATTATTTTTCATGCATTTGTACTATTTTAATTAGACACTGAATTTTTGGGTTCTATTTTTTAAAACTTGTTAATTAGCTTAGCTTCCATCATATTTTTGATATTTTATAAAGAGCATCTAAAATATCGGATTTTCAAATTAACTCTTTGTAAATTAAAGATTTACATCAAAAAGTACAATTCATGGAAATTTCAACTTTATTGACTATGACAAGAGTCGCGACTTTTTATTATTTTTTTGTATGAATATTAGAGTCGCGACTATATTTATTTATTTTTTGTATGAATGTTAGAGTCGCGACTATTAATAGGTCAATATGCATTAATATAGCCCTTGTGTATTCCTAACTATTGACTGTGAATCTAACCTTATACCATTAATCTAGCAAGTATAGTAACTAACTAAATGAAATTCAAGAAAGATTGGATTAACTTGACCAAAATGCTAAGTTTGTTTCTTAAGATTACGTGTACGTGGAAAGAAAATTAATTAGACTAGTCAATGAAATGTCTAGGAAAGTATGAGTAGATGAACCTAATCGTCTAAATTCATTTGATTTTACAAAAGGTAAGGAAGACGACGTTTCAAAAGTCTTTGAAGAGTCATTTAAACACATACTTAACATTTTCACTATATATATGTTTGATGAAAGTAAAAGTAGTAGGAAAAAATAAGACTCTCAAGTCTCATCTCCTAGACCTTCGGTAATTCAAAGCATTTTTCATAGTTTTGTCGATTTTCTCCTTTTCCTTAATTCTTTCTCTCTCCTTTTGCTTGTCATTTTTAATTAATTGCTTTTGGATTGTGCAGAGACAAAACTAAAGACAAGCATCTTGCTGCACGTTTACGTCTGAGAAGATATGGACAGGATCAGTGGATTATGTGATGAATTGCTAGTGAAAATATTGCTATTGCTTCCAACAAAAGTTGCCGTATCCACTAGCGTTTTATCAAAACGATGGGAGCGTCTCTGGATGTGGATGCCAAAACTTGATTACGATGATCAATCCTATTCAGAGCCTGAGTGCAAGAATTTACGGTGTTTCCTTGTCCGAAGTCTGCCACTACACATAGCTCCGGTCATAGAAAGCTTGCGTCTCAAGTTAAGTAATTCGCATTTTACACCTGAGGTCATCGAATTGTTGGTCTCTGTTGCTGTTTCTCGTTACGTACGTGAGCTGGATATATCTTATTCTCATCATCCGAAAGTTTCAAACATGCTGCCGAGCAACTTGTTCACATGCAAATCGCTTGTGATTTTGAAACTCGATGACGAGATTCTCTTGGATGTTCCTCGTGTGGCATGTCTTCCATCTCTGAAAACTTTGCAACTTCAAAGAGTGACATACTCCAGTGAAGAGTCTCTTCAACGACTGCTATCTTCTTGCCCTGTTCTTGAAGAATTGTTGGTGGAACTAAACGATGATGATGACTATATGGTCAAATTTACCATCATTGTTCCATCTTTACAGAGTTTATCACTATACATACCATATCTTTATGTTATATATGGGTATGTGATAAAAACTCCTTCTTTAAAGTACTTCAAACTTAAGGATCATAACAGCAAAAGTCACTACTGTTTGGTGGAGAATATGCCTAACCTGATCGAGGCATATGTGGATGTTGAATTTCCTGATATCAAGAGTCTTGTTGGATCAATCAAATCTGCCAAGCGTCTTGAAATATGTTCAGAGGTATTATCAGTTTTATTTCTTCTATATATCAATCAACTCATTTATAGAATCTCTGTTAATTAATAACAATATTATATTGTGTGCATTTTCAGGCTATGTATGATGAAGGAATTGTATTCCGCCAGCTTGAGCATTTGAAGGTGTGTAGATGCAAAGAGTGTGCGTCGAGTCTACTTGTCCGGCTTCTTAAAGATTCTCCTAAGTTACGAGAACTAGACCATTACGAAATGATTGTAAGTTTCTCCGTTAACCTTTTCTTTTTTCTTCTTTTGGGGGTCAAATGCGCAATATGGTTTTAATCTAATTATTCTGCTTGATATTAGGATCATTACTATAATGGTACGATTTTCTGGAATCAGCCAAGCACTGTTCCTGAATGCATGTTGTCGAGTCTGCGAGTTTTCAACTGGTCGGCATACACAGGAGTACCAGAAGAGAAAGATCTTGCGATTTATATCTTGAAGAATGCCAACCGCTTGGAGACTATGACAATCTCGTTTGATGAATGTGATATTCCAGAAGCTGAGATGATAAAGGAGTTGGAACTTCCTTCCAGAGCTTCGAAAACATGCCAACTCATATTTGATTGAGGATTTGATCATACATATCGGAATCGTATGACTCTTATGTTTTTTTTTTCACTTATTTGAATTTGCTTTTGACCCAAAAAAAAAAACAAAAAACTTGCTTTTCACTACAAAAAAAAAAACAAAATCTTGTTTCTCTCTATTGTTCAGTTAAACAAAAAACAGGCTATATTTTCTGAACAAGTTATATGATAAGAATTTATATTTTATGTGGTATCTTCACCAATTTACAAAGGTGTGTATAGATTTATCATGTATGATATCATACAAGCTTTACCTATTGATGGAGATGCCTTGTGAACGAAGAAAAGTGAACAAGCTTGTGTGCATCCATGTTATAAGTCGTGATCAAGAGAGCCATAGAGGTGTGGGTAAAGTCGTGTAGGAACCTAAATTACTACAACTGAAAATCATAAGGAAAATTGAAGAACAGAAATCGAAAAAATACCAATTCAAAACGATGAAAAAGAATTACGGATGCGAAACGTTTTCTTTGGTAGCGGTAAAATTACTATGTTACAACTATGATGTTGCGAATCTATTTTTATGAGTAGTCTTTAGAATAAAAACAGAGAAAAAAAAATGTTGTGAAGGATTTGTTTGTTTGTGAGAAGAGAAGACAAAGACTTGCGAAAAAATGGTCTCTGTTCAACTTTTATCCTCCTCTAGAGATGTAAACTAGATCACTTTGAAGTGAATTAAGTTTTCAGTTACACAAACAACCAATCACAATTGATTTTGTACCTTGATATTACGTTACTAACTTCAATTTCAGAAAGAGATTTGTTGTTGTAATCAACAAAATAATTGTAGGTACCCCAATTACAATTACTAGGGATTAAAGCTTGCGTGGGTTGTTTGCGACAATTTTTCTGTTTGATTTTATTTATATTCATTGTTTGAAATTTTAAATTATGAAGATTATATGTTACCTTTTATGTTTTGATTATATTTTGAGTTAACCCAACAATTAACACTAATAATATGATCAATTTTTTTATTAAAATATTAACACCTTTCTTCATCTCGAGTTTTCTATTTCTAAAATTTCTACCTGAACTACAAAAACTCATCCTTTCCATACCCGAACTAATATTTTCATGGTCAATCTGAACATTGACTAACGGGACTTAGGTCAACGACGATTTCCCGTTAACGGAGAATGAGTCACCACGACACGTCATCTGCCCCGTTGGAACGAAGTTCAAAACGACGTCGTTTTCACGAAAACGAAAATCAAATTGTAATCGCCGGTTAAGATTTAATCTCCGTTCAATTTCGGTTTAACAGTAATCGAATTGAATTCGCAAAACGACGTCGTTTTGAAAATAACAAAAAAATCACAATCGAATTAGAAAAGCGAATTTCTAATCTTTTATTAACCATAAAAAAAAAAGAGTTGTGAATGTACTTTTTGTCTATCCGAGATTACAGTGAAACCATCACCGTTTCCTAAGCCCAACTTAGTTTTTAGGTGACGAATGAACCACAACCAACTCTCAGTGTTCTCCACTTGAACTACTACCCATGCGAAAGGGTATATCTGGTTGTTTGCGTCTCTACCAACTGCTGCTAAGAGCTGCCCTTTCATGTCCGATATGTCGTACAAATGTAAATCTGCACACTTACATATGTCGTACAAATTCAATAATTTCTTACAGTTATTAGAAAAACTACATTAACTGAAAGACAAAATTATTACAATCGAAAGACAAAAAAAAATTGGTAAAAAGTAAAAACAAAACGATCACGTTCCCAGTGAAAAAGAAAGAACTCCACATGAAACCCAGCTCCGTGTCAGGCCCATCAGGGATTAAACGAAAGCCCAACGATCTGAAACGTTGTAACAACGTTTAAAGTTAAGAGTTCCTAGGGTTTTGACAAGTTAAAGATTTACAAGGGTTTTGTTCCGTGCCTGATATGTTTCTGATTAGCTCCGTCTAAAAGTAATAATCCAAGTCTCTTACCCTACGGTGAAGGTAACAGAATCTTAGGGTTTAAGATATGGACAAGATCATTGGGTTTTCTGATGATGAATTGCTTATTAAGATCTTGACGTATCTTCCAACAAAAGATTCAGTAAGAACAAGTGTTTTGTCGAAGCAACGGAAGTTTCTTTGGATGCGCGTGCCAAAACTTGAGTACGATGACACTACCCTTTATAGCAAAATCCTTCAATCTAACTGTAAGGGTGAAAATACTAGAACCGCTTCCTTACTGTCAGAGAGCCAGAGGATGTGGTATTTTATTGACAAGAATCTGGAATTACATAGATCTCCGGTCATGGAGAGCTTGTGTCTCACACTCTGCACAAAACCATTTCAAGCTAAAGATATCACATCGTGGGTTGCACTTGCAGTTTCACGCTCTGTGCGTGAGCTACGTATTAACTTTTTTCGTTCCCATGGCGAGCCTAAGGCATTACTGCCAAGCAGCTTGTACACTTGCAAATCTCTTGTCACATTGAAACTTCAACATAACGTTCTCGTCGATGTTCCTGACGTTGTTTGCTTGCCGTCTTTGAAAACCTTGCAGCTTATAAGATTGGCATACGCAGATGAAGGATCTCTTCAAAGACTAATATCGAGTAGCCCTGTTCTCGAAGATCTCGTTGTCCACCACGTGAAAAAGTTGGTTGTTATCATCCCGTCATTGCTTAGTTTATCCTTTGAGGTTACTTGACCTTCCGGTGGGTATGTGATTGATACTCCGTCTTTGAAGTATTTCGAATTTAAAGATTATAGTAAGAATTCGTCATGTTTGGTTGTGAATATGCCTAAGTTGGAGGAGGCAGAGATCAGTGTTGTTGAATTCCGCAATATCAAGAAACTTCTTAATGCTGTCACATCTGTCAAGCGTCTTTCGTTACACCTATTTTGGCACAACGAAGAGGTAAATTTGAAATCCATTGATAAACTTCAACGTCAAATCTTCAATTTTAACTGTAAAAATACAGGTTGTATACGGTGGTGATATGGATTTCGTCTTTAATGAGCTTATGAATTTGAAGCTTAACGCATATAAGACATATTGGTCAAAGTTACTTTTCTCGTTGATCAAAGGTTCTCCCAAACTACGAGACTTGGCGTTCCATGTAAGTTTCTCTATACTCTATAGGCTATTAATTTGCGGCATAATTCACTGTATTGTCTAAAATCATTTTTTGTTTTAAACTAATCTAAGGAACACTTAGTACGTGATGGTATGGATACAATGGTTTGCTGGAAGCAATTGATTAGTGTTCCTCAGTGTTTGTTGTCGAGTCTCCAAACTTTCACGTGGACAGGTTACCACGTAAGCATGGAAGGGAAAGATCTGGCGATGTATGTCTTGAGAAACTCTTGTCGATTAAAGACTGCAAGACTCTTGATTGGTTCAGTGTTGGATGCACAAAAGAAGATTGAGATGATCAAGGAATTGGAACTTTGTTCCCGCGGTTCTACCACATGCAACCTCGTACTTGGTTGAGGGTTCGAATCATTTGATTTTTATGATATGTATTTGCATATCACATAACTGGATTTGATCGATAAAAAGTTGTTGAAGTTGATTTTATAGCTGTTTTAGTGTTCCATTCAATTCTTGTGTTATTCAAGTATATGTTTTTTCAATTCTTTTAAATTCCGGTATTATTCGGTGAAGGATTTGTAGTCATTCTATTCAATTCCTTTAAATTCTGGTGTTATTCAATGTATCAGTTTTTCAATTCCATTAAATTCCGGTGTTATTCGATATCAAGATGTATTTGGTGGTATTGTCATTTGGAAGGAATTTAATAGAATTTGAAGAAAATTTTGTAAAGGCTCAATTCTTCCAATTTTTGCAGTCATTTCAATAGAATACTTCAAAATACTTCAAAATTCATTACTTTTTAATTCTTTTCAATTCAAATCTACGCACCAATACCCCCTTAGAAAGACAATTATTAATCAAAAGACAAAAACAAACAAAACGATCACGTTCACAGTGAAAAAGAAAGAACTCCACATGAAGCCCAGCTCCGTGTCAGGCCCATCAGAAATCAAACAAAGGCCCAGCGATCTGGTGTGTTTCGACGGCGAGATCGGAGCTTTGTCGTTCCGATGACTTCAATGGAGACGATGCTCCGCCATTTCGAATTATTCTGAGTTCCGATTAGCCTCCTTCTTCTTCTTCTTCCTTCCTTCTCCTCACCTTCTCGATTTAAGCTTTATTCAAATCTACAATCAGAGACTATTCAGAGTTAAAATGGGTATACGGTGTCGACAAATGCTCTCTCAGCTCGTCGTCTTCTGATTCCGGTCCCGAAGCAGAAAACCGAGCCTCCACTGAAATTCACAGCTGTGGCTTCGTTTCTCACTAGTTCCCTAATCGTTTAGTCCTTCCCAAATCTTATCGTGTTTTTGTAATCAATGATTTTGTAGAGATAATGGACCGATTCAGTGGGTTATGCGATGAATTGCTTGTGAAGATACTATCGTCTCTTTCCACTAAAGTTGCAGTATCAACTAGCGTTTTATCTAAGAGATGGGAGTTTCTTTGGATGTGGCTGCCGAAACTCGATTACATGACCGATTTCAGAGATCCAAACCCTGCACTTGGAGGTTTCATCAGCAAGAATCTGCCTTTACACAGAGCTCAGGTCATAGAAAGCTTGCGCCTCAAATCTTGCTGTATATCATTTCCTCCTGAGGATGTTAAACTGTGGATTGGGATTGCAGTCTCTCGCTGTCTGCGTGAGCTAAGCATCTTATATCTGTCTTTCAATGTCGAGACTCATTTATCACTGCCTAGCAGCTTGTTTACCTGCAAGTCTCTGGCGACTTTGAGACTTAAAGGAATGATTCTTGTGGATGTTCCAAGAACGGTTTCTCTCCCTTCTTTGAAAACTCTTCATCTTGGAGAAGTGAAATTCTCGAACGAAGCTTCTCTTAGGCTGCTTCTGTCTTATTCCCCTGTGCTTGAAGATTTGGTTATTGAGATAGATGGGGATGATCATGTGAAATCGTTGGTTGTTATCGTCCCGTCTTTGCAGAGGTTGACTCTGAAGATAGGTCTTGGAAGTTCTTCAGATGGGTATGTGATAGTTACACCTTCTTTGAAGTATTTCAAAGTTGAGGATGACAGAGAAAGTTATTCTTATTTGATTGAGCGTATGCCAAAGCTGGAAGAGGCGTATATTGATGTTCTGCAAGATCTTGAGAAGCTTTTGGAAGCAGTGACATGTGTCAAACGCCTTTCGTTGCGCCGATTACTCTACAGTAGAGACGAGGTAATATGTATTTTCCATCTAACAGTTTTCATGTTTTCTTTTTTCAAATCAATCGCATTGTTTCAACTTAAAACTGTTGTGTTGTCACATTGTGCAGACTGTGTATCGTGCTGGTGTTGTTTTCAATCAGCTTGAACATCTGAAGCTTGGTCTATGCAACGACTATTGGTCAATGTTACTAGTCCGGTTGCTCAAAGATTCTCCTAAGCTGCGAGTCCTCAGTCTTTACGTCCATGTAAGGTTTCTTCGTTTGAATTTTTTACTGTATGGAACAATGTATTGGCTTCTTATTATTTTATCATTGCAGGATCCATGTTTTGAAGGGTATGAACGGATTAGGTGGGACGATAAGCAGAGCTCTGTTCCGAAATGTTTGTTGAAGAGTCTTGAAACTTTTGAGTTTAAAGGGTACATGGGAAGACCAGAGGAGAGAGATTTCTTGGGGTTTCTCTTCAGAAACGCTCGTTGCTTGAAGTCTACGTCAATCTTGCGGTGATCTTGTTATGTTCAACAATAGACACTTGAGATGGTCAAGTCAAGTGGTTGTCGCTTTTGAGTTTATTTTTGTCGTCCAAGAACAATTATGTATTTCACTAAATGTGGAACTGTTTCAATACACAAAACTTGTGTTGCTAATTAATTATACCGCCTGACCTTGAATAAACTGGTCAGGGAACCGACATGTATATGAAAAAAACTCAGACCAGATGACAACATGTTGGAAACAAATGAATCTTACGTGCAATCTTAAACACATGTTACATTCTCTGTCTTTACAGGTTTCTTCTATTATTCTTCGTTTTTCTTTTCTTTTCATGTTTTCGATAATGTATTATCCTCAGTTTGTTTAAGTAAAATTTATATGCTATTGTCTCTAGTATAAGGAATCCAAATTAAAACATGTTGGGGATAAAGCAATCATCAAACCATGCAAAAAAAAATTCTCCCAATTGAAAGAATAATCAGTGATTACAAAAAGAAAAATTGCATAAATGAAGAGTTATTTTAAGAAAAAGGAAAAAAAAACGACCAAAGCTCTTACAAGGAGATGACACTCAGTGTGATTTGGTATAACAATTAAATCATAGCGAATATCGAATCCAACTTCATCGAGTCTCCTAATATCGTCACGTCCAGTTCCGCCATACTTAGCTTCTCTTGTAGTTTTCTTCTTGGGATCAGAATACATAACAGAGAAGGATTCATACAAACTCTTTTCTACATGAATAACTTCACTACTCTCGCCCAATGTTCTTTGGAGAAACTCTGAAATTACTACATGAATAACTTCACTACTCTCGCCCAATGTTCTTTGGAGAAACTCTGAAATTACTACATGAATAACTTCACTACTCTCGCCCAAACTTTGATACACACCAACCTGTAAATATCGTCATCCAAGAACATTACGATATCACCGGCAAGGTTCTTTTGCTGCATTAGGTATCTTTTTAATTTCAAAGTTTCTTTTGATTTTCGATTTACGCCTTGAAAGTCAGAAAAAAATCGTTGATACTGTTAATATAATCACTAAAAAAAAAAAAAAAAACATGTCTATTCAGCTGTGTTTTTAACTTTTTATGTAAATGTATAAAACCATAAGATATTTGTGTAGTGAAAAGCATTAACATATTGCTAATAACGTTAATTAATGCAAACTTTCCTGAATAAATATGCTAAAGAGTATATTGAATTAGAGAATTCTTCCATTTAGATACAAGATAAATAGACATGATGAAGTATAAAAAGGAACCAAGGGATTTACGAGAGAAGAAGGGAGAATCAAGAAGAGAGTTGAGAAGACGAGAAACAGAACTACGGTCAAAAAAGGTTCTAGGTATTATTAGGTATATTTCTTCTTCAAGCAAGAGCTCTTATCTTCTAAGCTTCTTCTTCACGTTACGGTTTAGAACTAGTGATGTCGTGTCTACGGAGGCAGAAATTTATTAAAGAGTTGGATCATATGGATAGGCTAAGTAATTTGCCTGATGAGTTGCTGTTGAGATTATTGTCATTATTACCAACAACATATGTTGTGACCACAATGGTTTTGTCGAAACGATGGAAGTTTCTTTGGACGTTTGTGCCAAGACTTGAATATGATCATGCTGGGTATGAAGATGGTGAGGACTGGATATTCTCGCGGTTTTTTTACAGTTCCTTGCTGTTACACGAAGCTCCAGTCCTAGAAAGTTTGTCTTTTATGCTTCATCCAAAAACGGGTGGAATAGATATTGGAGTATGTGTTAGAACCGCTATTAAACGCAGCGTGCGTAAGCTGCATATTGTGATAGATGATTGCTCTGATGAAACTATCCATCCTGCAGTGATACTTCCGAGTAGCTTGTATACAGGTTGTAGGATGCTTGTGACTTTGGGACTAAGTAATCTGGATCTTATGGATTCGTCTTCCACGGTTTGCTTCCCATCCCTCAAAACTTTGGCCCTTACGTGGATAAACTACCCAAATAGCGGATTTGTCCCAATGTTTTTATCTGGCTGTCCTGTTCTTGAAAACTTGTTCGTGCAACGATGCTTCGGTGACAATGGGGGCCTGTTCGTAATTAAGATGGCCTGTTTGAAGGTGTTATCATACCGTAAAATATCGGACTTCGATGCTGACGGGTTTTGGATAGATGCTCCTTCTTTGGAACTCTTGAATGTTGACGATCAGAAACTAGTGGGGTTTGTGGCATTGAGCATAATATGCCTAAGATTGAGGTGGCAAATGTTCGGGTTCATTGTAGTCACACCAAGCAGATTCTTTCTTCTCTTACTTCACTCGAGAAACTTGGATTATGTTTAGTGGCTTCAAAGGTAATCTTCAATTAATGTGTTCTTCTCTGCACATTTTTGTTCTCTTTTTCAAGTCTTTATTATACTACTAAACTTTTCATTAATCCTATATCTTATTATTCTACTAATATTTTCATTAATTTAAACTTTTCATTCTTATGTGTAGGATACGTATCCTGAAGGAACAATATTTAGCCGGCTTGTAGAATTGACTCTATGTACATGTGGAGCGGAATGGTTGAATCTACTTATGCGTCTTCTCAAAGATTCTCCTAAACTAAGAAACCTCAAACTACAACAAGTAAATTTTACTCTTGACCTAATTTGTTTCCATTATTCGATTTTTTTTTTCATGGTTTGACTGTCTAAAGCGGATTAAACTTACATGTGCCCTTTTGAATCTCAGGTCCATCGCAAGCATGAATCCGATGCCGTCCTGGAACGAACCGAGTGATGTTCCTCGATGTTTACTGTCAAGTCTCGAAACTTTTGAATGGTCACAATACGAAGGAAGAGAAGACGATATCCAAGTTGCGAGATTCATCTTAAGAAACTCTGCTCGTCTAAAGACAGCAGCTTTCAACCCTAAATCCACTGATCCTGAAGAGAAGCTTGAGATACTAACAAAATTGTCAATGACTCTAAGAAGTTCTACAACATGTCAGCTTAACTTCGGTCTTGGGACTTCAACCGTAAGGAACCTTTTTCTTGATCACCGTGTTATGAAACGTTTAGTATATCATGACTTTCGTCATTTTGTTGTTAATAATTAATAAAATCTATTTCATTTTCTGTTAAGTTTGATTTGAAATGAAACTGAAATACATGCATTCAATCGGAATAATACAACTCGGATATTCGGTCCCAACTCGCTTTAAAGTCCTATATCTTAACTTTGCTTCCCTTTGCAAATTTGTATTATTATCCATAGACCATAGTACAACATGAGGTAAACTTTGTTGCAGAGCAGTTAAAATAATAATATATATAACTTTTTTTTTTTTTTTTGTCGACACTTTTGACTTTTTTTGTTAAAATACGTAGAGAAAATATTTATTGGATTTTCTGCTTAGTTTGATTTGAATGATTTATGATTCACTAGATCTGCCTTGCGATTCAAGTCAGATAAAGACGAGAAAGTAGGAACATTGCTTTTCTGAGTTTAAAACAACATTGATCAAACAGAGTGTTCAAGAGGGGACGACGGAGTCTTTGTGGCGCTTAGAGTTTCCCGTGCGTCGTTCAGAAAAGGAGACGTTTCTTATGGCGCACGTCTCCTACGAAACTAAATAATATAAAATATGTACGAAATCTCAAATTTGTTGCCGGATTAAACCGAGTTCAGTTCTTCAATGTCTGTTATCGAGTCTTGTATCTCTCGAATGAGAGCAGAAGAAGAGAAAGAGCTGGTGGCGTTTATCTTAAGAAGCGGAAAACGTTTAAAGAATGTAAATAATATCTCCTCTATATGTAACAACGACCACAAGAAACTTGAGATGCCTATAAGGAGTTGTCATCTTTGTGGAAGCGTTCAAAAAACAATAGAATGAATTTGCGGTAAAAAAAACACATATTGAAGACAGTGATTAATATCAAACCTACTAATGAATCAAACCAAATTTTGTTCATTATCATTGTTTGATTTGATTAATCAGGAAGTTCAAAATCAAATGCCATAAAATAAAATGAAAAAAAAAACTCATCTCAGGGTTTATGAATTTGGTACTAGGAATTTTATTTGATATGACTATTCGATGATTGAAAATGTTTTTTTTTTTCTTTTTCAAGTCACCCTTAAATTTGCCTCAATTTTGGTTCAGCCTAGATTTATATACATCTTTATTTTCTTCCAACTCCTGGATGGTTTGGGATTTGGTTTCTAATACTCTCGTAGAAGTCCTAGCTGTTGTAGGATCAGGATGTTTTTTCTACGTTTTTTTATTATAAATAGTCTAGTAGATGGCTATTTGTAAACGACGGATTTTGCTTAGTAATTTCAGAGATAGTTTTCTCCAAATTCCAAATTTTCGAACTCCGGCAAAGGACCTCCCTGGTGCATTAGGTATTTTTTGTTTTTCACTTTTTTTTTTCTAAACATAAAAACAAAACATGTCTAAGAAATCCGTTGCAATTGATTAGTTTGGAAAGCAAAAATATATAATGTTTTCGTGTCTCTGGAGGCAGAAAAATTTGAAGATAATTAAAGAGTTGGATCATATGGATAGGCTGAGTGATTTGCCTGATGAGTTGCTGTTGGGAATATTGTCATTATTACCAACAACAGATGTTGTGACCACAATGGTTTTGTCGAAACGATGGAAGTTTCTTTGGACGTTTGTGCCAAGACTTGAATATGATCATGCTATGTATCAAGATGGTAAGGAGTGGAGATTCTCGCGGTTTGTTTACAGTTCTTTGCTGTTACACGAAGCTCCAGTTCTTGAACATTTGTCTTTCATACTTCATCAAAAAACGGCTGCAATAGGTATTGGAGTATGTGTTAGAACCGCTATTAAACGCAGCTTGCGTAAGCTGCAAATTGTGATAGATGATTGCTCTGATGAGACTATCCATCCAGTGATACTTCCAAGTAGCTTGTATACAGGTTGTAGGATGCTTGTGACTTTGGTACTAAGTAATCTGGTTCTTATGGATTCGTCTTCCACGGTTTGCTTTCCATCCCTCAAAAGTTTGGTCCTTGTATCAATAAACTACCCAACTAACAGTTTTGTCCCAAGGTTTTTATCTGGCTGTCCTGTTCTTGAAAATTTGTTCGTGGAACGATGCCTCGGTGACAATGGCGGACTTTTCGTGATTAGAGTGGCCTGTTTGAAGGTTTTATCATACCGTATAACATCGGACTTTGTTGGTGACGGGTTTTTGATAGATGCTCCTTCGTTGGAGCTCATGGATGTTGTCGCAGAAACGAGTGGGTTTTGTGGCATTGAGCATAATATGCCTAAGATTGAAGTGGCAAATGTTCTTGTTCATTGTAGTCATACCAAGCAGATTCTTTCTTCTCTTACTTCACTCGAGAAACTTGAATTATGTTTAATGACTTCAAAGGTAATCTTACGTTAATTTGTTCTTCTCTATACTTTTTAAAAGTCTTTATTATTCTACTAAGATTTTCATTAATTTATCTTATTCTTATGTGTAGGATGCGTATCCTGAAGGAATAATATTTAGCCGGCTTGTAGAATTGACTCTATGTACATGTGGACCGGAATGGTTGAATCTACTTTTGCGTCTTCTCAAAGATTCCCCTAAACTAAGAAACCTCAAACTACAACAAGTAAATTTTACTCTTGACCTAATTTGTTTCCATTATTCATTTTTTTTGTTCATGGTTTGATTGTCTAACGTGGATTAAACTTACATGTGCCCTTTTGAATCTCAGGTCCATCGCAATGGGAGCATGAATCCGATGCCGTCCTGGAACGAACCGAGTGATGTTCCTAGATGTTTACTGTCAAGTCTCGAAACTGTTGAATGGTCGCAATACGAAGGAAGAGAAGAAGAGATCGAAGTTGTGCTATTCATCTTAAGAAACTCTGCTCGTTTAAAGATGGCAACGTTCCACCCTAAATCCACTGATCCGAAAGAGAAGCTTGAGATGCTAACAAAATTGTCAATGTCTCCAAGAAGTTCTACAATATGTCATCTTAATTTCGGCCGTGGGACTTTTACCGTAAGGGACTTATTTTATGATCATCGTGTTATCAAACGTTTAGGGGCGTGTTCACTTGGGTGATGATTTTGAGTCATTTGTATTAAAAAATCACAAATACTTTGTTATTTAAATATGAATTTTAAATATTTTAAATGGTGAATTTTAGCTGATTGTAAGTGATTTTAAATAGTTTTAATGGGGATTTCTTAGTTGAAAATATAAGAATCCAAATACCATGATTTTACGTTGGATTCTAGAGTGTTTTCATCAAAATCATAACAACTATGTGACTCTTAGGGTTAAATAGCAATTTTTAATTATTTTGGGCCTAAAATTTAATAATTTTTTCTGATAGTAAAATGACTGTAAAATGACTAAAATCAAAAGCACTCCTGCGAGCGCGGGGCTGTTATGTCATTTCTTGCCAAAAATTAATATGGGCTGCCATGGCCTAATGAGTAATACCACTCAATACCAATCAATAGTTTGTAAATTAACTAACACAATTCAACACTGTGCTATCCCACATGTCTACCAGAGAAATTCCAGAAATGCCCAATGCATCTATTTAGTCATTTCTCTTTCCTGCGGCGGACGAAAGAGCGAGAGGGTTGGAGTCTTGGAGATGAAATTTTTCTCTCTCTTCTCTTTAACAACGGAGAGGAAGATGAAGAAAGTGATGGAGAGAGAGAAGAAAGCTAAAGATGTTCTTGAGGATTGAGTGATGAGCTTACAAGAAGATTGGAGATGATAGAAAAAAAGATGGAGCAAGAGAGATGATGCATATAGTTGATTGGTGAGGGAAGAGAGGGTTAGATGAAGCTAATGAAAGTTAAATTTGAGTTCGCTGAGAAGCATTCCACCGTAGAGCGGCTGAAGAAGGAGCTCCACGGCTGAAGAAAGAGCTCCGGTGGCTTTTGGATGGTCAGAAGGGAGAAGGGTCGTCGGAGATCCATCGATGTTGGCGGTTATGTATGGTTGTGATGATGATGAGGAGGAGAGTGATTTGAAGTCGATTGAGTTGAGCATAGTAGTAAGATGAAGGAGGAGGCGGAAGAAGAAGAAGAGGGTGGACCGGTGGTGACTATTGCGAAGGCGGTGGTGATAATAACATTAGCATACGCTAACATTGTTAATGGTAAGTAATGCAACTGAGTTAACATTATAAGTTTATAATTTTTTGATATAATAATTAGTTTACACGGTATCATAAATTGTTAATCAAATTAACAAGTTAGTTTTCTTATTTTATATTTTTGATATTTCTTAAAATATGATAACTTGTTGATAATTTTTTATATAATAATTATGTTAACATATATAATATTATATGAGTTAACAGATTTACATTTTTTTAGTATGATAATTTCATTAACACAGTAATTTTGGATATGCTAATTATGTTAGCATCAGTTTTTTGTATTTTATATCATGTTAAATAGTTTAACACAATAATTGTTTTACATGATAATTATGTTAACATGAGAAATATACTGTGAATTACCATGCTAATACTCATATATTTTTTTGTTTCAGTACGCTAATTTGATTAGCTCGATAATTTGTTATATGATAACTATGTTAACATTTTAATATCAATTGAACAGTTGTTCTAAACAGAATATGAATAATACTTCTGATCAAATGTTGAACAGTGTTTCCGAAACTTTTGTGGAATGGCATCTTCTGTAATTATTTAAAATAAAAAGGACAAATTTGGTTTAATTTTTGTTCTCTCTCCACCAAAAACTAATTTACAACTATGCATTGGTATTTACCTAATTTTGAAAGTATCCATGGGTATTTACCCATATCACTCTTGCCTAATCTACATGCCATGATTCATTTAATCACTAAAGGAAATTTCATTTTTAACCTTACTGAATATTATTTAAATAAATCAATTTATATTATTTCCTGAAAATTATTAAAATAAAACGAAAAAAGAAAAGAAAAATAATTAAAAATTGAAATCATGTATCATGGCTTTTGCTGCTCCGCCGCCTCCGATCTGCTTCCGGCCTCTTCCATCTTCTTCAATCATTAATTTTAGTTAAGACTCATGATCAAGTAGATCTCTTCTCCCCTCTCCGCCATTGATGAGCTTCGAAACTAAAACTAAGATGGTGTTATTTAGAGATTTCACAATTTAGGGATTTTGTTAAAATTGCTTGTTTATGTATGCAAATTGGATTGGTAATCATGTTTTCTGGGTTGATAAGAAACTTATGATGATAAATTAACGATTGTAATTAGTGAATCGTTGTGATTCATTGGTAAAATTAGAAACCGAATTCACTGAATCATTGTAATTTGGGTTTGCATTTAGTGAATTTGTATTACTAAGTTAAACTAGGTACAACTATGAACAATTATGGGATTGGTTTTCTCAAATCTGCATTACTATGAATCTGGATTTGTATTGTTAGGGTTTGTACTTGTATTTATACATGTGTTTTTTATTGAATGTAGAGTAATTGGTATTTGTAGCTCACAAAAATTTGGCACAACTATTTTCGTGTGGTTTAACTTTAATTCAATTTTATTATTAAAAATGAAAATAATTAGCAAATAAACCATTTAAGAACTTTATACGCTCATTTAAAAATAAATATTATATATTACATGGATTTATCATTTTCATAACATAAAATTATGTTTTCACATCATATATCTTGCAATATAAAGAAAACACCAGATAATAAACAAAATATGAACTTTTACATAAATATTATTACCAAAACGTTATAAATGATAATTTAAAGTAAAAAGTCATCTGTATAGCTAAACCATAATAATTTATACAATACTAGGATAATCAATTGAGAAATTTAACTTCTCGTACAACTGTTTTCTAGTGGTTCTATGATTCAACTTTATAAAAAAAATATTAAAATTAAAATCTTATCAAATTATTAAGCAAATCAACTAATTAAGAGCTCTAAACACATCTTCAACTATAAAGAAACCATTAATAACATAATTAACATGGACTTATCATTTTCATAACAAAAATTCATGTTTTCACATCAACCACCCCTTACAATACAAGGAAGACATATGTAATGTTAGCCTCTTATGATATAAACTAAACAAAATATAAGATTTTTCATATATTAAACTATGAAAACATTTTAAATGATAACTAGGAGAGAACCCGCGCAATGCGCGGGTTTATTAAACCAAATATTTTTAATTTAATTATTCAGAACATTAGATTCGAATATATCATTTGTTTTTTACTCGAATATATTAGATTCTGTAAGTTTTGCATTTTGTTTTTTTTCATATAGTTTTAAAATTTAGTTGTTATTTACGTGAAATCTTATATAGACTCATAGTGAATAGTTTCATATGTTTTTTGTTCTTTTATACAATAATTTATCGACTGGAGTTGAGTTCTTCTAATTTTCCTTATACTAACAATCATTATAGATTGATTATTATCCTACAGACTCATAGATAATAATAATTGCAATCCTTTTTAAAAGGAAATGAAATGAGCTAATTAGCCAGTAAGCCCATTTAAAGCTACCATGGAAACGAAGAGGTCCGATAAATAATCAAGCCCATCAAAACGAACAGCATTACACATAATTTTGATTTAGTTTTTTTTTTTTTTTAATACGAAAACGACGTCGTTTTGGTGTAAGACGAAAAAAAAAAGATAAAGCGCAAAACGACGTCGTTTTGGTGTAAGACGAAAAAAAATAAAAAAATAAAGCGCAAAACGACGTCGTTTTGGTGTTAGGCGAAAAAAAAAAAAAAAAAAAGAGAGTGCCACGTGTCAAAGGCTGGAGATTGTCCAAGCCTTATTAGTTATATAGATTAAACATCAAAAATCATTTATACAACTACATCATAACAATTTATGGGAAGGTTCAACTCAAAATATCATAAAATTGCAAAAGTACAACTGTTTGAAATTTTGGTTCAACTTCTAGCTTGGGTACAACTATATTTATATTTTTTCCTAGATCCGTTTTTTGACGGCGCCATGTGTTAGATGAGATAATTTTTTATATTATTTTATTACGGCCACTTTTTTTTTAGCACGTGTTTTTTTTTTAATTTATTTTTCGCAAACTGTTTTAATTCATTTCCAAAATTTAGTTGTACCAAATTATAATCAGTTGTACCAAATAAAACCCATTTGTACCTAACAAATCTAGAGTATATAAATAAATAAAAAGATATGAAGATCGAGTTGCACACACAACGAATCAAAAACGAAAAAAAAAACCCCCAAATTTCTCACAAACATCATAGATCTCATAAACATCAAGATTTTCACGAGTCATTCTTCTTAATTAGCATTTCTTCTTCCAGTTTGGAGAGTCCTTGTTAATCTTAATCTCCATTTTCAAAATGATTATCTTGGTCTTTATTTGCAGAGGCACATAAGAGTTAAAAAAGAACTTCTATGGCTGCAGTAGTTGGGTATCATCAAACACAATTTTATTTGAGGGTCATTTTATTTAGTAGTAGAATCACGTAATACATAGTTGAACTTAGTTCTACCAGTTGTCCAAAGTTGTACCAACAATAGAAATTAATCCTAGGAATTGATCTCACGACACGACGAACATTTGTCCCTTTCAAATTGAAATCAGCTCTCCTGTTTGCTTTGTCATTCTTCTTAGGAATAGACATGATTTCTGCTTCTTCATATTTGAACAAAGCTTCACAAATTGTTCTTATGACCGCTAATCAAGATGAGCACATGAGAAGTTTAGTATAAGATTTACACTTTTTCAAAATTCTTTTGCACCAACTCTTTCTATTTATACACGTTTATGCTTCTTCATCTTTGAACTTCCTAATAGAAGAGGAGGGCCACTAAAATAAAATCTGACATGATTCAAAAGGAAGTGACAAGGATAGAAGAAGAAGAAGAAGAAGAAGAAGAAACTAACAAAAAAAGAGAAGAAGATTATCTAGCATAAGCAAGAACGAGATTGTAACTCTTTCGCTCTATAAATTCCAAAATCATATGCATCTTTTTCATTCAAAATCATCTTTTTTGCTCTTCAATCTCAAAAACAAATTATAAAATTATGGGTTCATTGTCGCTGAAGAAAAAAATCTGAAGGAAATCGGAAAAGATATAAATATAGCATGAAGGAAATCGGAAAAGAGAAGAAATGGTGGCTGCGATTTCAATTGGAGAAAAAAAAAACCAAATCAGAGGATCCTCTATCGAACTAGTCGCCAAGAAGAAAGAGGGGAAAAGCAAAATAAAAGAAAATACAGATTAAAAAAAGAGAAAGAAAATCTGATTTTAGATTTATTTTATTTTTGGTATCCATTTTGTAGTCATTCGGGTGGGTCATGGTTGGTTGGGTAGGTAATTCTAGAAATCTATTAGGGATACATCTGTATTTGCATAGTTTTTGGATTTTAAAAAATTCAAAAAGAAATTAATTATTAGAAGAATGGCACGGCAGCTCCATTTTTTGCAATTTATGGCATAACAGCAATTCTTTTCCACTCCTGCACATTTGATTTTTGAATCGCTCTGGTTAATTGGAGGCTTGGAGCAGGAAGGCCTCTGAAGCGATTGACGAATCAACTAGGGTTTACGAACTGGTGTCAGTGACGACGAAGGTGTTCCTCTCCGTTTAACGAGGGAAACTCAGGTATTTGCCTTTCCCGTGAAATTCTCCTGATTTCTCGTCTGTTGATTTCAGAGTAGCTTATCCATGAATAATCTCTTCCTCGTCAATTTCGAGCTCTATTTGAGTTTTGATTTCGTTTTAGTTTCTCTACACTGAGAATCTCGAATCCCTTGTTCGTCTTCTCGTTACATTATCAGGATTTGGCGTCTGGTTTTGCGATTCCAGTCTTCATTAGGAAAGGATATTTTCGCTATAGCTAGATCTCAGTTATAGATTGCATAAGCGAGTTGCCTGACGCGCTGCTCTTGAAGATACTGTCGCTACTGCCTGCGCAAGATGCTATGGCGACGATGGTTCTATCGAAACGATGGCAGTTTCTTTGGATGTTCGTGCCGAGACTCGCCTACGACGATAGCTATCAAAACGTTGACTACGGAAGGTTCTCGAGGTTTGTAGACAGGTCATTGTTTCTTCACGAGGCTCTGGTGATTGAAACTCTGCGTTTTAAACTTGGCAAAACCTGCGGTGGCGAAGATATTCGAGTGTGGATTAGAGCTGCGGATAAACTCTCCGTTCGTGAGCTGATACTCGAGATCGACTTCTCTTCTAGTGAATCTCCACCCAAACTTCCGGGGAGCTTGTACACAGGGTGTAGAGCGCTTGTGAATCTGAGCCTGGACAACGTGGTTCTTGCGGATGTTGCCTCCTCCGTTTCTTTCCCGTCGCTCAAAACGCTGAGCCTTGTGGCTGTGGAGTACTCTGGTGGTGATGAGTTTGTCAACAGGCTTTTATCGAGCTGTCCTGTGCTTGAGGACTTGGATGTGGATCAATGCCCATATGACAATGTGGATATTTTCACCGTGAGAGTGCCTTGTCTAAAGAGGTTAGTCTTGCAAAACATCACTGGAGAGACCTTCGGATGATGAAGGAGGGTTTGTGATAGATGCTCCTTCTTTGGAAAAGTTTGAGATTATTGATTACAGCGGTGGGTTTTGTATCATTGAGAGTGATATGCCTAAGCTTGTGACGGCAAGTTTTGACGTCTTCTATTCGCATTTTGGGAATTTTCTCGGCTCAGTTACCTCCGTCAAGCGTCTAGATTTATGCTTATCAACTTCAGAGGTACAGTATGCATTCTCCTTTATTAGCTGCAGGATATAGCGAATTCTCTTGTCACTAAAATAGTTTGTGAACTTTTGTGTCTTGTACTCAGAGTGCGTATCCTGTTGGTAGTGTCTTCCACAGTCTTGTGCATTTGAAGATATGCACATGTGAAACAGAGTGGCTGAGTCTACTTATGTGTATGCTCAGAGATTCCCCTGTTTTACAATCTCTCAAACTCGAACAGGTACGTATATTGATTAGTATTTCATCTCAAACTAGTAAGTTTCATTGATTAGTATGTATACATGATGATCTCTAATGCACTGTGTTTCTGTCCTGTCAATGTATCCCAGTACCATGGCACTACTGCTGGTAACTCGCGCCCCTGCTGGAAGGAACCGAGCTCAGTTCCTGAATGTCTGTTATCGAGTCTGAAAACTCTGGAGTGGGTGAAATACGAAGGAGGAGAAGAAGAGAAAGAGGTGGCAGCATTCATCTTAAGAAACGGGAGATGTTTAGAGAAAGTGAGTATCTCTTCTAGTTCTGCAGACCCTTGCGAGAAACTTGAGATGATCAAGAAGTTGTCATTTCTGTCAAGGTCTTCAAGTTCCTGTCATCTTATTTTTGACTGAAGTTTGTGAGTCAGAATTGATCTGAAACTTAGATAAGTGTTTTTTTTTGGGGGGTTTGGTAATCTTTAGATATGTTGAAAACTCATGGTTAGTTCTCTGAATCTCTTCTTATCTCTGCAATTCTGCATAGCTCTTTGAGTTTCTAGAGTTGATATTTCGGATTACATTTTAGGCATTTCATATTTAGAAACCATTTTTCAATTCATTTCCACTAAACATGGACCAAAAACATTCGGATGACATTTCTCATAGTAACACAAAAGAAACACATTGTTTTTTCTTCTAAACAAATTTGAGCAATACGGAATCTAACTTTGAAAGGAGACATCCGAACTTTGATCACTTCTTCGAAACTTTTCCTTCCTTCATCCGAACGATCTCATCATAATACGACACTCCATGACCTTTGTATGGCTCTGGCGGCCTACAGTTCCTAACCATAGCAGCAAACTCCCCAATCTCACACTTATCAAATCCACTCACCGTTATTATCGTACCATCTTTGGGTTTTTGACCTTGTTGAATAATCATCACCTTCTCTTGCACATTCACTTTGAGACTATCTGGTATCTCCATCTTAACCGGGTGAGAAAACCCGACATTCAGCACCAACTCTTTGCCTTGGACTGTCGCACGATAACCAACACCTTTGAGCGCAAGTTTTTTCTCAAATCCCTTTGATACTCCCACAACCATGTTATCCGTAAGCGTCCTTAAAAAGGGATTTCACCTCATAAAGTTAAAGTCTTTCATTGAAACTAATTTGATAAGAACAAAAAAGGTGAGAACTTTGAAACCTGAAAAGGCCATGCATTTGGTTGGCTCTTCTAGTTTCCACGGTTTTTCTGAGCCTTAGGAAACCAGAGTCTTCTTTGGTAAGCTCAACTTCCGGTGGGAAAGTTAAAGCGAGCTCTCCCAAAGGACCCTTCACTTTCAAGTCTTGGCCTTGTAATGAAATGGTTACGTTGGACGGTACAGCGATTGGTTGCTTCCCTATCCTTGATTCCTTGCATTCAATGGTCTTACCGGAGAAACACACTTGAGGAAATGGCTTGGTTGAGACATTGAACCGACTTCGTCTGTCGCCTAAAAATGGTGACCTGAAAATTAAAAGAAAAGGAATTTATCTATCTTGGAAGAGAGAACATTTATGCAAAAGTATATCTCAACCTCTGAGGCTCTAGAACTGGACCATAGATACACAAATACCAAAATACCAAAATCCACAACTTCAAAACAAATCACCAAGTCAAATAGGAACAAACATTGCCAAGTAAAACAAACAAAACACTAGCGGAATCATAAAAATAGAGTCAATTTAAGGGTTTTCCAGATTCAGAAGTTCTGAACAGTACCTGGTTTGAAAACAGGAGACCAGTGAGGCCATTGTTGCTACGAAGATTTGGTGAAGGAGCTGTGATCCAGAAGGAGAATGGAGAGTAATTTTGAGTGTACTAATTTAATAACCACACTTTATATTCAAAGACGTAACAACTAATTGCCAGTTAAGACTAGGACTAGGAGAGCAGCTACGTTCGAGGTGACGTTGTGTATGGAAAAGGTGACGATATGAGAGAGTGTCTCGATTAAGGAGACACACAACTGGACTCGTAATTCGTGACAGAAAAAAGTGCAGAAGATTGTATGTTAAAATCCCATAAAAATGGTATTTTATTCGCACGTTGATCTGATATTGCATTTAACATTTTTTCCTTCTGAAGTTATTTATTTAAAATTTATTGAATTATCGTTCTGCTGAAAACGGAAAAGTGAAAACTCAAAAAAGATCAAATAACGTTTGCTTTAATTGTGTCCCGACTTCCGAGTGTAGGAAATATTTAAATGTAATAATCAATTGCGTTTTTCTTTCCAAAAGACCGCGAAAAGCAGCCACTGGGGATTTCCCGGATTAGTCATAATAATAAACCGGCTGAAATCAGGGTTAAGGTTTCGGTTCTCTAAACGTTCGTACTTCTTAATTTGGGGGGTTTCTCGATTCTGCTAAATTTTTCGGATTGTTCTTCTTAGTTCATGAACAATCCGCTCGATTGCTTCTCATACTAAGCATCTCCGGCAATGGTTCTACAGTCTCCGGTGAGTTTCGATTCTTTTTATCCCCACTTGATTTCGTCCCGCGTTACTTTGTGATTTTCGGCTGCTTATATATCTGTTTGTCTCCTGTGGAAAATCCAGTGAGATTCGGAAGCGAAACACAGCTCATAATTTCAGAAACTGGGAAGCACATCAAAAACAAGGTTCATTTTATCCATCCTTTCTCCGGACTAGAGTTTCTAGTGTTCACTGTGGAATCTCTGAGAACTTGAAAGCTTAGGGATTTGAAAAGGGAAATGGGTCATAGGGATAGGATAAGTAACTTGCCTGAGGAATTGCTTTTGAAAATATTATCGTCACTGCCTGCGAAAGATGTAGTAGTCACAATGGTTTTAGCAAAACGATGGAAGTGTCTATGGATGCTGGTGCCAAGACTTGAATTCGACCACTCTATGTATCAATACGACGTTCAAGGCAGTAGATTCTCGCGGTTTGTTTACAGTTCTCTGCTGCTACACGAGGCTCCATTTCTAGAGAGTTTGCGTCTCAAACTTGATCGAGGTTCAGATATTGGAGTATGGGTTAAAACTGCTGTTAAACGCTCTGTTCGTGAGTTGGATATCGAGATTGATAATCCTTCCATTGAAAGTCTGGTCATACTTCCATGGAGCTTGTATAGCGCAGGATGTAGAACGCTTGTGACCTTGAAGCTAAGCCACGTGACTCTTGTGGATGCTTCTTCTTCCTCGCCAGCTTCGTTCCCAACCTTAAAGAATCTGAGCCTTTTATCCATGAAGTACCCGAGTGAGGAATTCGTCAACAAGGTTCTATCCAGTTGTCCTGTTCTTGAGGAGTTGGATGTTGAGCAGTGTCCTGATGACAATGTGACCGCTCTCGTCGTTAAAATACCATCTCTAAAGACTTTATCCTTGCGCAAATCAAACGACACAGATGAAGATGAAGAAGAAGCTTCTGGGTTTTTGATAGATGGCTCCTTCTTTGGAGAGCTTTAGCGTTCGTGATCACAGGGGTGAGTTTTGCGTCATCGAGAATGATATGCCTGAAATTGTGTATGCATATCTCGACGTTAATTATTGGCATCCCTGGAAGATCTTTGGCTCTATTTCTTCTGTCAAGCAGCTCGAGTTGTGCTTACCATCCTCGAAGGTTAGCAAATCTTGTTCTTCTTTATATCGTTTTTACCAATTTCATTCTTGATTTTCGTTGTGGAACCGATGTGATCTGTCAAATCTATTGGCAGTATAATACGTTGCTTGTGTAACTACTATGCAGGAATATCCTGTTGGTACTGTCTTCCACAATCTTGTATATCTGATGCTGTGCACGTGTGAGACAGAGTGGTTGAATCTACTCTTGTGTCTGCTCAGAGATTCACCTAAATTAAAATTTCTCAGATTTGAACAGGTAATGTTATATTCTTGAGTTAGAATATTGATGAGGTTATTTTCTAGTATATGATGATCTAATGTGCTCTTCTTCTACATCTCAGTACCATCCAATTCGACCTAGTGAAGAGCGACCGTGTTGGAGTGAACCGAGCTCAGTTCCTGAATGTGTGGTATCGAGTCTTGAGACTCTTGAATGGGTCAAATATGAAGGAGGAGAAGAAGAGAAAGAAGCAGTAGCGTTTATTTTGAGAAACGCAAGATGTCTAAAGAAGGCAACTATCTCTGCTGCATCTACGGATCCGGTCAAGAAACTTGAGATGCTCAAAGAGTTGTCATTTCTGTCAAGGTGTTCAGGTACTTGTCATCTTACATTCGACTGAAGTCACTGTCGTCATTGAGGGTAAAGACATGTTCGATAGTCAAGTATAAATCTTGCTGGTTGGTGTTTGATCTGAATCTTAGATATGTTACAAAAGCTCTAAGAAGTTTGTATGTTTTTCTTCCATATCTTTTTATGGTCTCCGCTCCATTTTTGTCTTATGATCAGTACAATTCTATCATTTTAGGGATTGTGGTTAAACAGACAGTGTTGTTTATTTGAATATCAGACTGGGTTTGTTCTCTGTAGGTGTTTTATACAGTCAAAATATTTGGTTATGTTCATTTGAAACTACAGATTTCCGGTTTAGTTTTTCTTTGTCTGATATTGGTTCTGTTGAATTGGGCAATCTTGGTTCTGAATGTATGGTTCGTAAGCAAAAGAAAAAGCAAACGGAAACCTCTTTCACGTCGTTGGATCTATTAGGGTCAAAACTCAAAGATTGGATTAGAAATTGATGATGCTGTTAAAAGAGCCAATGATTTTCTGATCCACTTTCTTTGGTTCCCATTGCTTGATTGCTTTGAGAAACACGAATCATAATTGTTACTAGTAAGTACACGAAACGTTTCCATAATATCATAATAAGAAAAAAATAGCTGGCATATTGTTTTTGGAGTGAACATGCCACTCATTTTGTTTTAGAAAAACTAAGAAAATAATCTTTAAAGAGAGTCATTAGTGACTATCACTATCTCTCTGTCTAGGGACTCTGAAGCGGTGGAAGAATTTTGAAAGTCGCAGCAGCATTCAAACCAATTAGAGTTCCTATTTAAAGGTCTCTCCGTTGAACAAGAAATATATGTTTCTACAACTGGAGCTTTGTGCAAAAGCAATGACCTGTCTACCAAGCGCGAAAACCTTCCATAATCAGAATCATCATAGCCATCATCATCGTAATAGAGTTCTGGCATCATCATCCAAAGCGGCTGCCACCGTTTTGACAAAACCATCGTCGCCACAACCTCTTCAGTATGCAGATTCGACAATATTTGCAACAGTATGCAATCAGGCAACGAACTTATTATATCCATAACAGATATAGATATCCTTGAAACGAAAAAAGGATAAGAAAGCCTGAAAAATAGAAAATAACAACAAGGAAAATGAGATTCCGATTTCTCAAGAACAATACAAACAATCATAAGCAACGATGAGGTACATAAACAGAGAAGCATACGAAATCAAAACTTATAGAACGCTCAAATCTACCAAGTGAAGATTATTCATGAATAATCTCCTTTGAAACCAAACAAGTAAAACGAGAATCAGAAGAATTAGCAAATACCTGAAACACCTCCGACTTCGTGGTTAGACAAACCTCTTTCGTTGGAGATATACCACTATGGACTAGAGCTGCAGATAGACTCTCTGTTCGTAATCTGATTATTGATATTGGCAGCTCTTCTAGTGCATCTCCGGCCATTCTTCCAAGGAGTTTGTACACGGGCATTAGAATGCTTGTAACGTTGCAGCTAAACAGCGTGATTCTTGTGGATGTTGCTTCACCGGTTTCTTTCCCAACCCTCAAATACATGAAACTCTGCTCCGTGAAGTACCCTGGTGATGAGTTTGTCAAGAGGTTTCTATCCAGTTGTATTGTTCTTGAACGCTTGGGTGTTGAGCAGTGTCCCGGTGACAATGTGACCGTTTTCACCGTTAGAGTGCCTTCTCTTGAGAGTGTATACTTGCATAAATCATATGACAAAGATGTGGATGATGCAGATGATGCAGAAGGGTTTGTGATAAACGCTCCTTCTTTGAAGTACTTGGGCATTACTGATACTATCGGTGGATATTGTGTCATTGAGAATGAAATGCCTAATATTGCAAGGGCAGATGTTGAAGCTGATTATAAGTGTGTTAGCAATATTTTGGGTTCGATAACGTCTGTCAAACGTCTACATTTATGTTCGCTGTACTCAAAGGTAAATGACTATTCCCTTTAACTTACTGCTTTTGCTTCTAACCATTCACATATCTGCATACTTGCTTTTCGTTTCCGTATCAGTTATTTACAACGACTGTGTTTCACCTAGAATAGTGGGCTCTCTTATTGGATCAAATATATATTGGCACTAATCATTGATCACGTACATAATGATTGTCTCTTTTGCAGGATGTATATCCTGTTCGTAGTGTCTTCCACCATCTTATACATTTGAAGATATGCACTTGTGATTCAGAGTGGTTGAATCTATTTATGCCTCTGCTCAGAGATTCCCCTAAATTACAATCTCTCGAACTTGATCAGGTTACACATAGATCTAAACCCGAACTATTCATATTTTTCTTTGATCTGTACTGTATATATTTTGTTCTAATCCACTCTACTTTTATCAGTGCCATATTCCCGATACACCGCGCCCCTGTTGGATTGAACCTAGTTCGGTCCCAGAATGTCTGTTAGCGAGCCTTGAAACTCTACAATGGGTAAAATATGGAGGAAGGGAAGAAGAGAAACAAGTTGCAGCATTTATCTTAAGAAACGGAAGCTGTTTAAAGAAGGTGACCATCTCCTCTGCATCTATCCACTGTCCGTTACAAGAAGAAACTTAAGATGCTCAAGGAGTTATCATTTATGCCAAGGAGTTCTCCTACCTGCCATCTTACATTCGACTGAAGCTGCGGTTGAATGACATCTTGCTGATTGGTCGGTGTTTGATATTTGATCTTACCTAAGCTATCATCAGACTTTCCTATGTTTTTTCTTTTCCAGATTTTAGCACTTTAAGTGTGTTGTGTAAGTGTTCTTTTCTACGGTTCTTCTACCTACGTACGTGAAGAAACATTAATTATTATCTTTCCTTGGTCTATCTCCATCATTATCATCTTAGACGTTTTTTTATTCAAGTAGAATAAGCGAATGCCAGTTTTTCGTTTCAAACATATATATGTATATTTGAGCTACCTCGCGCGATCTGATTCGCAGCCAAACCATGAAATTGGGCTAATGTTACCAACACGAGAAATACGCGCGAAAGTTTGTAGCGTTTTCACATTTCCAAAAAAAATCAATTATTGATAATATGTTAAACCGTCCAAACCGGGAATAGACTTTGGTTAACAAAAATTGAATTCGGATACAATTCGATCGATTAAGCCCTAATTCGATGCGGCCGAGAAGCCCGTCCTCCAGACTCCGGCGTTATCCTTTTCTCTAAGGGGAAGCGGGAAGGCCTCTAGGAGAAAGTGGTCACATTTTCAAGAGAAAAAATTGGTGTCTGTGACAGCGACGAAGAAGTTGTTCCTCTTCTCCGTTAAACGAGAATTACCGTATAAGTTTCAAGGTACTTTGCATATCCTCTGATTTTGTAAGAGTTAGTTTATGAACAATGGATTCAACGTGCTTAGTCGCTAAGGTTGTGGTTTGACCATGACTAGTTGTTTGGTTCCTTAGAATTTCACATCCCTTGTTCGTATTTTTGATTTTTTTTTCAGGGCTTTGGTGTCTGTTTTCGTGTGCATCTTATGGATAGGATAAGTCAGTTGCCTGAAGCGCTGCTTTTGAAGATTCTGTCGTTACTGCCTAATACGAAAGATGTTGTGTCCACTATGGTTTTGTCAAAACGATGGCAGTTTCTCTGGATGCATGTGCCAAAACTCGTGTATGACGATAGCTGCAAAAACATTGCATATGGAAAGTTTTCACGGTTTGTAGACAGGTCTATGCTTGTGCACGAGGCTCCAGTAATTGAAACATTGCAATTCAAGCTTGGTAAAACCTGTGTTGGTGAAGATGATATCCAAGTCTGGATTAGAGCTGCAAAGAAATGCTGTGTGCGTGAGCTGATTATCGAGATGGTTAATTCTTCTAGTAGTGTCACACTTCCGAGGAGCTTGTATAGCGGGGGATGTAGAATGCTTATGACCTTGAAACTAAGTAACGCGGTTCTCGTGGATGCTTCTTCCTTGCCGTCATCTTTCCCATCTCTCAGGAACTTGAGTCTTGTTAACATGAAGTATCCGGGTGATGAGTTTGTGGAGATGCTTATGTCCAAGTGTCCTGTTCTTGAAGACTTGGTTGTGAAACGATGTCACAATGACCATGTGACTGTTTTCAGTGTTAGAGTGCCTTCTCTAAAGAGTTTAGTCTTGCACAAATTAACTGATAGGAAGGAGGATACCGGGTTTCGGATAGATGCTATGTCTTTGGAGAGCTTGAGCATTGAAGACTATTCTTCTGACATTTGTGTCGTTGAGAGTAACATGAGTAAGATCGTGGAGGCCAATGTAAGCATTTCTTATGGCGGTACTGAGAAGCTCATGGGTTGTGTTTCTTCAGCCAAGCGTCTCTATTTATGTGTACCATCCTCAAAGGTAATAATACGTTGCTAAACTACAAGCTGTTGTGATAGTTCTCTTGTGATTAAAAATAGTTATGTTGTTGTCTGTTATGCAGAATGCATATCCTGTTGATAGTGTCTTCCACTGTCTTGTACGGTTAAAGATATGCACGTGTGAGACAGATTGGGTGAATCTACTGTTGTGTGTGCTCAAAGATTCCCCTAAACTCCGAGCTCTCAGACTTGAACAGGTATGGAGATTATTCAGTTTCTTTGATCAGCATTTTTCGCCAATATGAGATGATATTGAACACCGTGCTTTCTATCTCAGTGCCATTCCCTTCGGGCTAATGAAGCAAGACCGTGCTGGAGTGAACCAAGTAGAGTTACCTGTCTGTTTGTCATCGAGTCTTGAAACTCTCGACTGGGTCAAATACCAAGGAGCAGAAGAAGAGAAAGAAGTAGCAGCGTTTATATTAAGGAGTGGTTGCTGTTTGAAGAAAGTAACCATCTCCACAAACCTCACAGATCTTAACAAGAAACTTGAGATGCTCAAGGACTTGTCTTTGTTCTTCAGGCGTTCACCTACATGTCAGATTGCATTCGACTGAAGTCACCCTCACTCTAGTTTCTCCTAGAAACTCATGTTTGGTCAAGTTTTACTCTTTTGACATTGGATTGTTTGTTATTCTTATGTTCTTGTAAGAAACATGTGTGTTCACTTCCTTACCCTCTGCTTTGCTCTGCATACTTTGAACTTTTGGCATACTTTCATGACGACAATTGTCTATTTTGCCCCCAACTAAATCGATCCCAGCCACAAGAAACCAACTTTATCTTGACCACTCTTTTATCTTGTATCCCTCTTTTCACTCTCAAAACCCTAACTTTGACCTCCTCAAACTTTCATCTCTCATCACTTGCAGAATCTTTCTTCCAACTCTGAGATTTACTTACCAAGTAAAATCCACTGCCACGAAAAAACTCTCCAAATTCAAACAGAGGCTCTCCAATGGTGAAGTGAATCGTCTTTCTCGGTATCAGCAGCAACCACACCAGAGGAAAACCATCGTTGAGCGAGAAATTGGATTTCTTTCAGGTATTTGCAAATTCTTCTGATTTTCTTTATAATCTTCAGTAAGTAGATTTAAGCGTCTATGAGTTTGGTGGACTTGGGTGTGCTTCTCGTTCTATATGTGGTTTATTAAACTCGTCGTTGCTGCTTACTCTCTTTCTTTTGTTCTTGAGAAATAAGAATCTCATTCTCCTTGTTTTCAGGCTTTCGTCTCTCCCTGGTTACGTTTCAAAGTAAATGTACCAGTATTTTGTTTCAAAGGAGATCTGATTCTCTCGCTGAGGAAGGAGAAGAAGTGACCAAGGTTTTAGCTACATTTTCTCCAGATCTTTCTGTTTGAAATGGAGGAACTACTTTATGTACTCTCCTGTATAATATCTGAGGAACTACTACCAACAACACAAGAAGAAGCCCGAAACTGTTCTGAGTGGATTGGAGAACAAGTCTGTCAAGATATGATCAGTGTGTTACCAGAAGAATTGATCATCCGGATCTTATCGCTTATCCCGACCAAATATGCAGTGAAAACCATGGTCTTGTCGAAACGATGGCGGTCTGTATGGACTCTTGTACCTAAACTCTTTTACAAAGAAAGAGATTTTGACGGATGCGGGAGCTTATCACGGTTTCTTAACAAGTCACTGGAGCTTAACAAGGCACCTATGCTAGAAACTCTGTGTATCCAACTCGGTTCACGGCTTCCTGTAGATGCGGTTGGAAACTGGGTTGCGAAGGCAGTTGATCGTTGTGTGCGTGAGATAGAGCTCGAGATCCAGCGGACAGCAGCGTTTACCATCTTGCCTATGTGTCTTTACACGTGCAAAACGCTTGTGGTATTGAATCTCACAGGGAATATTGGCGTGGATGTTCCTTCCTCGGTTTGCCTCCCGTCTCTCAAAAGGCTGTTTCTTGTTTATGTGGTCTATCGAAACGACTACTCTCTGTTTAGGCTTCTGTCAAGCGCCAATGCTATCAGTGACTTGTATGTGAAACGACGTCCATACGACCATGTGAGGAAATTCATTGTCGAAGTTCCTTCGTTACAAATCTTCAGATATGTGAATATTCCATCGAGAGATCGTGTAGGAAAAGGCGTTGGGTCTTTGGTCATTGAATCCCCAGGTCTAAAGGAGTTGATAATCAATGATTTGTCTGGAGATTCTTGCTTGATCGAGAATCTGCCTAACCTTAATGAGGCGTGTATCAATGTTTTCGGTTACTTGGATGACAAGCTTCTGAGATCTATTTCTTCAGTCACGTCTCTCGGTTTGTTTTTGACTAAACAAATGGTAACGATCTCTCTCTCTCTCTCTATCTTCTCTCTTTATGATCATGATTTCTAATACTAGTTATGTGTGTGGTGTTCATCGCAGTTTGCAAATCCTAGCACCATCCCCAACTTTTCCCGGCTCATAACATTGGACCTATGTCCATTTATGTTCAGCTGGTTTAGACCACTTATGCTTTTGCTTAGTAACTCTCCCAAACTTACCGTTCTTAGAGTTTTTTATGTACGTATACTCTCCTTACTATCTCTCCTCAAGTTAAGTAAATGCAGTTTTGGTGGACGTATTAAGATAACTAACGTAAATGTGTTTTATATCTTCTCAGTGTCCCTCCTTTTTGTGGGTCAATCCGAGTTCTGTTCCTGATTGCTTATTGTTCCATCTCAAGACCTTTGAGTGTGTGCAATATGGAGGAAGAGAAGGAGAGAAACAACTTGTGGCCTACATTTTAGCTAACTCCAAGTGTTTAGAGAAAGCGGTGATCAGTGTGACGACCAATTTCGGTGGTGAATATAAAGTGAAGAAGGAGAAGGAGTTGGAATCTATGTTTAGGGTCTCAGCAGCATCTCAGCTTCTGTTTGAATGACAACTTCTTGTTTCATGTTCTTCTCTTCTGCTCATATGCAGTGAACGTGAAGATAAAACTCACCCTTGTGTGTATTATTTAGATGAATGAAAGCAAAACATATGCTGCGTTGAAATTTCATATTTCCTATAATCGCATTATATCTAATTCACGAAAGTGGCTAGTTTCCTTTTGATTTTGATTTTACATTATGATAAACTCTTTAGTCGGTTTTGGTTTTCCTATATAAGCAATTGTAATTCATCTTATAATTCTCAATCAATCCGAATAATTCAGAGGAAAAAGAAAAGAAGGAAATTAGCCAGTGAGATTGATAAGGGAATGGCTCATAGGGATAGGATAAGTAACTTGCCTGAGGAATTGCTCCTGAAAATATTGTCGTCACTGCCCGCGAAAGATGTAGCAGTCACAATGGTTTTGTCAAAACGATGGAAGTTTCTATGGACGTTGGTGCCAAGACTTGAATACGACCACTCCATGTATCAAGACGACGTTGATGGCAGTAGTAGATTCTCGCGGTTTGTTCACAGTTCTCTGCTGCTACACGAGGCTCCCTTTCTAGAGAGTTTGCGTCTCAAACTCGATCATTACTCTTGTGCTGCAGATATCGGAGTATGGGTTAAAACCGCTGTGAAACGCTCTGTTCGTGAGTTGGATATCGAGATTAATAGTCCTTCCTTGTCCACTCCGGTCTTACTTCCATGGAGCTTGTATAGCGAGGGATGTAAAAGGCTTGTGACACTGAAACTAAGTCACACGACTCTTGTGGATACTTCTTCTTCCTCGCCAGCTTCTTTCACATCCCTGAAAAAGCTGAGCCTTGTTCACATGAAGTACCCTAGTCAGGATTTGTTTTGAATTTCTTATCGTAATTGTCCTGTTCTTGAGGACTTGGTTGTGGAACGATGTCATGATGACAATGTGGTTGTATCGCTGTGATCGTACCGTCTCTGAGGAGGTTATCATTGTCTAGAGCAACAGACAGAGATGATGAAGACAAAAGCTGGTGCGTTTGTGGTAGACGCTCCTTTGTTAGAGAGCTTGGACATTGCTGATCATAACGACAGTGGGTGTTGTTACATTCATCAAAATATGCCTGAGCTTGTGTCTGCGTGTCTCGACATTAATTATATGATCTTTCTTTGGACATTTTTGGGTTGTATAACCTCAGTGAAGCGTCTCTATCTATGTTCATCAACCATAAAGGTACTAACATGTTCGTTTTACCACTATGCATTTCTTGATTACGCAAAAATCTATTGGCACTTTTTTTGATAAATGCAGAATGACGATTGGTTTGTGTACTTGTGAATGCAGAATGCTTACCCTGAGGGCAGTGTCTTCCACCGTCTTGTACATCTAACGCTATGCACATGTGGGAGGAAGTGGTTGAAATTTCTTTCGCGTCTGCTTAGAGATTCTCCTAAATTACAAGTTCTCAGATTTGAACAGGTACAAGTCTATCATAAAACCTAAATGATCAAGGTTTATTTTGCTTGTACAATATATAATAGTAATGATGATGATGATGATGATGACATAGTAGTGCATGTAACTAATGTAACTGTGTGCCTCAGTGCCATGAGCTTCCAGATGACGAGCCGCGTCCGTGTTGGAATGAACCGAGCTCAGTTCCTGAATGTGTGGTGTCGAGTCTTGCAACTCTGGAATGGGTAAAATATGAAGGAACAGAAGAAGAGAAAGGAGTAGTGGCATTCATCTTTAGAAGCGCAAGATGTTTAAAGAAGGCAACAATCTCATCTAAATCTACGGATCCCGTCAAGAAACTTGAGATGCTCAAAGAATTGACATTTTTGTCAAGGTGTTCAACTACCTGTCATCTTACATTTGACTGAAGTTACAGTCAAGTAAAAATCTTGTCAAGTGGTTGGTGTTTGATCTGAATCTTAGATATGTTACAAAATTCTTGGTATTTGTATGTTTTTTCCTTTCTTTTTTGATATTTAGATCTCTGCGTTTCTGAGCTTTATAAGAAAGAAAGAATGAAAATTTATCTTCCATAATTTAGGTACAGGCGTACAGCATATCATTTTATGGTCTCTGCTCCATTTTTGTCTGTCATTTTACGGATTGTTGTTAAACAACAGTATGCTGTTTATTTGAATATCAAACCCGGGTTTGTTCTTTGTTGGTGTATCCTTAAAACTAAAAGGTCATATTTTTGGTTACGTTCGATCAAGCGAAACTATTTCCGGTTTAGTTTTTCTTTGTCATATTGGTTCGATTGAAACTGGGGCAATATTGGTTCTCAATTTATATTGATCGTTTGACAACAAATAAAAATATTAAGGAAATAAATTCTGGACCGTTGGATCTAATACTGTAAAAAATGAAAGGTTAGGTTAGTTTAGAAGTTGCCGATGCTAGTTAAAAAAGGCAATGATTTTACACGTTCCACTTTCCTTGGTTCCCATTGGTTGATTGCTTCGAGAAACACAAATATGGCTACTCGTACACGATACGTTTCCATAATATAGTAGAACCTCTATAAAACAATACTCGATAAAACAATAAACACTATAAGATAATATTTTTCTCCGGTCCCAACTCGGGCCAGTGTAAAAAATAGCATAATGCGATAAGATGATAAGACAATAATATTTTTGAAACTCCTATGTAAAAATATAGTCCCAACAATAAGCTAAGATAATAATTATAAAACTAATGCATATATATCTAAGACAATTTAGTAAAATATGACTCCAATGTAGTTTGTATCTCGAATTTTTCTTATTGCATCTACAATTTCTGGAGATGTATTCTCAACATGCAGCCAAAAGTTGTGAAGAGTTCTCGAAGCCACAATTGCATCCTTACGTGTAACTACTTGCACATGTCCTTCCTCATCATCTTCAACTTCATCTTCACCATTAAGAACAGTAGACATAATTTCTTATAGACTTTGAACTTCTGAGCATGAAATATGTAAATAACAAAGTATAAGGAAAATTTGAATAAAAAATCTGAAAAAATATATTTCTATAAAGTTTCTTGTTTTTGATAGAATATTTCTATAAAATAATAATTATTGTTTTATCGATAAAATAATATTATCTATAAGATAATAAAATTTCAAAGTCCCAACATTATTGTTTTATAGAGGTTTTACTGTATCGTAAATCAAAAACTACAGAAAAAATTAGGACTGAACAAGTAGGTATATTACCCGTAGACATACTTTCTCAACACCTTTTATTACAAGACATACATTATACATGATACATACACTTTAAATGTTTGGCATACGTTATGACAACAATTGTCTAATTTGCCCCCAACGAAACTCACTGAATCGATCCCAGCCACAAGAAACCAACTTTACCTTGTCTCTCTTTCCACTCTCATCGACGATTCCTCCTCTTTTCACTTTCACCTTTCATCTCTCAGCCGCCATTGCTCATCATCGATCCCTTTTACCTTTCACTTGCATAATTTTTCTTCCAACTCTTAGATTTACTACCAAGTAAAATCCCCTGCCACGAAAAAACTTTCCAAATTCCAACCACACCATTGCAATTGGCCATCGTTGAGCGAGGAATATCGGAGGTGTTTCAGGTATTTGCACATTCTTCTAATTTTCTTTTTACTTGTTTGGTTTCTAGAGGAGTTTATTCATGAATAATCTTCACTAAGTAGATTTAAGCGTCTACGAGTTTGGACTTGGTGTGATTCTCTCTCTCTGTTTGTGGTTTCGTACCTCGGCGTTGCTTATTACTACTATTTGTTTTGTTTCTGAAAAAATGAGATTCTCATTTCACTTGTTTTTCTTTCCCATGTTTTCAGGCTTTCGTTTCTGGAAATCTGTCATATGGATAGGATAAGTCTGTTGTCTGATGAGCTGCTCTTGAGAATACTGTCGCTACTGCCTACTACGAAAGATGCTGTTGCCACTATGGTTTTGTCTCAACGATGGCTGCCTCTTTGGAAGTTAATGCCAAAACTCGTCTACGACGATAGCTATCAAAACATCTTGAGTATTGGAAGTTTTCGCGCTTTGTGGACAGGTCTTTGATTCTGCACGAGGCACCAGTAGACACTTTGCGTTTCAAACTTATTCAAAACTCTAGTGCTGCTGATGTTGGTATATGGACTGCAATTGCGGTTAAACGAATCTTCTCCCAGTACAACTCCAGTCATGCTTCCAAGGAGCTTGTACACAGGGTGTACAGCCCTTGTGACCTTGAAACTAAAGAGTGTGACTCTTGTGGATGTTTCTTCCTTGCCTTCTTTCCCGACCCTAAAAGCATTGAGCCTTTTACTTGTTAAGTTCCCTGGTGATGCATTTGTCAAGAGGCTTTTCTCCAATTGTCATGTTCTTCAATATCTGGAGGTGGGACGATTACAAAATGACAATGTCACCGTTTTCACCGTTATTGTGCCTTCTCTGAAGACTCTCAAATTAAGTAGAATATCACGCAAAGTGAAAGACGGTGAACATGGTTCAGTGATATAGATGCTCCTCTTTTAGAAATCTTTCACATTCATTATGATGTAAGTGGGCTTTGTGTCATTGAGAATGATATGCCTAAGATTGTTGAGGCAAGTCTTGTTGTCGTAATAATCATCCCGGGACGATTCTGGGTTATATTACTTGAGTCAAGCGTCTCCGTTTATGTTTATCTTCAACTTCAAAGGTATTTTTTGTTCTTAGTTATCTATAGGCCGTGTGCATTCTTGCTCGCCACAAATATTTTTTAAGTTAATCTTTTGCTGCTAAATTTCTTGTTCACTTGTTTTCTGTCTTGTATGCAGGAGGTGTATCCTGCTGGTACTGACTTCCACAATCTTGTACATTTAAGGGTATGCACATGTGAGACAGAGTGGTTAAACCTCCTTAATTATGTATCTTCTCAGAAATTCTCCTAATTTACAAGCTCTCAAACTCGGACGGGTAAACTATATATACATTACCAGCTTCCTCGATCAGAACGTATCTATTTATACAAATGATGATCTCCAATGCTAACTATATTTCTATCAGTCCCATCCCCTTCCCAGTAGACCGTGCCCCTGCTGGAACGAACCAAGCTCGGTTCCTGAATGTGTGTTATCGAGTCTTGAAACTCTCGAATGTATCATATATGAAGGAACTGAAGAAGAGAAAGAGCTTGTAGCATTCATCTTAAGAAACGGAAGCTGTTTAAAGAAGGTAACCATCTCCTCCAATCCTACCGATCCTAACAGAAAACTTGAGATGCTCAAGGAATTGTCTATCTGATCACCCAGGCGCTCATCTACATGTCAGCTCATATTTGACTAGACTTGTTCAGGAAGTTAGTCAAGTAACCTCTGGTTGTTGAGTGTTTTGTCTGAAACCTTGGATATGCTGACCAAAACTTTAAATCTTATATTTAGCTCTTTGATTTTTTTTATCTTCTTCCTCTAGCTATACTTGTACGAAAGAAACATACAGAAGAACCATTGTCTTACTTGGTTTAATTACGCGTTTTCACCTTTTATTTGGGAATGTGTTCTACACTCGACTCTTCCCACAGTTTGGGTTTAGTTATGCTGTTTATAAGAAAGTAACTATCTCCTAAAACTTAACACATCCCAACAAGAAACTTGAGATGCTCGAGGAGTACTTGTCCTTGTCCTTGTCCTTTAGGTAATCACTCATGTTTAGTAGTCAAGTTGGTTTGTGGTTGGTCCGAAACTTATATAGATGTTAGATTTCCCCATAAAGAGTTTATAACTTTTGACATTCGATTGTGAATTCTGAAGTTCTTAATTATAAACCTTCGAGTTCTGATATTTATAAACCTTTTGAGTTCATATTCTTATAAGAATGACGAGTTTTAGACCGTTAGATATATCGCGTGGTCCCTAACCAAAATAAAAAGAAATGAGTTTAGAACAAACAATGCAGTGCATTGGATAATGGATTGGTTTTAAAACCTTGAATACGTATTACAGTACTACTACGATAAACAATGCTCTGAAAATAGATCGGAAAATTACTTGAAGATTTTCAATAACGTAAAAATGTTAGCGTTATCTACTAGAACTAGATATATGAAGTTCATGAATGAGTGTAAAGCAAAATTACTTGGTTCAGCCAAATGTGAGCTTGGTCTAGTATAGTTGGTTTCACCTATATCGGTTTGGTTTTCGAATCGAAAACAAAATTCAACAAACAAAAAGATATTGGGAACGCAGGCGCGTGAGAAGAACGTCGTACTTCATTCGATGCGCGTGTAATTGAAATCGACCATCTCATTTTTCCGCTGATGAACGAGAGAAGTGACCAAGGTTTTAGGTAACTTTTTCTTAGATTTTTTCGTCTAATTGTTGTGGATTTGAAAGTAATAGATTCACAAAACCCATTGAACACTCTTTGGAATCAAACATTTGAGCACGAATCGACTGCTACTAAGTTCATTCGCATCGATTTCTATGGAGGTTGCTTTCTGTTTTCGCGCTAGGGTTTTGCTTGTTGATCCTATGTCGCTTGTGTCATTCATTTGGCCAATCGAAGAATCAATTGAGCATGGGAAGGACTAAACTGATCAATTTCTATGTTTGTTTGTTTTCTCTATATATTCAGGACTAAACTGATCAATTTTGCTTGTAGATCCTATGTCGCTTGTTTTCTAATTCAGTTTTGAGAGATGATGCTAGTCAAACCTAATTTTGATGATTTCGTGTATGTAAATCAGGTTTCTGGTGTGGATTGAGAAGTCATTGGAAGTTAAAAGCTTGGGGTTTTGAGGATTCAAGGTATTTTCTTACTTTGGAGTGACAGAAAAAACCTCAATTTCTTATAAATTCTTGTATGTGGTAGCTGAAAGCTCTGGAAATTTAGGGGTTGGATCGGATGGATAGGATAAGTCTGTTGCATGATGAGCTACTCTTGACGATATTGTCGTTTCTTCCGACTACGAAAGATGTTGTGGCGACGATGGTTCTGTCTAAACGGTGGCAGCCGCTTTGGATGATGGTGCCAAGACTTGTATACGACTATAGCTATGAAAACGCTGATTATGGAAGGTTTTCGCGCTTTGTAGACAGGTCTCTGCTTTTGCACAAGGCTCCAGTTCTTGAAACCTTGTATTTCAAAGTCACTCGAACCTCTGGCGTTGGAGATATTCCGCTGTGGACTAGAGCTGCAGAGAAACATTCTGTGCGTGAGCTGTTTATCGAAATCCATAGCTCTTGTATTGCATTTCCGGCCATTCTTCCGAGGAGTTTGTACACAGGGTGTAGAATGCTTGTGACGTTGAAACTGAATAACGTGGTTCTTGTGGATGCTGCTTCAGAACCGGTGTCTTTCCCCTCCCTCAAATACTTGAAACTTAACTCCCTGAAGTACCCTGGTGATGAGTTCGTCAAGAGGTTTTTATCCAGTTGTATTGTTCTTGAACACTTGGATGTTGATCAGTGTCCCGGTGACAATGTGACCGTTTTCACCGTTAGAGTGCCTTCTCTTGAGAGTTTATACGTGCGTAAATCATCAGACACAGATTTGGATAATGCAGAGGGGTTTGTGATAGACGCTCCATCTTTGAAGTACTTGGGCATTACTGATAGTACCGGTGGGTTTTGTGTCATTGAGAGTGAAATGCCTAATATTGTAAAGGCAGATGTTGATACTGGTTATTATTCTCTTAGCAAGATTTTGGGTCGATAACGTTGGTCAAACGTCTACATTTATGTCTGCTGTACTCAGAGGTTAATTAATATTCTCTTTTCTTTTCAGTATCAGTATTCACGACTGTGTTTCACCTAGAATAGTGGACTCTCTTATTGGATCAAATATATTTATTGGCAATAACATTTCTCATGTACATAATGATTGTCTCTTTTGCAGGATGTATATCCTGTTGGTAGTGTCTTCCACCGTCTTATACATTTGAAGATATGCACGTCCGAACCAGAGTGGTTGAATGTATTTATTCCTCTGCTCAGAGATTCCCCTAAATTACAATCTCTCGAACTTGAACAGGTTACACATAGATCTAAACCCGAACTATTCATATTTTTCTTTGATCTGTATATATTTTGTTCTAATCCACTCTTCTTCTATCAGTGCATCCCGTTCCCGATAGACCGCGCTGCCGCTGGATTGAACCTAGTTCAGTTCCAGAATGTCTGTTATCGAGTCTTGAAACTTTTAAATGGGTAAAATATGAAGGAACACAAACAGAGAAAGAAGTTGCAGCATTCATCTTAAGAAACGGAAGCTGTTTAAAGAAGGTAACCATCTCCGGCCGCGACAAGAAACTTGACATGATCAAGGAATTATTGTTTTTGTCAAGGCGTTCACCTACCTGTAATCTTACATTTGACTGAAGTTGCTGTCAAGTGTCAAATGACATCTATTTGGTTGTTTGGTTTTTGATCTGAATTTTAGATAAGCTATTAGACTTTCTCATGTTTTTTTTTCATTTCCATATTTCGCACTTTGGAGGTGTTCTGTTTCTTTTTCTATTGTTCTTCTACGTACTGAAGACGGAATAAGTACCTAAAGTAAAACTGAAGAAAGAAAAACATATGAATTATTATTTTTCCTTGGTGCTTATTTACATCATTATCATCTTAAACGTTTTTACTCGGTTAGAATCATTGAATCTCAATTTTTTCTTAAATATATAAAATTTTAAACTATCATTTCATATTTGAGCTACCTCGAGTACATTTTAGCCAACTCCAAAGTGTTTAGAGAAAGCGGTGATCAGTGTGACGACCAATTTCGGTGGTGAATATTTGCTGAAGAAGGAAAAGGAGTTGGAATCTATGTTTAGGGTCTCAGCAGCATCTCAGCTTCTGTTTGAGTTTGAATGACAACTTCTCGTTTCATATTCTTCTCTTCTGCTCATATGCAGTGAACGTGAAGATAAAACTCACCCTTGTATGTATTAGTTAGATGAATGAAAGCAAAACATATGCTGCGTTGAAAGTTCATATTTCTGATAATCACATTATATCTAATTCAAAATAGTTTCTTTCATTTCACAATTGACTCTTGTTTCTAACCGCTCTCTCTCCTCTTTCTTGAAAAATTTGCAGAATTCACATTAAAACATGTTGGGATTAAGGAATCATGAAAAAAATTCCCCCAATGGGAACAAAACAGTAATCAGTGACTACAAAAAAACTGTCACAGTTCCTTTGCTCCCAATGCATTTGGATTGGATTAAGTTGTTTATTCGTTTTGTGGCATGTGGTTAAACCGGCATAAAATAAAGCAAAATTATTTGGTTTAACGAAATGTGACCTTGGTCTGGTATAGTTGGTTCAACTATCGGTTTGGTTTTTGAATCGACCCAAAATCTCAGAATCCAATCAATTCGCGTGTGTGATTCGAAGAGCCGCCGCCTTACTTTTCACAGTAAACATCTCCGCCGCCGGTGATTCTGCAGTGTCCGGTGAGTTTTCGATTTCCTCATATGATATGAGCCATATCCCCTTTCTATGGTTCTCGGCTGCTTAACTCTATTTCTCTGGATTCGAGTTTGGGGGAACTAGAACGCTTAGGGATTTGAAAAGGAAAATGGCTCATAGGGATAGGATAAGTAACTTGCCTGAGGAATTGCTCCTGAAAATATTGTCGTCACTGCCCGCGAAAGATGTAGCAGTCACAATGGTTTTGTCAAAACGATGGAAGTTTCTATGGACGTTGGTGCCAAGACTTGAATACGACCACTCCATGTATCAAGACGACGTTGATGGCAGTAGTAGATTCTCGCGGTTTGTTCACAGTTCTCTGCTGCTACACGAGGCTCCCTTTCTAGAGAGTTTGCGTCTCAAACTCGATCATTACTCTTGTGCTGCAGATATCGGAGTATGGGTTAAAACCGCTGTGAAACGCTCTGTTCGTGAGTTGGATATCGAGATTAATAGTCCTTCCTTGTCCACTCCGGTCTTACTTCCATGGAGCTTGTATAGCGAGGGATGTAAAAGGCTTGTGACACTGAAACTAAGTCACACGACTCTTGTGGATACTTCTTCTTCCTCGCCAGCTTCTTTCACATCCCTGAAAAAGCTGAGCCTTGTTCACATGAAGTACCCTAGTGAGGATTTTGTTTTGAATTTCTTATCCAATTGTCCTGTTCTTGAGGACTTGGTTGTGGAACGATGTCATGATGACAATGTGGTTGTTATCCCTGTGATCGTACCGTCTCTGAGGAGGTTATCGTTGTCTAGAGCAACAGACAGAGATGATGAAGACAAAAGATCTGCGTTTGTGGTAGACGCTCCTTTGTTAGAGAGCTTGGACATTGCTGATCATAACGACAGTGGGTGTTGTTACATTCGGAAAACATGCCTGAGCTTGTGTCTGCGTGTCTCGACATTAATTATATGATCTTTCTTTGGACATTTTTGGGTTGTATAACCTCAGTGAAGCGTCTCTATCTATGTTCATCAACCATAAAGGTACTAACATGTTCGTTTTACCACTATGCATTTCTTGATTACGAAAAATCTATTGGCACTATTTTTGCTGCAAAGAGTGTCATTTTGGTTTGTGTACTTGTGAATGCAGAATGCTTACCCTGAGGGCAGTGTCTTCCACCGTCTTGTACATCTAACGCTATGCACATGTGGGAGGAAGTGGTTGAAATTTCTTTCGCGTCTGCTTAGAGATTCTCCTAAATTACAAGTTCTCAGATTTGAACAGGTACAAGTCTATCATAAAACCTAAATGATCAAGGTTTATTTTGCTTGTACAATATAAATAATGATGATAATGATGATGACATAGTAGTGCATTGTAACTGTGTGCCTCAGTGCCATGAGCTTCCAGATGACGAGCCGCGTCCGTGTTGGAATGAACCGAGCTCAGTTCCTGAATGTGTGGTGTCGAGTCTTGAAACTCTGGAATGGGTAAAATATGAAGGAACAGAAGAAGAGAAAGGAGTAGTGGCATTCTTCTGAGAAGCGCAAGATGTTTAAAGAAGGCAACAATCTCATCTAAATCTACGGATCCCGTCAAGAAACTTGAGATGCTCAAAGAATTGACATTTTTGTCAAGGTGTTCAACTACCTGTCATCTTACATTTGACTGAAGTTACAGTCAAGTAAAAATCTTGCTGGTTGGTGTTTGATCTGAATCTTAGATATGTTACAAAAGCTCTAAGAACTTTGTATGTTTTTTCTTCTTTTTTTGATTCTTAGATCTCTGCGTTTCTGAGCTTTATAAGAAAGAATCATAAATTTATCTTCCATAATTTATGGTCTCTGGTCAAACAGTATGCTGTTTATCTGAATATCAAACCGGGTTTGTTCTCTGTTGGTGACTTATTTTTTGGTTACGTTCAACCGAAACTATTTCCGGTTTAAAAAGAGCGGGTCAATTCCGGTATTGGTCATCTTCGGTCCTCTTTAACCTTTCAGAATCTTTCTTCAAACTCTGTTAGGTTTACTACGTAAAATCCCCTGACAATAAAATACTTTTCCAAATACCAAAAGTGGCTCTCCAATGGTAAAGTAAATCGTCTTTCTCGATATCAACAACAACAACCACACCATCGCAATTAACTGACCATCGTTGAGCAAGAAACATCGGAGGTGTTTCAGGTATTTGCACATTCTTCTGATTCTCTTTATTAATGAATAATCTTCACTAAGTAGATTTAAGCGTCTATGAGTTTGGACTTGGTGTGCTTCTCGTTCTATATGTGGTTTATGTACCTCGTCGTTGCTTATTACTACTATTTGTTTTGTTCCAGAAATGAGAATCTCATTTTTCCTTGTTTTTCTTTCCGATGTTTTCAGGCTTTCGTTCTGTTTCTGGCTTGAAAGGGAAATCTGTATATCTGTTATGGATAGGATAAGTCTGTTGCCTGATGAGCTGCTCTTGAGAATATTGTCTTTACTGCCTAATACGAAAGATGTTGTGGCCACTATGGTTTTGTCTAAACGATGGCAGCCTCTTTGGAAGTTAATGCCAAAACTTGTCTACGACGACTATAGCTATCAAAACATTGAGTATGGAAAGTTTTCGCGCTTTGTGGACAGGTCGTTGATTCTGCACGAGGCACCAGTAGACACTTTGCGTTTCAAACTTGTTCAAAACTCAGTGCTGCTGATGTTGGTATATGGATTGCAATTGCGGTTAAACGCTGCGTGCGTGAACTGAGTATCGACTGTTCTCAAGTAAAACTCCAGTCACACTTCCGAGAAGCTTGTACACAGGGTGTAGAAACCTTGTGACCTTGAACCTAAAGAGAGTGACTCTTGTGGATGTTTCTTCCTTGCCTTCTTTCCCGACCCTAAAAGCATTGAGCCTTGTATATGTGAAGTACCCTGGTGATGAATTTATCAAGAGGCTTTTATCCAGTTGTCATGTTCTTCAACATCTGTTTGTGGACGATGTGACAATGACAATGTCACCGTTTTTACCGTTAGAGTGTCTTCTCTGAAGACTCTCATATTAGGTAGATTATCACGCAAAGTGAAAGACGGTGCACATGGTTTCGTGATAGATGCTCCTCTTTTGAAGATCTTTCTCATTCATGATGATATGAGTGGGTTTTGTGTCATTGAGAATGATATGCCTAAAATTGTCAAGGCCGGTTTTAGTGTCACTTATAGTCAGCCGGGGAAGATTATGAGTTGTATTACTTCAGTCAACGTCTCACTTTATGTTTACCAACTTCAAAGGTATTTTTTTGGTTATCTTTATACCGTGTGCATTCTTGAGTATTTTTCTTAATTAATATGCTAAATTTCTTGTTTACTTGTTATGTCTTGTATGCAGGAGGTGTATCCTGTTGGTACTGTCTTCCACAATCTTGTATTTTTAAAGCTATGCACATGTCAGGCAGAGTGGTTGAATCTACTTCTATGTATGCTCAGAGGTTGCCCTAATTTACAATCTCTAAGACTTCCAGGTAACCTATATATACATTTACAAGCTTCCTTGATCAGTACATATGATGATCTCTAATGCTAACTGTATTTCTATCAGTGCATGATCAATAAACTTCCGGCTGCCGAGCCACGTCCTTGTTGGAAAGAACCAAGTTCGGTCCCTGGGTGTTTGTTATCGAGTCTTGAAACTCTGATATGGGCAAACTATGAAGGAAGAGAAGAAGAGAAACAAGTGGCAGCATTCATCTTAAGAAGTGCAAGTTTTTTAAAGAAGGCGACTATCTCCTCCAAAGCAACCGACCCTTACGAGAAATTAGAGATGATCAAGGAATTGTCATCCTCACCGAGGCGCTCACCTACATGTCAACTCATATTTTATTGACGTTATGGTCAAGTCATCCTTGAGGGTAAAGACATGTTCATGAGTGTTAAAGTGTTGGTGTTTAGTTTGAATCTTAGATAAGATTTTTTTGGGTATAAAAGTCCACGGCCTAAAATCGGTTTGGTTCGGTTTGGTTCTGTGTTTCTGGGTCGGTTTTGGTTCGGATTTCGGGTTCGTTAAAAGTCCCAGCCCTTAGTTGGTGTCTTTAAAAGTCATATTTTTGGTTACCTTCAACCAAAACTATTTCCGATTTAGTTTTTCTCTGTCATATTGGTTCGGCTGAACTGGGCAATCTTGGTTCTGAATTTATGGTTCGTTTGACAAAGAATAAAAATGTAAGGAAATAAATTATGGACCGTTGGATCTAATACTGTCAAAAAAATCAAAGGTTAGGTTAGTTTAGAAGTTGCTGATGCTAGTTTAAAAAGGCAATGATAATACACGTTCCACTTTCCTTGGTTCCCATTGGTTGATTGCTTTGAGAAACACAAATCTGGTTACTTGTATACGATACATTTCCATAATATCGGTAAATAAAAAAAACAGCATAAATTGGCAGTACTAGTATTATCTTTAGGACTGAACAGGATATTACCGTATTACCCACATACATACTTTCTCAACACCTTATTACAAGACACACTTAGAATGTTTGGCATACTTTATGATGACAATTGTCTATTTTACCTCCAACTAACCTACTTAATCGATTCAAGCTAGGGTTGGGCACTGAGGCAAGTACCTAGGTTTTTTTGCCTGATGAGCTGTAAGGCAGCCTTACCTCGTTCCATTTATACAAAATAATGATCTATGACTTGTCTTATAAGATACAAGTACTTTAGGCATAAGTACTTGCCAAATATTGACCGACTTGTAAGTATTCGTTTTGTCTTGCGACCTATAAACTTTCTTAAAAATATCAAATACTTGTCTCGTTCAAGATATCAACCCAACTTAAAACATTCAAGTTGGGCCAACTATATATTGTCAAATGCCCAATACAATAATACCCAATATGACTCTTATACTCGACCCGAACTTGCAAGTAATTAAATAATCATATTTGTTACTTGCCTTATTAACAAGTACTTGTATTTGTGGGTAGGTAGAAGCAAATCACAGGGTAGGTAGGAGCAAATCGCAAGTATCGGATGAATAACAAGTACTATGCTCAAGCCTAATCCCAGCAACAAGAAACTGACTTTACCTCCTCGTAAGTTTCATCTCTCAGCCGCCATTAATCATCTTCGTATTGATTATATGAAAGTGAATTGTGTTGTGTTGTATTGATTTGATAAGGATTACAGCTCTATATATAACATAGATACAAGAATCATACAATAAATGAGATGAATATCTAATTAAGTGATTGTAGCGATTGTGACTTTGTGAGTGATCATGCTAGTTTGGAATGATATACTCTTTCCTTAATACTTGGGTCCGCTTTTACCTTTCACTTACGAAAAAACTTTGAAATTCCAACAGAGGCTGGTAAAGTAAATTGTCTTTCTCGGTATCAGCAACCACACCATTGCAATTGACCATCGTTGAGCGAGAAACATCGAAGGTGTTTCAGGTATTGTCACATTCTTGTTATTCATGAATAATCTTCACTAAGTCGATTTAAGCATCTCTGACCCACCAAAAAAATAAAGAACAGCGTCTATGAGTTTGGAAAATGTTAGGTCCCAAATTAGGACAAAACCATTGATGATCAAGAACAAAAAAGAACAAGAACACTTTGGTTCTTAAGACACAAGTAACTGCAATATTTTCTTCATATCCTTTTCATTCACGACATGATGACTTAAATATACAATAAGGAAATAAACTAACTCTTAACTATCACATATCACATGTAGTGGGATCACAATCCCTTTAGTTTAGGAGTACCGTTTACACGGTTATGATCTCATCAATACTCCACCCTCCAAAGAACCTTGTCCTCAAGGTTCACCGAGAAGCTCTCCCACATATACATCGTTTCTTGTACGGCGGAGGTTTATCAGGGACTGGTTCATCTTGGCCGAGCTTCTTTGGTGTTGGGGTCACTGGTTCATGGCCTTGGATTGGACGTGTCAGAGCAGAAGTGGAGACAACACTACGGATCCAAAGCTGTGTGATAAACGCTTCAACATGAGAGACGTCAATGAATTCTTTGAATGATTCATTGTTCCTTCGTGAAGGAGAAAAGCTTGAATCATCCATAGCACAACCAAAAGAACGATTGCCTATTGTGATCCTTGAACCGGTGACTTGAATATTTTTTGCAAAATACTCAAAGCCTTGAACCGCCAAGTTGTCACTAGAATTGATGGATTCTCCGCCACCGTATATATACGAGATTGAATCGGCATCACCGTATACATCGAATATTGGTTCTTCGTCGTCGTAGTAAACATCGAAAATAGGGGCTCCACAGATCTCGTTGAACATCTCCATGGTTTCTCTCTCAGATGAAGCCTGAAGGTGTGGTTTTGATAGTGACTTTGATGGAAGGCGAGTGTTTTTGACACCACAAGTGGTCCGGATCAAAAACAAAGAAAATGGAGGATAGGTGTTTTTGTTGACGTTGATTCACGAAGAATGCCGTCGACAAGGCTAAACTGCTCTAATACCAATTGTTAGGTCCCAAATTAGGACAAAACCATTGATGATCAAGAAACAAAGAACAAGAACACTTTGGTTCTTAAGACACAAGTAACTGCAATATTTTCTTCATATCCTTTTCATTCACGACATGATGACTTAAATATACAATAAGGAAATAAACTAACTCTTAACTATCACATATCACATGTAGTGGGATCACAATCCCTTTAGTTTAGGAGTACCGTTTACACGGTTATGATCTCATCAGAAAATTGGTGTGCTTTTTGTTCTATATGTTGTTTACGTTCCTCGTCGTTGCTTATTACTCCTATTTGTTTTGTTCCTGAGAAATGAGATTCTCATTTCACTTACATGTTTTCAGGCTTTCCTGTTTCTGGAAATCTGTCATATGGATAGGATAAGTCTGTTGCCTGATGAGCTGCTCTTGAGAATACTGTCGCTACTGCCTACTACGAAAGATGTTGTGGCCACTATGGTTTTGTCTCAACGATGGCTGCCTCTTTGGAAGTTAACGCCAAAACTTGTCTACGACGATAGCTATCAAAACATTGAGTATGGAAAGTTTTCTCGCTTTGTGGACAGGTCTTTGATTCTTCACGAGGCACCAGTAGACACTTTGCATTTCAAACTTGTTCAAAACTCTAGTGCTGCTGATATTGGTATATGGACTGCAATTGCGTTTAAACGCTGCTTGCGTGAACTGAATATCGAATTTTCTCCCAGTACAAATCCAGTCACGCTTCCAAGGAGCTTATACACAAGGTGTACAACCCTTGTGACCTTGAAACTAAAGAGTGTGACTCTTGTGGATGTTTCTTCCTTGCCTTCTTTCCCGACCCTCAAAACGTTGTGGCTTGTAGCGGTCAAGTACCCTGGTGATGAGTTTGTCAAGAGGCTTTTATCCAATTGTCATGTTCTTCAAGATCTGTTAGTTGCACTATTTCCCAGTGACAATGTCACCGTTTTTACGGTTAGAGTGTCTTCTCTGAAGACTCTCAAGTTAGGTAGAAAGTCACGCAAAGTGAAAGATGGTTTCGTGATAGATGCTCCTCTTCTAGAGAACTTTGATATTTATGATATTATGGGTGGGTTTTGTGTCATTGAGAATGATATGCCTAAAATTGTCAAGGCCAGTTTTTATGTCACTTACAGTCAGCCGGGGAAGATTATGAGTTGTATTACTTCAGTCAAGTGTCTCACTTTATGTTTATCAACTTCAAAGGTATTTTTTGGTTATCTTTATACCGTGTGTTTTCTTGAGTATTTTTCTTAATTAATATGCTAAATTTCTTGTTTACTTGTTATGTCTTGTATGCAGGAGGTGTATCCTGTTGGTACTGTCTTCCAAAATCTTGTACATTTAAGGGTATGCACATGTGAGACAGAGTGGGTGAATCTACTTCTGTCTATGCTCAGAGGTTGCCCTAATTTACAATCTCTAAAACTCTTTCAGGTAACGATATATACATTACAAGCTTCCTTGATCAGTACATATGATGATCTCTAATGCTAACTATATTTCTATCAGTGCCGTAAACTTCCGGCTCCCAAGCCACGTCCTTGTTTGAAGGGATCAACCTTGGTCCCTGGGTGTTTGTCATCGAGTCTTAAGGCTCTGAGATGGGTAGACTATGAAGGAAGAGAAGAAGAGAAACAAGTGGCAGATTTGATCTTAAGAACCGGAAGCTGTTTAAAGAAGGTAACCATCTTCTCCAAAGCTACAGACCCCAACAGGGAAACTTGAGATGCTCAAGGAATTGTCATCCATACCCAGTCGCTCACCTACCGTTAAATGTTCGCTCATATTCTACTGAAGTTGTGGTCAGGTCATCCTTGAGGGTAAAGACTTGTTCATGAGTGGTAAAGATATGTTGGAGTTTGATTTTGAATCTTATATAACATTTTTTTTCTTATGTTTTTGTTTTTCCAGGTTTAGCTCTTTAGACTTCATATGTTCTCGCTTTGCTCTGAATTAGGAACTTATGTCGACAAAAAAAAAAAAAATGTTCTCGCTCTGCTCTGCTCTGCTCTAGAAGAAAAAAGAAAGAAACTTGTCTTCCATTATTTAGTTACAAAAGATCATTATCAGGTCTTTACTCCTTTTTTGTATTTTGTTTTACTTATGATTCTCTTTGCCTTTTACTTCAACCGAAACTAGTAATTTCCCGTTTAGCTCCTTTTTTGGGTACATTGAGTTGGGAACTCTTTCTTGGTTCAGAATTTACTTGACAAGGAAGAAACATAAACCTTTTCAATCATCTGATTTGCTGTTCCATTTTCTTTATACCCTCGCAGTGGTTGCTTGCTTAGTTGCTTTTGAGAAAACACAAATTGTTATTATTACTATATTATATAGGAACTCTCTAAGGATTGCCACGTTATAATTTTAACAAAATTCCAAAATCGTTTCACGTTCTATAGCCAACTTCTACTGGTCTTGTTGGTTGGTCTTTGAATTCGACTCTTTAGATAAATCTGTCAATTAAAACAGTTTGCTGTTTACTTGTCACTTTGCTCAAACCTGGTTTGTTCTCTCTGTTTGTGCTTTAAAGTTTAGACAGGTACATTTTAGTCTTAAGTTCAGTTTGCTGTTCAGCTTATTTTGGTCTGGTACTGGTCTGGTACGAATCTGTAGTACGTCTCAAATAAAATTAAAAGTTACATTTTATTCAAGTAGAATCGGTGTAAAAAACTAGTTGCTCACTAAGTCAAGTAACATCTGGTTGTTGAGTCTCGACATGAGTAGGTTTATCTGAAACCTTGGGTATTGTTGAAATTTAGTTTAAAGCTTATGTAGTTATGTTTAGCTCTTTCATGTTCTTCCTCTAGCTAAACGTAGACGACATAAACCTACAGAAGAACATTTCTCCTTTTTCTATAGGGTTTTCTCACAAACTATATAAACATGATAAATAAAGTTACATAAAGAAACATGAAACATGATCTAATAGTAAGCATCCATGCATGAACATGGTATGATTTTATCAGGTACGAATTTATGTATATTACATTCTGATCAAATGAAACTACTGATTTCCGGTTTAGCTTCTAAGTTCTAACAATGAAATTGGGCGAATATTCTGGCGCGTAAATACTATATAACGCAGGTCATCACAAAATTTTGGATTATTCAATTGGATAAGAGAGGTATGGAGTTGGATGACTAAATTTGAAGAAATATCATTTACTTGGGTGCCAAGAGAAGGAAACAAGGCTGCTGACTTGCTGGCAAAAAGAAACCTTTCAAACCGTACAATCTTTGTTTATCATAACTACATTCCTGATTTTCTATAGCATGTAATTCACAATGACTATATTTCGTCATGCTAATAGAGGAATTTTAGAGGAAAAAAAAAAAAAAACGCAGGATATATGCACGTGGAAACGAGTTACTAGCTTTTTAACGTGGGATATTGGTCACATTGAATTAAAGTCGTTAAATAATTATACAGAATCTATAAATCAATTTTGATTGATGAGATTTTGGAAGTTGCCTTTATAAAAAAAAAAAGAGAGTTTTTGGTAGTTTTTTTTCTTTTGGGGTAAAAATGACAAAAGAGATTTTGGAAGTTGCACCGCTCAAATCACGAACTGGTGTCATTAACGAAGAAGATTTTACTCTTCACCGTTGAACAAGAAATACTGGAGGGGTTTTAGGTATTTGTCTATTCTGTGAATCTTTTTCTGCTTGACTTTGAGCGCTCAATTGAGTTTGGATTTCATGTGCTTCTCTTTCTATTTGCGGGGTTTCTCGTATCTCGCTAGGGTTTTGCTTTGACCCTGCCTCGCTGCTTGTAACTCTGTGTTTGGTTCATGAGAAAAAAAAAACACTTAAGAGTTTCACATCCATTTGTTCGTATTTTTGATGTTTTCAGGTTTTGGTGTCTGGTTTGGGGATTCTAACCTTGAAAGGGGACATCTGTTATGGATAGGATAAGTCAATTGCCTGATATGCGCTACTCTTGAGAATACTTTCAGTACTGCCTACTTCTAAAGATGCTGTGGCCACAATGGTTTTGTCAAAACGATGGCAACCTCTTTGGAAATTAGTGCCAAGACTTGTATACGACGACCAGGGCTATCAAAACATCGAGTATTGGAAGTTTTCGCGCTTTGTAGATAGGTCTTTGATTCTGCACGAGGCACCGGTAGACACTTTGCATTTTAAACTTATTCAAACGTCTGGTGCTGCTGATATTGGTATATGGATTACAATTGCGGTTAAACACTGTGTTCGTGACCTGATTATCGAGCTCGACTGCTCTTCCAGTACAACTCCAGTCACACTTCCGAGGAGTTTATACACATGGTGTCGAATGCTTGTGACCTTGAAACTTAAGAGTGTGATTCTTGTGGATGCATCTTCCTTGCCTTCTTTTCCAACCCTCAAAACTTTGAGCCTTTTATCTGTGAAGTACCCTGGTGATGAATTTGTCAAGAGTCTTTTATTCAATTGTTATGTTCTTCAAGATCTGGATGTGGAAAGATGTGACAATGACAATGTGACCATTTTCACAGTTATAGTGCCTTCTCTGAAGAGTTTATATCTAGATGAAAAATCAGACGAGTTTAAAGACGGTGGTTTCGTGATAGATGCTCCGCTTTTAGAGATCTTTCACATTCGTGATCATATCACTGATTGTTGTGTCATTGAGAATGATATGCCGAAGATAGTCCAGGCATATGTTGATGCCAGTTATTATCATCCCGGGAAGATTTTGTGTTATATTACTTCAGTCAAGCGTCTCTTTTTTTGTTTAAAGGTATACTTTTTTAGTTATCCCTTGCTTTTATCTTTATACGTACCGTGCTCGCCACGAATAGGGGGCTAAATTACTTGTTGTGTCTTGTATGCAGGAGGTGTATCCTGTTGACAGTGTCTTCCACCGTCTTGTACATCTAACGCTATGCACATGTGAGAAAGAGTGGTTGAAACTACTTATGTATCTTCTCAGAAATTCTCCTACATTACAAGCTCTCAAACTCATTCAGGTATGAGGCACCTATATATTTCGTCCCAAATTTAATCCAGTTTCCTTGATCTCTAATGCACAATATACTTCCATCCTGCTAATTTATATCAGCGCCATACATCTGGGGATGACCGACAAAGCCCGCGTTGGAATGAACCGAGCTCAGTCCCTGAATGTGTGTTATCGAGTCTTGAAACTCTCCAATGGGTACGATATGAAGGAACAGAAGAAGAGAAAGGAGTGATGGAATTCATCTTGAGAAGTGCAAATTGTTTAAAGAAGGCAACTATCTCCTCCAAAGCAACCGACCCCAACAAGAAACTAGAGATGATCAAGGAATTGTCATCGTCACCTAGGCGCTCACCTACATGTCAGCTCATATTTGACTGAAGTTATCGTTAGACTTGTTCAGCAAGTTAAATAACATCTGGTTACTGAGTGTTTGATCTGAAACCTTGGATATGCTAAAACTTTAAAACCTTACATTTAGCTCTCTCAATATCTTATGTTCTTCTCATTCTTGGTTTTCCTTAACGTTATCTCTCTCAAATTGGGAATGTTTTGCGGTTTTATTGTAGAATTAGCTCTTACACAAACTCGGCTTTTGTCATGTCTGTTTGGTCTATTTATTTTTTTTCTTGGTTTTTGAATCAGAGTTGAAAAACAGCATAAATTAGCAGTACTAGTATTATCATTAGGACTGAACAGGCGGGTATTACCGTATTACCCACAAATATACTTTCTCAACACCTTATTACAAGACACACTTAGAATGTTTGGCATACTTTATGATGACAATTGTCTATTTTACCTCCAACTAACCTACTTAATCGATTCAAGCTAGGGTTGGGCACTGAGGCAAGTACCTAGGTTTTTTTGCCTGATGAGCTGTAAGGCAGCCTTACCTCGTTCCATTTATACAAAATAATGATCTATGACTTGTCTTGTAAGATACAAGTACTTTAGGCATAAGTACTTGCCAAATATTGACCGACTTGTAAGTATTTGTTTTGTCTTGCGACCTATAAACTTTCTTAAAAATATCAAATACTTGTCTCTTCAAGATATCAACCCAACTTAAAACATTCAAGTTGGGCCAACTATATATTGTCAAATGCCCAATACAATAATACCCAATATGACTCTAATACTCGACCCGAACTTGCAAGTAATTAAATAATCATATTTGTTACTTGCCTTATTAACAAGTACTTGTATTTGTGGGTAGGTAGAAGCAAATCACAGGGTAGGTAGGAGCAAATCGCAAGTATCGGATGAATAACAAGTACCTATGCTCAAGCCTAATCCCAGCAACAAGAAACTGACTTTACCTCCTCGTAAGTTTCATCTCTCAGCCGCCATTAATCATCTTCGTATTGATTATATGAAAGTGAATTGTGTTGTGTTGTATTGATTTGATAAGGATTACAGCTCTATATATAACATAGATACAAGAATCATACAATAAATGAGATGAATATCTAATTAAGTGATTGTAGCGATTGTGACTTTGTGAGTGATCATGCTAGTTTGGAATGATATACTCTTTCCTTAATACTTGGGTCCGCTTTTACCTTTCACTTACGAAAAAACTTTGAAATTCCAACAGAGGCTGGTAAAGTAAATTGTCTTTCTCGTATCAGCAACCACACCATTGCAATTGACCATCGTTGAGCGAGAAACATCGAAGGTGTTTCAGGTATTTTCACATACGTCGTCGTTGCATATTAATTAGTCCTATTTGTTTTGTTCCTGAGAAATGAGATTCTCATTTCACTTACTTGTTTTTAGGCTTTCGTCTCTGGTTTCTGGCTTTCGTTTCTGGAAATCTGTTATATGGATAGGATAAGTCTGTTGCCTGATGAGCTGCTCTTGAGAATACTGTCGCTACTGCCTACTACGAAAGATGTTGTGGCCACTATGGTTTTGTCTCAACGATGGCTGCCTCTTTGGAAGTTAACGCCAAAACTTGTCTACGACGATAGCTATCAAAACATTGAGTATGGAAAGTTTTCTCGCTTTGTGGACAGGTCTTTGATTCTGCACGAGGCACCACTAGACACTTTGCATTTCAAACTTGTTCAAAACTCTAGTGCTGCTGATGTTGGTATATGGACTGCAATTGCGGTTAAACGCTGCGTGCGTGAACTGATATCGAATCTTCTCCCAGTACAACTCCAGTCACGCTTCCAAGGAGCTTGTACACAGGGTGTGCAGCCCTTGTGACCTTGAAACTAAAGAGTGTGACTCTTGTGGATGTTTCTTCCTTGCCTTCTTTCCCGACCCTAAAAGCATTGAGCCTTTTATGTCAAGTACCCTGGTGATGAGTTTGTCAAGAGGCTTTTATCCAATTGTCATGTTCTTCAATATCTGAGGTGGGACGATTAGAAATGACAATGTCACCGTTTTCACCGTTATTGTGCCTTCTCTGAAGACTCTCAGAATAGGTAGAACATCACGCGAAGTGAAAGACGGTGCACATGGTTTCGTGATAGATGCTCCTCTTTTGAGATCTTTCTCATTCATGATGATATGGGTGGGTTTTGTGTCATTAAGAATGATATGCCTAAAATTGTCAGGGCCGGTTTTAGTGTCACTTATAGTCAGCCGGGAAGCTTATGAGTTGTATTACTTCAGTCAAGGTCTCACTTTATGTTTATCAACTTCAAAGGTATTTTTTGGTTATCTTTATACCGTGTGCATTCTTGAGTATTTTCTTAATTAATATGCTAAATTTCTTGTTTACTTGTTATGTCTTGTATGCAGGAGGTGTATCCTACTGTCTTCCACAGTCTTGTACTTTTAAGGCTATGCACATGTCAGGCAGAGTGGTTGAATCTACTTCTGTGTATGCTCAGAGGTTGCCCTAATTTACAATCTCTAAGATTCTTCCAGGTAACTATATATATATTTACTAAGCTTCCTTGATCAGTACATATGATGATCTCTAATGCTAACTATATTTCTATCAGTGCCATAAACCTCGCACTGCCGAGCCACGTCCTTGTTGGAAAGAACCAAGTTCGGTCCCTGGGTGTTTTTCATCGAGTCTTAGAAACTCTGATATGGGCAAACTATGAAGGAAGAGAAGAAGAGAAACAAGTGGCAGCATTCATCTTAAGAAGTGCAAAATTTTTAAAGAAGGCGACCATCTCCTCCAAAGCAACCGACCCCAACGAGAAACTAGAGATGATCAAGGAATTGTCATCCTCACCCAGGCGCTCACCTACATGTCAGCTCATATTTGTCTGAAGTTATCGTTAGACTTGTTCAGCAAGTCAAATAACATCTGGTCATTAAGTGTTTGATCTAAAACATTGGATATGCTGAAACTTAAAAGCTTATATTAAGCTTTCTGGATTTCTTATGTTCTTCTCATACTTGGTTTTCTTGAACGTTTTCTCTTTCAATTTGGGAATGTTTTGCGGTTTAATTGTAGAATAATCTCTTCCATAAACTCGGCTTTTGTTATGTTGGTTTGGTCTGTTTAATTTTCTTCTTTTATGAATCAGAGTTGAAAACCCTATACTTTTTAGCTCTATACTTTGAGGACAGAAGCATACGGAAGAACTATTCTTACGTGGTTTATCTGAAGCATTAATCATCCTATCTAATTTTTATGGGTCTTTCTTTTCTCTTTTTCTGTACACAGTTAGACTTGAATCTTACACAACAAGTTAGGGTGTTCATAATTTATTATAGTTTTGTTTTCAAGGAGCGGGAACGTTAAATCTCTTTGTCCATTGTATCGGGCTAGAGAGAAACAATTTGCGGGATTAGAGTTCGTACTGAAATTGAGTATCAGATTCTTCGATATGGAGTTGTAATATGCGCGTGGAAACGAGTTAATAGCCTTTTCATCATTTTTGTTTTTTCTCTAATTAATAAGAGGCGGGAAGGCCTTCAGGGAAAACGGTCACGTTTTTAGCATATTATGAATACCAAACCAAAGTGTATTTCATTTTCATTAACCCATTCTAATGTACGTAGAAAAGTAAATATACTAATTGGTAATTCTAATTATCCATCTATGAAATAGGAAAATAATATAAACATACAACGTTTAAAGAGTCCTTGTCTATGGAATCTACATCGACTGATATAATTTTGGAAGTTGAACCGCTCAAATCAATTAGGGTTTGCAGGTATTTTTCTATTTTGTGCTTGTTTGCTTCTGTAGGAGTTAGTTCATGAATAATATTTCCTGCTTAAATTCGAAGGCTAATTGAAATTGAGTTTCGTTTTGCTTCCTTTTTTTATTTGTGTTTTCTTCTGTACCTCACTATAGGGCCTATAGGCTTTGCTTTGACCTTGTGTGGTTGGTTGTAACAGACGTTTGGTTTCTGAGAAAAACAAAAAACACACACTCTGGATTTCTCAATCCCTTGTTTGTTCTTTTCATGTTTTTAGGCTTCGGTGTGTGGTTTCGTGTGCTTCTTCTTCCAAGCTTGAAAGTGAAATCTGCGGAAGCTGAAAGCTTGGGATTTTTTCATAAGGGCTAGCTAGATCTCAACTATGGATTGGATAAGTGAGTTGTAGGAAAACAATTCTACAATAAACGACTGATAATTGTAAAGTATTAATATGACAAAATTAATATAAAATAATATTAAAATGATATAAAAGAAACAAGAATTAAGGAAATAAACCCAAATTTGCAGAGTCGAGATATGATCTCTTTTCTTAATTCTGTAAATGTCCCGTAGTGTGACGGTTGCATGGCGTTCCGAATCCCAGGATAAAACTGCACACTTCTTATGATTGCATCATTCAATACATAAGTTTTCGAACCATGTTTTATGTGATGTATTCTCATAAAAAAAACCAAAGAAAAAAGAAGAGAAGTGAGGGATTATTATTGCTTGTGTTTGATCACATATTTGTCTTTTATGTGTTATGGAGAAAACTTGGCTTTAAGCCATGCTCAACGTAGCATTAAAGTGGAGATGGTCAATTCTTCTCTATGACCTTAATTTCTTTAAGTTACAAAATCAATAATATTGACTATGTACTTAATTGTCACTTGAAATAAATTAATTAGAGAAGATATTTGTTGACTTAATCAACATCAAAATTCAACAAGAATTTCTGGTTAAAAATAATAATCTTTAGGACCTTGGTCCGATTACCAATCCCGAGGCCCGAGACACAAGTCTTGTCCCGGTAATCATCTTTCTCTATTAATACACAATCTTTTAAATTTTGCTTTAAATTTTCCATTTTATATATAAAAGGATTTCACCTCAAACTTCCAATATGAGACATTTCACAAATATTACATTTTATGCTATACAAGCAACCCTCTTGAACCTCCATTTCTCATTCAAACCACCTTCATTTTTGACATATAATATACTATAAAAAATGAGTTCCAACATGAGTTGCCTGAAGAGCACCTCTCGAAGATATTGTCGCTACTTCCTACTACGAAAGATGTTGTGGCCACAATGGTTTTGTCAAAACGATGGCAGCCTCTTTGGAAGTTAGTGCCAAAACTTGTATACGACGACGAGGGCTATCAAAACATCGTGTATGGAAAGTTTTCTCGCTTTGTGGACAGGTCTTTGATTCTGCACGAGGCACCAATACAAGCTTTGGATTTCAAACTTGTTCAAACGTCTGGGGCTGCTGATATTGGTATATGGACTGCAATTGCGGTTAAACGCTGCGTGCGTGAACTGAGTATTGAATCTTCTCCCAGTACAACTCCAGTCACGCTTCCAAGGAGCTTGTACACAGGGTGTACAACCCTTGTGACCTTGAAATTAAAGAGTGTGACTCTTGTGGATGTTTCTTCCTTGCCTTCTTTCCCGACCCTCAAAACTTTGAGCCTTATATGTGTGAAGTACCCTGGTGATGAATTTGTCAAGAGTCTTCTATCCAATTGTCATGTTCTTCAAGATCTGGAAGTGGAACGATTTGACAATGACGATGTCACCGTTTTCACCATTGTGATGCCTTCTTTGAAGAGTCTCCATTTTATTGGAGACGAAGAGAAAGACGGTGAAGCAGGTTTAGTGATAGATGCTCCTCTAGTAGAGAATATGTACATTCATAATGTTGTAAGTGGGTTTTCTGTCATTAAGAATGATATGCCTAAGATTGTCAAGGCACGTATTGTTGTCAGTAACAGCCATCCAGGGACGATTCTGGGCTATATTACTTCAGTCAAGCGTCTCCGTTTATGTTTATTTTCAACTTCAAAGGTATTTGTTTTTCTCTTAGTTATCTACAGGCCGTGTGCATTCTTGGTCACCACTAAATTTCTTGTTTACTTGTTATGTCTTGTATGCAGGAGGTGCATCCTGCTGGTACTGACTTCCAGTATCTTGTAAATGTAAGGCTATGCACATGTGAGACAGAGTGGTTGAACCTCTTTATATGTATCTTCTCAGAAATTCTCCTAATTGACAAGCTCTCAGACTCGGACAAGTATATATATATAACCAGATTCCTCAACCAGTACGTATATATGATGATCTCTAATGTACATTAAATTTATATCAGTTCCATCCCATTCCCGATCAAACACGCCCCTGCTGGATTGAACCGAGCTCAATTCCTGAGTGTCTGTTATCGAGTCTTGAAACTCTCAAATGGGAAAAATATGAAGGAAGAGAAGAATAGAAACAAGTGGCAGCATTCATCTTAAGAAACGGAAGCTGTTTAAAGAAGGTAACCATCTTCTCCAAAGCTACCGATCCTAACAGAAAACTTGAGATGCTCAAGGAATTGTCTATCTGATCACCCAGGCGCTCACCTACATGTCAGCTCATATCTGACTAGACTTGTTCAGTAAGTCAAGTAACCTCTGGTTGTTGGGTGTTTTGTCTGAAACCTTGGATATGCTGACCAAAACTTTAAATCTTATATTTAGCTCTTTGAATTTTCTTATCTTCTTCTTCTAGCTATATTTAGACGAAAGAAAGATACAGAAGAACCATTCTCTTACTTGGTATAAATACATGTTTTCACCTTTTAGTTTAAAACAAACAATGCAGTGCATTGAATTGAATTGAATTGATTTTAAAACCTTTAATATTACACTATATTACTACTATAAATAATGCTAAATCTTCATTGTAATATTTCTAATAATTTGTGACAGTACGATAAATCAAAGTGAAAAAAAAAACAATGCTCTGAAAATAGATCAGTAATTACCTTAGATTTTTAATTACGTAAAATGTTTTAGCGTTATATACTAGAACTAGATATATGAAGTTCATGAATGAGTGTAAAGCAAAATTATTTGGTTCGGCCAAATGTGAGCTTGGTCTAGTATAGTTGGTTCACCTCTCGGTTTGGGTTTTCGAATCCAAACAAAAAATTCAACAAACAAAGATATTGCTTCGGCTGAACTGGGCAATCTTGGTTCTGAATTTATGGTTCGTTTGACAAAGAATAAAAATGTAAGGAAATAAATTATGGACCGTTGGTAGATATCTAATACTGTCAAAAATCAAAGGTTTGGTTAGTTCAGAAGTTGCTGAGGCTAGTTTAAGAAGGCAATGATTGAACACATTCCACTTTCCTTGGTTCCCATTGGTTGATTGCTTTGAGAAACACAAATATGGCTACTTGTACACGATACGTTTCCATAAAATCGTAAATAAAAAAACAGCATAAATTAGCAGTCTTAGTATTATCTCTAGGACTGAACAGGCCCACAAACATACTTTCTCAACACCTTATTACAAGACATACTTTATGATGACAATTGTCTATTTTACCTCCAACTAAATTCACTTGATCAATTCAAGTTAGGGTTGGCCACAAGGCAAGTACTTAAGTTTTTTGCTATATATACAATTTGTTATACCTCGTTTGATTTATACGAAATAATGATCTCTGACTTGCCTTGTAAGATACAAGTATTTGCCAAATATTAATCGACTTGCAAGTAACTCGTTTTGTCTTTCGACCCATAATTTTTCTTAAAAAGAACAAAACTTGCCTTTCAAGATATCAATCCAACTTAAAACATTCAAGTTGGGCCAACTACATATTGTCAAATACCCAATACAATAATACCCAATAGTAACTTGGCAAATATCAAATATAATAATGATATTTGTTACTCGACCCGTACTTTCAGCAATTAAATAATCATATTTGTTACTTGTCTTATTAAGTTCTTGAATTTGTGGGTAAGTAGAAGCAAATCACAAGGTAGGTAGAAGCAAATCGCAAGTATCACGCGAATAACAAGTACCTGTGCTCAGGTCAAATTCCAGCCACAAGAAACTGGCTTTACCTTGTCTCTCTTTCCACTCTCATCGACGATTCTTCCCCTTTTCACTTTCACCTCCTCGTAAGTTTCATCTCTCAGCCGCCATTGATTATATGAAAGTGATTGTATTGTGTTGTTTTCAGGCTTTCCTGTTTCTGAAAATCTGTCATATGGATAGGATAAATCTGTTGCCTGATGAGCTGCTCTTGAGAATACTGTCGCTACTGCCTACTACTAAAGATGTTGTGGCCACTATGGTTTTGTCTCAGCGATGGCTGCCTTTTTGGAAGTTAATGCCAAAACTCGTCTACGACGATAGCTATCAAAACATTGAGTATGGAAAGTTTTCTCGCTTTGTGGACAGGTCTTTGATTCTGCACGAGGCACCAGTAGACACTTTGCATTTCAAACTTGTTCAAAACTCGAGTGCTGCTGATGTTGGTATATGGACTGCAATTGCGGTTAAACGGTGCGTGCGTGACCTGATTATCGAATCTTCTCCCATTACAACTCCAGTCACGCTTCCAAGGAGCTTGTACACAGGGTGTGCAGCGCTTGTGACCTTGAAACTAAAGAAGTGTGACTCTTGTGGATGTTTCTTCCTTGCCTTCTTTCCTGACCCTAAAAGCATTGCGCCTTATATGTGTGAAGTACCCTGGTGATGAATTTGTCAAGAGGCTTTTATCCAATTGTCATGTTCTTCAATATCTGGAGGTGGGACGGTTACAAAATGACAATGTCACTGTTTTCACCGTTATTGTGCCTTCTCTGAAGACTCTCAGAATAGCTAGCATATCACGCGAAGTGAAAGACGGTGCACATGGTTTCGTGATAGATGCTCCTCTTTTGGAGATCTTTCTCATTCATGATTATATGGGTGGGTTTTGTGTCATTGAGAGATATGCCTAAAATTGTCAAGGCCGTTTTAGTGTCACTTATAGTCAGCCGGGAAGATTATGAGTTGTATTACTTCAGTCAAGGGCCTCACTTTATGTTTACCAACTTCAAAGGTATTTTTTTGGTTATCTTTATACCGTGTGCATTCTTGAGTATTTTTCTTAATTAATATGCTAAATTTCTTGTTACTTGTTATGTCTTGTATGCAGGAGGTGTATCCTACTGTCTTCCACAGTCTTGTAGTTTTAAAGCTATGCACATGTCAGGCAGAGTGGTTGAATCTACTTCTGTGTATGCTCAGAGGTTGCCCTAATTTACAATCTCTAAGATTCTTCCAGGTAAGTATATATACATTATAAGCTTCCTTGATCAGTACATATGATGATCTCTAGTGCTAACTATATTTCTATCAGTGCCATAACCCTCATGCTTCCAAACCACGTCCTTGTTGGAAAGAACCAAGTTCGGTCCCTTGGTTTTTGTTATCGAGTCTTAAAATTCTGACATGGGCAAACTATGAAGGAAGAGAAGATGAGAAACAAGTGGCAGCATTCATCTTAAGAAGTGCAATTTTTTTTAAAGAAGGCGACTATCTCCTCCAAAGCAACAGACCCCAAGGAGAAACTAGAGATGATCAAGGAATTGTCATCCTCGCCCAGGCGCTCACCTACATGTCAGCTCATATTTGTCTGAAGTTATCGTTAGACTTGTTCAGCAAGTCAACTAACACCTGGTCATTGAGTGTTTGATCTAAAACATTCGATATTGAGAGGAAGACTTTTTTGGTCTCCTTCGTTACAATCCTCCGGAAGTTGGATCTGGCGGAAGTTGATGAAGTTACGAGATCTAGCAAGGCCACACTTATTTTGCAGGGTCAATTCTGGCTCCTCAGCTTTGTTTTGGCACGAAGATTTGACGAATTTGGGGCCTTTGATAGAGTTAACGGGAGCTAATGGTCCTAGAGTTACAGGAATTCATAAGCTTGCTACGGTTAATCAAGTGTGTGTAGGAGGAAGACATCCGATACTTCGGTTGTTGAGAGATTGTCTTCCGCCAGAGCTCCCTACGGCTCTTAATTCGGACCAGGATGTGTACTTGTGGAAGAACTCCCTCGACTCTGATCCAGGCGAATTCTCAACTGCAGGAACATGGAACTTCCTACATCCCTCTCCCCCATCTTTGCCTTGGGCTAGTAGTGTTTGGTTCAAGGATGGAATCTCTAAGCATTCTTTTATCCTCTGGGTAATAATGAGAGGTAGACTTGTAACAAGAGATCGTCTACTTTCTTGGGGTCTCAGTGTTCCAAGTAACTGTCTGCTCTGTAACTCTTCCCCGGAAACAGCGAATCATGTTCTTACTGAGTGTGGTTTCTCTGAGGAAATTTGGAGGAGACTGTTCCACCATCATACCTTCTCGCTCCCTGGTTCCTTGATGGAAATTGTGTTGTGGTGTCGCTCAGCTTCGGGAAACAGTAAGGTCAACACAATTTCCTTGTTGTTGGTTCAGGCTATTGTGTACTGTCTTTGGAAAGAGCGGAATGCAAGACTTCATACTTCGACGGCAAAAACGGCGGACGTTATTATTAAGGAAATCCATCTTCTCTTAAGAGCAAAACTCTTTGGTCTGGATAGAGAGACATCCTCTCAATCAAGACCAGTAGGTTCCTCTTCCTCTTCTCAGCAAACTTCCTTTCTTTCCACTTGGTTTACCTTCTTCCAAGTGTAAGCTGGCTCTTCCCAACTAGGCTCTATCAGTTGTCCTGCTTTCATATATCTCTGCTTCGTTTGAGTTTCTGTAATATTTGTATCCTCCGCCTTCTCATCTTTGTAATCCGCTTTAAGTATTTAATGAATGGAAGTTTAAAAAAAAAAAAAAAAAAAAAAAAAAAAAAAAAAAAAAACATTCGATATGCTGAAACTTAAAAGTTTATATTAAGCTTTCTGGATTTCGTATGTTCTTCTCATACTTGGTTTTCTTTAACGTTTTCTCTTTCAAATTGGGAATGTTTTGCTGTACAATTGTACAATTAGCTCTTCCATAAACTCGGCTTTTGTTATGTTGGTTTGATCTGTTTAATTTTCTTCTTTTGTGAATCAGAGTTGAAAACCCTATACTTTTTAGGTCTGTAATTTGAGGAAAGAAACATAGGGAAGAGCTATTCTTCTTCCGTGGCTTACCTGAAACATTAATCATCATCCTATCTAGTTTTTATGGGTCTTTCTTTTCTCTTTTTCTGTACACTGTTAGACTTGAATCTTACACAACAAGTTAGGGTGTTCATAATTTATTATAATTTTGTTTTCAAGGAGCGGGAACGTTAAAACTCTTTGTCCATTGTATCGGCCGAGAGAGAAAGAATTTTAGGGTTTAGGGTTCGTATCTGATGGCTGAAATTGAGTATCAGATATTCAGATTCTTCGGCTAATCTTCGCTATGGAGTTGTAATAGCTTTTTCGTCATTTTTTCCTTCTGAAATTAATAAGAGAAGCGGGAAGGCCTTCAGGGAAAACGGTCACGTTTTGACATATTATGAATTTATGAATACCAAAGTGTATTTCATTAACCCATTAAGCTCTTGTATTTTTTAAACATTCCTAAATCAGTACGTGTATATTTATATACAAATGATGATCTGTAATGTACAGTAAATTTTTATCAGCACCATTCCCTTCCCGATCAAACGCGCCCCTGCTGGATTGAACCGAGCTCAATTCCTTAGTGTCTGTTAACGAGTCTTGAAACTCTTGAATGGAAAGACTATGAAGGAACAGAAGAAGAGAAGCAAGTGGCTGCATTCATCTTAAGAAACGGAAGCTGTTTAAAGAAAGTAACCATCTTCTCCAAAGCTACCGATCCTAACAGAAAACTTGAGATGCTCAAGGAATTGTCTATCTGATCACCCAGGCGCTCACCTACATGTCAGCTCATATTTGACTAGACTTGTTCAGTAAGTCAAGTAACCTCTGGTTGTTGGGTGTTTTGGCTGAAACCTTGGATATGCTGACCAAAACTTTAAATCTTGTATTTAGCTCTTTGAATTTTCTTATCTTCTTCTTCTAGCTATATTTGGACAAAAGAAACATACAGAAGAACCATTATCTTACTTGGTTTTAATACATGTTTTCACCTTTTAGTTTAAAACAAACAATGCAGTGCATTGAATTGACTTTAAAACCTTTAATATTACACTATATTACTACTATAAACAATGCTCTGAAAATAGATCGGTAATTAACTTAGATTTTCAATAACGTAAAATGTTTTAGCGTTATATACTAGAACTAGATATATGAAGTTCATGAATGAGTGTAAAGCAAAATTATTTGGTTCGGCCAAATGTGAGCTTGGTCTAGTATAGTTGGTTCACTTATCGGTTTGGTTTTTCGAATCAAAACAAAAAAATCAACAAACAAAGATATTGGTTCGGCTGAACTGGGCAATCTTGGTTCTGAATTTATGGTTTGTTTGACAAAGAATAAAATGTAAGGAAATAAATTATGGACCATTGGGTCTAATACTGTCAATATTAAATCAAAGGTTAGGTTAGTTTAGAAGTTGCTGAGGCTAGTTTAAAAAGGCAATGATTATACACGTTCCACTTTCCTTGGTTCCCATTGGTTGGTTGCTTTGAGAAACACAAATCTGGTTACTATTAATATCTCTAGGACTGAACAGGCGGGTATTATCCACAAACATACTTTCTCAACACCTTATTACAAGAGGTACTTCGAATGTTTGGCATACTTTATGATGACAATTGTCTATTTTACCTCCAACTAAACTCACTTGATCAATTCAAGCTAGGGTTGGACACGAGGCAAGTATCTAGGATTTTTGCAATATTTGCAATTCACCTTACCTCGTTCGATTTATACAAAAATAATGATCTATAACTTTCCTTATGAGATATAAGTACTTGCCAAATATTTAACGACTTGTAAGTAACGTTTTGTCTTGCTACCCATAAATTTTCTTAAAAACAACAAATATTTGCTTTGTTTAAGACATCAATCCAACTTAAAACATTCAAGTTGGGCCAACTATATATTTTTAAATGCCCAATACAACAATATCCAACATGAATGTAATAAACAAGGCAAATAGTAACGGGGCAAGTATATACTTGTTACTCGACCATTACTTGCAAGTAATTAAATAATTATATTTGTTACTTACCTTATTACCAAGTACTTATATTTGCGGGTAGGTAGAAGCAAATCACAAGGGTAGGTAGGAGCAAATCGCAAGTATCAGATGAATAACATGTACCTGTGCTCAGGCCTAATCTCATCCACAAGAAACTGACTTTACCTTGTAAGTTTCATCTCTCAGCCGCCATTGCTCATCTTCGTATTGATTATATGAAAGTGAATTGTATTGTATTGTATTGATTTGATAAGGATTGCAGCTCTATATATAACAGAGATACAAGAATCATACAATAAATGAAATGAATATCTAATTGAGTGATTGTAGTGATTGTGATTGAGAAGTGATTGGAAGTTGAAAGCTTGGGAATCTAAGGATTTAGGCTTTTTCTTAATTTGAAGTGACAGAAAAAAACCTCAATTTCTTATAAATTCTTGTATGTGGTAGCTGAAAGCTCTGGATATCAAGGGCTTGGATCCGATGGATAGGATAAGTCCGTTGCATGATGAGCTACTCTTGAAGATATTGTCGTTTCTTCCTACTACTAAAGATGTAATGGCGACGATGGTTCTGTCTAAACGGTGGCAGCCGCTTTGGATGATGGTGCCAAGACTTGTATACGATGATACTAGCTATCAAAACGTTGGTTATGGAAGTTTTCGGCGCTTTGTAGACAGGTCTCTGCTTTTTCACAAGGCTCCAGCTCTTGAAACCTTGCGTTTCAAAGTTACTCAGACCTCTGGGGTTGGAGATATTCCGCTGTGGACTAGAGCTGCAGAGAAACACGCTCTGCGTGAGCTGTATATCGAAATCCATAGCTCTTCTATTGCATCTCCGGCCGTACTTCCGAGGAGTTTGTATGCAGGGTGTAGAATGCTTGTGATTTTTGTGGATGCTGCTTCACCGATTTCTTTCCCGATCCTCAAAATCTTGGAACTTAAATCCGTGAAGTACCCTGGTGATGAGTTTGTCAAGAGGTTTCTATCCAATTGTCCTGTTCTTGAGGACTTGGTTGTTGAGCAATGTCCCGGTGATAATGTGACCGTTTTCACCGTTAGAGTGCCTTCTCTTGAGAGTTTATACTTGGAAAAATCACCAGACAGAGATATGAATGATGCAGAGGGGTTTGTGATAGACGCTCCTTCTTTGAAGTACTTGGGCATTACTGATACTATCGGTGGATTTTGTGTCATTGAGAATGAAATGCCTAATATTGTAAAGGCAAAGGTTGAAGCTGATTACAAGTGTGTTAGCAATATTTTGGGTTCGATAACATCTGTCAAATGTCTCCATTTATGTTTGCGGTACTCAAAGGTAAATGAATATGCTCTTTAAATTAGAGCTTTCTTCTATCATTCTCCCATTTACAACCTGTGTTCCACCACTAGCGTTGCTCATGTGCTTAATGATTGTCTTTTTTGCAGGATGTATATCCTGTAGGTAGTGTCTTCCACCGTCTGGTACATTTGAAGATATGCACTTGTGAACCAGAGTGGTTGAATGTATTTATTCCTCTGCTCAGGAATTCCCCTAAACTAAAATACCTCAAACTCAAACAGGTAACACATAGATCTACACCTCAACTTTTCCTTTTATCCTTTGTCAAGTATATATCTTGTTCTAATCCACTCTACTTGTATTCTGTCAGTCTCATACCGCTCCCGACAGACCTCACCCCTGCTGGATTGAACCGAACTCGATTCCTGAGTGTTTGTTAACAAGTCTTGAAACTCTGGAATGGGATAACTATGAAGGAGCAGAAGAAGATAAGGAAGTTGCAACATTCATCTTAAGAAACGGAAACTGTTTAAAGAATGTTGCCGTCTTCTCCTCCACATCCATTGACAGCGACGAGAAACTTGAGATGATCAAGGATTTATCATATTGGCCAAGGCGTTCACCTGCCTGTTATCTAACATTCGACTGAAGTCGCTGTTGAATGATAAATCTTGTTGGTGTTTGATCTGAAATGTTAGATAAGCTATCCGAATTTGTTATGTTCTTTCTTTACCTCTTTGTCTTCGTACTAGAAGAAAGAATGAAACATGAGAAATATTATCTTCCCTTTGTTTAATCTCCCCATTTCTGTAACGTTTTATCTCATTTTATTAGGCAAGGATTTTTGGTGTTTAACTGTGCACACTTCTCTCCTTTTATCCAAAAGAAAGACAGTGTAGTGATAGATGCTCCTCTTTTAGAGATCATGTACATTCATGATGTTGTAAGTGAGTTTTGTGTCATTGAGAAACCTATGCCTAAGATTGTCAAGGCAGGTCTTCTTGTCAGTAGTAGTCATCCCGGGACGATTCTGGGTTATATTACTTCAGTGAAGAGTCTTCGTTTATGTTTATCTTCAACTTCAAAGGTATTTGTTTTTCTCTTGATCACAATCCGTGTGCATTCTTGATCACCACAGAATATTTTTTAGTACTTCCACAATCTTGTACATATAAAGCTATGCACATGTGAGACAGAGTGGTTGAACCTCTTTATGTATCTTCTCAGAAATTCTCCTAATTTACAAGCTCTCAAACTCCAACGGGTACCTATATATACATTACAAGCTTCCTTGATCAGTACGTATATATATACAAATGATGATCTCTAATGCACACTAAATTTATATCAGTAACATGACCTTCCGGATGGACCGTGCCTCTGCTGGATTGAACCGAGCTCAATTCATGAGTGTCTTGTTAACGAGTCTTGGAACTCTTGAATGGAAAGACTATGAAGGAACAGAAGAAGAGAAGCAAGTGGCAACATTCATCTTAAGAAACGGAAGCTGTTTGAAGAAGGTAACCATCTCCTCCATAGCTACCGATCCCAACAGAAAACTTGAGATGCTCAAGGAATTGTCATCGTCACCCAGACGCTCACCTACATGTCAGCTCATATTTGACTAGACTAATTGTTCAGTAAGTCAAGTAACCTCTGGTTGTTGAGTGTTTTGTCTGGAACCTTAAATCTTATAGTTAGCTATTTGAATATTTCTCATGTTCTTCCTCTAGCTATACTTAGACGAAAGAAACATACAGAAGAACCATTGTCTTACTTGGTTTAATTACACGTTTTCACCTTTTACTTGGTGCTGCAACTGAACCTTACATAAGCATTCTTCCCGGCGATTGTGCACTTAACATAGTTTACTTGGTTTAATTACACGTTTTCGTCTTAATGAAGTGCACTGGATTGATTTTAAAACCTTTAATATTACACATTTACACTACTTACTACTATAAACTATGCTCTGAAAATAGATGGGTAATTAGCTCAGATTTTCAGTAACGTAAAATGTTAGCGTTGTCTACTAGAACTGTAGATATGAACATAATAGAGTGAAATCATGATTGAATGTAAAGCAAAATGATTTGGTTCGGCGAAATGTGAGGTTGGTCTAATATATAGGTGGTACTTGGTTCACCTATCGGTTTGGTTTTCGAATCGAAACCAAAAAATTCAACAAACAAAGATATTGGGAACGCAGGCGCGTGAGAAAAACCTCGTACTTCATTCGATGCGCGTGTAATTGAAATCCACCATCTGGATCTTTCCGCTGATGAACGAGAGGTCTCGGAGTGACCAGGGTTTTAGGTAACGTTTTCCTCAGATTTTTTTCGTGTAATTGTTGTGGATTTGAAAGTAAGATTCACAAAATCCATCGATCACTCTTTGGAATCGAACATTTGTGTATGAGTCGACTGCTACTAGTGTTCTTTCGCGTCGATTTCTATGAAGGTTGCTTTCTCTTTTCGCGCTAGGGTTTTGCTTGTTGATTAATTTGGACAATCGAAGAATCTATTGAGCTTGGGAAGGACTAAATTGATCAAATTTTAAATTTGTTTATTTTCTCTATTTATTCCGAGGTTTATTCAGTTTTGAGAGATGATGATAGTTAAACCTAATTTTTTGATGATTTCGTGCATGTATTTCAGGTTCCTACTGTAGATAGAGAAGTCAGTGGAAGTTTAAAGTTTGGGAATTTGAGAGGGTATTTTCTTACTTTGGAGTGACAGAAAAAACCTCAATTTCTTATAAATTAATGTCTGTGTGTAGCTGAAAGCTCTGGATATCAAGGGCATGGATAGGATAAGTCTGTTGCCTGATGAGCTACTTTTGAAGATATTGTCGTCTCTGCCTAGTACTAAACATGTTGTGGCGACGATGGTTTTGTCTAAACGGTGGCAGCCGCTTTGGATGATGGTGCCAAAACTCGTATACAATGATTATAGCTATGAAGATGCTGACTATGGAAGGTTTTCGCGCTTTGTAGACAGGTCTCTGATTTTGGAGATATCCCGCTGTGGACTAGAGCTGCAGAGAAACACTCTCTGCGCGAGCTGGTTATCGATATCGACAGCTCTTCTAGTGCATCTCCGGCCCTACTTCCGAGGAGTTTGTACACAGAGTGCAGAATGCTTGTGAGGTTGAAGCTAGATGCCGTGATTCTTGTGGATGTTGCTTCACCGGTTTCTTTCCCCACCCTCAAATGCATGACACTTTACTCCGTGAAGTACCCTGGTGATGAGTTTGTCAAGAGGTTTCTATCAAATTGTCCTGTTCTTGAACGCTTGGATGTTGATCAGTGTCCCGGTGACAATGTGACCGTTTTCACCGCTAGAGTGCCTTCTCTCAAGAGATTATACTTGCATAAATCAACAGACGCAGATTTGGATGATGCAGAGGGGTTTGTGATAGACGCTCCTTCTTTGAAGTACTTGGGCATTACTGATACTACCGGTGGATTTTGTGTCATTGAGAATGAAATGCCTAATATTGTAAAGGCAGATGTTGATGTTGGTTATGAGTCTTTTAGCAAGATGTTGGGTTCAATAACTTCAGTCAAGCGTCTCGATTTATGTTTACTATCCTCAAAGGTAAATGAAAATGCTCTGTAACTTATAGCTTTTGCTTCTAACCCATTCACATATCTGCATTCCTGCTTTTCTTTTCAGTATCAGTTATTTACAACACCATGAATAATGCACGAACATGTACATAATGATTGATTGTCTCTTATTGCAGGATCTATATCCTGTTGGCAGTGTCTTCCACCGTCTGATACATTTGAAGATATGCACTTGTGAACCAGAGTGGTTGAATCTATGTATGTGTCTGCTCAGGGATTCCCCTAAATTACAGTCTCTCGAACTTGAACAGGTTACACATTGATCTAAACCTGAGCAACTATTCATATATATATATATATATATTTTTTTTTTATCTGTATATATGTTGTTCTAATCCAACTTTACTTCAATTCTGTCAGTGCCATGACCTTCCCGCTAGACCGCGCCCCTGCTGGATTGACACCAAGCTCAGTCCCTGAGTGTCTCTTAACGAGTCTTGAAACTCTGAAATGGGTCAAATATGAAGGAGGAGAAGAAGAGAAGCAAGTTGCAGCATTCATTTTAAGAAACGGGAGATGTTTAAAGAATGTTACCATCTCCTCCTCCACATCCAGTGACAGCGACAAGAAACTTGATATGCTCAAGGATTTATCGTTTTGGCCAAGGCCTTGTCATCTTTCATTTGACTGAAGTTGCTGTCAAATGACATCTGTTCGGTTGGTTTGGTGTTTGATATGAATCTTAGATAAGCTATCAGAATTTTTTTTATGTTCTCGTACTAGAAGAAAGAATGAAAATATGAGAAATATTATCTTCGCTTTGTCTAAAGTCTAAACACCGTCATTATCATCTTGATCTTTATGGTTTTTTCGTTCCAATTCTGTAACGTTTTATCAGTTTCAAAATGTTCAGTGAAATTCTGGAAAACAAAGAAAACTGGGATTTTGGACACGTGATGCGCGTGTGATTTGAGGAGGCGTATTTTAGCTTCCCAGCTTTAAAAATATATTTTAACTAGTATTTGGCCCATGTTATGCATGGAGCTTTATTTTCATCTTCTTAAATCGAGAATTGAGATGAATTGAATCGATGACAACTGGACATCTAACTAAATCCCCAAATCTTATTCTTGTAATATATTTTACTATGCTAATCATTTGATTTTGTAACAAATAATCTTATGAATAATAGATTAAATTGATCTTTTTTTAGTGACATATCTCTATTAACAATGGAATTATAGCTATAAAAATTGATGTGTGATTCTGTTTTTAGAAATTGTAAACTGAAACAAATAAAATGCAATATAGATAAACTCTCTACATGAAAAATGCATAAACTGAACAAAAAATTGATAATTTATCCTAAAACGCATAAACACAAAACCAAAAAAGATCATGGCTAAAAGATTGATTCTTTATCCTCAACAAAGATGGATAAAACAAAGATGGATAAGAGTAGTAACATTTCCAGTGAAATTGGTTTATGATAAAGAAACTATGGTTGTGGTTTTTGTTTAATCTTAAAAAGGTTCGTTATCTTACCACTGCCTTTTGGAGTAATTTATCACTCGGAGCAGCTCATCGACTGTTACATATTTTCTTCCTTCTTCTTTACATGCTCCCTGCAGTCAAAAAGAGAGATTCAAAATGAACCAACTTGTCAAACAAAGGTGATTCACTGGTTAATTCAACTCAGTCCACAGATCACTACTACCAATACAAATTTATTTTTCAAATTAAGATACGACTAATCAAAAGAATCAAGCTTAATCCTTAATCAGCTCAAATTTAGGCAAAGGCTCAACATTGTCAAAATCCCAAAACCCACTCGAGAAACCTGAATCGAATACATGGCCGCAATAGAGTAAACCCCCCTCACAGCAGCTCTGTTCTCAAGCAACACTTCAACGATCTAATATGATAGACAAAGAAAGTAAATCAATTTGAAAATAAAAAAATATGAAGATTTTGCAAAACAGGAATTATGAATCGAAAGCCAACCTTGTTGTGTCCTTCAGCGGAAAGGTAGAGACGTAGAGTGCTTGGCGAGGCAAGGATTGCATTCGAGAAGCATCTTCGCCTCAACGAAATCCCCATCTTTCGTCGCCGACACCAATCTCTCGCCGGACGCCGAAATTCCAGACGAATTCCCCCATCTTCTCACTTTTTCTCTTGTCTCTCTATCTGAAAATTAAGTCAACCATCGTGGAAAGATACAGAGAGGAAAGAACGGGATTTGATATGGAGCATAAACTTACGTTTTATAACTTTTTTGGATTTCTCATATCTTATTCTTCTTCTTCACTTTCTTCACGCTTTGGTTCGAGAAAGAAATTGTCACGAGAAGCTCTGGTAACGGCGATTCGCTCTTGTAACGGCGATTCGTCTGCAACAAACCAAAATAGTTTCAAAATGAACAAATCAAAGACTAAAAATTAAATTAAACTGTAAAACGAAAGGTTAGTGTAAGGAATCGAGAAATTTGTAGTAATATCTATGAAGCTTAGATAGAAGAGATTAAGAGAGGAGAGAAAAAAAAGGATCAATACTTATTCATCTAAACCAGAATTTTTTTATTTATCACATGAAACATATTTCTTCAATCTCAGAAACAAACAGCATCAAGCATTCCCGGATTAGAGTCAAAAGCAATTACGAAATTTTGATTAGAGACTGAAATAAGGTTATCAATAAACAGAGAAGGAAATAAAACCCAGAAATCAAGCATTATTGTGGTGTAAGACGAAGCGAACAATTTCAGAACCAAAACAACACCAAGCATTCAATCAAAAGCAGTGACAATATTTCAGACTAAAGCAAGATTATCAATTAACAGAAAAGGAAAAAAACCCAGAATACAAAGATACCTGATTTCAGTAGAAGAGATTTGATTCATGGATTTGTTTCTCACAGATTTTGGAAGGATAAAGATGAATTTCGAGATCTAGAAAAATAAAATACAGTAGTTGAAAATGGGTTTTTAAGATCGTGAGAAAGCGGTTTCTTTACATCGTGGTCGTTCCGTGAAAGAGAAGTGAATTTTCAGGAAAAAAAGAAAACAAAAAGAAATTGGAAAAAGCATTAAAAAAACAAAATTTAAAAATTAAAATAAAAACGAAATTCGAAAGGACACGTGTCGTCGATTAGATAAGCCATGAGATGACTTCTGATTTATTAGTATTATATTAATTTTTTGTTAATAATTAGCGGGAACGGTTCTAGAAGTAAAATCTTTCTGTCCACTGTACCGCTCGAGAGAGAAACCATTTTCAGGCTTTAGGGGTTTCTCTCTGATGAACGACTAATCGGTGACGGTGACTGAAATCGAGTATTGGATCCTTCGCTTTAAGGAAGATTTTAGGTATTTTTCTTACTTTTGGAACGTTCGCATGATTTTGTTTCGGATTTGAAAGTAGATTGGTTCACAAAATCCGTCAGTAACTGTTTAGATTCTTCAGATCTGTGTATCGAATCGACTGCTTCTAGTGTTATTTCGCATCAATTTCTATGGTGTTGGGTTTCTGTTTTCGCTAGGTTCTCGAGTAGCTACTGATCCTGAGTCGCTTGTATTATTCGTTTGTTTCCTCTATTGAGCTTGGGAATGAATAAACTGATCAATTTAGTAAATATTCGTTTGTTTTCTCTCCGTATTTAGGATCTGGAAACGATAGCTACACCTAATTTCTGATGATTTCGTTTCTGCTTTCGGGTTTCTAGTCTGGATAGAGAAGTCTGTTGAACTTGATAGCTTGGGAATTTTCAAGGATTCAGTGTATTTTCGTACTCTGGAGATTTTCTTCTCAAAAAATTTGTCTTTTTACTTTTTTCAGTGACAGAAAATCCTGTGGAAGCTGATAACTTTGGATACAGTATGGGTAGGCTAAGTGATTTGCCTGATGCACTTCTCTTGAAGATATTGGCGTTAATGCCTACGAAAGCTGCTGTGGACACAATGGTATTGTCGAAACGATGGCAGTTTCTTTGGAAGTTGGTGCCGAGACTTGAGTATGATGATAGCATGTACCAAGATGGCGGAGACTGGAGATTCTTGCGGTACATGTACAGTTCTTTGCTGCTGCACGAGGCTCCGGTTCTAGAGAGCTTCTCTGTGAAACTTGGTCAAAAATCTGGTGCTGTAGATATCGGAGCGTGTGTTACACCTGCTGTTAACCGCTCTGTGCGTGAGCTGATCATCGAGATCGACAGATCTTCTTATAGTACAACTCCAGCCATACTTCCAAGGAGTTTGTACACAGGGTGTAGAATGCTGGTGAATCTGAAGCTAAACAATGCGGTTTTTGTGGATGCGTCTTCTTCGGCGGTTTCTTTCCCATCGCTCAAAACTCTGACCCTTTTATCAATGAAGTATCCAGGTGATGAGTTTATCTGCAAGTTTTTGTCCGGTTGTCCTGTTCTTGAAGACTTGTTTGTGTTACAATGTTGCGGTGACAATGTGGGCGTTTTGGTAGTTAGAGTGCCTTCTTTAAGGAAATTAGGCGTGCGTAAAGTATCAATAGAAGAGTACGCTCAGGGGTTAGTGATAAATACTCCTTCTTTGGAGTTCTTGGACATTATTGATCAGACTGATGGGTTTTGTGCTGTTGAGAGTAGTATGCCGAAGATTGCAGAGGCCCATCTTAATGTGACTTATGCTGACACTCAGCAGCTTCTTGGCTCTCTTACTTCTGCCTTTCAACTTTCAGTATGTTTAGAGACTTCAATGGTAATGCATTTCTTCTCTAATTCTATCCTTGAATGGTCTCTGATCTAACACAAATCGTTGGTTTTCTGTATAGCGGATCTGTCATAGTTTACATCATATCTTGTGCAGGATCCATGTTCCGATGGAAAAATATTTAGCCAGCTTGACCAGTTGAAACTATGTACGTGCGACATGGGGTGGATGGATCTACTTATGCGTCTACTCAAACATACCCCTAAGCTAACGCTCATTGTACTTGAAGAGGTACATCTACATTTACTCACAAACCCCAAAATGATGTAAAGATTCAGTCTTTGACCCATTTTAATCTTTATGTATGATGGTCTAACTCGAACTCGACGTTACTCCTCTGCTATTTTAAATCTCAGACGCACGGCATGGACCTTGAAGCTCCGCGTCCGTGCTGGAATGAACCGAGTCGTGTTCCTGAATGTCTATCGTCCAGTCTTGAAATGTTTTGCTGGAGGCAATACGGAGGAAGCAAAGACGAGAGAAAACTCGCCACATTCATCTTGAGAAACTCTGCTCATTTAGAAATTGCAACTTTCAACTCCAAATCAACAGATCCTGTAGAGAGGCTTCGGATGCTCACGGAGTTGTCAATGTCACCAAGGAGGTCGTCCACCTGTACGCTTCAATTCCTTGGGAAGTACAAGAAGACTAGAGTTTAATAGTTTATCGCTGTGTGTTGCTTGATCCCAATGGTTGGACTCACTGTTTCTTCTAAAGTTTATATTTTGGATTATCTTGGATGTTTAAATCTAGTTTCAGAATGCTTCGTTACCTTTCTATTTTGAGATTCTATTGTGGGTCACATTTGCTCCTGAAGTTGAAATGATTTTTTACGACAAACTGTCTTCAGAATTAACTACTTAAGCAGCTTAGCTTCTAAGTTATTATTAGTAACCTATACTGATGAGACGATTAAAAGAATGATGTTCGATTAATGTGTTTTGATGAAACGATGCAATAGAAATTTTGTCCCACTTCATTTTTCTCTGTAAAGAGTTTGTTTTTGGACTAAATTATCACATACATCACATTGATCCAAATTTATTTACATAGATATACAACTATGATATTACATCTCCGTTGTCAAAAAAAAAAGATATACAACTATGATATCATTATTAATACCCTTGGATAAGTTTGAATCTTGGATAGGTTTTTACTTCAGTTAAACAAATATTGTAAACGATTCTAGAAAACAGGAGATTTGCATCTGATTTTTCCAGTTGTAAACGTAGATTGTGATCTAAAAAAACTTTGCTTGTCCATCTGAAATAGAAATTTATCTCGCGACTCAAGGTTTAGGAAACGGTGGCTAAAACTGAGTATTCGAAACTTTTCGCACAAGTAATCTATGTTTTAGGTATTTTCCTTACTGAAGAGGCTTTCGTCTGTTTTTTTGGATTTCGTCAATTGATAAATTTTTTTATCTTTTGATCACTATTTGGAATCAGACATCTGTTTTAAGAATCTACAGCTACTGTTGTTTTGTTGTTGTAATCTCCTCTTTGTTTTCAGGCTATTCAGAAACACATGTTTAAGAATCAACAGCTACTGCTCTTTGTTGTTGGTTTCAGGTGTGGAGAGTTAAGTCTGTCTGTGGAAAACAATTTAAGTCAATGGATTGGATAAGTGAGTTGCCCGATGAGCTTCTCTTGAGAGTATTGTCGTTACTTGCTGCGAAAGATGTCGTGGCTACAATGGTCTTGTCAAAGCGATGGCAGTTTCTTTGGACGCTTGTGCCAAAACTCGAATTCGAATTTTACACCAGTCATGATGTTGATCAAGACAAGAGACGGTTGATGTTCATCAACACTTTTTTCTCGTCACACAAAGCTCCGGTCCTTGAAACAGTGCGTTTCAAGATCGGTGAAAATGCTCGTGCCATTGTAGACATAGGAGCATGTGCTGCTAACAAAAGCTGTTTGAGGGAGCTGATCATCGAGTCAGATTATTCACCTTTATCTACTCCAACTAAAGTCTTGCTTCCAAGGCTCGGCTTTGGAGAATCGCTTGCGACATTGAGACTAACCAACACGGATCTCCCGGATGCTAGTTATCCAATATCTTTCCCATCTCTCAAGAAACTGAGTCTTATCTCCATCAAATACCATAATAAGGATTTATCTGTCTACAAGCTTTTATCCGCGTGTCCTGTTCTTCAAGACTTGGATGTGGAGCGGTGTGAAGATGATAGCGTGACGACCTTCCTAATTAAAGTGCCTTCTTTAAAGAGTTTAAGGTATAAAACACCATGGCATAATAAAGGTAAAGACGATTCACTTGGATCTGTGATAGACTCTCCTTCTTTGGAAATCTTGAACATTCGTGACCGTTCAAGTGGGTTTTGTCGCATTGAGAATAAAATGCCTAAGGTTGTCAAGGCATACCTTAACGTTGAGTATAGTTGCACTAAGCAGCTTCTAGGATCTATTGCTTCAGTCCAACAACTTGGTTTATGTTTATCCACTTCCATGGTAACCTTATTTTTTTCTTCTCTTCTTATTGCTTTATACATTGAATCTATATATATAGTTACTTAAATTAAATCTTGTTCTTATAATATGCATATAGGAAGCATATCATGAAGGAAGAATATATAGCCGGCTTGTAGGGTTGGGGCTATGTACATGCCAAACAGAGTGGTTGAAACTACTTATGCGTCTTCTCAAAGATTCACCTAAACTAAGACTTGTGAAGCTAGACCAGGTACAGTAACATATACTTTTTGAACACTAAATAGTTTAGTTTTATGGGTCTAATTAAATTAACGCGGCTAATTAATCATGGGGCCATTTTGTGTCTTAGTGCCACAAAATCAAGAGTGGACATTTACGGCCGTGCTGGAGTGAACCGAGTTATGTTCCTGAATGTCTCAAGTCAAGTCTTGAAACATTCGAATGGGCGGGATACGAAGGAAGAGAAGAAGAGAAACAATTAGTGAGATTCATCTTAGGAAACTCTAGTCGTTTAAAGACGGCAACTTTCTACCACAAATCCACTGATCCTGAAGAGAGACTTGGGATGCTCAGGGAGTTGTCATTCTTACCTAGGACTAGTTCAATCTCTGAGCTTGCAATCAAGAGAGTTATTGTCAAATCATGAAGGTCATGCAACATTTGGCTGCCCAAGGTTAAATCCAACGTTAAAAGACTTGTTGGTTTTCTTCTTATGGCTTTCTTTGATAACTCCTTAAAAAACATGAATTTATCATTCATTAGTGGCATATATGATATGTGGAAATCATGGTTCGAACCTTTCCCATCTAGATATACATAACGAAATCATGGTTTGAAGTAATTCATTAGCAAACTTTCAGTATATCTTTATGTATCTTTTCGCTCATAATCGTTATTAGGGTTTTTATATTTTTATTTAATTATAAAAATAGTAGTATTTAATATCTAGCGAGAAATATAAAATAAGAGAAGCACTGTCGTTTAAGAACATCGACCGTCTTCAAGTTTCATTAGGGATTGGAGATATGCTAGAACACAATATATATAAACCAATCTTTGTTACTATTTTGATTTTTGGATGCTAATTCAGGTCGGAAAGTGAAAGTAAAAAACCTTTTTAGTTTTTGGTCTTCAGCTAATTCGTGTCTGAATTTACAGATTCTAATGGATGGATTCAGTCTTTTACCTGACGATACCCTATCGAAGATATTGTCGTTTCTTGAGACAAAAGATGTTATGCAAACTATGCTTTTGTCCAAACGCTTTAAGTCTCTCTGGAAGTTGGTACCAAGACTTGAGTTCGATGATATGAGAGTTACGGAGCATGAATATGCAAAATTTTGGCGGTTTGTGGACAGAGCGTTCATGTCACACGAAGGTCAGGCTCTACAGAATCTGCATCTCAAATTAAGGCGACAATGCACAGATGGAGATGTAGCGATTTGGGTTGGAACCGCGGTGAAACGTGGTCTAATGGAGCTGGAATTCATGAATTATAATTTTTCGTGGACAGCCTCAATGCCGAAAAGCCTGTATACTTGCGGAACACTTGTGGTTCTGAAACTGTTAAACGTTAAATTAGATGTTCCTGATCTGGTTTGTCTAAGGTCTCTGAAAACTTTATCCCTCAAATATATGAATCGCTCTGAAGGGAGTTCTTCTTTACTTAGACTTTTACCCAACTGTCCTGTTCTTGAAGACTTGTTCATACATCTAACTCCATATCCCAACCCCGCTATGCCTTTCAAGATTGTTGTGCCTTCCTTGAAGAGATTATCTTTGTTCGACTCATGTCAAGATTCCGGAATCACGGGACTTGTGTTAGATGCTCCTTGTCTGAAATTCTTGCACGTTGTAGATCGTTGGAGCCATTCACGTAATAGCCAGAGTATTAACATGAATGAGGTCGTGGAGGACAATATGGGGGTTATTCTCAACCGACCCGAGAAGCTTCTGCGTTCTCTTGCTTCCGTCGAGCATATTCTTTTATGTTTATCCGCTCCAGAGGTAATATTATTCGTTTGGTTGGTCTCTTGGTTAAGTTATTCTTCTTTTTAGTCTTAATTCTTGATGGGTCTTTGAGTAATAGGTTGCTCGTATATATGTTTATTGTGTCTCCTATCCTTTTTATGCAGGTTGTGTATCCTGTTGGTAGTTGCTTCAGTAGACTCAAATTTTTGGAAGTGTGTCCATGCAAATCAGAGTGGCTTGATCTATTTATGCGTCTGCTCAAAGATTCGCCTAGCGTAAAGTCTATCAAAATCAACCGGGTGGGTTTTATTTTTTAGTCTCCTTGGTCTATTTTTTGTTGAATTTCAGTTCTATGATGATTTTAATGCATTCTACATTGTAACCTTCTGGTTTCTCAGTGTCATTGTGTGCTATATCCTCCGCGGCCTTATATCCGGCCGCACTGGAATCGACCGAGCTCTGTTCCAAGATGTTTGTCGTCGAATCTTGAATTTTTCAAGTGGATTAATTACGAAGGAACGCAAGAAGAGAAAGAACTTTCGACATATATCTTGAAAACCGCAGTTTGTTTGAAGAAGGCGAGTTTCACTGCTAAATCCAATGATGACAAGAAGAAACTGGAGTTGCTCCGGGAGCTATCCTTGTCGCGTAGGGCTTCTTCCACTTGTGAGCTTGTGTTTAACTGAAAGCTCATACTGATCACTCTCAGAGACCAGAACCTGTTAAGATGCTTCTCAACAAGTCTTCTTCTTGTGTTATTTTGACCAAATCTATCTGCACTATCTATACTATTTTGGTCTTTATAAGTAACAGTTAGCGTCTGCAACACGGCAACTCTCTTTTTTCCCCCTTTATCTCTTTTGGAGTTTTTGGTATTTTTAGGTTTGATGTTAAACTCTGCTGTGTTTATGTTCAACATTTCATAAGTCCTTACTTTATGGACAGTGCCTACTTCGTACTGAGTCACAAAAGGTTATGCAAAATTGTTAACTTTAAAGTTTAGACCCAAATCCTATTTGGTCTGAAAACAAAAACTTACATTATTAACAAAAGTAAGCACCATTGGTCCATTGAATGTCATGATCAGAATATGATCTATTGGGTAGTTCGTGTTTTAAAAACTTGCTTACACATTGCATGTATGTATGTGAAAGAGTTTTGGATTAAAAGATCGCTTTCGTTTCCTTGGCGTTGGAACCTTTTTTTCTTGGGGGGCCTTATTTTCAGAGCATTTCTTAAATATTTTACAACTTACCATTATCTCATAATTCATAAATCATACTGTCTAGACTGACTTTACTCAAAATTAAATTATGTAACACACTTAAGGCAAAAAGCCAAAAACTTATTCAACACATCTAATATATTATTTGCGAAGTGATTATTTCGTTTCCAGCCACCACGTTAACTCTCAGCTGGTTGATTACTCGGTTACCCTTAATGAAAATTCTATTTTTAAATCTTCATAATTTCCTTTTTTATTTTCACGATTTATATTTTTTATTTAAAATATTTTATGATGATAATAATCCTAACTACCATATTACGCGCCACAATTATGTAAAAATTAGAATATTTGGAAAGAAAAAAAAAGGAAAACCTAGGTTTCTTAACCGACTATGTTTTATATAAATAGATAGCAATATTGAAAATCTAAACAATCCACAATTCTTCAACCTAGAGGTGAGATACTTTCTTCGAATCCATATATCATCTTCTCTCATGTAGGTTATTCGTTTTTAGTTTGATCTTACGTATGTACCTTTAAGTTAAAGTCGTATAATCAGTCGATATGTTCTCTGTTCGACAATAGATTCACAGGAATATCCGATCCATTCATGATTTCTTCAGTCTGAAAAAAATAAAAACAGAACCAATGATGCCGAGATCCCTAGCTTCATGACGCTTTACTTCGAAAATCCTGATCATCAAGGTCACCAAGTTGGCCCTGATGATCCTCAGATCACAGAAGCTGTAGTGAACATCGATAGGTTAATAGGAAGAATCATCGATGGGTAAGAGAAAAGAGAGGTTTTTTATGATGTGACAATGATTATGGTTGGTGATCATGGAATGGTTGGAACTTGTGATTAGAAAGTCGTTGTTCTTGATGATTTAGCTTCTTGGATCGAAATCCCTAGCAGCTGGGTTCAGTATTACACTCCGTTGCTAGCGATTAAACCGCCTTCGAATGGAAACGCAGCGGATATGTGGCGAAGATGAACGAAGCCCTAAGCTCTGGTGAAGGAAGTTGAGAATGGCAAGTACTTGAAAATTTATCTCAAAGAGGATTTACATAGCAGGCTGCATTATGTGGAGAATGATCGGATCCCTCCTATTATAGGATTGGTCGATGAGGGTTTTAAAGTGGAGCAGAAGAAGAGTGAAGCCAAAGAATGTGGTGGAGCTCATGGGTACGACAATGCCTTCTTCTCGATGAGAACTATATTTATAGGGCATGGTCCGATGTTCTTGGAGGGAAAGAAAGTGGCTTCTTTTGAGAATGTTGAGATATACAATGTGATCAGTTCGATTCGAGTGTATAAAAATTATCACATGTTTTTTTTGTTTGTTACAGAAATGTTTTTTACCAAAAAAGAAGAGAAATATACTGGAGGAAGCCGCGAGAGTGCGATCTTCAAAGCCACCGTCTTCCGTCGCCCATCTACTCCGAGACACCACCGTTGTTCGTAAAGTCGTCCAGTGGAAGCTAACCTCTTTTACGCTCATCGCCATGTCTCCCCTTATTTTTTCATGAGAGAGTGAATAATGTTCCACCATTGTTGTTGTTGCTTAGAATCCAAGTTACCTCCCTCCACCTTTGAGCTGTTGTTGCGTTGAGTAGAACCTATCGTTGTCACTGGTAAGCGAGACTGGTTTATGATTGCCGTTTACAAAACTGGTTTGTGAGCTTGTGGACATTGTTGCTTGAGGCCTAAGCTTCTGTTGGTAATTGTTGCTTCATAATATATGTGATTTTACCTCCAAAATATGTTCTTGCTTTTAAGTATCCACCATGTTGTCCTTCTTAACTAGCTTTCGGATGTGAGCTCGTGGTTCTCCCATAGTGCTCAGTCTGTTGCTCATTGAACTGATTAAGGAGAGATATATCATTTAGATGTATATTGCCCGTGTCGCAAGACTGAATTCATTTAATGCTCGATGAGATAAGAAGTTTTAAAGCAGTTGGATGCAAAGACGAGGGATTGTGCTGCTTTTACGCTGATCAAATAGAGTAATGAACAATATGATTAACATCTAAGATTGTTTATCCTACTTTTAGTTTGATTACATCTTTCGTAAGAGTGGAGAAAACGAAGAAACCCAGAGGATAAGGAAGAAGAAAATAGAAGAAGGAGAAGATGAAACAAAAAAAGAATGAAAATTAAGATGTTAGATAAATAAAATAAAGAAAAAAATGTGGTTAGGCTGATCAAATAAACCCTAACCCAGTTTGTAATTTGTGGTTAGGCTGATCAATTCTTTATTTACCAACTATGTATTGTATTATCGGTGAGTCACCTCTATGATAACTCTGTTTTGTAAACCAAAACTACTACTGACATTCTGGTGTATGATAAATGCTCAAAAATCTTCAAATGTCATTACTGTTATAATAAAACTACTTTTAAATCCTAAATTTTGAACCCTAACTTTACAGTAAACCCCCTTCCCCGTACACCATAAGGAGATATAATTTATAAGTTTGTGATCAATAGAATGAGAGACAAGTACAAAATGAAGGAAAAACATAGAATTAAACGTTATCTAAACCTTGAGCACATTACGCCATTAACCATAAATAGAATGATGTTGATGTAAATTGAGATACATAAATGGCATAATAAAAGAAAAAGAATAACAATAAATTAACCTTTTTATGAAATTTCAATAAAGATATATTGAGATTTTAGGGAAATTATTGCCATCAATACTTATAAGTACTTCTCATAGTTTATTTTGTTTCCTTTCTATCAAAACATATATAATGAAGAAGAAGAATAACATAAGAGCAGAATAAGAAGATAAAATCAAAAAAAAAAAAATCGTAGATGTTGTGATTATTTGAAAATGTTAATTGTAAATAAAATAATAAAATGAATAAAAACCCGAAAATAAAAAGATTACGATAAAGAAAGAGGAAAAGAAAAAGAGATTAGAAAGTTGGATAAGAATTAAAAAATAACGGTAGAAAATGAAGGGAAAAAAATCTGAAAGAAATAGAAGACAAAGTAAAAGAATAAGAAGATAAAATGGGATTGGGATTTACAATGTATGTTTTATATTGATGGGTGTAACATCCCGGTTTGTGATAAATGAGGAGAGGCTTAA